TAGTTAGCTGAGCGTGACACGAAGGGAGTGAGGAGGAGAGAAGGAAGAGGGTAATGGCAATGTCGCGACAGCCTGAATCTGCCTTGGGCTTAGGTCAAGAAGGACCTGCTATGCAATTTTTCTCCTTTTCCACACCCCGGATGGGTATCATCTGTTGGGATTGTTCCTAACCTGCCTTCAAACGATGACACTACGGCTAAAAAGTACACGCAAAACACGGAAATGGTTTTAAAAACAAGGCAGGATTCGCAACCAAGCAATAGGGGGAAGGGAGGAAAATGTTAGGAAGTAGCGGCATAGGGGGACCGAGAGGTAAGGATAGACGCGAAAGAGCAAGTCTGACACAGACAGGTGGACAAAGAGGGAGAGGGGTCAGGACATAAGGCTAACAGTCATAGTAAGCGAGAAAGAGAGAAAAAAATGTGAGTTTACGAGTGTAGTGTGCGAGGAAAGGGGTGCACATCCGACACGGCCAAAAAGGCGAAAGAACCGAAAGGGAGGAATGGCGTGAGAGAGAGAAGGAGCAAGAGGAGAAAGCATCGCTGTTTATTGTTCGTCTTCCTCCCTTGGGTGCATCGGCGATGAAAAGCTAGGCAGGCATATCAGTTCAACCGTACTTCACCGACTGACTAACTCGGCTGTTTTTCTCATTCCAGCTTTTGCGGTCACTCACAAACACGTTTAGTGGAAGGGGCAGAGCATCAAAACGTGAAAAACAAGAGTAAAGGAAAAAACGATTTTCGGCCCACCTCTAGGTCTTTTTTTAGTTGCTGATGTTCCTCTCCTGGGAAACATACTTGAACACGTTTCTGTCATCGAGCGGCTAAAGATTGCGACAAACATCAACATAATCAACATATTGAATTTGCAGCGCCTTTGCTGCTCTCCTTTCCTCCATCCTTCTGATGCTCCTCTTTCTCCCCTCCCTTTCTTTTCACCCCTTCTTGCTCTTCGGACAGCAGCCCCTTAGGAATCTAACAAACATAGCACAATTTCTTACCACAGCTGCGACATCATTATAGGACGAAGACGAAAAGAGTGCATTTGAGAATAGTAGGAGGATGTAGTCAACTATTTCACAACGAGGATTCAATTAGCGCGGTTTGGATATAACAAACAATGGTGAGGGGAGGGTAAGGAAAGGGGGGCTACCTCAACGAGTCAGGTGCTGCTATTTCGAGATTTTTTTTTCAGGCACATTTTTTTCCACGATCACAGCCCGAGGAAAATTATTCGCGACCACACTCGCCATCACCAACTCAATGGTAAGCTTAGTGACGCGCGTGTTTTTGTTCCGCGCTTTTTAATTGTTAAAGGTCCCTTTCATTTGTTGATGGTTGTTTTAATTTGTTCAGACATATGAGTGTTTGATACTACCCTTGATAACCGCTGTCCAGCATGGGTATTGCAATGTTCAGCGATACCAGTGAAGGAAACTAAAGTTACAATGGTGACCGTTGAGGACACACTGGCAGGAGTGAGGGTAGCTGCTTTTGAATGTAGAGAACTGCGGTCAATCGTATCACCATACGCAAGCAAAAAAGAGAGAGGAAAAAAGAAGAGAGAAGTGCTGCTTAGGCAATGTTGGAGGGAAAAGTAGACAAGGAGAAGACACACTGACCTACTGTACTGTGGAGAGGGAAAAAGAGGTCAGGCAGATCAAAGCATACTCCCTATTACAAAGAAGAGAGAAGAGCGCGTGGTGTTACCGCACAGGACAAGAAAAAAAATGCGTAGTCGTTTGACGACAGCAATCGCCATACGATACTCACTTTATTCCTGCACAAAAAAAAAAAAAAAAAAAAAAAACGCGTCTATAAGGTCTATCAAAAATGGGAAAGAAAAAGAGTGACCCGGGTTTACCCAAATAAGAAAATAGATGGTCAATTACTGAGAGTAAGACGCGTCTCTGTTTTTATAGAATATGTTTGCCTCCGTTTCTATTGCGGTCGGTAGAGTAAAAAACGAGGGTGATTGGATCGGGTACACTCCGATCAGTAAAGGCAACTAGAAAGAGAAAAATAATAAAACTCATGGTATGCGACGAAAATGGGGGGAGAGGTTAGAGGGGAACACAGAGGAAGGGGAAAGGGCGAGAGAGAAAGGCGAGAGAGCAAGAGGCGTAAAGAGGGAGGGCGCGAGAGAGGGGTGGTGCGAGAGGGAGGACGAGAAAAGAGAGAGAAAGAGGGATAGAGGGAGGCATGGCCGGAGAGAGGAAAAAACCCATGTACATAATAATGCATTCACGGATAGGTTGATCCGCACTAACAGGTATTCAATGGCAATTATATTGTTAGTATTTGTTTTTTAACAATAATTGAATAGGGAGGGAGTTGGCTGGATCGAAGGGGGTGCGCATTTCTCTTTCCTTTGTCCTCCCTCCTTCTTTGAGGCCAGTGCGTTCGACATATGAATATTTTTGTAGGTTACTCAATAATAGAGAGAATAAGGAGGATGGGAGATAGAGAGAAAAGGAAGGGGTTTATTGAGCAAAAACACACAAGGACGACGAGGATAGGGAGACAGAGAGAGACAGAACGAGAGAAAGAGTAGACAAGTCTGCAAATTGAGAGCAAGCTACAGTACATGACATCCATCGTTGACGAACGCATTGCCAATGAATAAAAATAAACGAACAAGGGAGAGAGGGAGGGAAGTCCGTTGAATCGACGGGCAGTTGTCGTTGATTTTGGTGGACATGATGGGTTAAAACAAGAATCATATTGGCCACAAGAATGGAACGATATGAGAAATGTTCAAGAAAAACAAGGGCAGTAGCACGAAGAAGAGAATGGACTATGGGTCACTAGAGAAATCGGGTTCAATAAAGGAACGCTGCCATGTTCATGCCTGTCTATGGGCAGTGAGTGTTCTAATTGTTCCGTACTCTCTCCTTTGTCCTTGTTTATTGCCAATGTCCCTTTTTTTTGGGTGTGCCCCATGTCCCTCCATGGCTAATGCACATCCCATTCCGTCTTCTCGCAAGCATATATACATTCTTTTCGTTTTTCTTTCTCGGCCTCTATTTGTGTGGCCCCTTTTCCCTTCTGCTTGCTTTTTTGTTTGTCTCGATCATCACCGCTTTTCTATCCACGTTCCTCTTTCTCCCCTTCCTTTGACCATGCTGTTTAAATGGTCGTGGACCAAGTTGCGAGAACGAAGGATGAGGCGAAGGTTGATCGGGCGCAATGAATATTTGCATTTGTTCGCTTGAACAGTTGGCACAGTCTGTTCGCCTCTCGAGAGTGACCTGGGGGTGTGAGAGAGTGACAACAAATAATAACAGCATGGTATGCAGTTGAAGTAACTCTGGCGTAAAAAAAACACAGCAGCCATGCCCCTACCCCCATTACTACCAGACCCAAAGAGTGAGCAACAGCAACAAAAATGCATAATGGTCTCTGAGTGATATGTTTGACTGATTGTTTGACTGATGGATGTCTGATTTGCTGTCTGCTTCACCCCTGAAATACTAATCGCAACGCGAACCTTATTCCAACATGTTCTTCAACGATCCCATTCAGTCTCTCTCTGTTCTCTTACGCTGGTTTTTTCTGTTGTCTCCCTACTCGTTCGTTTGTTCGCTCGTTTGCTAACAGATTGTCGTACACACCACGATGTGATGGCTGTTTTCGTTTCTCGCTCGTTTCCGGCTTCCGCTTTGTTGAGCATTTCTGTGAAGCAATCAAACTATTTTCTCACACTTTCCAGGAGTCTAGCCTCTGCAGAGGGAATCTATGCACAAGGTGGGGAAGGAGGAAGAGGGGGAGGAGAATGAGAACAAAGAATAAATATGGGCAAGAGAAGGAGGGGGATTTGATTGTCATTGACTGATAATGGTAAACAAAATAATAGAGGATTGTCGCCCTTGACTTTTTTTGTCGTCCTTTGAAAAGGATAGGCTGTCAGGAGGAGACAGATAACGTTGTTGCCCCATTGAACATGTTAGAGATAGTAGTTAATTGTCGTCTCCTTCTGTTTATTCGATTCAAACAATAAAATAAAAAATAAAGGCACATAGAACATTTGAGTTTAACCCTTTCTAGGAGACAGTGAAGCGAGAGAGAAAGTGAGAGTGAGAGGCAGAGCAAAAAAAAAAAAAAAAAAGAGACAGGAAGGAGAGAGCGCCAGCCCATTCACCCCACTCACCTGTCTCTCCTCCTCTCTCTAAAAGCCCATTATTTAGTTTTTACCATGGAGTCCAAGCACCCATGTCCAGTACATGTATGTACATGTACAGTTGAGGATTGGGCTCCACTCCACTACGTTGGGCATGAGAGTAGGTTCGGTTATGTTCAATCGTAATAATAGTGCGTCTGTGTACCTTTCTTTGTTGCCATTGAATTGCAAGGGTACTAATTTGTTTAGAGAGAGTGTGTGTATGCGCAAGCATTTGAAACGATCGTCCCTCAATCACACTCTCATATTCGTTTGTCGATTCGATTCTATCGATGGGTCACACAGCCAAACCAACCGACAGAAGCAATGCGTCCGTCCCTTTAATCCCTTCTTTGTGTGAGCAGGGCAAAGGTATAAAAAGGATGGGGTGCTTCCCTCTTTTTTTTTCTTTCTTCATTCTCATTGTTCATCATCAACAACATCGACAACAACGACAAACAACATCCTCTTCTTGAACAAACAAACTACAACTTTCTTTCTTCTCTTTTCTTCTCACCTTGAGAAGCCACTTAAACAACCACGCACCATTGCTCCACTAGCTTTACCTTACTCAAATCTTCATCCTTTTTCCGTACTACTCTCACATCCTCTCCACCACACATCAGATAGCAACTTTTTTTTTTGCCCTTGTTGCCATCGATCAGATCGCCGCATTCATCCGTGCCCCCTCTTCCAAGCGCATTCTCTTATTACTACATCGTGCCAGTCTCTTCTTGCTTGTCTTTCAATCCTTTCAATCCTTTCTTTTTTGAATACCTTCGCGTGACACAACACAACCACACACACCTCTTTTTTTTTAACCTTCCCTTTCGCGCATAAAAATGTTCGAGAACCACGCACCTGCAGACATCGTTATCCCAACGTTTGTCGAGATTCCTATCAAATCGACTTCTTCCTCTTCCACTACAGCGGCTTCAGCTTCCAGGATCACCACCCCTACTTATTCATCCTCTTCAACCACCACTATTACAGCTACAACCCTCTCATCCGAGACACCCTCAACTACCATCACCACCATCGCCAACGCCGCCGCAGTGACCTCCTCAAACACCACTGCTACTGCCTCTGCTACCACCACCACCAACGCTACAACCCCCACCTATCCAACAACGGCGGCCGTGACTACCACAACAGAGAAGGTGGCCACAAAGGCCAACGAGAAGGTCAAGGTCCTCTCCCTCCACGACTTCAACAACCCAGCGACTCGTCCCCGCTTCCTTACTGACATGCGTGAGTCCCTGATCGAGTTGGGCACGTTCTACATCAAGGACCATGGGATTACGACTGAGATGACCGCGGGCGCGATGAAGACTGTCCAAGACTACTTTGCCTTGCCCCTGGAGGAGAAAAAGAAGATGCTCATCGGCAACAGCAGACACTTCCGCGGCTACAAACTCATCGGTAAGAACGAATAAGCCTTTTTTCCGGTTCCCACTCTTCTCGCCCGCTTTATCACCCCTTATTTTTTTACACAGGACTTTGTCTCACTGGGAGCTGTTTGTAGTCCTTTCAAAGTATGAGGGAAGGGCTGGCAAGCTGGCTGGTTGGCTGTTTGGCCGCATCCCAAGTAACCCCTTACTTTTTGCCATCGCCCCCCTATTTTTTTTTTTATGCTGAATTAAGAGGTCGGCTCTCGTGTGTTTTTTTCGTTTCCCTCTGTTTCAAGCCGCTCGGTGCTCATTGTTTACATGTATTGAAGGGATAGAAATCAGAGTGAGGGTTGTCTGTTCTGCCTCCGTGTTTAGTCTCATAATACCCTACGGGATATAAGAAGGGAAAAGAAAAAAACGCACAGAAGCAAAGGCGTGGCTGCAATGTTATTCTTTTGTTTGTACTGTTCACTAACCGCGCCTTTTTCACGTTGTTTTATCCTCGATCACGATTTTGCTTTCCCTTGCACTGTTTTTTTTGGATCTATCAGGCGAAGAGTTCACAAACAACCAGGTCGACCACCGCGAACAACTTCAGTTCGGTCCAGAACAGTCGGCTCTGCCCTCGTTTGTGCCCTCACAATCGCCCGACTACCAAGGCCTTCAAGGTCCCAACCAATGGCCCACCTCGACCCTTGCACTCCTCCCTGCCTTCCAACCTCATATCCTCGAATTCATGCGCCAACTCGAAACCCTCTCCCACCGCCTCATGGAGGCCGTCGCCCTCTCCCTCGGACAGTCCGCGCATTACTTCCGTGACCTCTTTAGCGAAACCCCTTACTACCGCCTCAAGGCAGCCAAGTACCCCTCCGTCAAGAACACGAAAGCTGCAACCATTGGCTGTGGTGCTCACAAAGACACGGGCTTCTTGACCGTCTTGCTTCAAGACATGGTCGGCGGCTTGCAGGGCCAGATCCCCGCCACGGGTGAATGGATGGATACGAGGCCGGTGCCCGAGACGTTTATTGTGACGATGGGTGAGGCCATGGAGAGGATGACAGGTGGATTGTACCAGGCCACGGTGCATCGTGTGTTGAACAACATGTCTGGTCAAGATCGGTATAGCATCCCCTACTTCTTTGATCCTGCCCTTGACACCCGTGTCCCCAACCAGATCGAGAATTTGGACCGCTCTGCCCATTTGGACTTTTCGAACGCTCAGACCCGTGAGGAGCTTCCCAAGGCCGACGGAGAGAATTTCTGTGGTCTGGGCATCACCACCCAAGACGACGTCTCCTTCCCCACAACCGCTTCCGCTTCATCTTCAAGGCAATCCGCTGTTGATGAGAAAGAAGGCTGGAGCAGTGGCGCCCTCGTCTTTGAAACCGTCCACCGTTGCCACCCCGAGGTCTATGCTCGTTGGTACACCCGTGAGGAGTAAACCAGCAATGCCTTGGATCTGGCTGGTAAACCTTCCACCCACATATAAAAAGGGGCAAGACCCCTCATTCTAAGTATTACCCGAGTCGTTCTCACTCTTTTTTTTTCCACACATACCCCCATTATGCTCCCCTCTCCCACCCCTCTTTAGGCACACAGTTTTTTGCCTAGATCCACCTTGTATTTTTTTTCTCGCCCTCCGCTCCATTTTTCGATACCCAGTTCTCTTGTTCATAATAAATATATCTGCTATCTCTCCCAATTGAGCCTTGCCTTTTGATTTGATTCCACACAACGCGAAGAAAAAACGGTGTGTAAGACTTCACCCAAAAAAAAAAAAAAAAAACGCATAGTAAACACCCTGTTGTACGCTCTCCAGACTTCCTTAACCTTTGCTTGATCCATGACCTCGACAGGGTGGAAAATATGAGGATTTTTGATACCGAAAAAGATGTCTTTATTTCGGACATTATCAGGGCGTTGCAGGAATGATTGACGAGACACCAAGGTCACCCCCAAAAAACTCTGTGTATGCTTAAAAAGTAAAAGATCCTCAAGAGAAACCAACAATTTAAACCTTGAAGCCGCGGGAGGCACGACGACCACGGGCCTTCTCGAACTTGCGGCCCTTGGACTGGACATAGGGCTTGGCATGCTTGCCGGGACCCATACCGAAATGCTTGACGGCCTCACGGGTGTTCTTCTTGCCGCGGAGGAGGATGGTGTTGGCACCGGTGGGGGCACGGAGAGCGAGCTGGTCGAAGGTAATGACCTCACCGCCGGCCTTCAAGACGCGAGCCTTGGCGGACTTGGTGATGCGCAAGCAGGCAATCGACAACTTGGGGACCTCGAGGAAGCGGTTGTCGTCGGTGACGGTTCCGACAACGACGGCGGTCTTGCCCTCCTTGCCGGCCATGTTACGGGCAACACGGGAGACGGACATGGGGGGGCGGTTGACACGCGACATAAAAAGACGCTTCAAGACAACCTTGTTGAAGGCAGAGTCCGTGCGGCGAGCGAGGAATCTGTAGAGCTAGTTTTTGAAAGGGAAGGAAAAGGTAGGTAATAGGGTGAGTTTTCTGTTTCCTTTGGTACTCGATGGAATAGTGTCCTGACCGCCATTATGTCAGACCCCAGAGACGAGTGTGATCTTGTTCAAGGGCAGATAGCTTGTTGGATATTGGCGAGTAGTGTGTGAAATGAAGATTGTCCCGAATTCGCTTCTTCAACGGAGACAGGCAGCGTTGACTTTGAGTGGCGTCCGGTGATTTTGATAGATTTCCTTTGCGAATAACCATAGTGAAGGTAGCTCAGGCTGGTGCAGTTGGTGATAACTGGTGCAAAGAGTCGATTGAAAGTAACTCAAAGTTGTAGTGCCTTCGTGAAAAGCAGGAGGTTTGTCGATCAATTGGTGCTCCTGTCCTGGTTTCGGGATAAGTTTGTCGACGGCGGGTATTGTTCGTTATCCTTCTTGATCCTGCACGACCCAAAATAGCGTCCTTTTTCCTTGTAGACGCTCGGTAAACAATCGCTTCGTTGCATACCTTGACAAGCAACAACAGGTAGACATCCTCGGACTTGGGAGCCTGACGGTTCTTGTTGCGAACGTGGTGCTTCTTAATGTCAATACCCTATATATCGCCAAAACGAATAGAAGTCCAAGTTGAGAAAAGGTTGATTAGCACACAAGATCAAGGGTTCATCATTGTGTGTTGAGTTTCTCTCCTTCTGAATTGATTAAAGCTCCTGTAGAGGTTGGTGTCTGGCTGTTGAGTGATGAAGCGGTTTGTTGGGTTTGGCGAGATGGCGATTCCTGGTACTCTGTGCTGTCACATGAAAGGCCCTCTTTCAGATCAGCGCTTCCTCCAGCTGCCGTCACAAAGTCGGTGCGCTGTTGAAAGGTGCCGACAGAAGTGATGCAATCTTGCATAGAGGGAATCACCATCGCCTCCTCGCAGTCGTCCTCTAACAACAACTCATCCTTTCCACCGAGGTCGACTCCTCCGTCGACGAAAAAAGTGTTGGCAGCCATTTCTCACTCAGAGGTGCTAGATGTTGATGTGATGATGGGTGATGTAGGGCAAGTGGCGATGGTTCTTGGTGTTTGCGACGATAAGGCCGTGATGGCCGGACATGGTGGCGACATCGATGGCAATGGTTGTCGACGATATCGTGATCGATGGATACGGTTGCACTCATATGGATCGTGGATGCCTGGTGCATGGTGGTTGTTCCCTGTCCTGCTGCGTTCTACACTGGTGTAGATGCCCTTTGATCCTCCTGTGTCCCAGACCCTCCAGCAAAAATGATTTTTCGCTCCAGCGTGACTGCTAACCATTTTTGTAAAGATTTAAAGCAAAGAGGAGGTTCGACCGATTCCGTGGCCGCACTGCACTTATCATTCGCATCTGTCAGAACACTGCTGCCCTTAAGAAATGCTGAACTTGACCAAGGACTTGTTCATTTTCTTTGTCCGTTGCCCTTCCTTCTCTTACTTCACCTTTACCATCACACTTCTACGCCACCAACAATCACAACTCCATCGACCTCGTCCTTCCCTTCTTGTTCCTTTTTGCTCAATACCACCAACAAATAAAGTATCGTCACGCTTTTCAGTGTGCCAACCATCAGTTCTTCTTTCACCTGTGTCTTTCATGAGCGTGATTCTCAGCCAACTAGTGCCCGACGTGTCGGCCTTTCTTCTCCTTATTCCACTCCCACACCACCTTAATGCTCCTTCAGGTGTACGCATGAATATCGTTTTCGTGACTTACGTATAAGTAGAGCAAAGAACAAACAAACACTTCCTCGTCACAGTTAAGAACAAGAAGACTAAACCCTATCCCTTCTATCGAGGCGTCTTCGCTGATAACTTGAGAAGAGGGTATGCTGGTCAGCATCTTTTTGTTATCATTTTCTGTCGATTGACGCCTTTCCTTGCAATTGCTACTCCTCTGGGGGTTTGCTGGTATTGCTTCTGCATGTGAGGTGGGCAGCAGAGCGAAGTGTACATTCATACATCCATACTTTTTCTTGTTGATGAGTGCTTTGGGTTGTATACACACGAATAAATGGCGGCTGCAAACGATGAAGTCATTTTTGTGTGTTCTGAATGAGTCTCTGTGCGGGTGGCTTTTCCTCTGTTCTGTTTCGTGTGTGTCTCCAAGAAAACGACAAACGCCCAACTCCTTCGATTCGAATCTTTTTACTTCATTCCACTTTCACCCTCTACCCTCACTCAACACACATTCATACATAGCCATGGCACCCAGAAAGGAAAACAGCAAGGGTACGAAACAGCAAAACACCATACTGTGCACACACTACACACGCTTCATCAACACCTCACTCACGATTCTCTTTTCGAATCGATTCACATCTCAAATTCACACTCTGAACACAAGCCTGAGACTGATTGTTGACACTCCTCAATTTCAACAAACCTCCTAGCCGCCGCCGCCAACGAACGCAAGGCAGCCTCTGCCAACGCTAAGAACGCCAAGGAAGTCGCCGCCGCCGAGGCCAACAATGCTGCTGACTGGGCCAAGGGCGCCAAGGGCAACAAGAAGGAGGCTGAGGAGCAGAAGAGAGTACGTCCTGTTTACCATGGTCGATCCTTGCTTTTTCTATTTGCACATTTGTTCTCATACGTTGCTATCCCGACAGTGTTTATTTTCATGGACCATCGATGCTGCGGCGTTTGAGGAGGCACACAATAGCTACCATTTGGACCAAACACTTACACATACCTGTTTCTTTTCCTTTGCTGCGTCGCAATGACTGTATTTGTTTTCTTTATTATTCGTTCATAGCAAGAGCAATTGGCCAAGAAGCGAGAACTTGCCCGTGCCCTCGAGGAGGAGGAGAAGAGCCTTAAAAGCAAGCCCACTAAGCCCGTCAAGGGTGAGGAGGTAAAATACCGCGTCATACTTCATGGATCACTACTTGTCATGTGTGCACTTTCTACATCCCATTGTCTCTTATGCCTCCCATCTTTTGCCACTTCCTTTCAAAACTAAATAGAAAAAGGCTATCAAGAAGTCCGCAAAGGTTGAGGCCTTTGGTAACGAGGTCAAGGTTGTTGAGGAGTTCGCTGCTTCCAACATTGATGATGCCCTCGATCTTTTGACCCTCACTGGCGCACCCGCCGGCACCAACGGCCCCATCACCACTGGCAAGGGCAAGGATGTCGACCGTCACCCCGAGCGTCGTTTCAAGGTAACACTCGTTTCCCATTTCAGTCATTCTTCATTCTTGGATCGAAGAGCAACCAGAACTAACAATCCTTCCTCTCTACCTTACAATCATTGTTATAGGCTGCGTTCGCTGCATATGTGGAGCGTGAGATGCCCATCTTGAAGAAGGAGCACCCTGGATTGAGACAGAACCAGATGCAGGATTTGCTTTACAAGCAGTTCCAGAAGTCGCCTGAGAACCCCTTCAACCAGGCCAACGTCCTTGCCTACGATGCCAACAGGCAGGAGGAGCGCGATCACATTAACGCTCGCAAGGACGAGATTTCTACCCGTCTTAAGGCCTAAGCGACCAATTGTATTTTCATTCATCATCCACCCACTCTTTCATGCTAATAACAGCTACGACACAATAAAGCAACACAACAACGCTTACGGAACAAGAAACCAAGTGCGCCAACAACGATGAATCGGGACTCGAAAATCACAGAGGAACATGCAGAAAGAGCAGAGTCAGTGATGATTTGAGGATCAGATAAGCAGAGATGTGCGACACTATTTTGTTGTTTCTGAGAGCGAGTACATACATATCCACACACACACACACACACACACACAACGAATAAAACAGCGAAAATATCTTATCATTACAACTATTATTTGCAATTGAAAGAGTGTACGCAAACGAGTAAAAGTAAAGGCTGCGTGAGTAAGTACGGATCCCTCAAGCGGTGGCCTGGATCTGGGGTACGATTTCAGTCGTCTCGACTACGTGCTCGATGCTGGTCGTGATGGTGGTCCCGAGATCGGCGAGGGTTAATTTGGCGATCGTTTCTTCGGCCTTGCATGTGTTCTCGGCCGTGGTAGAAGCTTGGCTTGCCTTCAGGATTGTGCTCTTCTCCAAAAGGGCGTCTAGTGTCTTTTCGAGATCTGCGGGCGATCTTGGAACCGTCACCTTCAGCTCGAACTAAATTGGTGTGAGATGGAAAAGGAAAGGAATAAGGTTAGCTTAATAGGTGAAAGACGTGTCCGTGAGAGAGAGTGTATGTGTATATATATGTGAGAGAGAGTGAGGGTGAGAGTGAGAGAAGGCAGGTGAAGTGACTTACGAGTTGCTCCATGATGGCGAGGGAGAACTTGAGAGTAGCAGTGGTTGTCGAGGTCGTTGTTGGTGAAGAATGGGTGCTGTCGGTTGCCTTCTTCTCCTTGGGGACTTTGGTCGTCTTCATGGACTTGCACCCACCGCCCACAAAGAAGACGTCCGCCTTCTTATCAGCCTTCTTGGCCAGCATCACACTCGTCGGCACATTTGCAGTGGTATCCGCCTGTCGAATATTAGCAGCGCTGGTTCCATTGTTCGCGTTAGCAGCCGCAGCGGTAGCATTGGCCGCAGCAACTCTGTTCTGGTCATGACTGAACTGCAAGAGGTACTTGTAAACACTATCGCAGGTCGTGATCTCTTGCTGGAAAGCCGGGATCTCTGCCAACTCCCGCTCCTCCCTAGCAATCGCAGGTCGTTTCTCTTCCAACTCTGCCTCCCTCCTCTGCTGGATCTCCTCCCTCTTCCTCTGCTGTTCGTCCTGCAAGTACTTTGCATGCTGCCTCAACTCCGAGAAGTACTCATCGTTGACTGCCTTCTTCAGTGCAAACGTCGCGTCCAGCTTTCGTTGGAGTCGAGTCCGCTCGTCAAATAGATCATTCCTCTTCTTCCAGCCCTCATCCTTGGCCTTTGAAATCTCATCGACCTGAAATTGGAGAGAGTTGTACTCGTCGGAGAGGAGTTTGTAGGAATCATTAGCATCGAGGGTGGCCTTAAGGAGGATGATGGCTTCCTTGTCGGCGTCGATAGCGCGTTGGTGGTCTTGGAGGAGGGTATAGGATTTCTTGGACTTGGTCAGAGTTGAGATTTCGGCGAGGGTGCGTTTCTCTTCGACGAGTTTGAGCTTTCCTGACTCGACCTGCTTGTTTAGTTTGCTGGTTTTTTATAGGAGAGAATGAGGAAGCGAGAGGAGAGGTTATTAGGGATGAGTGTTTGTCCTTTTCCTTTTTTTTGCTTGAACGGGGTTGAGTCCGGGGGTGTGTTTAATTTCATTCCGAAAGGAGGTGAAAAGATGGTAAAGTTGAACTCGGCTAATGAACTCCCTTTTCTAACTTTCCATTACTTTCCTCGAGTCAGCAAGCAATGCAACAACTTACAGGATCTGACCTTCACAAGCCTCGAGGGTCTTGAAGGACAACTTGTCCTGAATCACCTTCAAGTCAGCAAACTACTCCCGCGTACACAAAAAGACGAAGAAAAGTGAGGATAAGTGAAAGCATACTTGAATGTAACCTTGCAATTACGAAGATGATCTAAAACAATGATCGTACCCTCTTCTTGAGGGAGGCGTCGAGGGTTTCATTTGATCGATCTTGCCCTGTTTGCCCTTCTTGTTGGCAGCCCGGAGGTCCCGGAGCTCATTCAAGCGTTTACGGAGTCCTACTCGAGGATCTGCCTCCTTCTTGTCTGTCTGTGTCAACGCGTTGATTGATTCTCGTACCGCGTCCTACACGCAAGCATGAAGGAAGTGGATGGGTAAGTAAACCGGGATAGTAAATGTCTCTTTCTTATATTGCTACGTAAGTGTAATGGCTTGCTTACCAGTTGAGGACGGAGTTGGGCGATACGCTCGTCAATCTCGTTGAGGGTCTTTGTCTTGTCACCGGGGTTGGGCTTTCTGACAACAACGCGAGGGGTGGTGGTGGCCTTCTTTTGAGTAGCCTTGGCGGTACGAAGGCTGGTTGGCGAGAGTGTTTCCGTGACAGTCATTTCGTAGGTTCTTGTCCTTGGTGAGGTATGTTTTCGGTGGCAGGTGCTTTGAGTGGGTGATAATAGAGTTGAGAGTGAAGAAAATAAAGGGGAGGTTGAGTGGAAGATATACAAATTGGGGAATGAAAGGACACTTGAACATACGACTGTGTTCTACAACTCAAGGTGTGGGAGCGGGGGCATTTCAATAGTGGAGAAGGAGACAATGAGCCCCCCCCGCCCCCACTCTCGCTTTTGACCAATCAATTTCCTCCACAGGCGACTATAAAAGAGGGGCAAGGATGAAAAGGAGGAGTAGTAGAGAGCAATCAAGAGACAGAGTTCAAGGCTAGGTAGAAGTCTGAGCGCGTCCAAAATCGAGATGATGACGTTTAGTACATGGTCTGATCAAATGTACAACGACAGCTTAATAAATTAAGGGCCAGACCCGTCACTAATTCGTTCTGATCGAAGATGGGTACTTATACGCCGTGTAAAGAGGAGCGGTAAACAAGTTAATCGAATCGACCGGGAGTCAAGCAAGTTGATATTCCCCCGTTCCGCCTTGTTTTGAAAAGTATCCATCTCTTCCCTCTCCCCTCCCCCCTCCCCCTTTTCCTCGCCCGTGGATTAACCATGTACGCACTTCGCAACATCTCGCGTCTCTCCAAGAGCGCCGCTGCCATCAAGACCGCCCCCAAGGCCTTCAACGCCGCCTTCTTGAAGGGTAAGCAAGAATACATCTCATCATCTCTTACTCTTACTCCTTTTACCTTACCACTTCTCATCACAATCAAAGCGGGAGATCGAATTGTGAGAAACGAGGCAATAAGCTGCCTTCAAGTACAACCACCACGACAACGACGACAGCAGCGATAGCGACAACAAGGAGCAGCCACAAGGAGCAGACACTGCAAACGCGACAACGACAACGACGAGCAATACTTTGAAAGACGGTTGTATGCAAATATACACGTACTGTACTTTTCAGGTCACATAGAGTGGCAAGTAAGAGCCAACAGGCAGCCACCTCAAGTGCAGATAACAATTATCCAACCTCGACACTTCACCTCTTCCCCAACAACAACGATGCCTCTCCACTTCTTCCTCTCCCCACTACATCTCTACTTCGATGACATATTCCTTCCCCACTCGATCGCAGATCGGGATGAGTTCCCGCCCTCATTCTATTTTGGTCCCTGAGTTTCTTTTTACTTGTTACCACTTCATCCTCCCATATACACGTTCACTTCTTTCTTTACTTTCGTTTTACAACAAGATGCGTGCGTGTGTATTACCAGTAATACGATGTAGCGAGGTCATCGCTGCCTCGAGAGATTCAAGTTTGCACCCGATGTTGGATCGGAAGCGGTGTTTATATTTTTGTGGTCGAAAATATTATTTATCTGAGCCTGGGACTGATTGACAGGGGAAGAGAGAGGGCCAGTCCCGATCATTGGTGTCTGGTGGTGACAAAACGACAGATCAGAAAAGGCTGTTCTCATATGGTTGAAGGATTCACTTTTAAGGCAGGTGATGCGAGAGGAGTTGAAGCATCAGGTACTTTTGGGGATTGGCATCTTGCTCCTTCAGGTTACGAATCTGCAGTTTCTAGAGAGTCTGATCTACAACAGATCGCCCTGTTCGTTGTTCTCATATCCCTTTTTGTGGCTCCGTTATAATCATGCACAACGCGCCTCCAATTGCCCACTTCTTTCTTTCCAATGGCCAATGGATAGAGCATTATCCAGCGGTGGCAACAAATACATCGAACCTCATTACCCCACAATACTCTACCTGAATACCCCGACTCATGATACAGAAAACTAACCTGGTTATTTTTCAATTGAACCAACTAGCTGGCTATGCTTCCGATGCCAAGTCCTCTGGCCAGATTCGCTCTGTCATTGGTGCCGTCGTCGATGTCCAGTTCGACCAGGGCAAGCTCCCCTCCATCTTGAACGCTCTTGAGGTCAGGGGCTTGGACCGTCGCTTGGTTCTTGAGGTCGCCCAGCACTTGGGAGAGAACACCGTCCGTACCATTGCCATGGACGGAACTGAGGGTTTGGTCCGTGGCCAGCCCGTTGATGACACTGGTGCCCCCATCACCATCCCCGTCGGCCCCGAGTGCTTGGGCCGTATCATTAACGTTATCGGTGAGCCCATCGACGAGCGTGGCCCCATCAACGCCAAGCAGACCGCCCCTATCCATTGCGAGGCTCCCGAGTTCGTCGATCAGTCCGTCGTCCCCGAGGTTCTCGTCACCGGTATCAAGGTCGTCGATTTGCTCGCCCCTTACGCTCGTGGTGGAAAGATTGGTCTCTTCGGAGGTGCCGGTGTCGGAAAGACTGTCTTCATTCAGGAGTTGATCAACAACATTGCCAAGCATCACGGAGGTTACTCCGTCTTCGCCGGTGTCGGAGAGCGTACCCGTGAGGGTAACGATTTGTACCACGAGATGATGGAGACCGGAGTCATCAAGCTGGATGGCGAGTCCAAGGCCGCCCTTGTCTTCGGACAGATGAACGAGCCCCCAGGTGCCCGTGCCCGTGTCGCCTTGACCGGTTTGACCATTGCCGAGTACTTCCGTGATCAGGAGGGTCAGGATGTGTTGCTCTTCATTGACAACATTTTCCGTTTCACCCAGGCCGGTTCCGAGGTGTCTGCCCTTTTGGGTCGTATTCCCTCCGCTGTCGGTTACCAGCCCACTCTTTCCACCGATATGGGAGGAATGCAGGAGCGTATTACCACCACCAAGAAGGGTTCCATTACCTCCGTCCAGGCCGTCTACGTCCCTGCTGATGATTTGACCGATCCCGCTCCCGCCACCACCTTCGCCCATTTGGACGCCACCACCGTCTTGTCCCGTGGTATCTCCGAGTTGGGTATTTACCCCGCCGTCGATCCCCTCGACTCCAAGTCCCGTATGTTGGATCCCCGTATCGTCGGTGAGGAGCATTACGAGACCGCCTCCAAGGTCCAGCAGATCCTCCAGTCGTACAAGTCGCTCCAGGATATCATTGCCATTTTGGGTATGGATGAGTTGTCCGAGGAGGACAAGTTGACTGTCGAGCGTGCCCGTAAGATCCAGAAGTTCTTGTCCCAGCCCTTCACCGTCGCCCAGGTCTTCACTGGTTCCGAGGGTCGCTTGGTCAAGCTCGAGGATACCATCCGCTCCTTCAAGGAGGTCCTTGAGGGTAAGCACGATCACTTGCCCGAGGCTGCCTTCTACATGGTTGGTGATATCGAGGATGCTGCCGCCAAGGCCGCCAAGCTCGCCGCTGAGATCTCTGGAAACTAAGCTATCTCATGTCTATGCTACTCCACTCCCACCTTTCTATCTGTCTGTTCCAACAACCAACTTTCATACAACTCTCTCCACACTCACTCAATCACTCATTCTCTCTTTTTAAAAAGCTCCATCCCCTCGCCATGTTTTGATACGATTCAACCCTACTCTTTGTTCACATAAAAAATCGATACACTGCGTTCATTTGAATGCAACCCATTTACATACTTGTCAGGGTCCCATAAACCATTACTTTGTCAGTCTTTATGTCACGTTGCGAGCCTTGGTAGAGTTGGTATTGGTATTGGTCAGGAAGTGGTAGGAAAAGGTCGTAAGAAGGTCTGGAGAAGTTCTGAAGGAGGTCAGAAATAGGTGTGAATGTCAGAAGTAAAAGTCTAAACTGTGTGAGGGGTGTGGAAGCAATGTCGTGAGTCCGGACGTCGTATTCATGGCATTCTGCTAGCCATCGTTCTCGAAAGGGAATGAAAAGATGTAATCTTCTCTTGCTCCTGACTTATTGCTTACCTACGGCAGTTTGGTAGTGACGATGACAGTTTCAAAGGCATGTGAGGCCGGCATGTTTGTTGTTGGTGTTGTTGTTGCTATACCCCATTCTCAATTGTCTCAGGGTCGCGTTTGTTAAAAGTGACAATTGTGTAGACACTCTTGAGCCGAACTATGGGACCTGAGAACGTGTGGGAGTTGTTACGTGGGCGATTTCAACTTCAAGGGACAGGCAGTGAACTTGGTTGACGCGCTCATGCTGTTTCAACGAAAAGGCTATAAAGGCGATATCTCTTGAGGCGCAGGCGTTGTTGAAGACGCGTGTGGAGATGTGATAGAGATCGGTCTTTGGAAGATGAGGGTGCCAGGTGTGCTGTGGGTGAGGAGGGATATGGGCGAGCGGATAGTTCTTTTGATTTTGGTCGGAAAGTAAATGGGACCTCCTATGACCGTTGTTCACTTGTTCGTCGCTTCATGGTATTATTGTTGACAGACAGCTAAAATGTGAGCCGCGTCCAAAGTGACACTTCTCGGAAAGCGACAAGTGACAGACGTGGGGCAGTATTCGATATTTTCATGGTGTGGGTACCGTGTAGCCTGTTATTTGCGTATTCGCATACACACACACAGGGGAGAGAAAAGAGCGAGAGAGAGAGTGAGAGAGTATGGAGGACGAAAGGCCTGAAGTGAAGGGAAAACAAGAGCACAGTGATGGACCGACCCCAATCGTTCAATTAAATGGTAGGATATCTCATGCCAAACCGAACATGTGTCGCGTATAAAAGAGCATTCGTTCCTCCCCTTTTTTGCTTGTTCTTTGTCTCTTTATTGATCGCTACCTTCTCCTTCTACTTCTCCTTCCGACAATCTCATTCGCTCATCCTTCCTTCCTTTTACTCTCTCATCATCTCCATTCAATCCTTCTGCCACTTCATTCATTCATTCATTCGTTCATTCATTCATTCAAACATTCAAACATAAAAATGGACCCCAACTCGACAACTGCTGTGGCCCGTCTCCACGCCGTGCAGAACCACCTCTCTATCCAGCCCTGCTTTCAGCGCCATGCCATCCACAACGACCAGCCCACCGGTCCCGCAGATCTGGCTCGTGAGCGCGCCAACTCTTCCTTCAAGGTCGAGGACATGACTGAGGTCATCCTCCGCGGCAAGGAGAACGTCGAGGCCCTCGTAAGGATTCTTTTACATTTGAAAGAACATTTCTTCGTGTCGCTTTCTTGTCATGAACCAGCAGCTGTTATTAACCATGACAATGATGTTATCAATGTACTGTAGAGCTTGGCGTACCAAATGATCCAGAGAGATCCTGATCTGCGCATGCGCGAGGGCCACCATTACGACTTGACCCGTGCCGAGGACCGCGAGCAGACGATGCGTCAGATTGCACGCACCATCGAGCTCAAGAAGCAAATCAAGGACCCTCGTCTCCGTCAGGCCCTGTTTATGGCCATGGCTTTCTACTCCGAGTCGTACTCGATGAGGATGTACGTCCATGACATGCTGTTCAAGCAGGCCTTGATGCTCTTTGGAACCTCGGAGCAGCAGGACAAGTGGATGGACGATATCGAGAACTGGAGAGTCATTGGATGCTTTGCGATGGTACGTTTTCTATCGATCAATTGTTTGTTAACGACCCGTCCTCATTCCTTGCTTACTTTACTTTCTGTGCAGTGACATGCGGTTTTCTTACATTGGTATGGACGTGGAACAGTTGTACATATTCACACATACACTAAGCTGACTCTCCTTTTTTCTCTTCAACATTTAGACTGAGTTGGGACATTCGTCCAACTTGCGTGGATTGGAGACTACCTCGACCTTCGACCGTGCCGCCAACGAGTTTGTGATCCATTCGCCCACCTTGACCTCCACCAAGTGGTGGATCGGAATGTCTGGCGAGACCGCCACACATACCGGTAAGCGAACCCTCCCTTATTCATGGAAAAGGAGACATTGCTTTTTCATTTCTCTCTCCCACGCAGGAATCATTAATCTGTGTTGGGTTAAAGTTCTCATTGTCACTTTTGTCACTTTACACGAGAGCCACATCTTCTCCACATAATTTGAGACAAGATTCGAAGAACTAACACGGTTTGCCCACGCTTCTAACTAATAGTCGCTATTTGCCAGACGGTCGTCGATGGCGAGAACCACGGCATCAACTGGTTCATTGTCCCCCTCCGTGACCCCAAGACCGGTCGTCTCTTGCCCGGAGTTACCTGTGGTGATATCGGTCACAAGTCTTCCCGCCAGGGTCTCGACAACGGCTGGATCCAGTTCACCTCAGTCCGCATCCCCCGCGAGAACATGCTGATGAAGTGGGCCTCGATGAGCCCCGAGGGAGAGTTCACCCCTTCGCCTAACCCCATCCTCTCCTATGCCACCTTGATTCCCGAGCGCTTCACTATTCTCAGCGGCTCTCAAGTTGTCCTTGGCCAGACCTTGACGATCGCTATCCGCTATGGAGCAGTCCGTCGCCAGGGTAACCATGACGAGCAGATTCTGGATTACCAGACCCACTACACCAGCTTGATGCCCGGACTTTCGTTCATCTACATGTTGAACATTGTCGACCGCGAGCTATTTGAAAAGTGGGACGAAGTTGCCGAGTATGCCCAGACCGATGCCGGTGCCTTTATGCGTGAGATCCCCGATCAGCACGGAGTCTCCGCTGGTTTCAAGGGAGCCCTTGCGTGGTATGCCACCGACGTCCTTGAGTCCTGCCGCCGTGCCTGCGGTGGTCACGCCTACTCATCCTACAACTCTATTGCTGGTTTGATTGGCGATTACGGTGTCGTTACCACCGGAGGTGGAGACAACGTCGTCTTGATGCAGCAGTCTGCTCGTTACCTTATCACGGCTCTCAAGTGGGCTCAAGAAGGCCAGGAGGTTGTTGGCTCGGTCAGCTACCTCAACGACTACAAGAAGATCTTGTCGAACCCCAAGACCTCGTTCCAGGATCCTCGCGACTTGCTCAGTCACGAGTTTGTGATTGATGCCTTGACCTGGGCGTGCGCCAAGAAGGCGACCGATCTGGCGGCGATCTTGGCAGAGGCTGGCAAGTCCAACTTTGACCAGGCTTGGAACACCAACCAAACCGAGCTTGTCCGTCTTGCCGATGTTCATGCCTGGAGATACTTCTTGATCCTCTACCAGCGCGGTATCGATCGTGAGAAGCACACCTCCGTCTATGGTATGCTCCGCAAGATGGGTCAGTTGATGAGCACTTTCGCTCTCCGCAAGCACTTGGATCTGTTCTTGGAGGAGGGTTACTTTGATGGAACCCATGCCAAGCATATCCGCCAGTTGTTCTTGGACCAATGCAAGGACCTCCGTCAGGATGCTGTCCCCTTGGTCGATGCCTGGGTCATCCCTGACTTTGTGATCAAGGCCCCCATTGGCAAGTACGATGGTAACATCTACCCTGCTTACTTTGGCACTGTCAACGCTGCCCAGAAGTCGTTCGAGCCCCCAGCATACTGGCACAAGTATGCTGCTCCCTTGCTCAACGCCCCTCGTCCTAGCGATGAGAAGAAGGGCTGCAAGTGCTAGACTGTTCCCTTTCTCCCTGTATATCCAATCGCGCCTTCTCCACAACATAAACTAAATATATTATTGTACAAAGTATCTTCTCTATGCCACGCGCCTGTTCAATCTGAGAGATTGATTAGCAATTGGTGTAAGTATGCAGCTCCGGCTAAGTGTATCCGGGGAGTATGTAACGTTGTCCGTCGCCATTTTTCCCCTCCGAACACAGCGGCGCGAGCGGTCATTGGGCTAGAGAAGATAATTTTTGTTTGGATGGGGAAGAGAGTGTCTGTGTGGAGTCGATTGTGAGCTGCGACAGGGGTTAGAGTGAGAGTGGAGGTGATCGGCCGTCACGATTGGAGGGGATCGAACTCCGGTCTGCCCAACTGTTCAAAATACTCACGACTTTGGACAAGTTCATTCATGCACAAAAAGGTCATTCATTCTCTTTCTTCTCTCTTCTTATTTTCTTCTCTTCATCACACTTTTTGTTCTCACTTCACACCCCACTCTTTTTTTTTTTTTCACTCAACAAATAATATGTCGTCGTCTATGCACACCTCGTCGCTCTTTGACGTCAAGGACAAGGTCGTCCTCGTCACTGGAGGCAGCCGTGGGTAAGTCAACGACACCTCTCTCTCCTTCTCCCCACCGTCCTCCGTTTCCGCACCTCTCTACGCTCTTCCTCCATAACACCCAGCATGTCATTAAAGCCGCCTCCACTAACCAACTACACCCATCTCCTCCCTCTCACTTTCCCCAATACAGAATCGGATTGATGATCGCACACGGATTTGTGGTCAACGGCGCAAAGGTCTACATCTCGTCGCGCTCGGCCAAGGTCTGTGACAAGGTTGCCGAGGAGTTGTCCAAGCTCGGTCCTGGTCAGTGTATCTCTATCCCTGCGGACCTCCAGAGCCTCGACGAGGTCAAGCGTCTCACCGCCGAGATTACCAAGCGTGAATCCAGTAAGCTTTTTTTTTGAGGATTGAAGGATGAGGAGGGGAAAAGGGCGGAGAGTGGGAGTTGATGGCATGCTTCTTTTAAGTGAATTGGATATTGACGATTGCTTTTGTGCTCTTGTCTTTGTGTGTGAATAGAGCTCCATGTCTTGATCAACAACGCCGGTGCTACTGTAAGTCTATCGCATTGTTCTCACGCATTGATAATCCCTTCAAAAATCCATTCAAAATGTTTACATTCAACGTCTCTCTAACCTCCCACATCCTCCACTTTCTTATCAATGACCATGTACATGATAGTGGGGAGAGTCGATTGCGACATACCCAGACCAAGCATTCGAAAAGGTCATGAACTTGAACCTCAAACGCGTCTTCTCCCTCACCCAAGCCCTCCTCCCCCTCCTCGACCTCGCCGCAACCCCCGCCCACCCAGCCTCGATCATCAACATCGGCTCCGTCGACGGAATCCATATTCCCACCCAGGAGACCTACGCCTACTCGGCTTCCAAGGCCGCCCTCCACCAAATGACTCGTGTCATGGCCGGACACCTGGGTGCTCGTCATATTACTTGCAATGCTATTGCGCCTGGTCCCTTTGAGTCCAAGATGATGGCACAGACGTTGAAGGATTTTGGAGAGCAGATTGTGGGAAATGTGCCATTGGGACGAATTGGACAGCCCGAGGATGTTGCAGCTACGGCGATTTATTTGGCGTCTAGGGCTGGTGCCTACACCACAGGGGCTGTTATCCCTGTTGATGGCGGTACCTTGGTCAAGGCCAAGCACTAAAGCATTGGATGGCAGTTCTTGAGTGCCAAGTCTTGTAGTTGGTTTTGCCATGTAGAGATTCATAAACACAAATATCTTCAGTATTCTTTTTCTACGCATTTTTGTTTATTACTTTTTCACAAGTGTCTTGAACGAACATTGGGTTCCATTGAAGGGACCAATAATTAGAAGCACAATTAAAGTGGGACAGATAGCAAGGAGCAAAAAGAATCGCTATTCTCGTTAAAAATAGGTCTAGAGAACGAGGAGAGATCCAAGAAGGGCGACGCCAGCTGCAGCAACATATCCGATAGTCGATCCAATGCGGAGTCCAGATGCAGCTCCACCAACGGCTGGGGCTGGGGGTGCACGGACATTGATACTCGCCTTCCAGTAGTAGATGCTGGCAGCTCCAGTGGTGGGGGCAGTGACCCCGGTCGAAGGCTGAGGGACAGCTGAGGTGCCGGTTATGGCAGTTGTGTTGGGTGTTCCGGGTATCACAATCATGCTCAGCTATTGTTTGGTCAGTTCAGGTACAACAAGGGCAAAGGGTGAGTTGGATTGATCGAGATAGTTGATAAGACCTAAGTTGCACCTGTTCATATAACAAATAAAGCGTGTGGAGTAGGGCGAAGAAGGGGGGTCACTTTACGACGTAGGAACCAGCGGGGTAGATGTCAGCGCTGACATTCCAGAGCTGTCTGGGGGTCACGAGGTTGGGCTGTTTGATGTCAGCAATGGTCGTGTTTCCTGACCCGTCCTTCTTGGCAGCCGTGATCACGATCGAGCCTACACTCCGTCAAGAACAGTACAAGGAAAGGGTTAGAAAGAGATGGATATGCGGCGAAGGGTACAGGTTAAAGTGGAGGAGTGTGGGTGTATGTGTGGGTGAATAAGTGGGAGGGAGAAAGAGAGAGGCGACAACCAAAGAGCCCCCATGTTGTAAACAAGAGCAAACCAACAACATCAAAAAAACAAACATCACCAACAACAACAACAACAACAACAACAACAACAAGACATACTCATGGGTTGTCCGTCAGTAAGAGTGGCCGAGATGGAGACGAACGAGTTCTGGACGACAGTCAAGCCGTCAAAGACAGAGCTGACCACCAACCCAGGGGTGTTTACCCACACGGGCACTGTAGGGGTGGGCACGGCTGCAGGTGCGGTGCTGGTGGGGTTGACGGGGGCTCCTGAGGCGGTGGTCGAGGTGACTTGAGCGGTGGAGGTGCCGGCGAGGTACTGGAGGCAGGCGATGCTGACCAATGCAATGGACGAGAATGTGGACTTCATTATTGAGTGGCGGTATGTGCTTTTTCTATTCAGGAACGAGTCGAGTGAGAGAGTAAGACTGTTAAAGAACAAGAGCTGTGCGGAGCTGGTTGTAAAAAAAGAAAGGCTGTTCCGGTATATGGTATGTGGAGGGGAAACCCTATCATTGTTATCACTTGCGCGACTCGCTTTATCTCTGTGTCGCTTTTACTCACCTTTGTGGAGAAGGAAGTGAGTGATGGAAATGAGTGATGTTGATTCAAGTGGAAAAAAGTGATGGGTATAGGGAGTGGAATGCAAGAAAAGAAAGAGTCGGAGGAGAGAGAAGGAAGAGTCAGAGGTGGCAAGGAAAAAAGGGGGAATAGGAGGTCGTAAGGTCGGCGTGTCTGCGCGCGTGTGAGTGTGGAGAGATGGAGGGGGTGGTGAAGGGGAAACAAAAAAAGTCTAAAGAAAAGGAAAAAAGAAGAAGAACGAGCAGTTCATCCGTCCGTTTATGTATCATCGCAGCATCCGCCTTCATTCCCCCCTGAACAACAACAACTCTTCCCATTCCCCCCCCAACGGCCCTCTCGCTGTGTCTGTGTTGGTTGGTTCACTCATATTCCCTATTGCATGGCTCCCTTCTATTTTGTTTGCGCCAACAACCTCTCTCTTCTACATACTCACACGCATATACAAAGTCAAGAACGCGTCGTACAAAGCAAGTGAGCACTTTCACTTTCTCCTCTTTCCGTGTGTGTTGGGTGCCCCTTGCCCTGCCTCTGTTCTTCTTTATTTCTTGTCTTTCCAGCAGTCAAACATAGTTGTGAATAAGCGTTGAGAGCACACACACAATAAACGAACAACGAATGAATAAACAACAACCGAACAACAACACATGCTATTTCATATTTATCCTGAGGGATGGGTTCTATCTTCTATGTTCACAATTGTGCACCGAACACAAGCATAAATATATTTATATTTCACTTTCTTTGTCTTGCCTTTGCCTGTTGGCTTTGTGTCCAATTGGTGTCCTATGCGGACATGGTTGGTAAGTACTCCCAGTGATTGCCCCAGTACCTATAACGGTTGAACCACAGATAGGAGAACGTGTGAGTAGTGCGGTTCAAGGAATGAGGAAGCACGTACCAAAAAAAAAAAGTATAGTTCAGATATTTACCCAGCAGCAAGGATCCCGCCTGCGCCCTTCCACGCCATCTCAGGTCCTGTAATAACTACAAATCACATACGCGAAACCAGATACCATTGCAGCACATATCAGTAACTGTTCTACATGATCTTCATTTTCACATAGAAAGCACAAAAGTGGAAGAGAGAAACTTACTCCAGTCAGGCACCAGCATGCCGGTTCGCTTAGGGAACAGTCTGGCAGCAGTTTCCAGTCCTTGAGGGTCGAGTCCTGCAATCACCATCGCTAGATTGGACGGTCCCGAGGGGCGGATCATTAAGAGACCTGTGCCTGGTTGATGGAAGTCTTGGTTGGTGGGGTGGATGGAGACAGTGCCCTCCTCTGTGTCAATTGTAACTACATGTGCACCATGGATAAGGTATAGAGTTAGGCGATGCTGCGGATGTCCGTAAGAAAGGTTCAAAGTAAGAAGGTGTTCAAAGTATAGTTAGCTACCTTCTGAACCTCCAAGAACAAGGCGGGTGGCACTGTTCTGGTGTCCAGCTCCAATAAGGACAAGATTCACCCTCTCGCCCTCCTCCTTCATGCCCGAAGTGACCTCTCCATATTTGTCAAGGAACTCGTTGTCCGTAAGGACCTCGACGTCACCGCGTCCGTACTGATAAATATCATGCGCCACCAATTTGGCGACCCTGTCGGCTGTCCTCACAAAGTGTGCGCCGTCGAAGTGAGTTCCGAGGACAATCACGACACGCTTTTCCAAGACCTGGATCGCAGGTCCGTATGTCTCTCGATGCCTCTCATGTTGCTTCCATCCGTCATTTCCAGCAATCTATAAGACGATACACAAAAACGGGGTAAAACCAAACAATATAGTTAACACCAGACAGAGTAGCTTTGCCTACTAAGGTTTTTGTGTTCAGTGCCATACAGCTCCTGCACGAACCTTCCAAAGCTGTCCCTTCTTGGACGACCGTCTTTCCTCGCGGACAAAGGAACCAGATCCAGACATGACTCTCTCAGTCATATCAAAGGAAGTTCCGTCTATCACCAACTTCCCGATACGCTCCCGAGGTTGTTGTTGCTGAAGCTCCAAATACAAGTCTGAGAATGCAAAGCGGCGGATGTTGATCGTCGCTATAATCCAAGTCGGCAGCTCCCCTCCATGGTCACGCTTCACAATCTCTAGCTTCATGGTTCCTTTCCTATAACAGCAAACAACAAGCACCAGGTGATGGTTAGGTTCGAAACAACTAAATATCATAGCTACAATAGAATGAGCATTACCGGTAGGGAATGCGGAGCTGCTCTACTTGAATCCCGCATTTCGATCCCATGCCAGCAGGGTTGACAACCGTGATCACACAAGTGTCAGGGAAGGATGGACGGACGACTGTCTTCACTTCCTCGCGTGTCGGGTTTTCATCTGCCAATGTGACAATGGTGTCGTGCAAGTGCGTTTGCAAGAAAATGGTCATGACAGCATCCTGTAATACGCCCGTGAACCAATGGCCCTGGCCCGGAACCTCTGACAACCTACAGTTCATAAAAGCGAACGCAATATCGAATGAGTGCCATGGAGAAACATATCCATGTGTGAAGGAAGTGCATTGATATCCCTGAGGTCCTTGTTGCAGGTTGGTGAGTGACAATACCGAATCGCAGAGGTGTTGTGTGCGTTTTCTTGTCCTAACCGGACCATCTTCCTGGAATGGAATGGAGGAACGTTGTCGTCCACACTTCCCGTCCTCGCCAAGATAGGAATTCCCACCTAATTAAAGTAAGAACGGCAAACCGTCGTTAGTAATGAATGTCCAAACCTCTGGTTAATCGAGTAAAAGAAATTGGCAGAAAAAAAAGATGTTTACGGTATTCGACATGTGCACATCGTTGTCAAATTCGATGATCGACGACTCTAATATCTGTAAAACAAAAAATGTCACGCCAATTAGTACTATCAGTCGATGTATTCTCCTGGTAGGGAAGGAAATAAAGAAGCCAAAACTCTGCAATGTATGTATGCAGCCTTACTCCTCGCAGATGTGCGTCCGTGTAGGAATTGCTCAGCCAGCCCGAGAAGGGGACGTAATGCTTGATGTTGACATAGCCAGCCGCAGGTGTGGCTATGAGAGGAAGAGGCAAACGGTCAACCGAGTGCGATCTTATATTAGCCCTCAGTCTACATTTGAAGGAGTTTGAGTTCAAATCACCTTTGAAAAAGCATCATACCTGCAATCGCCTTATCCGGAAAGTGCGTCGCCAAATACCAAGCACCTTGTCCACCATTGCTGTGTCCTACACCGATGCGATAGTAACAAGAGAGAAACATATTGTCAGTCTACTTTCCTACGATTCCTCCCTCATCATGCGTACACATAGCTCACAGAGTTTCCTCAAAATTACCAGCCATGAACAATCTGTTGGGGTCCGGTTTAATTCCTGGGAGACCCTTCAAGTGCTCTGGAACTCCTGGCAAGTGAGCGGCCAAACTGTCGATCGCATTCATGACGTTCTTGATACTCGCTCCGTGCCAGTCATAGCCCCTATGGATGTTGACATCAATTCTTGCATTTAGCCCGCATATCAGGAATTGCGCGTAAATTCAACGAGCCAGAAGGTAAACTTACCATGGCGAACGTCCTGTAGGCAGCACGATCTAGTAGAAAAATGGCAGTGGTTGGTTGTTAATGTAGCTGAAAGTAAAGGGTTGGTACATGACGACAAGTTTTTGATGAATAATACCCAAGTTCGTTCCCTCTGAGTATATTCTGTCAGCCAGAACGGCGACTGAGCAGTTTCGACACCTATCAGAGTCGAAAAAAGTATATGTGAGCTATCATACGTCGTTTTCCAAATCTTCACTACAATACTCCTAAAGGAAAAGTTACCTGCACCATGAAGGGCAACGAGGACAGGGGCGGAACTGGAGGGTTGAGACTCGGGGTTGCTTGGAGGGATAGCGGCAGCATAGTGGACGGTACCGTCAAAGTCTCGGAAGGTATATATGTAGGGTTCACCCCATTTACGCTGCGCGATAGGAAGCGCCTCTGTCGTCAAATATCCGATAGGTCCTTCTCCCGGTTGGTCGGGCAACAATGTTTCCACCTCAAACCTCAGGGTGAACTCTTCACCACGGTACTCATCCCCCGCAGCTCTAGACCCAGAGAGTCTCCTGAGTCTAATAGCAATTGGACGGTGAGTCGAGGGAAAGATACGTATGCCGTCCTTGTCCTGATTTGCGAGTTGTGCTTCAAAGACCCGAGATCCGCGGAGAAGCTTGACAGACTTTACAACAACAGACTGCCCGCCGACGTTCCGGAGTGCCACACTAATGTATTCTCCTGCAAGAACTCCATCTACAGCATCCATGACAATGATTCCTCCAGTTCCTTCCTTCACAACCTGAGCCATAGGCTGGTACGATCCACGAGATCCCTCGTGTCCATAAGGGAACGGCAACCTCACCTCGCACTTGAATTTGGATGGAGGTGGTAGGATGACGCCTCCAAAGATACGGACTTCATGGACGACGCGTACCGATAGAGTGTGTTTCGAACCAGGCTGGAGTCTTAGAGTGTGTCGGGTGAGTCCATAGCCGTACCAGTCTCCCGAGAGTCGTTCATCGTCCACATAGAAATCACCGACATTCTCTAACTGGATCGTGATGGATACTAATCCGTCGCTGCTGGTATCTCCTTCGCCAAGTTTGATATTAGGGACGATGATTGTTGTCCGGGCCCATGCTTGGAACTGGTTGAACCCCCATCCCAAAAACAACTGATTGAACTCCCACCTATTTTCGCAAGAATTGAAGGAGGTGGAGGTAAGGAGAATGAGCACAGTGATCAAAGAGCGGTATAAAGGCCCTTTATTATGCATCACAAGGGTCGCGTACTCGATGTCAGGATAATGGACGTTGACCCATCCGTGATGGTCCATTTTTGTTGTGTGCCAGCCCACAACACCATCTGGCGCCAGCTCTGACGGGAACTTTGCCTTGGCATCGTACTCCAATTGTCTGAACCCTCCTACAATTGAGACAAGCAATAGAAGGCACGTTTTGATCAACATGTATGATAAGCAACTCTGTCAGCCTCGGTCGATAGCAATAGGGGCTGATAACCAGCATGCAATCGATTGATCACTGAAACCCAGGGTCGTTATTTTACCAAATGCCTCCAGGGGATCGGCGCCGAAATCTTGTTCACGCATTCCTGTCGGGAACGGTCCTAGCACCTGGTTCAAGAAATAAATCAGTTATCGAGCAATTGAACCTCCGAGAGGGGGAGAACAACACCATTGGCACGCGCTTTTAAGTACCTGCCAGGTTGTGTCAATGTGGACGTATCGACCAGCATACTTTGCATAAGTTGCATCGTCAAGGTACGAGTCGTCCTCCTCAGCTCCCATAACAGTCTGGTGTGCTTTAGTCTCTTCCATATGGACGTTGGTCATGAGGGGTTGCTGCTGGTTGTGGACAATTGTGGAGGCGGTGACGGTGAGAGTGATTGAATGAAGAGGAATGGCAACGGCTGCTAGCATCAGCCAGCATGTTAGGGTCTTCATGAATGTCACGAATGTGTTGACAAGGAGAAGTGAAGGGTGGTATGGTTTGGGGAAAAAATGAAAGAATGAGAAAAGTAAGAGAACCTTACCCCATCTCTCACTCCATACTTTTCTTCTGATGTGTGTCGAATGATTTCCAATCGTGGGAAAGATTTGCCGTCGTTCTGCGCTCACGGCTGGTTGTGCCTGGCAGAAGGCGATCCATGCTCAATGGCTAGGTCAGCAAAACCTGACAGCGGTAATGGTGTTGTTCAAACAGTCAGGCATGGTATCTTCGATCGCGTCCTTCGTCAGGAACGGCCGCAGCATTTTGACTATTCTACGTCTTTACTCTCGCTCGACCGATAACCTGAAGTTGTGAGCAGGAGATGCGTTTCCTTCATCTTCCAGTTCACTCCTTGCAAGACCAGGTGGTGAGTTTCCTGCGTGTGATCCCTTCCAGCTGAGCTGGTTGTCTCCACACCACAGCTACGGCGCGCCCACAGAACAGAAAAAAGCATAATGAGTCCTCTGCGAATGGGTCACGTGTAGAGTCGGCATGTGATAGGCAATGCACAAATTGCCCGGCTTTGAAAAGTACTTTTTCTTCCCCCAGACCCGTTTGACTTTCGGCCCTCTCTCTTATTACTCATTTCGCTTCTCCGCTCACCACGAACACACACTCACTCGCCAAGGACACATCGGGACAGTCGACTCTCATTCCTTCCTCACTACAAGAAGAAGCGCAGGAACAACTTTTTCTCATCAGCTTACCAAGAAACCAACCACCACAACCATCATGTTCGCAAAGCACCGCACCACCGGCTATAACGGATACGCTGTACGTTTTGTCTTTTCACACTGCTCTTTCAGCTCGGTTCGAACAAAGGGGAACCACCCTGCGTTGGCAAGCGGGAAGCGGCGACGACATGAGAACTCTTTTTATGTTGGCTAACCTCTCGCCACCCTTCGTATTCCTCCTTGGCCATGGACATTCTCTGAATAGGTGCAATGGAGTCCATTTTTTGAACACAAGCTCGCAGTTGCCACTGCCTCCAACTTTGGACTTGTCGGGAACGGACGTCTTCATATTCTCAACGTCGGAGCCGGACCAGCAGGAGAAGTCATCAACACCGAGAGAGTGTAAGTTAGCTCTCTCTGTCTCCGGGGACTTTTCTATTTTTTTGCCCAACAAACCGACGGACAAACATTTTCATGATTTTTTGATCCGCGTCCGCACACGGAACACAAAAGTGGGAGCGAGACCTGATCGGCTCAGGGGAGCAATGGAAGAAAATAATTTTTGGTGCTGGCCAAAGTGAACCAATTGGAGATTGACCGTCACCTCAAGGAAGACCGAAGGGAATGAGGAAATCAGACAGACAAGCTTCTTCCTTTCTTTTATCTCGGTCGCCGGCTTGTCGATTGAGCGCAGGCAACACGACCTCATTCGACAGCAACCTTTCTTTTCTTCACTGTCCCATTGATACGCTTCCATCAATTGATCACAACACTCAATGTCCAGCAGCTAACTCGTCGTGATTGTCCCGATCGAACCAACCTTCTAGTTTTGATACACAGGATGGACTTTTCGATGTCTGCTGGAGCGAAGTCAACGAGAATCAATTGGTCACAGCCAGCGGCGATGGATCCATAAAACTCTGGGATACTACATTGGCTGTAAGTCAGGATACTGCCTTTGTCACTCAGCTCTTTGCGTTTCTGTGTGAAAGATGTGAACCGGTTTCGAAGTTTGACACTTAACTACTACCCTTTTCTTGCGTCAATTAGGACTTTCCTATTCAAAACTGGCATGAGCACCAACGGGAGGTCTTTTCTGTCAACTGGAACTTGGTCAGGAAGGATTCGTTCCTGAGTGCATCCTGGGATAACACCATCAAGCTCGTACGTCTGTTTGTTCTTTTGTTCATGAGTGGTTTACGACTATGTTCAATTGTATCTCCTTACAGAGTAATGTGTTAATCCCTTTTTCGTCAATCGCTGGTGTGGATAATAGTGGAGCCAAAACAGTCCTCAGTCATTACAGACGTTCAAAGGACACTCCCACTGTGTCTACGCGGCAATGTGGTCGCCTCATTCACCTTCGCTATTTGCATCATGCTCTGGAGATCACACTGTCAAGCTTTGGGACACCAACTCACCTGCACCTGTTCAGACGATTCTTGCACACGGCAACGAGGTGTTGACATTGGATTGGAACAAGTACCAGGATCACACTGTTGTGACAGGATCGGTTGATCACACCATCAAGGTGTGGGATCTGCGTCGCCCCGACCGTGAACTGAACTGCCTGAGAGGACACGAGTATGCTGTCCGCAAGGTCAAGTGCTCGCCTCACAGTGGATCACTGGTGGCATCGACATCGTATGACATGACGATGCGAATGTGGGATATTACGACGGGTGATATGATTGAGATCCATGATGCCCATACGGAGTTTGTGCTTGGTGTTGACTTTAACCTGTACCGGGATCGGGAGATTGCGACCTGTGCCTGGGACGAGAGTGTCCATGTCTTTACGCCACGGTGTCTCATGTAATGTGGGGTCTCGTGCTATAGCGTTCCTTCGTCGAGAACTCCCACCCTTTGCCGGATATAAAAGGGTAGTTGATAAGGTGGCGGAGGGAGAGGAGAAGAGAGACAGTGGAGAAGTAGGAGGGAGCAGAGGGTGTGTTCGGCTCCTAAAAATAAACAATTGACCTGTAATTTTAATCGTAGACTTGGTCCACGGATGACCGACTAACCTTGCAGAACAAGATAGAGGAGAATGTTTTCCTTAAGAAGCTGAATCTCCGAAAGCATAGCGCCAGGTGGTGCATTGTCATTGTCTTTTGAGCTGGCCGTGAGCTACAATGAAATAGACAATTTTGTATGGTGAGCACCAATTTGATGTATACTAGGGGTTGAAAAAGAGGGGCGAACAAGAGAGGCGAGCGGGCGAAAGACGAGTTGAGTCTTCCGGCGAGTGAAACCCAGAGAAAGAAAGAATATGAGGGGGGCGAATTCATGGGAGATGACAATGGAGAGAGAGAGAGCAATGGTTTCGAGCACAAAGAAACAAAGAATGATATTTATTCGGGTCGCAATGTGCACCATTTCCGTCTCTCTTTCTTCTTTCTTTTCTTTCTCTTTCTGTTTCTTTTTCTCCGCTTTCACCTCTTTTTATCCATCCTCCTCTTTGTCAACCCACACTCTACCACACCGCCTGTTTCTCTCCCTTCCCATTCACTCTTGGCAAACAAGCTTCCTATTTATCGATTCGTCTGTCCATTGGCCCATACCTTGCAGCGCTACATTCCTTTCCCCGTTCTCTCTTGTGTTCCTGCACAAACAAATTTTTCTATCTGTCCCACACAAACACAACATTGCCTTTTCCATATCGATAACAACCCCCTTTCCCCCTTTAGAAAGACAGCTCGGTCAGTCAGTGTGTGCCTGCCATGTCGAACTCACCTCATCTCCACAGGGTTGCTCCTGTTGACTTCATCCCTTTCTCCTCTTTTACTTCTTCTTCTTCTTCTTCTTCCTCTCCTTCCTTCGCTTCCCCATCTCCCTCCTCTTCCTCATCCTCGCCACCAGCCGAATATACCTTCAACCGCACAAATAAGCACTACTCCATCAACACCACCGCTCTCATCCTAAGAACAAGAAACGCCATCACCACAATACCAACAGCACCACCACCAAGAACGATAACCCCAACCAGCGCCGCCAGGCCGACCCCTATTTTTACTTCAAGGAACTTGCCGCTCCTCGCCAACAGCAAACGTGGAGGCGCCAGCTGCCCTCAGGGCTCCCTTCCCATGACCTCCTCCTCCTCGACGGACCTCTACAATGCGAACAGGGCAACGGACGACAACAACGATTACGACCATAGGGGTACCTCCTTGCCCTCGCCTCCGCTTTCGTCCATGACCCCGACAACCCCATATTCATCCCATTCACACCTTCGGACCAACTTTTCTCCAAAGACCTTGTCACTCTCCTCAACTTCGCCTTCATCGCCCCCGTCGTCCCACTATTCGCTTCAGGAACGCTGCGATGCTCTCCAAACAGAACTGTCGTCGGTTCGGATACAGCTTCAACAACAGGAACAAACCTCGACCGTGCGCGAAAAGCGTCTCTCTCAATACCAACAACATTCGAGCAACACCCAAGTCTCCCTCCAGACCCTGAAACACCAACACGAACTGGTCTTGGCCCAACTATCCAAGATCCAGACCGATACGAGCCACCTCAGGTACGAGCTTGAAACAACCTCGACCGAGAACCGACAATTGAAGACCCAGGTCCAGGAACAAACACGGGAACTCAGGGAGGTCACCCTCGACCGAGACTCGCTCTCGCTCGAAATGGTCGAATGTCATTCCGACAATGCCAAGTTCCTGAAGCGGTTACGGGGGTCGACGGATATGCTCGGCAGCCTGCAGGACGAAAACCGATCGTTGATTGAGCAGCTGAGGGAACTTCGGGCTCGGGTCACGGAATTGACCGAGGACAGGTCGAAGCTATCGGATACGCTTGAGCGAGAGCGGCAGAGAACGAGTCAGGCGACGCTTGGACTGGATGCTGTTGTGACAAGGTACAAGGATGAAGTCGAGCGGCTACAGGATCTTGTCTTGGCGATGGGACACAAGCATGTGCAGACTCAGACCCAGCTTTCCTTTTTGCAAAAGATTCAGCAACAGCAGCAACAGCAGCAGCAACAGCAGGCGATTCAGCAGGCGGAGGCGTCATCGTTGTCGTCACAGAGCAAAAGTTTGTCTGGCGATCACAGCAGCAAGGCTCTTGTACACCACCAAAAGCACCCATCGGAGTCCTTCTCGTCATCATCGGCCCTGCACAGCCTAATCCAGTCACATTCATCAACACAGCCGCCTCAGCAGACGTTACATGGAGGTCTTGTCCTTGGAGACGGAGCATTGGCCTCGATCCTCTCCTCTGTCGCCGCCAGTTCCAACTCTCGTCGGTTCAAGCCTACCCGGCGGTTTACAATCAACGGGGCAGCACAACAACAACAGCAGCAAAAACAGGATGCACCTCTGACACTGGAGCAGCGGAAAACTAAGTTTTTGATGGATCAGATCACTGTTCTCCAACGGGGATACGACAACCTGCGACAGGAAAAGATTACGCTCGAGCTCCAACTGGATCAAGTCCAACGACAGTACGAATACCAACAGCAGCAACGCCAACGTCGACGATCGTCTCTGCGCAGGACGTTGGGCTCTGAACAGAGACAATTGATGTCTGTAGCAGCAGCACCGCCGCCACCACCAGTACCGTCCATTCCACAACAGCACTCGCAGCAACAACATCAACAGCACCAACAACAGCACCATAAGAAGCATCATCAACATCACCACCACAAGCAGCCATCGCTTTCATCGACGATCAAGCTACCTGACGGCCCACCGCCCCAGATCAAGACTGAAGAGGAGGAAATACCCCCAGTGATTACGGCCAACATGACCAAGGAGGAGCGAGCCGAGGCAGAACGGATCCAGCAACAGATCCAGGAAGCTCTTGCGGCATTAGAGAGCAAGCGCAGGCACCATCATGAAGTGCCACTCACCCGACTTTCGGAACTCAAACATCTCGAGACCCTCAAGTTCCCGCAAGAAGAGGAGAAGAAGCCAGTCTCGTTTCTCAAGCCTCCGCAGCACCAGCACCAGCAGCGGCAGTATGATGTTCAGTTGGGTGATCTTGTTGATTGGGGCGTTCAGCAGTGCAGTTGTTGTATCGGCAACTTGATCGAGATTTGAGTCGACAAATAAACATACGCTGGGCAGAAAGGTAGTGACTGTTCATTCTTGGACCTAGGAACGAAATAAGAAAACTCAGCTGCAGGGATATTTCTTTTGTTTTGTTTTGTTTCTCTTTTTCTTCCCTCTCTGCCCTGCATGATGTAACGGTGTCGGTGTTTGTTGTTTCTTTCTTTTTTGTTTCCGCTCCCATCCTCCTTTGGACGTGTGTGTCTCATTGATCGCCAAGAAAAGTGAGAAAAGTCGTACGGATCGGCGTTTTTTTGTCGTTGTCGTTGTTTTGATGAGAAGAAAAAAGGATGGGTCTTTTGTATGGTCTTATGGGTGGTAGAGGAAAACGCCACGATAACTGTGGTTCGCGCAATGGTCAAGGGAACATTTACCTCCAGAAAGTCACAGGTCCGAGATGAAGATGATGAAAGTTAGCCTTCTGGCGGTAAGAATTCACGCGATGGATAGGCAAACAGGACGCGCTTTGATTGAGACAAGCTGGACTGCGTTTGATCCCTTGAACGCGAACATTTGAAACGAACACGCTTTTATCAACAACCAATGATATGACGGCAAAGCATTGTACCAACGTCCACAACCATGACCAACCCACTACTTGCAACGTGTTCGAAACAAGGAGGAAAAGAGAGAAGAGACGGACGAAGAGACGAGTAGACGAGCACCAACGAGAGCTGGGGAACAAATACTAGAGAGCATGTCTTTTAATAAAGAAAAGTAACAACGAACGAGGGAACTGGCTAAGGTTATGTTGTGCGATGATGGATCCATGTAACTTTGAAAGGACAACGAAGCAAACGGGCCATCGTGCACAGCCTTTTCCAATTTAGTTGCAGTGTTTGCTCTGGTAAAGGTTGCGGTGAGGTAAGGTAGAACCATGGGCGCGAACACGCACAAACACCTATCGGGACACCCATCCCTTTCTTCTCTCTTTCTTTTCCCCCTCTCACACCTCTCTCGCCGCCCTTTCTTCTTTTGCCTCCCCCTCATCACCTTCATTGCCAACAGTCTCATTCGACATCTTCACTCCACCATCTCTTTCGCCGATCGCCGATTGTTCATTGCATTCACTGTATTCGGAATCAGCTTACCCTTAACATACATACGCCCGACCGAGGAAGTGGTCCTTGCCTCCTTCACAACCATAACCACAAAAACAAAAAATACACACCAAACACTTCTTGACTCTTGCAGCTCTGTTTCTTCGGCACTTTCCAATACACCTACCTGCTCACTCACCCACCCACCTCGCACCCTTCGGTCTACCGTAAACAGGGACGCGACTTGAAAAAAAAACCAAAGAATCAACCACTTTCTGCAATAGTGAGTTGGAATGTCTGCTGGGCTCAAAGACGAGGAGTAATTATCGATATCAAGTTGTCGTTGGTTGCTGACATAACCACTTCTCTCCCTCCTTATTTTTCTCTTTTCCCTCTTCTCTCTCTCCCTGTCTTCCTTCTCGTTATCTTCCACACAGAATCACAGAAACAAAGAACACAGACATATACACATCTTCCTCCAGATAACGCCCGTCTCCCTCAGCGCACCCATTTGACCTTCTCAGAAGAAAACCAAAAGCAAGAACGCCATTTCTTCTGCCAGTAAGTGGTTGTATGTTGTTTTTTTTTATGGAAACAAATGCGATTCTTTGGGCAGGAGAAGGGTCGAACATGCATTAACATTATAGGATGCTCTTTCGGCCTTTTTTACCCTTTTTTAGCGCTGATCTCCTTCACTCACCAACATCCATACCCCTACGCAATCGACACCCTCTCCGCTTTTGAACCAAACACACAAGCAAGCAAGGCAAGAAGAACAAACAGAGGCAATGTTGTATTTCACTCAGCCCAGCATGCTTCACAACCATAATTGCTGACATGTATGCTTGTCGGGCTCATCGACTTTGCTAGACCTTATTCCCAGACACCATGACCATTCGTCCCCTCAAAAAAGTTGACCATGATGCAGCTGCTGGCGATAACCCCATCTCCACTGCGGCTCTTGGAAAGGGCGACAAAATTCTCTGGTCCCTGGACATCTCTAAGTCCAAGTCCAGGCCTTTGCCGGCCCTTCCTGGAGTCTCACTTAGTGTGTTCATGGAGAACATTCCCGAGTCAGTCGCCACGACCAAGTTGCCTCGACCCCAGCAGCGCATCGAGCGGACAGACCAATTGGCCTATTGCAACTCCTTACTGATCCAGGGGTCACCTGCCTTGTCGTCTGGGCAGGAACCTACTCTTGACAAAGATGAGCTGGCCTGGCTGATGGAGATCAAGAATGACCCTATGGAGCGAGATCGTTTGCAATGGCTTGCAACTCGTATGGTAGAGGCGTTCATCCAGGATACTGTCAAGGATACTAACAAGATCGCAGAGATTGTCGCTCTAGGACCTATCCTGCAGAAAGAGCCCTACCGCAAGCTGTTGTTTTCCTTCATCACGGAGTTTGAAGGGTCTCCACTCTTGGATGTAAACCTGCTCCAAGGGCTTGTTCAGTTGGTCCAATCCTCCTCTCCAGGTCACCTTGACTCCGATGACTTGGTCAAAATCCTCAGCATTCTCAGGATCCGACTGCAAGGCACGCATCAACAGTCAACTGAGCACCCCTACTACCTCACCTTGGCAATCTCCGGAGTCCTTGATGCCATGGCTGACCACAAGATCCAGGATGTGGACAGAGTTCTCGAACACGAGCCTCTGTCTGGGGCCTTGTCAGGGTTGAAGGGCAGCGCCGATCCTTACCTAATGTACCAGGCCTGTTATGCCTTCCAGGCCTTGCAGTATGTGCCCAACAACGAGACTGTTTTGCAGGCAGTCTCGCGGCATTCGCGGGGTGTGGTGGAAGGTGTGGTCAAGATTACGGCACTGGGCAAGCTGGACCTGGAGTCGGTGCTCGAGGGACTGGGAAATCTTCAGGAGGCACTGGGCGGCATGATGGATATTGCAGGCACTGTGCACGAAGGAGTGAGTTCCCTGATGGAGAGCGGTCAAGGCGTCATGGAGAGTTTGAAGGAGAGATATGGAGCCGGCCAGAAGAGACCCTGGTATGCGGCCATCCGTGCCGCCTATGCTCTTGCTGAAGTCGGTCAGTTGAAAGATCTCAACCGCATGATCTGCGAAGTTCCTTGTCGTCGCGACCCCTTGTTCCAGTGGGGTATCTGCCAGTTGTTGGGTGAGATGGCGGTCGACACCGTTTGGTCCCTTACCTCGCGTCAGCAAGCTACTGAACTACTTGGTCGCCTCTACAAGAATGACCCAGAGTGGGGTAGAGATGAAAGTGTCAAGGCGTGGATACTGACCATCATTGAAAAGCTGGGGTCCATTGACGACCAGAAGATTGCCGCCAGTGCTCTAGCTCTGAAGCAGGAGCTCGCCTCAGGCGACACTCCTACAACCCACCACCCTTACCCATTGCGGTGTCGCCTGCCGACCTCGGCCGCGTCTCCGATCCTTACCAAGATCCAGGACATCCCTTACCTCGAGTACGAGCTGTACAAGCTCCGATTGCAACGGCTTCAAGAGTACGATGAACGAGCGATTTATGTCCTCCCACAAGCAAAGCCATCGCTCCTGGCCAAAGACGATGAGCTCTTTCCTCTGCTGGAGAAAGTTCTTGAGTTTCTTGCCAGTGACCGTCAAGTCATGTTAGTCTTGGGAGACTCCGGTTCCGGCAAGTCATCATTTAATCAATACCTGGAGCACTTGCTTTGGAAGGAGTATAAGCGTGGTGGGCCAATCCCTCTTTTCATCAACTTGCCTGCCATCGACGATCCCCAGCACGACATGGTCAATAAGCAGCTGCAGTCTCACAACTTCGACGAAGATCAGATCCTGGAACTCAAGCTACATCGCCAACTCGTGCTCATCTGTGACGGATACGACGAAAGTCAGCAACTAGTCAACCTCCACAGGGCCAACTGTCTCAACCAACCTGGCCAGTGGAACACCAAGATGATCATCAGCTGCAGATCCCAGTACCTCGGACCTTCCTACCTGGATCGCTTCAAGCCTCTGTCTGTCGATCGATACAACTCGGCTCCTCAGAATGTCTTCCAGGAGGCCGTCATCGCTCCTTTCTCCATGGAGCAGATCCGCAACTATGTCGAGCAGTATGTTCCTCTCGAGCCAAGAACCTGGAGTACCCAAGACTACATGGACAAGTTGACTACGATCCCTAACCTCATGGATCTGGTCAGAAATCCGTTCCTCCTCTTACTCGCGCTCGAGGCACTTCCAGATGTCACAAAGGGCAACAAGGATCTGTCCACAATCAAGATTGTTCGCATTCAGCTCTACGACATCTTTGTCGACCACTGGCTCAATGTCAACAAGAAACGGCTCCGAAGCAATACCTTGTCCAGGCAGGATTCCGACATGTTGGAGATGCTTGAGGAGGCGGGCTTTGTGGCGATGGGCGTGGACTACTCTACGAGGCTGGCATCGGCGATGTTTGAGAGGCAGAACGGAAAGGCCGTCGTCAAATATCTCCATCTCAAGGACAAGACGACGTGGAAGGTCGAGTACTTTGGTCCGGATCCGGAAGTGCGACTGTTGAGAGAGGCCTCACCGCTGACTCGCTCCGGTACTTTCTTCCAGTTTCTTCACCGATCTATGCTGGAGTATTTCTTTTCTTGCACCGTTGTCGGTTCCAGTACCTCTGCGCCTGTTGAAGAATGCGCTCCGCAATCGACACCCGGCTCTTCCGACGTCCAACCACTCGACCCCAAGTGCCCCTTGTTCACGCGCAATCTTCTCGACGAGCCCCCCGTTATACAGTTCCTCAGCGAGCGAGTACAGAAGAACCCTGTCTTCAAGGGTCAGCTCCTTGAGGTCGTCGAGAGGTCCAAGGCCGATGCCTCCTTCGCCACCGCCGCTGCCAATGCTATCACCATCCTGGTCAGAGCCGGTGTGGCCTTCCATCGGTACGATTTCCGAGGCATTCGTATTCCAGACGCGGATCTTTCCGGCGGGCAGTTTGATTCGGCACTGTTTCAAGGAGCCGACCTCACGCGTGTCAATTTCGGGGTGAGCTGGCTACGCAATGCTGACTTCAGCAACGCGCAGATGGAGGGCATTCGGTTCGGGGAACAGCCTTACCTAGAGGAAACCTTCTGTTCCTGGACTTGTTGTTATTCGCCTCTAGAGAATATGCTTGCAGTCGGCCTAGAAGGTGGTGGTCTCGTTCTATACGACACATCGACCGGGAAGAAGATCCGCTCGCTTTTGGGACATGCTGACGATCTGGCATGTTTAGGGTTTTCACTCGATGGCCAGCGATTGGTATCTGGAAGTATGGATTTCACAGTACAAGTGTGGGACTGCAGCAGCGGTGATCTTCTTGCGACCATGAGCGGCCATGAAGGAAATGTGTCATCGGTGGCGTTTTCTCCTTGTGGCAAATATGTTGCATCGGGCGGCGAAGATGGGGTGGTGCGATTGTGGGACTCGGTGACTAGAGGGCCGCTGTTTGTGTTGGGGGATCATACAGGTACTGTCTATGACGTCAAGTTTACTCCAGATGGACACCTACTTGCTTCGTGCGGTCAAGACGGGACGGTTCGATTCTGGGACTCGGAAACAGGAGCGCCAGGAGATGTTTGGGAGGCGGATCATGAACCTGTCCTTTGTCTCGACATTTCACCTGATGGTCAACAAGTCGTAATTGGGTGTATGGATGGCAATCTGAGGCTTTGGAATATTGTGTCTAAGTCGCCAGGTCCTGTCTTACGCGGCCACACAGACATGGCCATGTGTGTCTCGTTTTCTGCCGATGGCAAACGGATCGCTTCTGGCAGCGCTGACTCCACAATCAGACTCTGGGATACATCTGCATGCACCCTCATCTCCACGTACAGCACGACAAGGTCGGTCTTCAATGTGTCATTCTCGCCGGATGGTCGAACTCTCGCTTTGGCTGATGGCACTAAAAGTATCCGCATATGGGACGGGAGCTCCAATGGATCCAGCGTCGGTCAGCCTGGACATTCATCCAGTGTTATGTCGGTCGCTTACCTACCCACTGGAGAGTCTATTATTTCTAGCGGCCTGGACAAAACCGTGCGGCAGTGGGACACTCTCACAGGTGCTCTAGAATCCACCCATGCTCTTGGATTACCTTTGAGTGAGTCGATCTTCTTACACGAGCTTTCACCGGACCTCCAGCAAACGGCCTACTGCTCTGATGAGACGATTCAGTTGCAGGACTTTCGAACCGGAGTCGTTGATCTTGTTTTGGAAGGTCATACCAAGGAGGTAAAGAGGTTCACCTACTCGCCATGTGGTCGGTGGATCGCGTCTGGGGGTAAGGAAAGGAGCGTACGCATATGGGACCTGCATAATGGTGGACAAGGTCATGTTTTGTCTGAGGTGGACGCCGAGTCGGATGACGCTGAGTCCGATGCCGAGTCCGATGCCGAATCCGATGCCGAGTCCGATGCCGCGCTAGATGCCGAGCTTGATGCCGAGTCTTATCAGGATGGGCCTGATGCCGAGCCTGATGAGGGTGAGCCTGACGCCGAGTTTGATGAGGATGAGTCTGATACCGAGTCTGAAGATGCTGTACCAGATGCCGAGCCTGAGCGCCAAGTGCGCTTTCAAATTGCCTTAACATTTACGTCGACAGGACTTCGGCTGGCGATCGGCATTAACGATGGCACGGTCAACATATACGACACCCAGTCAAAGGAGCTCTTGACGACAACAACTCTCGAGGATCAAGGAGTCAGTGCATTGGCCTACTCACCAAACGATCAAGAGCTCGCCATCGGTGGCTCTGAAGGAGCTGTAGTCTTGTGGGACATCCAGTCGGACGAGCGTGGCCATACTCTGAATTTCGGAACTGCCGCTGCCCGTTGTATCACCTATTCCCCCTGGAAGGATTGGTTGGCTTTTGGAGATGAAGATATGAGTGTTCATCTTTGCCGGCGCCGCCAGCCTCAGTCGGAGTCAAGTGATATGGAGGCCCCGTGGTGTGTTGTATATGTTGTTGAGGGATTTTTGCACTGGGTTAAGGATATTGCCTGGAACCCTGTTGTTCGGAATGAGTTTGTCACTGGTTCCCTCGATCGGTCTGTTCGTGTTTGGCAAATCTTGGAGGGTGACGGCTCAGTTTGTGTTGAGTTGGTCTGGGGTTCTAGCATTGGCATGCTCGACGCGGCCGGTATGAGGCTTGATGATGTCGTTGGTCTGGATATTGGCAGTCGGAGACTGCTGAAGCAACGCGGTGCCGTCGGCGATTTCTTGGCTTTTGAGGGGGATGAAGCGGATGTAGGATCCGATGGCGTCTTGGACATCGCAGGTGAAAATTAGATTGAAGGAATGGCCCGGTGATAGTTTATAGCGCAAGAAGAAGGATTAGTTGGAGGATGTTGGAGGTGTTTCTTGTAATACATATTTCATCCTCTCGCAGAGTTGAAAATAAAAAACCATTCCATAATCATGGCAGTTTAGGATATTAACAGAGAGATGTCACCACGTCCGGACAATGCATGAAATGGAGAGACATCAAAATCATATCTGATGGTAGCCTTGGATTCTTTGAATATCAAGTATACTAATTGAGTAGGGGTTGCTCTCTTTGATGTGACTTTTCATACTTTGATCTCATGCCTATTGACCACTAAGAAAAGAGAGAAAAGTGACGAGGGTCGCTTGTTTTTTTGTTGTTGTTGTTATTGTTGTCGTTGTCGTTGTCATGATGAGAAGAAAAAATGAGTCTTTCGTGTGGTATTGTAGTGGTAGAGGGAACACTACAACTGCTGTAGCTCGCGCAATGGTCAAAGGACCATTTACCTCCAGAAAGTCACCGAGCCGAGATGAAGAAAATGAAAGTTAGCCTTCTGGCGGTAAGAATTCACGCGACGGATAGGCAAACAGGACGCGTTTTGATTGAGACAAGCTGGACTGCGTGATCACTTGAACGCGAAACCTATGAGATAAACGCGTTTTTATCAATGATCAATAGTATGACGGTCAAGCATTGTCACTCACCTGGAAGGGGTGGCCTAAATACCCCCTCCTTCCTCCGCTTTCTTTCTTCTGCCTTGCTGTCTTCTTTCTTTGTCCCTTCTTTCCCCGCTCGTTACTCCTTACTAAGCCACAACCATACTCTCTTTTCTATCTTACTACCCCAGTTCTCTTACCCTCTCAGGTCCCGACCTCCGTGCGACTCGAAAGCCTTCCACTCCCACCCACACATCCAACATTCGAGTCGTCATGGAAGAAGACTTCCTCACCAACCAACCAACGCCCACAGTCATGACCAATCCGTCCCACCACTTGCAACGCGTTCGGGACATGGAAGAGAGAGAGAAGAAACGGACGAGTAGACGAGTAGACGAGCAGGCAAGTGGATCGAATACTAGAGAACTTGTTTTCTAATAAAGGACGTAGAGGAAACTGAAGTTTTGTAGTGATTGCTTGTAATAAACAATTTTATTGGACAGCAACTTGGTGCCTGCTCACGCTCGGACCTAGACGTAAGAGCGCAGTTTTGATATGGGTGCGGGTCCCCGGCGCCTCTGTTTTTTTTATGAAAGTCCATTTTGCTCACCCCACCCTTCCTCCTCAACCACCACTTTTACTTACGTTCAAAATCCCAACTCCGCCAACTTTTCATTTTCATCGTAAAGCTCCACATCACCAATCTCCTCATCCTCCACTTTCGTCCCGATGGTCAACAACTTTTGTCAGCATGACACCTGCTTCTCTCCTCAGCTTGGTCATCCTCAGAGTGTCTCAAGATCAGGGAACGAGAGTGGCAGCATCAGCACAAGCAGAACCAACATTCAGCAGCCAAGTTCTCTGCTTAGGTGGCTACCCATCTCAACAGCTACAGTGACCACCACTATGACCCTGTCGTTCATTCCAGTGCAGGCTATAAAAAAAGAAGAAATGTAAATTGGTCTAACTGATACTCGCTGAGAAAAAAACATGAGTTTTATCCCCATCCCTTTGCTCGCCTGGCAATTCTCTTTTCAGGCACCATCAGCGGGCATTTTTTTTCCCTACTCACCCACTTCCCCACACAAAAAAAAAAGGAAAAAAAAGAGGGGAGTCATGCAAATAACTTGTATTCCTTACTGGCTCCATTTGTGCTCAAGAGATTCGTTTTTCGTAAGGGGGTAACAACGTGAGCATATCCTTGAATTGCGACAAGAAACAGTCGAAAACCAGAACAAAAAAAAATCAGTTGACACTCCATCATCAAATATGATGTGTATCAAACAAAGCACACATGCCTCTCCTTTGTTTTCACAAGAGAAGAAACAAAAGAAGGGGGACGGGTTCTTTTCGAATGGGGGTGTGTGGGTGTTAAGTCTGGAAATAACGGGTCCCTACACGGGGCGACGTTTGTTGTTGTCGTTTTTTTTCTTTGTTCATGTTTCCTCAAATGGAAAAGAAAATGAAGAGAAGTAGGGGGGAGGAGGGGTCAGAGCGTTTCGCACGCACGGCATTCTCTTCTTCCAATTTTCACATTCACGCACACGCACCCAATGCACAATTTTTTTTTCTTTCAGGGGCACTACCCCTGACAATTTTCTTCATTTGTTTGTGAAATTGACATGAGGGGGCAAACACAACAATGCGCACAAACCACATTTTGGACAAGTGTTCCCTCTTGCTTTTCATAGTAGCGAAACGGATGTGAGAGAAAGGAGGACCATATTGTTTTTCATCAGTTGACGCCTTCCTTTTTTTCATCTATGCTAACACAACGGCAACCAAAAATGAAAGTCGCATGGCATTTGGGCGCATCAAAATTCACAAACAACTGGGCAAAGAGAGGAGGAAATAAAAACAATGGGGGAAAGGAAGGGAGGGATGTACAAAACAACAAGGAAAAGATACATGGCCTGACTCTCAAAACCTATGCATGTCCAGCTCCTGTGAGTGTTGCACTAAGGGGGTGAGTGAAATGAGCTTGGTACGACGCAAACCTTGCCACGCGCGACCAAACTGCTCCTGTGGCATATCATGGTTATTTTAGGGGGAGTAGTTTTTTTTCTCACATCCACGTTATTGTACTGTACATGTACTCTTCATTTTCCTCTGCCTGCCTCTGGTGTAAAGGGTGAGAGATCAAAAGAGATGTGATAAAGACGGTGGAAAAGTACATGACGCGATAGACTTCGTAGGATAGTGGACGGACAGCATTTAGCAAACGGGTACTGTAGTGGGCGTTTAGGATGAGTGAAAGCGAAAGTGAATATTTCGCCGATGCGCCCACCATTATTTTTCCGCTTACTCTCACTCCTCTGCCTTTCCGTGTTATGTTTTGTGAGTGGGTGGGTTTGGGCGTCATTTTGTATTTCCCCCCCTCCCCCTGTTCATCCACCTGCAGTACATCCGAAAGCTCTGTTCGAGAAAAAAAGATACTTTCAGTCTCGTACCTCATTGCATACAACAGTACGGCATAACTAAAACACAAAGATGCAAAGCTATCTGCTCAAAAGCTCATGGGAAGGGGGGGGGGAAGAAAGCCTGTCAAAACAAATGCTAGAAATCATGTCCGAATGGATCAATCTCCACCCTATCCGGCTCCAGAAGCAGAGCCAGGACGAAGACAGGCCTACGCACGCTCCAATGATCAATCATTTATCCAGCCTTTAGTCTGTTAACCGTCCAAGAACGTTCATCGTGTTTTTCTTCTTGAGGTGTCCGTGAGCAGCCATTATTTAAAGTGCTTGTGCTCACAAGTTTTATCAAAAGGAACGGAGGGAGGATCCAAAGGCATGTTCATGTTAGGTTTCAAGGACAACAAAACCAAGGAAGACTGATGATCTAGACCATTGATTTAATTGTCCCTTGCTAAGGTAGCCTTTTTTTTTTCTCTCTTTGCTCTGGCTGACAAACCCAAACATACTCTCTGTCTCTGAGGGTAGTACGGATAATGGTTCCGGCAACAAAGAAAAGCACAAACTGCTCAGAGAATTAGTGGAACTATGGCGAAGAGAGAAATTAAGGTGGAGGGAGGGAGGGGAACGACGAATTGGATCTTAGTCATTCACTTTCCAACTTGAGGGTTTTGCGGAGAAAGGTTGACAATGGGGTTGTGAAAATGGAGGAGGCGTGTGCCCCTCCTCTCCCCCCCTTTTTTTATTTGTTGTTGTTATCATGATGCCTTTTGTTTGTTTATTTTCATTTTTATTTTCCTTTCGCCTTGCATCCCTCGCATGCTCATTTGTTGACATGGACAGGGTGTGAGAAGAGAACTGTAGTTTGGCGAGAAAGAGAAAAGAAAGAGCCGTGCAAAAAAAGAAAAAAAAAAAAGGTAAAAAAAATCCGTTCGTTTTTTTTATTTTATTTTTTATTTTTTATTTGGCTGTTGATTCTGTAGGCGTTTGATGGTTTTGTGTGTAATTGTCTGGCTGGAGAAGCCATTTGCTCACAATTGTTGATACTTGTTTTTTGAGTTCTCTTTAGCGTTGTTCATTATGGTCATGCTAGCTCACTCACGTTCTTCCTTTGTCTCTTCGGAGAGCAGGGCGCCATCTTGTCAATGGCCAGAAAACAAACGAAAGAAAACAATCAACGCCCACGCCTGAATTCCTTTGGAGGTGTGAGTTCCTTGAAAGACAGCTCCAAAGAGGGATGTACTGTACTTTCAGGGGCAATGAGACAGCATGCGCTAGTCTCTTCAGTTGCTGGGACGGGGGTTGAAGAAGGAGGCAAAAAGTGAAAGAGATACTTGAGGGACGTGCAGTAAGGTCAACGAAGAGGAAGGTGGCAACGAGACGGGAAGAAATACAATGAAAGGAAGACATGTCCGATGACGAATATGAGACTGAAAAGAAAGATCCGACAAAAAAAAATTAACCGTTCACTATCGATGAAAAGATTCGGAAAGGGGAGGATGTATGGGAGGTGTGAATTGAGTGCATGCATGCAGACTGTCCCACTTTTTTTTTTCTTTTCTTCTAACCAACGAATTTGTCTCTGGATCTTTGTCTCCCTCCCCAAGAATTATTTGCATTATTGGCAACATCGTCCACCGTGCATTGGGGTTTTTTCTCACACGATACGGATGTCTTCAAAAAGCAACAAAAAAACAACACTGAACTAAACTCATATGGTAAACATAACCTCCATCCGAGCCCACCCTCCACTTCCCTGCCAATTCATATTTGAATTAAAGCGAGGCAGAGCAAAAAGGCAGGCGTAGAAAACAGCATCATCAGTCAAAGAGTAAAGGGATAAAGAGCAATTAACACTCTTTCCTTCTTCTACAGCATCCGGCTCTCTGCATTTAGCATCGTACAATGTCCATGGTACCAAGGCAGAGTGTTTCCACGATCGAGGTTTGTACTCAAATGAAAAGTAAGCAAAGGGTAAGCAAACAGGGATAAAAACACAAGAGAAGGAATACATACACACATACCAAAAACGTTCACTCTTCTGTCTATTCCATTGTCCGGTGCCTCCTTGTCTCTCGTGAGCAACAGAAACGTGGCTTTCCAATAGAGGCAACTCTAACGGTTTTTGATGTCCTTCACTAAATTGAATGGACTAAAGAAAAGAAGTGGGTACCCACACGGTTACAGTCATGGAACAGTGCTTGAGTGAAGGGATTAAAGTGAGGTGAGGTGAGGTGAGGTGGGTGGGTAGGTGAGCACAACGACATACACAGGTGCGAAAAACCTTATTTCGAAAAGGGAAAGCATCACAACAACTGAAGGACGCACGATTGCAACGGACATGAAGAGAGGGAAGTGTCAAAAAATGAGAGCAATCTTTGTTGGGAATGAACGCGCGGGAATTTACAGTACTTTTTTTTTATGGAAAGTGAAGGATGGTATAAGAAGAGAGAAGAAGGGCGAAACTAGACCAGTACAAAAGTGGAGGGGTTCGATGTGAACGAAAGAAACAAGTAGTGGCAAGGGAGCAAAAGCGTCATTGTGCTTGATTAGCTGGTTCGCCTTCATAAACATCCAACCTACTCGAAGCTAGCGGGGATAAAGAGAAAAAAGTTAGTGGCATAGCCTTTTTATTATCAGATGATCCGTCGTCATGACATTGGCTGGTGCCGCCAATCAAGAAAAGCGCCAGCTGGGTGGAGTAAGGGGGCAAGGAAATACATCTCACTGCCAATCTTGACCGTTAGTCAACAAGTCAAAAAAAAAACCGAACCCGCAGCCAGTTCGCCTCAATTGCCCAGTTGTCCGGTCAATTATTTGGCCGATGCGTAGCATGTGCACATAATTGCTGCTCTCTGGCAAAAAAAAACACTACAGCAAAAAGAAGACATGTCGTGTTAGATGAAGGAATAAGACATCACATCCAAGAGATGAACGAGAGCGAAGGATGAAAAGAGAGAGAGTAATTTAACTTGCATGCACCCTCATTGCCACGCGGTCGGTGAAAACAACAATCGAGAGACTAGCGAGAGACAGAGAAGGGAAAGAGGGAGGGAGAGGAGGAAGAAGCGTACGCACGAGAGCACTGTTCGCCTTTTACTATCAAACCAAAAAAAAATAAACAAATAAACAAATAAACAAATAAACAAATAAACAAACAACAAAGAGGTAAAACAGACGTGAAGCAGGATTATGACTGACAGATGGTGGGAGGTGGAAATGGGGTGGAAAAATCTTTTCAAGATCGTCTCACGATCTTCAGGTACAAGATATACCAAACGATACATAGATGAGGTTTTACTACAACTGGGGCTTTCCAAATTGAGCGCACTGTCCACAATGACCATTAGATTTCATTATCCTCGAGTGAACTCACCACCACGGTGTTTATTCTTTCGTTTTTCATCTTTCTATCGGCATATTATTAAAGTAGAGAGAATGATTTGTGAATCATCCGGAGCGCTGGTTAGGAGAGATAAAAAAAAGAGAGAGAGAGAGAGAGAGAGAGAGACAAGGGCAGAGAGCTCTACAGAAGAAAAAAGAATGCGCTCACCAATTCAGATCAATTCTCGATAGCAGTAGGAATGGTGGGCCATGATAGGACGAGAGTAGGAATAACTCGTTTGAACGAAGAAAATGAGCAAGAGCACTAAAGGGAATGATGTTTGACCTTCACTCTTTGTCGCCTTGGAGCAGGGGGTTAATACATTTGATGGCACAGAAAATATTACCATCTAACACGGACAGCAGCAAAGAACAATAAAATAAAATAAAGGCGGGCGCCTCGTAAAGTGAACAGTCGTACTTCGGAACGGACGAACAACAAAGCTCATTGCTGTTGTAAACACGTCTCAACCATGTAACATCCGAAGGATGAAAAGGGGAGAAGTGGAGCACACACCATGCTTCGGAACTGTGCTTGGCACTAAAAAATGAAGAACAATGTGTTCTGACCTAATACTATGCATACTCTCCAATTGCTCAACAAACACCATGTCTTATTCTCATTGCTCGTCCTTCTCCGACACGGGTAGTGTGCTGCTATTGAATGTGGGATCTGTCTGCCAATTGAGCATTCTAGAGATGATCATCCGTGTTGAATCGTCGCTCATGAAAACTAGGAACCAAGGAGTCGGAAATGTCAACCCTTTCTGTCTCCCAGCGAAAGGCGTTCTCTGATTAGCGTCACATGCACGAGAAAGAAAAAAGGAGTGATGGTCTACTCCCTACGCTTTCGAGCACTGACGACAGAAAAAGGGGGGATGAAGGAGTAGAGATCTTTTGTGTTTGTGTGTGTTTGCGTCCAGATTAATGCAAACCAACACTGAATGACGACAACCCCTACATATGCGTGGAAAAGGAGATCAAGAAAAAAGCCAAAGTAAAAAGACAATGTGGTGAACGCGAGTATGGGTGTTGACACGAAGATCGTGAGAAAAAATGGATCTGTGCTGGGACCTACTCATTCCTGCAACACATGACAAACGACGCGCGCGTTTTGAGCAGGAAAGGACCCTTGGAAGAAGTTTTGGACCGAGGGATGGAGTTGTTACGCTTCATCCCTCGTTATGTGGTTTTGTGTGCGTGTGTGCGTGCAATCAGCTCGTTCCTTTTGGTGGTTCGTTCATTTACCCCCTCACAACATTTCCAAACAAAAAGGGTCTTGCTCATATGGCACACAAAGCACAATAAGGTAAAAAAAAACTTCCGTATAAAAGAAAAAAAAGGAGGTAAGAACGGTTGCATTGCGCTCACTCATAGAATGTAATAATGAAGAGAAAGAACGCATACTTATTGAATCCAAACGTACATATGATATTTCTCCCTAGCAAAGGCATAACTATTGCGCATCGAGCAGCAAACAAGGCATACTCATCCGTGAAAAGTAGCATATTCGAGGTACTAGACTGATAGCTCTAATTGGTTCTAATAGTGCGCAGAGAGTAGCGAGAAGATATCTGAGTCGATGATGATGTCGGTGTCCTTTGTTTTGGTGGTGGTGTGGTGCGTGGTCAACTCAGGGGCGCCATAGAGGGAAACAAAGAACCAGCACTGACACTTAATGTGTATTGAGCTATTCCAAAGAGACGATCCGTGGAGTGGTTTCAAACTCAAGGATTGTCTTGAGTTTGAGTCTGACCGCCGAGGAAATGATGACGAACCAATTGAATGGATATTGTCTTTGGTTAGATAATAAAAGGAAATAAGAGCAGAAAAAAAGGGGACGGGAAGGGGGAGCCATGCCGGGCACCCTTTTGAATAAAGGATTTGTATATATTATACATCAGGATGGATGGGCCATGTCCTGTTATCCATGCAGGTGCGTCGGTTGTGTTGATGTGATGTGGTCCATCTTATTTTACTTGAAATGCAATAGGCCTATCCATCCGTATCATCCAAGGGTACAGAGGAGAAGTATAAGCATGCCTCGAGAAAGAGGAGGGAAGGAGAAGCGAATGGAAGGGTGCACGAGCAGAGTTCATTCGATGAGAGAAGGATCGTTAATTCCTGCTCGAGATGGTCAATTCATTCGTTGGTTACTCAATACGAACTATAGGCATAGAATGAATTGAATGGTCAAAGATTGAATACTTGGATGAATGACACACACCCTATCAGCCAGCACACAGTTGTTCTCGGTGAGGAGACGTAACGAGCCCTCTTTTTCCTTGCTTTCCCCAGCTCCTTCACGTTTCTTCGTCTTTGTCTTCGTCTCATTGTTTCTCTCATTTCATTCTGACGATTCTCTTTTTATTTCTGCTCTCGCCGTTTGTTTGTCTGTTTGTCATTATTATTTTTTCTTGGCTGCCTGTGCTCACACATCCACCCGCCCTCACCCACACCACGTTTTTTTTTTTTTTTTTTTTTTTCTTTTCTTTCTGTCTCTCACTCTTCCTCTCTTCCTCGGCCGAGCTTTCACATCACTACTCCCACTCACGCATACCTTCCACGACTCTCCCCCATACCGTCATTCATTCTCTCCTCATCTCCCAAAACAAAACACATCACACATTCAGACATTCCCTGTTAAAGAAAAAAAAGCCTTCCTTTTATTCCCCTAGTCTCCTTCTCCCCCTTGTCCCGTGCACACACGCACATAAAATCAATTTTTATATTTGCGCCCAAGACATAGAAAGAAAAAAAAAGAGCAACACCAGCCAGCCCCCCCCACTTTTCCCTCCTCATAAGCAACGACAAAAGCCAAGCCAGGTTTTTTTTTTCTATTTCAGCCAACCAGTGCACCACACCTTCTTCTCTTCTTCTCTTCCCTCTTTTCCCTCTCTTTGCTTCTCTCAACTTCTTTTTTTTTGCTGACAATACACTACCCCCCTACCTACAATACACTACCCCCCTACCTACAATACACATTCTCATACATACACATACACGCACAGTCATCCCTCTTTTCAACACTTCAACACATACAATCAATCTTCATCCTCACCTATCTGACTGTGTGATCACCTTCCCTCCTAAACATCACACTACCTCGCATTCATTCATTCATTCATTCATTCATCTCCTCGTCACCTGATTCACTCCCTCTCCCTCTCTCTCCCTCTCTCCCTCTCTCCATGGACATTCGAAGCATGCTCAACTCGGGCTCGGCCGCTGCCCAACAATTCAAGGAGCAGCAGCAGCAGGACCTGCAGCAGCCTCGGCGGCAACACAGCAGCAACGGCAACGGCGAGGAGATTGATCTCGATCTCGATATCGACCTTGACGACAACCCCGACGACGACGACAAGGAATCTGGCAGTTCCTCCGATGCCGAAGGCACTGTCTCAATCGATCGTCCCTACGAGTGTGTCTGGGTGGACTGCACAAAGTCATTCTCAAGACGATCTGATCTGGCAAGACACAGACGTATCCACACCGGTGAAAGGTAACCAAGTTTGTAAAGACAGAGCATATAACACGGCGCTTGGTTTAAAATCCTCCCCCGCTTGTGTATTATTCCCCCGATTTTTATTATTTTTTATTTTTCTTATGGGTTTACGAGGTACAAGGGGGTGAGTGGACACAACAACTGCAACGCAGCAGCACTCACCACCACCACTATCAACATCATCATAATCATCACCATCATTGTGCACGAATACCATCGAAAACCCATGAAGGAAACAGGGGCAAGAGAACGAGAGAGAGAGAGAGGGGAGAATGGGCCGCATAAAAATATATACACCCCCACCCTCCATCTTTCCTTGGCACGGTCATGCTTTTTTCCTCTTTCCTTCTACCCTTGTTCCGAAGGTCATCGACAAAAGAATGACGGGCAAAGAACAATGGTCATCAGCGAGACAGCGAAGAGGAGAAAGTTAAAGCGAGAGAAGTTGGCTATTGTGCATAATAAGGCATCACCCGCCGTCGCTGTCAAACGCAGCCTTTTATTCCTTGTTCCTCAAGAGTCCTCTGACCCCTATGAAGGTATTTTTTGGCCCCATGTTAACCCCTTTCCTCTCGTCTTCGTCATAGGCCATACCAATGTGAATGGGCTGGCTGTGGAAAGCAATTTATCCAACGCTCAGCCCTGACGGTGCACTACCGTACCCACACTGGCGAGCGCCCCCACGTCTGCGAATACGAGTCCTGCCAAAAATCCTTCAGCGATGTAAGTTATTGAGAGACAACAAAAGCACCTTCATCAAATCACCAAAGAGCGGGAATGGTTGTGATTCGTTTTCGTTTCAGGATAGACCAACAGTCCTCCACACGGGCATCCTCCTCCCCGCCTCGATCGCTCTTCAGTACGCCCTGACCATGGCCACTGCTCTGGCATCTTCAAATACCAACATTTTTGTCTTCAATCAATCCACTCAACACCACCAACATATTTCACATGGAATCAAGAAACCACTGGTCAGATGTCCTCTTTCTTCAATGGATCCTGGAGTTAAACCACTGGACAGGAGGGAAGAAAGAAAAGTCTCACAAGCGCCCATGCTTCAAAAGCTCAAGCCCCCCTGATTTTTTTTCTTGTGCACGCACGCACGCACGCCATACGCCATACGCCAAAACACGACGTCGGGAAGAGCTTCGGACAAATCAACAACGGTTGGGTGGTGCGCACGCCCCGTGAGGATAACTAAAAATGACGAAGCATATTTCTCTGGGAAGGGTGGGTGCGTGCATACAAACGTGGATGGGACAACAACCACAACAACAACATAATAACAACAATAACAGCAAGAAATACGTCGAATGACAACTCAAACTTATTTTCCTTATTCTATGCCCCAAACTAACCGTCTCTTACGTTACAGTCATCTTCTCTGGCTCGCCATCGTAGGACCCACACTGGCAAACGGCCTTATGTCTGCGAGAACCCAGGCTGCGGAAAGACTTTCACCCGACGCACAACCCTGACCCGTCATCAAAAGGGCCACGAGCCTGACCTCAAAACATTTATCAGGTAAGGGGTTGCATGAGACGATCTCCTTCCTCAATGCGCAGTGCAGACAGTTGGATTACATACTTAAAAAAAGGCGTTGGTTGTTAACCTGTCCAATGGTCTCCTATTCTATTTTCCTTCGAAATCACAAAAATAGCGACAACAGAGAGCAACTTGCGGCCGCAGGAATCCTTGTTGCTATCCCACAATCCCGCCCTCACTTGCAACGGTCACAGTCGCACTCTGTCTCCAACTCGTCGCCTCCCTCGCCCAGCCCCAACGGCCACTCTCACTCCCACTCTCACTCCCACTCTCACTCTCACACCAATGGATATCTGCCACCCATGAACCAGGATCGTTTCGGGACATCACCCTTGGGCTCTCGCTCTGTCGGACCAGCATCGTCAAAGTACTTTGGAACCAGTTCTCCCGGCTCGATCCAGGGCGCATTCGGTCACTCGTCCTCATACCAGGGAGAAGAGTCGAACATTACCCGTCCTATGCACCATCACAGCCACAGCCACAGCCACAGCTACAGTGGTGATCACGGAATGAACGGTCGTCAGCACTACCCCCCGGCTGGATCGGGTCATCAGCATTACAACTCGGACCATGGTCACCATGAAATGTCGTCATCGCTTCCTTCTCATTTCCACATGCATCAATCTCAGTCACGGCCTGTCCGGTGGGAGCCTCAGGGATCGAACGGTCACAGCCAGCACGGTCGTACAAACAGCCAGAGCCCGACAGCAGAGCCCACGGACGTTGCAATGTCTTCCTCCTTGCCTGCTGGATACGGTCAACCTGCCATGTCTTTTGCACACCACAGCGGGCCCAACAACGGATCGCCTTCTGGACCTCCTCCTCCCCACCCCCACCATCATCACCGTCAACAACACTCGCAGGATTATGGTCGGTCGTCACAGGGACCCTCGTCGCCCTCCATTAACGGCCACTTTAACTATGAGCACGGACGGTTTGCAGACAGTGAGAGATCGCACCACCAGCATTCGTTGTCGGGATCATTTTCACACTCGGGGTCGTCAAGAGGCAGCCCGGGACCTTACTCGCAGTCGTTCCCCACTCACTCGCACATGCAGTCACCTCAACAACCACAGTCTCCACACATCAACGGTCACGGTAGCGGTCATCACCACTACTCCTCATCGCCTTCTTCGTCCTCACACTTTCAATCGCAGTCGTCCCCTTACCAAGGGTCGCCGTCTCATTACAGCAGTGGACACCATGCCTCGTCCTCGATGGACGACCGGCGGTTCCATTCTGCGCCCATCCCTGTCCGCAACCGCTCTTAGTCAGCTGGCTGATCAATTGAGCCGCAGTGCACCATCGCCGTCTGTCATTCACTCTTTCTATTAAATACATAGCAACCATCGTAATATTCCCCCTTTCTCTTTAAAACAAAAAACCCGAACTCTTCTACTCCCTGTACAAACAATTTTACACATAAAAATAAAAAAACCAAAAAACAATTATTAGAAGCAACCATTCATTGATTGAAACAATTGATGATGTGTTTTCTTCAACAAGTAGAACCTTGTCAACGTTATCGTCAACCTAATAAGAAACGAAATTAGGAGGACCCGGCGGGTCCACCTCCTGGAGTTCCTGATCCTGGCACGCCTCCTAATCGACTACCGCCAGTTCCCCAAGTCTTTTGTCCTGGTTTCTTCTTGTTTGACCCTTTTGCTTTTTTTCCTCCCGTTCCTCCACCACTACCGCCTACTGCGCCGCCTGTTGTTGAAGATGTCGTTAAAGGAGCAGCAGATCGACCGGTGTTCTCCTGTAGGGACTGAACGCGTTGTTGAAGACGTTGATGGAGTTCTTGACGGGAGGTCTCTACATTCCAACCTGGTTGCCGGTGTGTCACGCCGCGGTCGTGAGCTTCTGCGCCCAGAACGTGTCCTGAATCGCGTTGGAATTGTTGGCGTGCTTGGTCCCGGCCTTTTTGAGCGCATGCCTGTGAGTGTGTCTCTGGATGGCTATTCGGGTAGGAGAGAGAGGGAGGAGAGAAGGAGGGAGAAGGGTATGAGTATGGTGTTTTTTTTTTTATTTTGCTTTGCGAGCAAGGTGATCAGCTTTGTTCTATTTGAGACACATGCGGAATGAAAAAAGTAGGAGAATTACCGGTGCTCCATGCAAAAGATGAGGTGGCATTGGCGGCATTCTGCCTTGACGGCGGAGAGGAACTTTTTGCAATGTGCGCATCGGTCTTGGGTTGATGGTGGTTCTGTCTGCTGCTGCTGTTGTTGTTGTTGGGTAGAGGTGTCTTGGGACTTTGTGGTTGTCCTTGTGGGACGGACGGTTGTTGTGCGTGAACTCATGACCTTTTTTTTTTTTCTTTTTCTTCTTCCTTCCTGTATGTGGTTGGTAGTGTGTGTGAATGTCCTGAGTGATGCAGACTGCGGCAGGTGGGGCGATGTTCTTGACGAAGGTTGATGGAAGTGAAGAAAAAGGGTGTGGTGTGCTCTTTTCATGACCTTCTTGACAGAAAGAACGAAAGAGTCCAAGTGGCCTTGCGGCACACTCATCCACGTGATGAAAAGGGGTGTTCATTTCTCAATGCCTGCCCAATGCTTTTCTTTTCCCCACACCCATTCCTTACCCCTCTTCCCACTTCCATCCTTCCATCTCTCCCTCCCCCGACAACGTCTCCAAGCCCCCCGCCTCACTGAAATTTACAATTCTTTCTTTTTTCTATAGTATCCTCCAATTCTATATTGTAGAACAAGAAAGACGCACCTATAGAGTGCCCATAGGCGCGAGGCAGAAGGAATGGTATATCGTTGCCTTGTCAAGTCCGTCTATCCGTCTTCGATTGATAATAAATATAAGAAAATAATAAGTTCCTGTTCTGTCCAAAATGCACAATCGAGCGAGTTCGAGGGCCAAATGGAAAGAGACAATGAAAAGAGAACAATGTGTACCGGTACGTGCGTTCTATTTATTATTTTTGGTATGATCATCGACTAAAGGTCTTGGACAGATCACGACGACGCGTGTCGAGCCACACCAGAGTCTCGAGCTCATACGCTCCACCACAGTCCATCCACCGGAGCTTGGGCAGTTCCTTCACCAGCTGGATCAGGTCCTTTGACGATAGCTTTTGGTTCAAACGGGGGAGGTCCAGTGTCTCTAGATCTGGGTACAAACTACTCCGCCTTTTCTTGCAGGTGTGATTGCCAATGGAGAAGTCAGGGGGATTGCAAGTGGCACAGGGAACAGGCGTCTGCGATTCCTCGCTACCACCTCCATACTCTGCCTCGTGTCGCTGTCGGCACGCGTCCAGTTCCCCCTGCGCCAAGCGTTCATCCTCCAATGCCAGCACTCGAAGATTCTCGCCCAATAGCCCCTCTAGTGTCACCCCACGTCCTGCGATGGTCAGCCCATGGAGGTGATGGAGTTTTTTGAGTCGTGTAAAGAGCTGCCGGTTGACCTCGTCGTTGTACAGGACCATACCGATCAGACAAAGACTGTGGAGGGTGTCCTTGCTTGACCACTCTGGCGGCTCTGATCGACCAACAACTTGTGGCGGTTCAGGTTCTTGTTGTCCCTCATTTTCGCCTGGTTCACTTTCTTCTTCGCTAGCACCCGTGGCGGTGGTAGGATGGAAAAGTACGACAGGGTGTCCGAAATTCGAAAAGAGGTCGTCGACAGGCCCATAGCAAGTCAGGGTACACTCTTCCAACTTTGAACAATTCTCCAACACCATCCTCGCTCCTTGCCAAGTAGACCTGGTCTCACCCTTGATCCTCAGCACCCGGATCCGATCATGTCCATATCCCACCAAGATTCTCATATCCTCATCCCTCAAGTTGGCGTTCAAAAGAATCAACTCCTTCAGATGAACCAGTTCCTGCATAAACGACTCCCAGTGGGTGAAGAACGGATCTGGAGATGGGCGGTTGTTTCGAGGGTACCGATCCGCAAAGGGACACCTGGGCTTGCCGAGGTATGTGAACGAGACCAAGGACCGGCAGGAGGTTTGAATGGGCAGCAAGAGGTCAGGGCTGATTCTACTGCGTTCGAAAAACTCGGTCGTAAGACGAAGGAGATGCGGCAGTCGTGAGAGTAAGGGTCCGAGCTGTCCGTCTTGGAAAATGTGGAGCTCCGTGACCTTGGATCGAGTAGCCCCTGGGTCGGCTGATTTGAGTTCCTCGAGGGTCGATTGGCTGGTGGCAATCAGGTCCGCAAAGTAGTCAGGGATGTGGGTCTTGTAGTGGATCCCCTTGTAGAGAGCTGGTTGCGCAAACTTGCCAGCGACAGCTGCTGCCAATGCTGCTGCGATAGCCGTCATGGCCGCTGCCGCCTCTTCATCTGCTTCTGGGTTTGTGTCACTCTCGGTTCCTTCACCCCTGGTGGCTACTCCTGAATCAGAATTAGTCGGAGCACTGGCTGTGGTTGGTGTAGGCGAGGACCCAGAATCGACCATCAATTGTAACATCTCAGACCCCTCCGATCCTTCTAAACAGTCCCAAGGATTCTCTGATGGCGCAGGCTCGACCTGGATCGACAAAAGTGTCAACTGCTCCAACCTGGAATGAGCAGCCAAGAAATCATGAATCGCCGAGGAAGGGACACCAAAGACTGCAGATGTTTCCTGTCCAGAGAGTCGAAACGACCGTAGACCCTGGAGTCGGCCGTCTAGTCCTGCGCGGGTTAGCCACAACAGGACGGCATAGAGATTCTCACCAGGGACTTGAAGCTGGAGGTTCTTTATAGAGTTGGACAGGAAGCCGTTGCGGCCTGTGGGGATGTGCCAAAGTAATGCATCAAGTGCTGTAGTGTTGACTGTGTCGGTTCTGGCGTCGGTGTCGGTGTCAGTGGCAGTGATGGCTGGAGGGACGATAATGGCTGTTGGAACAATGATCGAGTGTTCATAGGCTGGAGCCCAGGTCAAAGGAACAAGGGTCGGGAAAGGGTTTATACTGTTCCTCCTGGCCTTGGTTAAGCTCAGAATCTGCTTATCTTTGTCATCCGAAGCTGCTGCCGTTGCTGCCGTCGAGAGTTCAGTCCCGACTGACCGTCTCCTCCACTCCTGGTGTTGTGGCGTCATCAGCTTCGTCCCTACAGTATCACTTGTGTTGGCGTGTGAGGCGGTAGTCATATACCGCTTCAAAGTCGTCACCTGCACCGGATCCCTCGCCCCTCCAAACCTCGCCAACAACCCCGGTGACTGAATTCCAAGAACAAACAACTCAAACTGCTCCTCCAACAATCGCCCAAAGTTCAACTTTACAGACTCCATCCACGGACAACACTCCCGCACAATATCCAGCGTCGCGTCTGGATCGTTCATTCTCAGATCCAAATGTCGGACCCAGTGACCATAGTGTGGGAAAAAGGATGCTGCAGAGGCGACACCGTCGGCTTTGGCTCGTTCGAGGGCCTTTTGGCGGAGGATGACGGTGTAGTAGAGGTATGGGGTAAAGACTTTGTTCCAGAGCCGGTTGACGAGAAGACAGTGGATGACATCTTGGGTGGTGAAGTGTTCGGTGATTTGGTCGCGTAGTTCTGGGATCAGCAGTGGGTGTTGAGGGGGCGGAGGGAGAGCTGGCGGTTCCTCGTATTGTTGTTGTTGTTTGTCAGATGTGAAAGAAGGCATGATGGTGGTGTGTAGTTATTGTTACTTCAAAGTTGTGGCGAACTGGACTTTTGAAGGGTGAGAGAAGAAAATATTTTTTTTCCAAGTTCGAGGGCACAATAAATGAACGACGCCAACCAACAACAAAAGAAAGCGAAGAAAAGAGGCGATGAGGAAAAGAGACCATTAACTATTGTGTATTGTGAGCGTCCATTGGCCAGGATCGTGATGTTTGTTTGTTTACGCTTTCCTAAGCATTTGAGGGTGGGCGATTCGCGTTCAGGGTTCGTGTGTCTCCCTGTGTGCCAATGGCAGATCGCCAAAGTGAGATTATGACTAACGCTCCTTTTTTCTGTTGGATCATGATATCCAGAAAAAGAAAAAAAGAACGTCGCGATTTTTTACTATCGATCTACGCTTCTATGGACCCTGTTCCTCTACTTTCAATGAGCAACCAGAGTTTCCCTCCAATATGGCGCGTTAGCTTACATGGCGCTTACAACAATAACAGGTTGCCCGCTCCATGCAATTTATGCAATTAAAAAAATTTCAGTGGACTGAAACCATCCAGGGCCAATGACGACGATCCCTGGAACCTGATGTGTTGCACCCTGACCCTCTTGTACAAAGTAATTTAGTCTGATCAAAACAAGGGGCCCCCTGATCATAGATCAAATAAGGGGACAGGGGGAGTGAGGGGTCGGGTAACCTGACCGGTTCCGCCTTTTCCCTCCCTTTCTTGATTCAATGTCATCAATATTCATTGTTTGATGATATGCTCGTAGAAAAATGAAATGAAAAGACAACCTAGAAAACTCGCACGTATTTTTTCGCTCTCTCTCTCTCTCTCTCTCTCTCTCTCTCTCTCTCTCTCTTTTTCACACACACACAGCACACGGACACACATGCACACATCCCCCGCGGAGAACCATTCCACACGAAACAAAATAAAACAACAATGGACACCATGCATGTGCTAGTTTGTGCGTGGGTACATGCATGTCAAACGGGCTGTCGCTTAGGCTTATGGTCAATAAGAAAAGTTAGGGTTTATGGTCAATAAGAAAAGCGCAAACACCATCAGGGGCAAATGTACGCCTTCTTTCGTATCCAGCCTGCCTGTCCTTTATTTGTTTCGCGTGTAACGAAACATGCCTCATTTTCAACTGTTGCACCAATACCCTGCAATGTCTTTGCTCATTGTCGCGGTACCGCTCTGTACCAAAAGTTCATTTTTTTTTAATCCGAGGAGTGAGCGAGTGAAAGGGAAAAGTGAAAAGTGAAAGTGATAGGAACGGGATATGAAAATACTATTTCTTGTTTTCGATGTGGCTCTCAATTCATTGTCATTTTCAGCGGGCAAAAAAGCGTATGTGCCAGCAGGAAAGAATGAAAATGAGGCGCTACATGGGTACGATACACCACCTAAGCAAAAACGTATTTCTAAAGTATATGGGGCATATGTTGTTAGAGTGCATGCAGTGCTGAACCAAAAGAAAAAAAAATGGCGTAAAAGGTACATTTTACCATAGAAAAATAGATTCGAAAATAGCATTTTGTGTATGCATGCATTAATATGTTCTTCCCCTCCAGGTAACAACAACGATTGGCACTTTGAAGAGGGAAGGAAGAAAGGGGAATGTACGATCAGGAACTTGTTTGTTCGGATGGAAAAGAGTTCCTCGTCTCACACCCCATCGATTCCCATTTCTTCGTGTATATATCCCTGACCCCCTGGCTCATGTTCCTGTCAGAGGCATCATTACAAACAATTGAGATTGGGACAAAGAGCAAGGAGGATGGACCATTGTTGGCCTATGGGGACGAGCTGATTTATTACTGATTGCGCTGACCATGCAGGAGGGGAAATAGCCACACAATGGACGTACACAGGGGTGTAAAATTACAAGAGCAGCAGTATTTGTCATGAAAAAAAAGTTGTACGAGCAGATCGCATGCAAAACATTACAACGGAAAGGGTTCTATTGCAATGGGTTTGATCTTATAGGTTGTTATCATGATAACATAGTTCATTCCTTCCATGACGAGCGAAACCTCTCGTTCGCGAGGGAAAGAGAAGGACTTGACAAAAGGCGTGAGGAATAAAGAAGGCTATCGCCCAGAAAAGTGAGGTTAAGGAGACCCCATGAATTAACAAAACGCCACAAAACAACATATTGTGGTGCGGCGACTAGCACACTTTGTTCTGGAATGAAATATTTCATCGAAGCAGAAATATGCAATTGAACTCCCTGCAGAGCAGGAGCGACATGTCGACGAACTATAGGAGAATAAACATGCCCGGAAAAAAGGATGGACCTGAATATCGACCCTGCTAGTGCTTAAACTACTAGTCAAGATAACAGAGAGATACGGCGCCATTGAGCACCGCCCCGGAATTAAGAATGAATAGAACGATCGTAATGGGAAAAAAACGAGAGAGTACTTAGAATGGGAAACCCACGCGGAGTAATGAGAGCATGGGAACAAGAGATCCTCCGCGGCGGCAGCATCGGTGGCTGCCATGGAGATGGTCCATCTAGGAGTGTTGTTGTGGCGTTCAATCGCTGGACACTTTTTCTTAACGTTGGAGTTGGTTTAGCCGCGCTAGACTCAAAAGAATTGTAATTTAGCACGTTAGCACAAAGAGAGCAAAGAATACCGGGTGTAAGCTGTAGATATGGGGAAGATCTCGGGCCAATGCAGTAATGCAAGAGAAGAGTGAGAGAAGAGGCGCAATTGAAATGGTTCAGACTATTTGATTGAATGATGGATGAGCAAGAGATGAAGCAGGAGGAGGAGGAGGCGACAAATAAGTGAAAGACAAACCAGATGGAAAAGACTGACTATCTTGCAAGGAAAAGAACGGGTGAGCATCAAATCTTGGATGAATGCCATCAAAGAGGCGGTGTTCAGCAGGTTCGGCTGAAATGGCTGTTGCAAAAGAGAGAGAGGGAGTCGGATTTTATTAGATGGGTGGAGTAGGCAGAGAGTGGGTTTGTTGTTGTTGTCCGACAGACGGCTCTAATGAAATATTTGTCCATCATCCTTAGACCTCCAATTGCTCTCAAGTTTCTTGTTTTTTGAACTGCCTGACTCGCTGATGGCTGGACGGTGGTTACAGTTCATTCACTTCAACTTCTAGATTAAAGCGATTCCACGCTAAATAGTCCCTCAATGGCTCTCTCTTTTTTTGGATTATGTGTGTGTTTGAGTGTCGATGTGGATGAAAGGGGCAGAGAGGGAGCTTACACATACACAGAGAAAAAAAAGAAGAGAGCGGGATGCTCTCATCCAACAACAATGGTGGTTTTCATTCATTTTGTTGTTTTGCACCTGCCTGTGTCCCTCTCTTACTCATCCGTTGTCCTCGTCTGTCCATCCGCCGTCTCCTGCATGTACCATAACATACCCCTGGCTTAAACCTCGACTTCTGTAAAAATACTTTTTTTTTTCAATCTCTGTGACATTGCCCGGGCGCAACAAAGAATGAAAGAGTAATAAAGGCTCGGCTTCTGGTTCACTCTTTTGGGGGTCCGCCTCTTCACAGAGGAGGAACGAAGACAAAGAGTAACGACGAAGTGCTCATCACTATTTCTTTTTTACTCATCGGGTTAACTTTCTTCATCTTTCTTTTCTTGCTCTTGCCGTTGTTTAGTTCCTCATCCCTCTTCTCATCTCTTTTCGTTTCTTTCCCCATCCCCTTCCTTTTGTTGTTTTGTTACTGTTATTGTCTACTCTCCTTTCTCTCTCACTATCTCTCCATCACCATACACATATACATTCAATCGACCGTTAGAGAACAGACACTAAGACAGGTCCAATAGAGTAGCCGCCCTGAAATTCATTTTCCACCACCATCAGTACCCTCGCTCCTCCACCTTAATCGCCTTCTTCTACTCCATCTTTCCTTCTCTTTCTTTCTCCCTTCGTCCCTTCCTCTCTTCCTCCTCTCTTCGACCCTTCTTTCCCATCGTCATCTCCCGATCCCGATTGACAATCTCACTCCCAGGATCACCTCCTACCATATCCACTCTCCACTCTCCACTCCACTCCCCCTTCCCTCTCCACAATCGCGTGTAACGAACCCCACCCTACTAACTGTAGCACCACCCTAATCAGTAACAACAACAACACCCTCACCCACAATGGACCCCCACACAACACCCACCTCCTACAAGAGGAGTAATCCCAAACCCCGGAAACCCCAACGCCTCCTCGCTACCACCTCAGCCCTCCTCCTCCTCTCCCTCCTCTCTTCTATCCCTACACCTACACTTGCTCAGGACGGCTTCCCCGTCGGAACCCGTCGAGTCGGCTTCACAACCCTCAACGACGTCCTCTACATTCAAGGAGGTTTCGATGTCGAAACCTCAAACCAGTTTGTATCCCTCGACCTCTCGACCTCCTGGCCCACCACTACTCCTGCATGGACGATCCTTAAAGATGGACAAGCCACCTCTCACCTTACCCTGTCTGCAATCAGCGCCGGATCGAACGGTGGATCCAAGGGCTCGATCCTCGCGATCGGTGGAATGCCCGCCCGTACAGGACCCCCCAGTGTCCTAGCCATGTACGACATCAACTCTGCATCCTGGACAAATGCCCTCAACAATGTCAAACCCCCCTACCCAGCTCTCGAAGGTCACGCAGCTGTGTCGGACCCCAATACCGGATTGATCTACATCATTGGAGGATATAACGGGACGACGACGAACTTCTTGTATAACACTTTATCGGTGTATGATCCCAAATCGAGGATGGTGGCCTCGCAACAGGCAGGGACGGCTGCGAACAGTTTGACGGACGTTGGGGCTGTTTGGTCGACAAAACGGAATTCGATCTTGACGTTTGGAGGGTCGAGAGCTCCTCCTGCGGGAACTAATGCTGTCGGGAATGATATTCTGGAGTATGATGTTACTACTAAGGCATGGAGTACCATGGTATGTACCTTTTTGTTTGTTTCTATTGCCGAACTGGCTGTGGTACCTGAGAGCATTGGGAGGAGAGAGAGAGCGGGGGAAGAAGAGTACTAACGTGGATATATCCTCTGGAATGTTGCAAAATAGAGCACCTCTGGTGATGTACCCCCAGCTCGCTTAGATCACTGCATGGCTGTTTGTAAGTCATTTCGGTTTCATTTCTTGTTTGTTTGCGTCTTTGCGAGGCTTGCAAAATTCGTTTCTACCTAAACTAATATATCTCTTCCCCCCAAACCAACAGCTGAAGACGGCTCAAAGATCGTCGTATACGGAGGCACTCTCGACGGCGTCCTCTATTACAACAGCATCTACATCCTCGACCTCAAATCCGGGAAATGGAAACAAGGAACTCCCTCTCCAACTGCCCGAACCCGCATGGCATGCGCCTTCCACTCATACCAATTCATCGCCTGGGGTGGATCCACTGGTGCAGCCCGAACCACAATGCTCAACAACACCCCCGTCGTCTATGACCTTAACTCTGACAAGTGGGTCGAGAATTATAACGTGGACAGTACTGAAAAGAAGACCAACGCCGGCGCGATTGTGGGGGGTTTGGCGGCCGTGGCGGTGGTGGGTGGAGCGATCGCGTTCCTGATGATCAAGAAGCGGAGGCAGAGACAGACGGATGAGGCGTATAAATCAAATTCGCTGGCCGCGAATTTGGCTAGTATGGAGGACGATAATATCAAAGTCGAGGCGCCCAATTCTCCACGGATGGAGTATGGGAACCAATACCCTCTCAACAAAATGGAGAACTCTGCCACCAGCCCCTCACAACAACAACTATACCCGGCATACGGAGTCCAATCCCCAGCAGTCGCATACCAGCAATATGGAGGCGACCATACCGGATATGTCGGATCCCCTTACCAACAATACAACGTCGCACTCGGACCAGGTGGGGAATACGGACCTGACCAATATGGCGCCTACCCCTCCCACATTCAACACCAACAAGGATACCCACCAGCCCCTGGTACAGGAAACGACTACGCCCAACAACAGAACCCCTTCATGTCGCCAGATGACTACCACTCCCAAGCAACAGTCGGCGGCATGGCCTCGTCAGTGAGCTCCGGATCCAGTAACCCCTTCACAAATGCTGCCAATTCCGCCGCAACACCCACCTTCACGTCAGTCTCAGCTATAGGCTCCCCGGCTGCAGGGTACCAGACCACACCACGGATAACCCCTGCACACGACCCCTTCCAATCGACTCAGAGCTCCCCCTGGAACGGGACTTATCCTGGTCAGCAGCAGACGATTCCTTCTCCTGGTGCGCGTGCTCCTCAAGTCATTCCCGAGAGTGCTACTACTACGAGTTATGTCCCCCCACCACTGTAACTACAACAAAAGAAACGATCCAAAACGAAAAAAAAAAAAAAAAATAACTTGCATTGCTTTTCCCTTTTCCGCGTTTTTCGTCAGTTCATCGATCATAAAACAAGAAAGCTCATGAGCACCAAAATACATTGTAAATATTTTTTTTTGCTTTTACTGCAAAACAAAACATGAAGAAGGGTTATCGTGACAAATAAGACCTCAAACCGTCCTACCACGATATCCTCCAACACTCCGCATCTTCTCCCTCCTATAAATCGGAAGAAAATAACGAGCGGCGAAAAAAGACAATCTCCTATCGATCGCAACCACTCTAATCTCTCTTCAGCTGAGCACGTGTGGGTCCGACGGGGACACCGCCCTGGGACTGATTACCCATCTGCAAGATCAATCCGACCGCCAAAGCAACAGCAAGGAAGAGTCCCAAGACGAGCCAGAAGAAGAGATGGAACTGGACAGAGATATCGACCTTGTCACAGATCTTGCCTCCATACTGTGTGTTGTTGGTCTTAGCGCACTTGCAGTGGTAGCAGTTGGCGGCCACACTGAAGACACAGGTTCCCTGCTGGCTGCATCCGTTGGTGTTGGTCTGGCACTCGGCCTCAGAGGGGAAACAGTGTCCTGTAGCTGGCAATCCGCGCTTGAAGACATCAGCAGGTGCGGCGCGCTTCTCCATTGTTTGACGGGTGTTGGGGGCTACCAAGAAGATGGTTGTGGTGTAGGTCTTGTGAATCTGCTCAAATTCGGGAATGAAGGTCTACAATGAGAGTAAGGCATGATTGTTAGATTAAACTGACAACTGCCTGGATAACGTAGCTAGCCGTCTTACACAGTCAACGTCTGACACGAGACTTACAGTCTGCAAGAACTCCTTGAGGATCTGCTGGCCAGTCTTGTACTGGATAGAGTCGACACCGTGCTCGGCAGCGAGAGCAGAGAGACCATTGAGTGTGATGCGGACAAAGTCGGACTCCTGACCGTGAGCGCTATGCTTCTTCTCGTATGTGTCGATGTAGTTGCCCAACGAAACAGACTCTTCCAAGAACAATGCATCAGCCTAGTGTTCAAAAAGAGGTCCATCATTGGTTTAGTAACCGCGTCGCAGGAGAGTTTCAATGTGGTTGTTCCATTGTCTCTGGTATACTGTAAGAAAGTGAGTAGTCAAGATGGGAACATACCTTCTTGGAAAGATCAAAGACGGACATATCGACGTTGGCGTGGTGCTCTGCAACAATGTGCTCGTTCACCAAGGCATCTCCTGATACTGACGACTCATGCTATTAGAAAAAAAGGACAAGTTTTGAATTGATTAGAAGGACAGCCACCAAAATGTCGACGTGAGATATCATGTGCACGTTTTTTTTTCTGCACAGGACTCATGGGAGCATCAGACATCCCACATTCAAACAAAAAAGGGGAGGAAGTGACTAGGACATACCGTGTTGAAGAGGTATCTATCCTGAGCTGGGACTCTGTCGGCCAGGTCTGACACGACGTCTTGAATATCCTCGCTTGACTCGACTGTAAAAGATGCGTCGTATGAAGGCATCAAATCTATCGTTCAACATGACGTGAATGAGGAGGTATCAGTGTCTGGTCATATTCCTCCAAGCGATAAGATCGATCCTCTCCTTCCTTCCCACAGTCAACGCCTTGGGAAAGCGGCAAGCGTATGTATGTACCTTGGGGGTTCTTGACACCCTCAATGACCATCATCAAGTTGCTTCCGATCGTGGCAAAGAGATCCTTCCTGGACATTCCAGGCTGCTTAAAGACCTGTTGGATAGGCCCCTGCATGTCGACAAGGGACTGGTCACCGCGTGTGGACTGGCCCAGGTTCAAGAGATGCGCCAAGGTCGCGCGGGTCTCCTTGATGTTGAGCGAAGGGAGGTCGTTGGCAGCGTTGAGATCTCCATGGCTGGCGCAGTTGACGGTGGAGGGTCTGCCGTGCGAGAAAAAGTAGACGGTGGCGGGCGCTGGTGCAGCGGCTGCTGAGGTTGTGTAGACAAGGGTCGACAGCAGTGCTGACAGGGAGACGGCGAGGAACTTCATGTGTATGCTATTTGTGTCGTCAAGTTGATTGATTTGGTCGTGAAGTAGAGGTTGTATCCGCTGTTATATGTTGTCTCTTGCGCGTTGTTCTCCTGTAATGTGTTCTTCTCTTTGTGTATAAGAGCTAGAAGAGGGAGTTGTTACGAAGGAGGAGAGTGGAGTGTGTGGTGAAGAAGGAAGGACAAAAAGGACAAAAGACTAGGGAATGAATGCGAACCACCAGGCGCGAACCAAGGGGATCTTTTGCTGACTTTGGCGGTCACGACACACTCCAAGAGTCGACGGTGACGTCGCTGACCAAGGGGGAAACGAAAGATGTGAACAGCTTTCCTCTTCTTATCGAATCACTCCTCCACCGACATTCTCAACGATGCTTCAACAGCCACGGCGACTCGCAAGATCGGGCGTTAAGAGAGGCCCACTCCCACAGCCTCATCCTGACCAGCGTGTCTTCAGGGCTCAGACACCACGACAGCAACGCTTCTGGCACGGGAAACTGCCAATCCTCCTCGGACTGGCCGTGCTGCTACTTGGATATCGGATCATGCGCGTTTATCAATACTACCAGGAAGCCAGGAGCCGGAAGAGTGCTGGCGCCGCCTCTATTAAGCAGGATCAACGATGACAACATGTCTTTCTCATAAGAAACGTTACTGTTGTAGGTTGTATCGCGCCAACAGCCAGCCAGGACAGGGTCGCGAATTGCAGTCTGATCCTTCGGCAACATGATCAATTGACGATCTTGCGCCAGGGGGACCAACACCAATCAAGGCAGACGGGCCATACTCACAGCAGACCGTGTGCTGTATACCTCTGCGACAAAGCGAGCAACTGCTACCAGCAGCGCGTCAAGGATAGCAGCAACGATCAGCCAAACATGCAGCAATACCACAACGCGAAGAAATAAAAGTGTCGCCGACAGGTTTTACTAGTAGAATATCATGGGCGGTGTGGGTTGCGGACGATCCGTTGAACATTATCCTTCAAGAGTGCGTGCTCTTCCTGGAGATGGCGTACTTGTTGAGAGAGATCATCCTTGAGGTCGTGGATCGTTCTCGGGACAAATTGGACCTGATTCGTGCTCGAGTGCTGTAGCAGGACCTGGTTGTTCAAACGATCCTTGGCGTTCACCAACTCCTGAAGATGTTCCTGCAGAGTGTGTCGCTCCTCATCCGCTTCCTTCCTTAGCTCCACATTGCGGTTCAGCAACTGAGTGATTTCGTCCGCATCGCGTTTCTGCATAGCAACTGGGTCAGCATCCAACTGGAAACCCCTTTGGCTTTGTCGCTGACGGTTATCCGCAACTCCATGCAGGCGGCTCGACTGAATCTGCAGATCCTGACACTCTGAGACTGCGGCCCATAAAAGTTCCTTCTGTGACTGGATTGCGTCCTTCTCGCGCTCCAGAGTCTGCTCAACAACGACGCCAAGGCAGTAGTACTCCAATAACCGGTCGACAGTCTGGTTGAGTTCCTTCAATGCCTGATCGTGTTCCCGCATCGAATCTTCATGGACAGCTGTCAGAAACGGGAGCTCAATGTCACAGCGGGCGATCCGCTCACACAGGTCCACGAGCACACCGCGTCGAGCCATATCCTCATTCTCATTGGCCCCATCACCCTCGTCTCTATCCTGACTTTGAGACACAAGTCCTGCAGACCTTGGTTGCTCAGGGTCCGACAAGAGCTGTTCCATCTCGTCCTTCAGTCTTGCAGTCTCTCGCTGAATAGATATCAGCTCAATCTCTTGTTGTCTTGACTTCTGGATCAATAGGTTCTTGGAACTCGCAATGGTGTAGAGTGAGTAGTCACCGGTCCTGTTCTCGTCATCCGCTGCCTCCTCCTCCTGTATTCTCTGACGTGCCTCAGTATCCAATGACTTCATGTAATGGAGCTCCTCTTCCAGACACTTGAGTTGGGCTACAGCTCGAATGTGGCTCATCTTGGTGGCTCGGTACGTTGAGCAGAGTCGGACGATCTCCTGATCATAGCCGGGGTTGCGTTTCAATAGTCGATCCAAGGAGTGTAATGGTGCAGAATTGACAGAAGATGATGTAGAAGCCCGCGGTAAAGCCAGAGAGTTGAGAATGTGGTTGTAAAGTAGCTCGCTCGTCTCAATGAACGCCTTGTCGAGCTGCTGGATGTAGTCAAGGTCTTCCTCACACTGGTAGAGAAAGTTGTTGGATGTACTAAGCCGAGTGCGGTCAGCGTCGCCTGATGTGTCCATATGTTGTTCTCCACCCTGCGCTTGACTTAGATACCCTACAGCGGCCTTTCGAGCAGTGGACTCCAGCTTGGCCGCCGTCGCGTCTAGTTTGATCGAGGTGTCATGAATGTCCATGTCGAGCAGCCTGTTCGTGTCTGTAGCCTGGCTCTCAAGGATCTTCATATCCTCCAGCTCCTTTTCCAGTGAAGCCAACGTGTTCCTATTTGTGCCACATAATAGTACTTCTATCAGTCACTTCATTCACGCAGCTCGATCCACGCTACTGTAGTAAGCATAATATAGCCTGGTCAACTTACTGGAGCTGCCAGTGCTGTTGATCTAAGGATGCTAGGACCTGCTCGCCTTCTTCCTCGTCTAGCTCACGGTCAGCACAATCAAGACTGACGAAGGATCCTTCTGGGTTGTCGTATCCAGGCCAGTTGGACTCTGCGGTGACATTGTTAAGCAACCAGTCTACAAACTGTGATGCAGGGGTTGAAGCAAACTCGGCTGATGCCAGATCTCCTGGCGTTGCTGTGGTGAACTGATCTGCGAGCTGGGCATAGATGGCTTCGGGTGAGATCTCGTGAGGGTAGTCGATGGATTCCAGGAGATGGATGAGTCGGTTTGTCTGTTCTGTGATGTGTTCCTGGAGAGCGACGGTTGCTTGCGTTGTTGTTGACATGGCGTAAAGGATCGTTTCACTGAGAAGTGCTATTTGGTGGCGGTCCTTTTCACAACTTTCTTATTTTTGGACTCACGGCAATTGGGCGCGTTGTCATTGGTCAATGGCAGTCTCATATTTGTGTGTGCTGACCAGCTGGTGTAAACCGTTGTTGCTTTCGCTTCCTCATCCAACACTACCCTCTCAAGAAACCATGTGGCAAGTCACCAGGAACACACCATCATCACTCACGCTCTCAACTATGCCTTGAAGTATAACCCTCAGGGACACTCAGGAGGCGACAACCGCTAACAAGAGCAGAAGCAAGAACAACAACGATGCACCCTCACTCTCTTTTGGTTCACCATACTAAACCCCATCACCTTTTTGTGTCTTCATGTCCATTTCAATAGGAAGAACCAGAACCAGAACAGAGCCGACCTCTTCGGTTCGTCCTCCTCATCCAATCAAAACAGCGCCTACAACCGGGAACAACAGACAGCACTTCTCTATGAGCAGCAGAACGACCTCAGGATGGAGGAACTCGCCTCGAAAGTGTCCGTTTTGAACAGAGTAACGTCGCCGATCAATTTTGAGTCTCATGGGGCTGTGTCTATTGGGGTCAAGGAAACCCAATTAAAAAACGGGAGACTGATACCCTTCTCGTTGGTTATTCACCGTAGATTACAATCGACATTCAGAACGAAGTGCACGGTCAGCATGCCATCCTGGATCAGAACGTACGTTGTCACCACAAGTTTCTATCAACGTGTCAAAAACGAAGTCAGGACCAGAAGCTGTATAATGACTAGATGGTGTATATTGACCCCCTTTATTTCAATTTATCCCGCCTCCGTTTCTCCTCCTCATCATTAGTCCAACTCCTTCAGCGAATTTGGAGCCAGCTTTGCAACGACAGTGAAGAAGCTCAACGTCATGGTGTCGCAAAAGTTGGGCAAGAACATGTGCTGGATGGTCAGCGCAATCGTCATCTTGTTCTTTATCGTCTACTTTATCTTGACCAGGACGAACTCAACATGAGGACATGGGCGAAGTAGACAAGGGAGAGGCACATCAGCAAGGACTAAAGGATCGCTCAGTAGCACAAGGAACAGGAGCTGGAAAACTGACCCTGCATCCTCACCACCGCAGTCTCATCCATACCGCATCACATACAACAACTACAGCCAATTACTACTCAATAGTCTCTATAGCAGATATCTTATGTACAACAATTAATATAGACAACGCGAATCTTCCCTTTTTGACTATTGGAGACATCAACTGGACTAGGTTCATTTCTGCGCGGGGATACGGGCATACACCAGGACAAATTGAAGACATCCAACATATGACAAGATTCCAGCATGTCGATGGTCAGTTTCCTGTTGTCGTTTTCGTTCACACCAGCAATTCTCTTCTTCTTGCCTGGTGGTTCATGTCACCCCAGAACTACGATGACAAATGGGTGCCTCTTTTCTTTGATACCGGAAAGTCGCTGCGCCGATGATGGACAACGGAGAATGTGGCGTTTCCGTCCCTTTGTGCTCATTTTAGGCCCTCTCCTTTACACCAAAGATAACTGGGCGGTGCTGTGCGTATTTCATTTTTGATCGGCGCTTTGGTCTTCCCGATTTCTTAGCTCATCACGTTTATTTGTATCTTCACAAGACACCTCTGAACAATGGCTCAAGGCAGAAACTATCTGTCTATTATGTCTTCCTTCTTTTCAGCGCGCCCATTAAAACACTAGGTCACTCGTCGATGCGTCGAGATGAGACAGGGAGCGCATTGCCTCATTAATTCCGCTTCTGGAGATTCAAGTTTCAGTCCGAATGTTGCATTTGCCCCTCTTTTCAACGCTTGTTCGAGGATGGTTTGAGGTCACCTTGGGTCCCTCGGTTCATTCGTTTGGCCCTCGTCCAGAGCGATTGGATTTTATGCTCCGGTGGACCTTTTTGTCTTTTTAGCTGATGGTCTGAGGGTCATGGCTACACGAAAATATGAAGGGTCTCCGAGTCTCATTTGAGTGGCACATTAACCTTTGCAGTCTTTTGTGGAGATCTGCTCGTTGCATTGAACTACCATTTTCTCATGAGTACCCAACATGCCTCTGCAGTTTGTTTGTCGCGGGGATGGTTGTCTACAACCGTACATTGAATACTTTGGTAATTGTTCAGGAGGACGCGACCCTTTGCCAGCCCAGTCTTCTTTCGCATTCACTTAAAAACATGAGGCTCAGTTGATTTGATTAATTGATTATCCATTACATTTGTCAGAGGCATTATGAAGGATATGGCGTACATAACTCGGCGTTCCTGTCTGGCTTTTCTGTCAATTGTTGTTCAGAACGATAGCACGACATCGTTCATAGGAGTATTTTTACTTTTGATAACGAGCGCTGTTCAAGAATAGGAGGAAGAGAAATGTCAATTCGTCGTTTGGGTTGACCTGGCTGAGTTCTAGAGTATCGGTAGACGTGGTATTCGATGTTATAGTCCATCAATTTGTTTGCTTGCTTTGTTGCTTTGGAGAATTGAGCCGCTCGTGCCTGAATGTTCATTTCAGTACTTGATACCCAGGGGGATAGTCTGATACCTCGGTGCGCGCATTCGTTTATTCTTTTGATCTTCGTTCAACGCGATCAGGATTGGAGTCTTTTTGGTTTTTTTTTTTTTGTTTTGTTGGATAGGTGGTGGATCAGTCATCCTCTCGACGCTTTCTCCTTTGTCTTTGTAACATGGAAATACAGAGGATCTGGTATGTTTGCTTCATTTTCTTTTTGCCTTATTGTTTTCATTTCTTTGTTGGGGCAGTGCGGCCATAGGTGAGTGTTGTGGTGCTGGGTTGGAGGGCGGTAGGACATGGATAAAATCTTCTGTCGAAACGCGCGGGTACTGGCTAGTTCGAAGGTGCAGTTCTCAGACTTTTTGATAGCGATCCCGTTTATGCATTCCGCCAGGTCGACCCGGGTCTCCTAGAGTTGTCCTCTTTTTTTCCCCCTGTTATCGTATGCGTTACACGTGATTTACGCCCAAAATTGTCGACATTTATGTCGACAAAATCTTTTCCACCAATCTCTTCTTTTCTTTGCCCCTTCCTTACTTCATCGTCTTCGCCATCCTTTCCCCTTCTCTCCACTTTTATCTTTCACCTTCGCCGCCACTCCCACGCTCTCTTGCCTTCCTTACATCGCCTACCATCTCTCTCTTATCTTTCTTCACATCTGATGCTTCAAGACACCACGACCAACGGTCACCTGAAGCTTTTCTGTCTTGTTGATGGAGAGTCCACATCAAACGCTTTTCCGCTTACCATCCCATCCTCCGAGACGGTCGGGGAGCTCAGAAAGCTCATCAAGGTTGAAAAGGCCCCCGAATTTGACGATATTGCTGCAGACAAGCTCACTCTTTGGAGTATTCTGATTCCCGACGACAGGAACAACGACGAACGGCCCATCCTGTTGGACACGACCTCTGGGAAAACGAAACTCAAGGCAACCACCAAGCTCTCCAAAGTCTTTACCTCTGAGTTGCCCGACGACACAATTCACATTATCGTCCAGCGACCCCCAGGTACATAATAATCATATTTACCACTGTGTTGTTACATACATTGGGTCGTCATCAGTAAATTAACACAACTTTATTTATTGAGTGTAGGTGCGGATCCTAATGCGCGTACATCCTTCAACTTCAGGGTAGAAGGCAACCATCCCACGACCAGAGCGGCGCCACAGGAATATGACATACAGTCACCCGGCGTTGGCTCCTCTTTATGGCCTGGCTCAGCGGAGTCACAAATTCGATCACCGCATTCCACTCCTCAGAACAATGGCAGCAGCAAGCATAATCCCATAGAGTCGATCAGCAATCAAGGCAGCGAGGGACCTTCCATTGAGGTTGCGCATTTAGAAAGCGGTGATGATTCCCAAAACGATCATGAAGCCTTGAGGCTTTTGCTTCAAGCCGGCAACCAAGGAAACGTCGATGCTCAGCGTAAACTAGGATTCATATACAAACATGGCCAAGGAGTTCCGGAGGACTATACCAAAGCCCTAGAGTGGTTTCAAAGAGCAGGCGACCAAGGGGACTTTGATTCCCTGGTGGCACTAGCATTTATGAAGAAAAACGGTCAAGGTGGTTCAAAAAACTTTGGCAGGTTTCTCGAGTTTGGTGGAAAAGCTATTGGCCAAGTAGTTCTCAAAGGCCATCGCTTCTGGTAAAGCCGACTTGTACATTGGTCGCATGGTACAACATGATCGGTCGACACTTAGGGTGCAGTCGACCGCGCCCAAGAATATAACCCACCCTACTTTGTAACTTGAATAACAACCCAACTAGAGGGGGATTTTTCCCGGTCACACAAGCTTTTGTTCCCGCTTTACAGAGCAATCCTTTCCCCCTTTGACATGCGGTCCTGTCCCCCTCTGACATGCGGTCCTGTCCCCCTCTGACATGCGGTCCTGTACCTCTCTCAAAGAGGTCCAAACCCTCTCCCAAGAGTGGACATCCCACTCGAGATGTGGGCCATTCTCACTTTAATTTAAAAAAAAAAGCCTGTACCTGAATTCCTTTGTTCCCTTTCTTCTACTCCTCATCACTTTCTTTCTTTCTTCCTTTATTTCATTCTTTCTACCCCTCCCCCGTCCCCTCCCCTTTGCGCACCTGTTAGAGTGTTCATAATAAACTTTTTATTCAAACTGAGGAGCTTTGACAAATGGTTTTCTCCAAATAATGGAAAAAAATGATGTTACGAAAGCTGTCATCTGAAATCAGCGATCGATGTGCTGAATATACTACTCCCGCTTTGCTGAAGAGTCGTTCCGATTCTGAGGAAGTCGTCTGAATGCTCAGGAATATTCGGGCCACGGCACATAGTCCGATAAAGTTGTGCAGCCCTTCCTTGGTTCGCCAAAACGCTAGCGGGTCCTTGAAATATTTCTTGTTAGAGTCGGCGTTTGTGGGATTGAGAATCGATCTGTACGAGATCAGGCCACATAGAGCGCTCACGGCCCTGTCCTGAATGACAGCAAAATCGTCGGCTTGGCCTCTACGCTTGCTGGTTCCATGGTTGCTCCTTCCTTCTATTTCCTTGTAGGCATAATGTCGAATAAGCTCCATGTAGGCAAGAGTATCTGCCCTCAGTCTGTTCGTCGGCGGAGTCTTGGCATCCGTTTGTGGAAGTTGGAGAGGAAAATCGACTGGAAGGGTGAATGGACCCTCCACTGAAATGCGCAGACGGTATTTCAGTGGTAGCTTGAAGGGTAATCCAGCAATATCTGGACGGGAATTTTGGGCAAGGCCTAATGCGGGGTCGGCGAGGGAGGCTGCAGCTTCTTCTGCAGCTATCTGGGCGTCTCGTTCGGCAACTTGACGGGAGTTGTCAAGATCCCAGATAGTTGATGTAGCACAAGCAGGATTGAGGTACATGGCAAGCAGCATGCCGTCGGGAATATCATCCAGAGACCAAGTATACTCAATGTGGGTTTTGAGCTTCTCGTACAGCAAAATCGCCGCCCCTGTCTTGAACTGTGCCGGGTTGGAAAGGACGCCATGAGCTTGGATGCAAGCCTGCGAGATGGTTGAGTATCCTGAGCCTCCGATCCAGTGTGTGAAATTCGCCGCAGGGGTCAAGAGTTGGTCAGTCTCTTTCAACAGGTCCAGTTCGTCGTCCGTAGGTAGCAACTTCTCGATTGTCTTGAACTTGGCCCGCTCCTCCGCAGAGATTTTATCCAGTGGGAACAGCACCTCGAAAGTCGTTCTTAACACAGGGCTGATGTCCAGGAACCTCGATATCATCGCCAGCTTTGAGTTCCAACGGGTTGCATTGGCGGAGACGAATGTAACCTCTCCCTGCTTGTATCTGAGAGACCGGAAGGAGGGCACAGAAGGTTGAGGATTGGCAATCGACTCGACATCATCAGAAGGCAGTTGGGCTTGAGCAGGAGCGCCGTCAGTTGGAGGGGCCTGAGGAAGATTGGCACACGGTCCAACGTTAGCGGGAAGCAGCTAGGCGAGTGCAGGAGCACCATCAGCAGGAGTGGGCGACACGGCGTCTAGGGTGGGTACTTGAGCGAGCAAAGAGACACCATCGGCCCGGCGGGCGGCGATGAGGTATTTGCCCCATTTGCCATTGAATACTTTCTTGGCAGCCGAATTGTTGAAGAACGAGACAATGGCAACACACCTGTTAGTGATTTCCACCAAAGGGTTTGACTCGCTCCAAGCCTTATTAATGCAGAGCTGCATCTTGTGAGCGGTGCAGGCGACCCAATACGCCCCAGTATTCTGCTCGCATTCTTGGAGACCCTTCATGATGTTCGCTCCCTGGTCATGCCCACAACCTTGCTCGTAAGAGACCACTCATCCACGACTCGGTCTAACATATTAATATGTCAACGGCAGTTGTTAGTATAAGTTTGAGCTTTAAAAGGCGCATATTTGTCAATGAATATAAAAAGTACTGACTAATGACACTTGTGAGAACTAGGGCAGTTATCTTGGATTCCGTGAGGTGCTCCATGCCGATAACCACGGACGATATCCTGTATTCTCGTGTCATGTAGAGGAAAGTAACGCCGAGATACTTTTCTTGTTGGTCGAACATGTCCAGGCGTCCGTCGTGATCGACCCTCCGTCGATATTAGCGAGCAAGTAATTAACGGTTTGGCGTTTTTTTTTCGAGGACTTTGAGGCGAAGGCGGTTCTGTAGAATGTCGTGGGCGGGTAGTCGGAACTGCGGATTCAGAATTCTGCAGAACTCTTTCAAGTTTGCTGATATCGCGACATGGAAAGGCAAGCCGTCCATCGAAATGAGTTTCATCAATTGGTGCTCGGCGCTCTGCTGTTGTGTCTCGCTCCATTCAAACGCAGTGCCGGTGTTGGTGTTAAGGATGTGTGCAGTTTTGGACCTCTTTGACTTTGATGGTGTCGGTGGTAAGGCGTCCTGTTTCAGATTCTCGAGAATAAGCGAAGCCCGCTGCTGTCGTTCCTGGAAATATTCGATGTCGGCCAAGATGGCAGGATGTTTACGCATCAGATGCTTACGACGCCCGCTGGCAGTACGTTGCCCGTTGTTGCAAACTGTGGTTGCGCTATCGACCTCTTTCAAGATTTTGCAATAATATTTGTCCGATCCCTTCTCAAAGCAGAATAATGCCGAAGAGTTTGAGCGAAGGGGGTTTTCAGCGTCGTTGTCGATGGGTTCTGTGTCTTCGGCGCTCAACGGATCAGGGTCGGTACATTCGATGTCGGCGTTGGTGGGAATCCTCTTGGTGTCGATGAGTAGGGTGTCGCTGTCGGTAGATCCAGATGGGCCAAAAAGGATTTTTCGGATGGGAACCAACTTCAAAGCTTGGAGCGCGGTGGGCCAGACTTTTGCACACCGCAGCGGAAGGAAGCCTGCCCAAGGGAGTGATAATATATAGCCGACGAAACTTCAGGCTGGCCTTGATCTCGTGGCGCTGCATTATATCCAGACAATTTTCGATCTGGTCGATCGTCAAGTCCGTCCCCGTTGACGAGCTCGTCGCCAAGTAGTCGGTTGATCTTGTTGTTCATCTCGTTCACTACTAAAGCGGGGCTAGATAAGTCTGAGGCAGACAGCGCACAATCCTGCCCCGACGGAACAGAGACTGAGCTACGGCTGACCATATCTGACAGGGTGGCGGAGGCTGTTGGTGGGGTAATGGAGTTGAATGTTGGAGTCCGTGATGAAGAGGTGTAGTTGAATGTGCGAAACGGACGGAGTTAGGACTATGCGAGACGCGTGGGTGGCGGCCGAAAAGGTGGTCTCGGGCTGTATGGCTTGGAAACGGATATCCATAAGAATCGACTGAAGATATGTGGTGAATGTTTTGTCCGGGGGCCGTCTGGTAGGGCGCGTCGACTATAGGACCGTAGGAAGAGGAGGAAGAGGAGGAGGGGGAGCCTGAAAAGGCGCGCTCTGAGGAGGGCTGGTAGACTGACCGGGCGGGCGAGGACTGTACATAGGCGTGCTGGTTAGCAGAAGAGGCGGAACCATAGGAGGTGTGGTAGGCAGAATGGGCAGGCATATAGGAGGAGTGGTTGGCAGACGGGGCAGGACCATACGCGGGCTGGTAAGCAGAGGCGGGACCATAAGGGACTGGTTGGTAGAAAGAGCAGCAGAAGAGGTGGCAAAAGCATAGTCCGCGAGATCGGTTTGCGACTTCGACCGACTGAGCTTGCTAGGGAACCCTCGATTAGGTTATCAATATTCCGGCGAAGATGGCTTATTATAGCTGGGGGTGTCCTCGCTGAAACCGAAGCTTTGGTAGAAGTGTGAGTGGGTTACCAGGGAGCCGGTAGGGATTGTACTCTGGCACTGTTGGACGGATAAATTCTGCCCTAGCGGTAGTTGACTCTGTTGCGTCAAACGAAGCCCGCGTTGCTGTCGATCGCTTTCCATTCGATCTTGCAGACTGCAAATAAAAGTTACCATATACGTTAGCATGAAGTATTACGATACACAACTTGAATGTCACGCAATCAACAAACGGGAACACCTACGGGAGTACTTGGCCCAAGTTCATCGTCGTCGACCAGAAAAGGCGACTCCGTGTCTCCATGACCATCGAATCCGCGGCTGCTGTAGTACACCACTTTCTCGGGCTCAAAGTCTGATTCACTGTCGTTTGGCGCGTCGTAGGAATCGTCTAACTCGTTCGAAAATTGCCATTGCTGGGAGGAGGAGGAGGTAGCGAGGGATGGAACAAGGACTTTGAAAAGAAGACGAAAGAAAAACAGTGGCTGGGAACGAAATAGGCACGCAATGGGAAAGGACGATGTTGGAAAGGGAGGGAAGGGGATGGGAGAGGGATAAAAAGAAAGAAAGAAAGAAAGAAAGAAAGAAATATATAATACAGAGGATATGTTATACAATGGGATAGGTTACAAGGTTACAATCGCAGCTTATGGGGCTGCCCGGTGGAGAGAGGGGGAGACGAGGGGATGAGCTGCGGGCTTGTGATGGTGGCCGGGACCCAGTCGGCATCACTGTCAACAGGATCGGAACCGCCAATCGAGCCAATCGTGCACGCAGCAACATCCTTGGCCATGGACAGGAGCGCCTTGCGGATGATGAGGACCTTCATAAGAACCTCGAGGACACACTGAGTGCCGACCTGGTCGGCCCAGACAGATGGCAGCGTTTCGCTGCCCTCGCGGCAGAGTTGGTAGAATCTGCCACGGCGCTGTCGCAGGGTGAAAAAAGTGGCCGTTTCCCCCGAGATTTGAATCCCAAACGTGACAAGGTGCTCGCGCACGTTGTGCTTGGCCTTGCCACGGATGAGGTCGTGCATGTCTTTGGTCAGCTTGCAAAGCTTCATTCCATCGTCCAGCGCCTTTGTAACGTTGGGGCCCTCGTCCTTCTTGGCTGCCTCAATGACGAGCAACTCGAGCTTCTTGATCGCTGCGATGGCCACACCGTCGACCTTGTGGCCAACGAACTGACGCACGTCACGCGGACGGCCCAAGTTTCGCCGATGCATCGAGGCCTGAGAGTGGTACTCTCCAGGCTGGAATTCGACGAGCTGTGGGCTGTGCAATGCGTCCGCGAGGAAGCCCCACAGACGGTTGACCATCCACGACTCGTGAGGCGCCTGGGGAATGGCCATTCGCTCCCCGCGGTACACCTTCAGGAGCTGCTGTACACACTCATAAACAAGGCGCTGGAAGTCGGCGGACGGTTTCTCGGCTAGGGACGCGCCAACAGCGCGCCATCCTTTCTCGGCAAGTAGCTCCTCCAGTTCCTCGGGATCCTTGTTGTAGATCTCCAAGAGGGCCTTCTCGGCCGAGGACAATACTGGCAGCTTCTCGTCCGCCCGGTCAACAAGCACCTTCTTGAGCTCGTCTTGGTCTCTGGCGTCCGGGAAGAGACCAAGTACAGCGGCAGGGTTCTCAAGGACGAAGGAGTGCAAAGGGCACTCGTACCGCACATCTTTGATGGTCTCATAGAGCACACGGTCAAAGATGGCTCCCGACGGCAACAGCCATTCCTTGCCCTGGAACTGGTCGAAGTTCACCTTGAACAGCGCCTGCATCAGCGCCACCTGGGTGGGCGAGAGATGCTTGGCGCTGCTATTACCGTTGCTGTTGCTGCCGCTGTTGCTGTTGCTGTTGCTGCGTGATCGGCCCCGCGGTGTCAGACCAGAACTTGCGGATGACGACGACGACGATGTTGGGCGGGGTACTGCCACTGGTGGTGGCATACAAGCGATTTCGACCATCTGTGCATCCAGCGTTGGGGCTACCTTAAAGGCCGCCACCAATTCTGGCACGTTAGCCAGTCCTGCAATCGTCGAGTACTGTTCTTGATCGTCGCCACTGAAGAATTGCTTGATCGTCCCCCATTCCTTTGCCACGGCGGACGCTTTGACAGACGGGTAAGTGGCTCTGACAAAGGCAATGTAGTCATCGGCATGGGGGGCTGGCGCTTTCCGCATCTGAACAATGTAGGCTAAGACACGCCGCTGGAGCTTGGAGGGTCGAGTCTCGTAAACCGCCCACACAAGCCTGCTGAAAAGTTGAGCCTAAAGCAAAAGTAGAACAGCTGAAAGGTTACAAAAACGTTCAATCTCGGCCACATCAGTTTGTACATGTCTATTTTACACATCATACCTCCTCCGAATCATCCATGGGCGCATTTGTGGCACCAGCCGGCTCCCCAACAGATTCATCGACTGACTCCTCGGCATCTTCATGGCTTGCCTCCGAAGCATTGTCCTCCTCATCCTGAACCTTCCGTTTCGTCTTTGCTGGGCGACCTGTCTATGAGAGAAATTGAGAGAGCAACAGACAAACCCATGAGTTAGGGTATGAGAGGTGAACGCGTACCTCTGCCACATTATTCGGTAAATAATCTGCTTGGTACGCACTTCGATTGGCTCAGGCGGTTCGCGTTTGTTCAGAGGAAGGTCTATCATTGAAAATCACTGTTAATCACTGATTGCAAGCATGATTAGAAACTATTATGAGACCAAGGGCCAATTTTTTTTTTTTATATATATCTGGACAATCTGGAAACGCTTTCGTCACCGAAGCTTTCAGGGGTGCAACGGCTACACCATAGAGGCACATAGCACATGACTTTTTTGCCACTTTGCCTTTGTCTTGCTCGTCTTGCATCTTTCCTCCACACCTTCAAGATCTCGCACACTGCTCCAACACAATCGACTCATTCTCAGCAATTCAGGAATCACTTTCGATAATACAGCAATCCATCATGCAAGGTAATGGTAGTGTCCGTGAAGGCCAAGCATGGCGTTGTGTACGGATCTCGAGGATGAATGCGAGCAGGGTCCTTCGTGGGTCCATGTGGGGGCCATAGTCTACGCCGCGCCCTGGACTGCCCCATACTACGACCCACCTCAGGCTTGCTTGAGGTAGTGCTGGATTTGAGCTGCTGCTTTCGGTTGCTCCGTGGGTCCATGAGGGGCCAGAGACTATGCCGCGCCCTGGTCTGCCCCTTGCTATGACCTCTCCTCTGTCTTGGCGGTGGTGATGCAACTCGAACAGCAGTTCTCCGTCAGACTCGTGGGTCCATGAGGGAAGAAGCCAGCCCTCCATACGACCTCATCCATTTTCGGATCCACTTCTTGCTGGGAAGAGCAGGGATCCATATCGCTTCAGTGAGGGCTAGCGCCGTGGGTCCATGAGGGGCCAGAGACTATGCTGCGCCCTGGTCTGCCCCTTGCTACGACCTCTCTGTGGCCGGGTGTCAATGCCCGGATTTGCAGTGGTGCTGCTGGCTTGGATCTGTTGCAGTCGATTGCTCTGTGGGTCCATGAGGGGCCAGAGACTATGCCGTGCCCTGGTCTGCCCCTTGCTATGACCTCTCCGCTGTCTTGACTTGTTCTTGACTGTTGGTAGTAGTGCAATCGATGCTGTTGTCCTCTCGGGGATGACGGCTATGGTGAACAAAAGTCTTCGCTCAGCTGCGGTTGTTTTCATCGCTGGATGACTGGGACCACCACGTTGTGTGGGTTAATAGCATCAAGGGAGTTGTACGGTTGTGCTTGTCTTAGATCACTAACCATTGCGCTTTTTTTCTCCATCCAGTTCACTTCGTTAGGTAACGGTTGTGAATCAAGCGTATGGATTTTTGGAGGATGGATGCGAGCAGGGTCCCTCGTCGGTCCATATGGGGCTATATGCTTAGTCTTGACGCTAGACTACTCCATGCAATAACCTCTCTACTGTCCTTCTGTTCCTCTCTGATTCGAATCAGGGATGATTGCCATCGGTATTCTACACCGACTGCCATCCTCAATCCGCATCGCCATCGCCCTCTTCTTGTTCATCCCTATCATTCTCATTTTTCCCGCACTAAACCCATGTAAAAAATCACATAGTGCGAGGAGGGGAGAGGGCGCGTGACCGAGAGGGCCAACCCGCTAATTATTTTTTTTATATTTTGATACCCACGCATCGCGGCCCTGTATGTCGCTGATTCTGCCAGGGATGATTGCCTTCCACATTCTACACCGCCTGCCATGCTCAATTCGCATCGCCATCGTCTTTCTCTTGTTCATTCCTGCCATTTCCAATATCCTATGCTAGATCCATGTAAAGAATCACACAATGTGGGGATGGGGGCCAACTTTTTTTTTGATCCATGCTGATAGCTGTCAAGAGTCGAATAGCATGATAACTCAAGAGTAGACGTGTCAATGACTTCCCTTAAGAATGCTACCAGAGCGAAAGAAAACAAACAGAAAAAATAAAGATGTGCTTACGAAAATCCCGTCGTCTCGTAGCTACAAGACTACTCACTCGAGTATTACATTAAGTCCTGCCGTGATTGAGATGACTGAAGACAGAAAACGATAGAAAGAGGACAACAAGTCGTCGCTTGACCGAGATGGTGAATGGGTTGCTGACCTCTTTCTCTCTTTTTCTGTCTCCAAAGTTGTAGGCAAGAACTTGGCCAAATGAAGAAAAAAGAAAGATGTTGTTCTTACATAGAACAATGGGCTTAATCTCAGCAGATCGGAGCAGTAAGGCTACTCTTCTGTTTACAATACCCCGCTCAAACTAAAGTTTTCTGGGATGGATTTATCTCTTCCTATATTTGAAATGAACATTAGCAGGAACATCACAAAGCCTTTCCGCTCTGTAACATAAACCCCACGTAGTATGATTCAGGATCTGAAGATCTATTCGTATTCAACTAACAATCGGAAAAGGCGGTAGTCGTCGCGTTCTAGCACGGGTTCTGACTTAGAGGCGTTCAGCCATAACCCAACGGATGATAGCTTCGGGTCATTGCCTGCTCAGGCAGGCCCAAATACCAATTATCCGAATGAACGGTTCCTCTCGTGCTATGGTCAATTACTATCGCAAGAACATTTCATCAGTAGGGTAAAACTAACCTGCCTTGAAATGAGGCGCAATAGTGGAGGACAGTTTATTTGGGAGGATGATTTTGTAGAAGCATCTGGGTGTCTGTGCATCTTTTGGAGTACTTTGATAGAGCTATCAAGAGCGAGGTCATTGTCTTTTGGAAGCGGTGAAAATCGAAGTTGGCGTCATGGTTACCCCTGAGTGAGGTGTGATGTTCAATCTGAGAGTCGCATTCGAAGCTGGCATTTACCTCGGAATTGACTTTGAGTTCAGGAAGTGCACTCTCGCCTACATCGATGTCTGCTGGCCGGTAGTTGATCGGCTTTATATTGTCATCGCAACTGATATTTTTGGTGATAATATCGATAGCCTTGGTGGAAATCAAGTGAAATGGACGTTGAGACTTGGACAGTTTTCCCTCGAGCGGTACCGGAGAGAGTAGGGGTTTCGGAACACGTTGCCGCATACGCAACCATATTTGTATTCTTTGGAAGGCTCCAGTCGAAAACAAAAGGCTGCTTCCATAATGCCAATGGTTTCCGTTGTATGCTGATGGTATCGTTAGCATGGTATCTCTTGCCTCAACAGGGCTATCGACATGGTACCCATGATGACACTCGTTGAATAAGCCTGTTGCTACTGTTGCTGATGTTGCTGTTGCGTAGTGAGTTCGTCACTGTGTTGGTCTGGAGAGATGAGAAAAGGAGTAACGGACGATACATTGTCGACCACTCGCACATGTTAATCTTAGCGCCCTACAGTAAGTTTGTCTGCTGTCTAGACAGCTCGGAACATCTGCTGTAGGGGAGGAACAAAGAAGAAACGTGATTGGCTGCATAATTTCATTCCCTTTGCCTGTTCTTACAGCCACAATAGTTTGGATCGAGTTTGTGGTTATCCTCCGATACGAGCACTGTGCTGGTGCTCGAAATACTGGCGTTTGAAGGACAACGGCGATTCTAGTCCAAAATGAAGTTTGAAACATTCCTGTTCACAGCCTTTGCAGGACAGGGGGACTCTATGGAGGTCTGCTCTAAACAGTACGTTCTATGGCCCTTGCGAACAATAAGGGTTCCATTAAATTTAAATCGCATCGTGTATATAAAGAGTTGCGCCTTCAGATTTCTAACACTATGACTCAGCATCCTGTTCTTCAAAACCCCGGACTCGTAACAACGCTCGCAAGAGCCGTCGCAAGAACCACACAGAAACTTTTGCAAAAACTCTCAAGAACCCTCACAAGAACCGTCGCACACACATCTACATTCATCATGCAAATCAAGTACAGTACGGCCTTTCTGAGTTATCTTGCCATGGTAACCGTCATCCAAGCCGGCCATCCTCAACAGCCGCTATACGCCGGCTGCGATGATTTAAGATGTAGAAACTATTGCGCGTTCAACAAATTCGACTCTGGATCATGCTCAGGCGATGGACGTTGTTACTGTTATGAACTAGGCAGCTTTTATTACGTATATTAGACTACTCGCTCAAACATATGCACAAAACGTTTTGTTCTGTGTGTAGTTGGATTGCGCTACTATACTGCACGTTTGATCGGCTTCGGTCTGCAATCTTCCCTTTGTTCTTCCGCGATTCTCGCTTGAAAATTATGCAGATATTCAAGCCCTATTCTTTTGTTTGTTGTGCTCATTCCCCTTTTTTCCTGTTCTTTCATACAGTGCCCTGGCTGGCCATGTTTCGGCAGATGAGCACTGTTTTTCCTTTTCAACCAAACTTTTCAAAAGAGAGATAATGCAGAATTTAGTTGCTCCGATCCTTTTGTCCCTCTTTCGCGTTTTGCATATTGCTGTTGTATTTTTCTTTATTTGTCAATAAAAGTTCAGGCGCCACTGTTGCCCATTTCTTTTATCAATTTCGTGTCAATGTAACTGTATCGTATGTATTCTTTGCCACCAGCTGTGAAATCACCCTTGGACCAATGGTAGTATATGCTAAACGGTCGATGTGGTGTCAAGAGATGTTCATCTATAAGCTTCACGACCTCTCGGTCTGTTTTGACAACATCTTTCTTCATTCTTCTCATCGTCTACTTTGTGTACTATGTAAAACTTTTTTGCCTTGAAAATAACTTTGCCCAGTCTTTCTTCCAGTAATATCCCTCGATCACCACGAAAGACGCGTGGAACCTCCTAAGTATTCGGATATCTTCGTGAGTAACCCAAGTCTCGATTACATCTCGGTATCCCAATCTAGAGAATCCTCATCTTTGCGTTTTGGTATGATTTTATCATCCGACTGACTATGTATAGAAACGTGATATACACCCGACTTCCCCTCCACAAAGTCTTTCGTATACGTTTCCTTACCCAGTGTGAACGACTATACATCATCACATACGGATACAAAGAAGTATCTTATCTTCTCCATGCATTCTCCTTTCCAAAATACTTGTGTTCTTCCTCCTATGAATCCTATCTCAGCTTTCCTTATAATCTTATCCATATCCAAAGACACAATCAGGATGAGTTCTAACATTTCTTTCGATAGAGAGTTCTTGGAAGCTTTGTAAGTCATACTAGCTGTGGTTAGCTCGTCCTCTACGACTAGACCTTAGTAGTCTTCCGTTGTAGTTTACTCATAGACAGTTCGTTTCACTTTGAGAGACAACTCACACGTAGCCTCCATATCTCTTAAAGTATAAGTGGTGATCTTGTCTTCGTTCTCGCTTATGTACTCTGTAAACATGTCTCGATAGTAAGCATTCTGAACCTCCTGGTGGTCCAACCTCAGCTTGGCATTTGTAATTTTACAAGCCTTATACGTCTTTTCCAGAGAGGCTCCCAACACACGGTGGAGGTCGAAAACTTTAAAACGTGCGTATACCAGATTAAGAAGTCTGTTGCCCGAACCCACTAACACGTTTCTCAGGGGTAGATTACTATGCATCGCTTGTCGTACAAAAAGTAGGAGGTTATCAAACCCACTGTTATTGTAACCAACCATGTATTTCTTCCCCTTTCTATTGGCGTTGGCTTCGTTGAATATATCCCTTATGCTGCTGTAGAATTTCTCTAAACCTTCCTCGCTGTCTCCATTTAGTATGACAAAATTCTTGATCATGTCGTTTGACAGAGCGTCGTATATTATATAGGATAAACAGTACACCGTGGCAGTACGATGCTCCAGAATGTCGTCCTCGTTTTCATATCATTCTCCTCGTCTCTCATCCGAGGATTTTGCTACTTGAGGTTCTCCTCCTTTCTAACCCCGACGATGAAATGTGATCTTCAGCGCCAGCCCCCTTTTTCATCGCCGAAATAGAGAAGATGAACACGTGATTCGTCATCAGTGATGAAGTAGAGGTGCTGACCCCTGAACTGATCATCAGTAGAAATAGCAGGCGTTTTTTTTCTCTTTCTTCAACTCGGCCGATGCAAGTTCTTCTTGAATGGTTTCTTTTTGTTGACTCGAGCTCATAGCAAAGGCGATCGTCAGAGTCGTCGCGTGGTATGAGCCGATGCGGAAGCGCACCAGGTCTGTGAAACCTCTGAGGAAAAAATGCACACAATGGGGTTTCTTATGTAAACTTTCTAGAGGTTACGGTGGATTGACAGAGTGTCCGCACTTTTTTCCTAACACTCATTCGTCGTTTTCAAGTGAGACAGACATTCGCCTTTGTACATCTTGTGAACAGACAATTCCGTGTTCCGATCGTACGTACGTTTGGTACCTGAAAAAAACATGAGGGATGTGATTACTCAAGCGTGGATTGAGCGTCCACACCCACTCTTGAATATAGTAAAAAGAAACAATTTCCTCGTCCACCACTGATACCCTTTACAGATGCATGTCTTTCACTACCCGCTTCTCTTCTCTTCTCTTCTACCTTTCATTCGACCTTGGCTGTGTTCGCTTTCTGACGGCAGGGCTTTTTTTTGTTCACTTTCAACTTAATCAAATCAAAGGAGGATCCAGCGTTTTTCGCTCCATGAAGTCCTTCCTTGGAGTCTCCTTCTTTTAAGAATAGCGTGTTCCTGGGTGACTCTATACTTCTTTTGTTAAAAATATATTTGGACGCCAATGTTGGATATGCTCCTTTATTCATTTTCTGCAGTGCGGCTGCGATGACAGTGAGGGGAGGATGACGATGGGTTTGTTTGCACTGAGGGAGGTGGTCGGGGTGGAGAGAGAGAAAAGAAAAGAAAAAGGAATGCGCCAAATGCACTTGATTTATTCAAGAGAAAAAAATATGGGAGCGATCCCGTGGGCAGGATTGGGACGCATCCATTGATGGCATCACCACGCGAACAAACGACTGTTTCTTTCACACTCCTTCATCCCGTGCAATGATCTCACCCGCGCTCCATGCTTTCAAAAATGATCCTGCATGTGCATGGGATGGTAAGTGCACTGTTCGCTCCTTTCCTAATCCAAAACTACACGTAGAACGTGGCACATCCAAGCCCACATCTCACATTGTACATCTTTTTTTTATTTTAGTAAACATCTACTTCTTTAGTGCTTCGTACCACCGTACCGTGCACCCAAAAAAACTGATATCTGAACAACGGAAAAAAAAGAAACTCTTACTCCTCGTCCCAGACCTCAATCCGACTACTCAACGCCCTTTTACCCTCAGCAATCAAACTATTCAATTGAGCCTCCATCCTCAAGAACGCCTCATCCGTATCCTCCGTCCCAGTGTTCGGCCTCACAGGCATTGAGGGACTCCTAAAATGACCCGTATGTTGGTGTGGGATATGGTTGTAAGCCGGTGAAGACGAGGTGGAGAAGGGTTGTCGAGATTGACGGAAGCTGGCTCGTTTTTGTTGTTGACTCTTGTGGTGGAAGGAGGATGGGCGAGAGGATGTGGATGTGGAGGGTGTGCGAGTGAGAAGGGTTCCTGAAGTCGAGAAAGGGCGAAGTCTGGGAGGCACGCTGTTGTTGGTGGTGGTGAATGTTTCAGAGTCCAGGTCCTAATGAGATAAGTCAATGGAAAAATAAGGGGAGGAGAGATTAGAAGGGAGTAGAACAAAAACAGACGTCAGTCAGGCACGCTAACAACGAAGAGTGGTTCTCCCGTCACTGTGACCCTGTCCATTTCCCACCAAACAAAAAAAAAGAGACACAAAACAAACAAAGCGAGTTGTTGGGGGGGAGGGGGGGTGGTGTTGTTGTGTTCAAGTGGTTTGTTTTGGATGCCCTGCATAAAAAAAAATAGATGGTGTGTGTGTGTGTGTGGCATAGAGATCCTGTGGCGGGCATGTATGGAAAGGTCGATATGGTTCTCGTTGGCACGTTGCTTTGTCCAACTTTGATCTCATTACTCCTGACTTTTTCCTTCTCTCCTTCTCTCTTTCCTGCTTCCATGTATGCATGTACGCTCTCTGTCGGGATGATCAAAATATCTCCAGCTGCTCTTGGGAGATGGACTAAAGATGTTGTATGACATAAAATAAAAAACTTACCAAGGATAACTTTTCCTCCATAGGGTCATCCTCCAGTGTCTTTACATTCTCTGCCTGAAGACCATCATCATCACCCAAGGTGATCGAGGGCTGCTTGGAATGGTCTGGAACCATGCCCTTTCCCGTTATCAACTGGTAAGCCGACAATGCCACTGCTCCCGTAAAGATCACCGTCTCGAACGCTGCGTCCAGAAGCATGGTTGCGGTCGAACGTTGGCGCTTCTTGGGTGGTTCCAATGCATAGACACCCAAGTCGTCGTCATCATCTTCGTGATGATGCCCTCGTCGCATTCCGTATTCTGTCGTCGAAGTCGATGTCGTTTTCATGGTTGCGCTAGACTTTTCCCGACGCGAGGGGTCAAAGGTTCCTGGATCAGACTCGCCCAGTAGAGGGCGGAATTGAGGGAATCCAAACCGACGCACATTCTTGGTGACTCTTCCTGGTTTTGGCCCATGAGCCATCAAGTCATCCTCGGGGAAGTTGGTGTGGTGTTGGCAGGCCGGGTGGTGTATCTGCTGAGAGGCAGTGCTTTGTTTGTGGAGACAGTTGTGGTTGGCATGACAAAGTGATGAACAAGGAGCAGTCATTGTTGTGGGTGAAGAATTGTTGGAGCCGTAGGAAGATCCAGAGGTCGATGTAGCAGAGGACATTGAGACCAACGGTCCGGAATGCAGAGGCAAGGTTGAGCGGGGTGCCAAAGGTGAGGCGAATCCCAAGGTAGCAGCTGCAGCAGCTGCTGCAGAGGCAGCGCGTGGTGAGGTGGCGATATCGGTGGCTGTGGTCGAATCCCGCGAAATTGCCGAGGTGGGGCTGCCTGTCTTTAGCGAGAGCGAAGAAGAGGGGCTGTTACTCCCATTCTGCTGAGGGTTGTCGTGAAGCGACAGTGGAGACGGCCGCAATTTTCCTGTGCTCTGACTGCTAGGTGCTGAGGGCTTGAACAGAGGAAAGTGAGTTGTTGAGGTCGAAGAAGAGGACGCCGCGGAGGAAGGTGTCGAAATATCCGCTGGGCTTGAAAGGAGTCCGGGGGGGGTGTCCGGTGTAGAAAAGTTGTCCTCGCTGTTCTGTAGAGCCATTGACAGTTCCTCCGAGAGCGGCTTGGGTGGGGGGTCTCGTCTCCTGGATCTGCTTGATCTGTAGGATGAATATCCGTACGAGTCGGGCCCAATGCCGTACTGAAGCGAGGCCGAAGGCGCGTTGAGTTGTGCAAGTGAACGTCTGTGCTTGATCTCGGGAATGAACGTTGTAGACGAAGGTTGCTGCGATGGCTGTTGCTTTTGCTGCTGCTGTTGTTGTTGCTGTTGCTGCTGTGGTGGTGGTGTTGGCGAAGGGGTAATGGACCGAAGCTGAAAGTCACCAAACGCCCCCATGGAGAAGTGCTTTTGACGAATACTGCTGGTAGAGAGAGGAGTGGACGAGGTGTTTCCCGAGCGACTGAAGTCCTTTGTAGTATTGAGTGAAGAAGGGTATCGTAGCCATGGCTCTTCTTGCTGAAGTTGGTGCTGTTGGATTTGCTGGAACGATCGTTTTGAGGACATGGTGTAAACTGGCGTTGTGAACAAGTTGAATCGTGAAGAAGAAAGTGAAGAAGTGTAACGGGGGTTGCTGGAGAACAAAGAAGGCGAGGGTTAAAGATAGACGAAAAAGGCGGATGGATGTGCGCAGGAGAAGAAGTTCGTGGCGTAGCGGGAAGGACACAAAACGAAGGACGGGAGCACAATAATAAAAAGGTAATAAAGAATAGAAAAAAAGGGGAAAGGATGGGAGAACGAGTAGACGTGGATACTCTTTGTCAATGGTGTATAATTGAGGGGGAAGAACGATAACGACGAAACGTGAAGGGGTGAAGAATAAGAGGGAGAGTATGAATGAGAGCGAGAGTGAAGGTGATGAATGAGCGAGAGAGGGAGAAATGGAGAGGTGAGAGAAAGAGAAAAGAGTGTGTTAAGTAAAAAGAGAAGGATGACTTGGTGAGAGTGGGCGGACAGGGTAGTAATGAGTGAGAGGAAGAGTAGAGAAGAAGAGAAGAGAAGAGAAGGAAGGACAAGTGACAAGATGGGGTGTTGAGGAATGAATAGACACAACGAGTGAGGACAACCACGATTACGACAGACAGATAGTCATACAAGGCAGCTCTACCTCGTCGTCAAGGCTGCTGCTGGACAGGGAACGGCATGCAGCTCAAAGCGACCACTGACAACATCAAAAAGCGACTATGATAATAATAACCAGGGACAAGAGAGCAATACCAACATCCCGAGAGCAAATTTGTCGATGTCTTTTTTACACTGCTCCACCACAGCCATTTGACACCCAGCCAGCCTGCCAGAGGGAGCATGTGCCACTAATCAACTAAAGCGCAAGGAAAAGTAGGAGGATATAAAAGAGAAAGGAGCAAAATGATGATGAATGACAAGCTGGCAAAACAGACAGCCTCTTAGCGCCCGCTCAACAACATCATCGACAACAGCAATAGCAACTAGTCCATTGTTGTTGTTGTTGTTGTTGTTGTTGTTGTTGTTGTGATCGAGAGAGGGCGATGACCAAGGGTGGCAGGGCTAAAAAAGAGGTCCTTTGAATAAAAAGGAAAGAGAGCCACAAACAACATCATCTCTCTCATTTCTGAGAGCTGCAGAGAAAAATTGTTTATTTTTTGCTCCGAGGCAGTGAATGAGAGCATGGGTTTGATTATGGACAGGGGACAGGGTCAGTGGTTATCTTGCTGGAAGGATGGAGAATGGATGACAAGAATGGACAGGGGGAATGACATAGCAACATAGGTGAATGGGAGGTGCACTGTCTTCCTGTCTGTGTGCCTGCGTGTTCGTCCTTGTGTCTGAGACGAAGTAAGGTAAGGAGTCGCATCTCTCAATCAAATTCAGGGGTAACAAGACAGTGATCAATGACGATGATTTGTCAGGACGTGGAGACAGGGGAACCATTGATCACATTGATCAGTTCAGTTACACACAGCCACCAATAGTGAAGTGCAGCGCTTGCATGGAAAAGTAAGATACCGGTCCTATTCTTACTGTTCGCCAAGGTGAGGATCGGCCGGATCAAAGTTGAAAAAGAGAGAAAAAGAAGAAAGTGCTGGCGTCTGTCTTTCTTCATGAGGGTGGACGGATCCGCGTGGTGGTGGTTGTAACCGATCCGAGTCATGGCTCTGCGGCTCACACACGTATTATATTTCTTGACCCGATCCACTTTTCCTCTTCGCATCATAGCTCCATGTCGCTTGCGTGTGACAGACCTCATGGCATCACGAATGCTTTTCTGTTGTTGTCATCCTAGAAGGAGGGTTGAAGAATAACGACGTCTTGTGTAGGACGAGATTCTTCAATGCACGTTCGCTCACAGATGCTTAATTATCTTTGTCATCGTTGAATAAGCAAAATACCATGTTTGGTCAATGTTTGTTATTCATCCTTGACCAAACTAGGAACATTGGACACTTCGGCAAGTTCCTCTCTTGGTGGATCGCCCTTGTTACCTGACGTTGTATGGGGCATCGCTTCAGCTGGGCGACAAACGATTGTCTTCTCCTTCTACAACCAGACTGGTAGCTCGGATATCCTCTATGTGGGAAGGATATTGCGACCGTGTATTTGGCGAATGCGAGTGCGGATACGGGGTGTGAGTTGTTAACTGTTGTGTGTGGGAATATTGCGTAGTTGTGGTAGGTTAAAATGTATGCATGTGTGTCGATGTTCATAATCAGATCCAAACGTGGTGTCTCCACCTCTGTGTCTGTGTTCCCCTCTTTTCTCCCTTTTCTTTTGTGTGTCTGTGGGTTGAAAGAGTACAAGAGTACGAGTGTGAGAGAATGGGCGGCAGTTGAATAGTTGCCCTCAATTGCTGTCTAAACAAGGTGCGAATGCAGCAGCCAACAGTACTCCTTTTTCTCACCCTCCTCCATTAACCTTTGTCTTCGTCCTTTACACACTCGTAGACAAAAGTCGGTCCATTTATTTCTCCCCCCAACTCATAATACTCTCATCTTCCGAGTGGTCACTCCTCCTCACCCAACCGCCGATACGCCCAATCATCTCGAACTTGCTGTTGTTGTCTGCGCTGTCGGTTTCCCTTTAAGAACCTTGCCCGATCTCACTCTTCCCCCTTCTCGCTTTGCTTCTTCGTCTTCACTTCTCAACTCCCACTACTTCCTCTACTCCTCCCTTCACCCCACACATACCTCCAACACACAAGCCATGTCTATCGCTACTGAGCCCAACGGAACCGCAACCGACAACGTCGAGTGAGTGATCCATCTAACGCTACCTTTTCTCCATTTCGACTGAATGAATTGGAATCAGCACATGGGGCAAACAATTGATCTGCGCAGTGTCAGTTCTCCATACTAACCTCGTGCACTCACCTGATCTCACCTAACCCACTCCACGGTCGCTGTTGATTCCGCTTTGTGAATGAATGCAGAATGAAGAAGTAACAAAAGGAGAGCTTTACCGTTTCTCAAGGCTCAACATATCTCAGAAAACTAACTCATCTGCTGTGTGTTTGTGTGCGTATATGCAACAATTAATAGGTTGGCCCAGCCTGTCGCCAAGGTTGTTGTTGCCCATGCATTGACTGGCCACTCGCACAGCCTCGGACAGAGCTACATGAAGGCTGAGAGCCCCCATACCCGTGGACCTTCCCCCATTGACTTTGATGGCCTCAGCTTCCCCAGTACGTCAGAACCCCTCTCTCTTATGATACAAGAATGACCTTTGTGCATCATCAATTAGTGCTCACCATCCTTCCCCCCTTTCATTTGAAATAGGCATTGGTGCCCGTGAGCGCCGTGAAGACACTGAAGAGACGCGCGCTGCAAGGATCCAAAAGATCTCGGGTGCTGTTCGTACGATCCTCGAGTGCATTGGAGAGGACCCCAACCGGGAAGGACTGTTGAAGACCCCCGAGCGCTACGCCAAGGCTCTCATGTTCTTCTCCAAGGGCTACGAAGAGAGTGTTACCCGTAAGAATCCCACGCCAATATGTTTGACCAAACCTTTTTTTTGTTAAGTCGTTTACTCTAATTGGCCGAGGGAAAAGTAGCCCAGGAAAGAAAAGTAGTACTGACGGGGGTTCCATGTTGTCTGTGTGTCTCTTTTTTTTATGTTGTTAGACTTGATGAACAAGGCTCTCTTCCAAGAAGGTACGGAATACAACGAAGAACAAAGGGCAGAGTGGACAACAAAGGGAGCACTGGAAGACTGAGCGGATGTTGAAACCATAGGCGAAAGGACTACAAAACAAAGTGTTGAAGGGAAGGGAAGAGAGAGGCAGTGGTGACTCACTCTACATGCTTTTCCTTTTGTTTTTGTTCCCCTTCTCTTAACGATATAGATCACGACGAGATGGTGATTGTCAAGAACATTGACGTCTTTTCTCTGTGCGAGCATCACATGGTCCCCTTCACCGGAAAGGTACAGTCAACTGGTCAGCTTGTCATCCAAAGGATAAAAGAAAAAGAGTCGCCGCACCGGATCAAATCATCCTCTTAGAAGATCCATCACCTGACCACTTTGTTCCTTCCTACAATACCAGATCCACATTGGATACATCCCACAGAACGGAAAGGTCGTCGGGCTGAGCAAGATTGCTCGCCTCGCTGAGATGTTCAGTCGTCGTCTCCAGGTCCAGGAGCGTCTCACAAAGCAGGTCGCTATCGCCCTCCAGGAGCTCTTGAACCCCCAGGGTGTCGCCGTCGTCATGGAGGCCAGGTTTGTGTTCCTTCTTTTCAACAGATCAACGCGTGGTTTTATGTCTCGTAAAGGGAGACTATAATGCACAAGATATTAACATTCTCTCGTTTTCTTTGATAACGACAATGTAGCCATTTCTGCATGGTGATGCGTGGAGTCCAGAAGCCTGGCAGTCAGACCATCACCAGCTCCATGTTTGGATGCTTCCGCGATAACGCCAAGTCGAGAGAAGAGTTCCTCTCGCTCATCAGACGCAGCGGTATCTAAGCTGTTTTTCGACACATTTTTCTTTTTCCTTCTCAATCCTATGATACCAGCATGTGGCCTTTTGGCCTCACTACTCTTTTTTTTTCATTCCTCTTTAGCCATCTTGCACCATCTTAGCACTATTTCTCATCAATGGGCTAGTATCCTCTTCCTCCTCATCGATTAGATAGAACCTCGATAGAAGACACGATCCTGGCATGCAAAATAAAACACATAGCAAAGCATTTTCCATACAAACCACCCCTCTCTCTGTCTTGGATCGTTCAGGAATGATTGGAATCATTTCTCTCTTTCTCTTGTCTGTGTGTGCCTGTCCCCTTGAAAAGGGATCGAGAATCTGATTTTGCATGTCGTGGGTGAGGTGTGGCCCTCGAGGATTTGCCATTCATTCATTCATCCACCCATACACCACATCAAGGAGAGAGGGAGAACGAGAATGGGAGTAGGCAGGGCTAAGCGACCGACTATCATTCTTTGCGAGCAAGAGGGTGGTGGTGTGATGGTATGATTGCAAGCAAAAAGGGTCCATCGACTCTCTTTCTGTCAACCCCTTCTCTCCCAAAGGAGAAAGACACACAAACCACCACTGTGATGATACTCGACACCATACATTCACCGACGGGACATGCGAACTTGTTTGCCCCCCCTTGTTAAAAGGTGGACTCTGCTCCTCTTCCTTTTCTTCCTCTCTCGTTCTCGATTCACCCTTTTCTTCTCTCTCATTCTTTCTTCCACCTTTACTTCTTCTTCCTCTTATCCTCTCGTTTCTTATCCTATCTGGGCACTGCTTACTCGTCTCTCCTTCCACTTTTCTTCGTTGGCATTCATGGCCATCTTCACCATTTCTTTACTTTTTACTCTGTGCCTACTTCGCTTGTAATATCTCTATATATCTGTTTTTCTTACTCCTCTACGTTCAATCTACAATTGTTCAATCCATCGCTTCAACCATTTTTTTTTCTTGTACTCTCCCTTTCCACTTTTCTCCAATTACACCCAAAAAGACCTGAAAAAAACACTCGCGTGCAGTCGCTCTTCTTCGGCTCTCATCCCCTCCAGTTCCTCTCCTTTGAACAGAAACATTCCACACGCGCACAGCTCTCCCCTTCAACTAGGCCTCTGTTCACTCCCTGAAAATTCAAAAGCCCTAAACCCAGCAATCCACTCACCTCCCTCTTCTCTAGCACCTTTTGTCCTCATGCTTGGAAACGGGTACAAGGAGCGACTCGCTAAAGCACAGACCAACATTGGTTCCCTGCTGCAAAACCTTCCCAAGCAACAATCAGCAACAGGAGCCGCAGTTTCGAACCCTCCGAACGGTGGCGATCAGAATGAGCCATCTTTGGGATCGGCTTTCTTCCAGTCCAAGGTTATGACGGCAACCGGTACCAATCCCATCTCTAGCAACACCCCTTCGCTCCCTCCTGTACCTGCCCCTGTTCCAGAATCCAACTTTTCCTCCCGGCGACAGCAGCAGCAACCACGCACGTCACGTCTGCCGAATGCTGCCTTCAGCTTGAACCGTCTCTTTGACGGATTCCCAGAGCTGAACTCCCCCGAGTCCAACTCGCCCCTTCTCCACGAACCTGGTTTCGGACTCCCACTTCCTCTCCCGTTGGGTAACATCTCTCGGTCGCCTTCGCGATGGGACGCGCATGATGGGAGCCATACGCCCATATCCAACTCTCCTAGAATTGAGGAGCAGGTCTTTGTCCCTCTTCCTACGACTGCCGCTACCAAGACTGGAACAGAGAATCTTTGGGGGGATGTTCGTCTTTCGACCTATGTCGGTTCCGGTCGTGCTGTTACTATTGCTAGTACTGCGATGGTGGGTGCCGTGGTTGTGATCCAACGCGCTGTGCGTCGATTCCTTGTCCAGAAGCAAGCCAGGATGGATCAGGTAAGCGTTATTGTTCACTATCTACTCTCTAGTACCATTGTTCTACTGGAATTTTGACCCTCTATTTTTGTTGCTTGTCTATCATCTCATCCCATCTCTTCCATGCCCACCTTCCCATCCACTCTGACTTCCTCCAGCTCTACTTGGTGCAATGTGGAATTATCTCACCCCACATATGTTGTGCCACCCTATGTTCCCTCTCTCCTCACACACATGCCCCTTTTTCTGTTGTACAGTACGACGATTGACTATGCTAACAATGCCCATTCCGTACCTTGAAAACTCCCGCACTGCTTTGCATTGATATCGCACATATCACAAAATAGTTCTCGCTGACCAACACCACGGCTACAACCGCTACCAAGGCGACATCCAATGATGCTGCTACAGCACTGACACATAGATCCAACATCTGGAGCATCCCACCCTCTTCCTCCTTCTCTTCGCATCGCCAGAGCTCACCCTCCCTCGCTCCTGTTGTCATCAAATCAGCGGCCAGCAATGTTGACATGGAGACTTTTCAACTGACATGCCTTCGTCAATCGACGGAGATCAGCCAGCTCAAGGAGCTCGTCACCAAGATGTTGCTCGAATCTGAGGAGGACCGACGCAAGCTGAAACAGCGGGATAGGGAGATTGAGGAGCTGATGAAGCAGCAGCACAAGCTGACCCAGTCTGCTAGTTTGGCCTCAGGATTTGACGCGTCGACAATGAACGCTACGGCTTCGAGGTTCAGTCAGCTGACTGTTGGTGTTGGCAAGGTTACTGCTGCTGGTGCACCTCTGTTGGCGACTTCGTCGACAGCCCCTTCGTTCAACACGTTCGGTATGGCCGGCATGGGCATGGACGACACCTCCGCAGGAGCGACAGAAACGGCTGGATCCATTGCTGCAAGCAGCGCGTTGGGAGTTCTTGCAGACGACCTTTACGAATCCAACCTGTCATACGCCAGCGCTGTCGGTGGTCCAGCGGCAGCTATCCATCCTCTCTCGATGCCCTCGCGCTCCAATTCCATCACCAGCTTGCAACAGCCATCCTCAACCACATCTCACCAACCCAACCTGAGCCTAAAGATCAACGCCTCCCAGTCGTTCTACCAACAGCAGTACCAAGGGTTCATGGATATGGTCAATTCCCCTTCATCGTCTGATTTCGGATCCCAGGAGGTGTCGACCCCTACAGGATATGGTGGTGGACGTGGTCTGTCACAGCATGGATATGGTTCACAGACAAGCTTCCCTATGTTGAACCACCGCAGTTCTGGCAGCTTTTCGTCATCTCGCGGTGGCGGTGTTGGCGGTAGCGCGTTTGATTCTCCGGCTGTTGAGCAGCCTGGTGCTTACCCCTGGAACGTCCCTGCTGCCGGGCTCAGTCACTCTCAATCTTGGGCCGACGATGTAAGTGCTTTTTTTTTTGTTTCGTTTTCACACAATGTTCAAGGATATGACAAACAATGTGGAGCTTGAAGCTAACGCGGATTTTGCCATGTCATTTCGTAGATGAACGCGGGGTATGGATATGATGCGCAGACGGGAGGACAGTATCAACATGGCGCGATGGGTCATAGTGCAGGATTTGACCCTCAGTACATCAACCAACAGTATGCGCATTCCAACCAACAGCAGCAACCTACTCAGTCCACTCAACAGCATCAACCTCATTACAGGAACAACTATCGTCGTCACAGCGACAAGCCCGTTCATCTCGACTATCAGGTACTATTACTTCTTTTTTCTCCTATTTCTCTGCTTTCTTTCGCTCATCGCCTTTTGATTTTTGTCGACAATAATTAACACCTTTTTTTTTTTGTGAACGGAATCGGGGGGGAAAATTAGATGTGCGTGGATAGGATCTTGCAGGCAACAGACCAACAAGCCTCCATCCACCTCCAACAAAAACTCAAAACCTCTCCACCTGACCAAAAACTCCAAATCATCGACGCCATCCTAACAACTTCCTCAGCCTACCCACTAATGTCCAACCGGTTCGGAAACTTTCTCATCCAACGCTGTTTCGAATTCGGGTCCCCCTCCCAAATCTCTCTCCTCGCCCAAGCCATGCGCGGCAACATCCTTACCTTGGCCTGTGACCCCTTTGGGTGTCATGTGGTACAAAAGGCGTTGGACAATGTGGAGGAGGATTGTAAGGCCAGGATTGTTACCGAGATGTTTAGGAGGATTCGGGAGACGATTGTGCATCGGTATGCGTGTCATGTTTGGCAGAAGGTGTTTGAGATCCGGTGGGTGGATGCGCCACCGGCGGTTATGACGTATGTGAATAGTGCGGTTGTGGGTAGGTGGGCTGGCGTTGCGGTGGATGAGACGGGAAGTTTGGTCGTGCAGAATATTTTTGAAAACTGTGCTGAGCATGATAAGGTACCTTCATCTCTTTCTTTGTTGTCCTTTCGATTGATTGACTTTGTGGAAAACGCGTGGATGCGTCGACCCCCCCCCTCGAAACTCAGGTCACTAATACTTTATTGCCTTTGCAATTGTCGCGGTCAAATTAGCGCCCGGTGCTAAACGAGATCTTGCAGTCGGTCACAACGATCGCAAAGGGTCAATGGGGCAACTGGGTGATCCAACATATCCTGGAGCACGGATCCCCCGCGGACAGGGCAACGGTGACACAAAAGATCCTCGAGGACGCAGTCAACCTCTCACTGGACCAGTACGCGTCCAAGGTTGTCGAAAAGACCCTCCGTATGGCCGCCGTCCATTCCACTTCCACCGCCCCTGCTGCTGCTACTACCTCGACCACCGCTGAAAGCAGCAAGGAATCGACAATGACCCCAACGACCCCAACACCAACATCAGGTCCGCCAACAATAACCCTCAACAATACCACGACTATCCCCCTCACCCAAGAAGAAGTCATGGGCCAGTACATTCACATCGTCTCCACCAACGTTAACCAGGACCGACCCCGAATCCCCCTAATCGATATCGCAGCCGACCAATACGGGAATTATATTATCCAGTATATTCTGACGAATGCGGGACAAGCGCATAGGGAGATGTGTGCGGGGTTGATAAAGAGACATATGGTCTCGTTGAGAGGGTCCAAGTATGGGCAGAAGGTTGCGTTTATGGTTGAGAGGTGGAGGGGGAGTCAGTTTTCGAATGGTGGGAGTAATGCAGGGGGTGCGCTCGGACAGAGTGGATCGAGTGGTGAAGGAAGTAGGTACGGATCCAAGTCTGGGTCGGGGGCGAATGGTATGGAGGGGAATGGGAGTGGTAGTGGAGGAAGTGGAGGCGGACGCCGCAACCGGTGGTAAAAACATCTTGTTATATATTTCGCGTTTCTTCAAGTATTTTATACCCTTTTTTTTCTTTCGTTTGCAAAACATGGGATTGACCAATGGTCATTTGTAGATATTTTTGTTTTCTTTTCGATAGTTTTGCCATATTCTTTTTTTTCTTTTCTCTAAACATAAACACTTGACACCATTTCTCAAACATCGCTCCTTCGTCATCTTGATTGTTATAAGAAGAATGCAAAGGTGTGTGTTATCATTATGTCGCGCCAACGAGGCGAAGCTGTGTATATGTACTCTATGTGAAGAACCCTCTCTCTAATCGAACATGAACTTCTTGAATCGCTGCCATGCACCCTCAGCAGTCAATTTAGGACGCACATCCAAATAGAAACTAGGAGCCTCAGGGTACCGGGGGTCGGGTTGTCCAGAATAGAAGTCAATGATGTACGTAACCTGTTTTCCGCACCGGTCGACTATCCAGTCATGGCGATCGAATGGCAACGTGTATCTAACATACCGAAAAGTGGCACGGAAAATGATCAGTATCCGTGAACCTCAGCGGAGGACAATGAAATGTGTCGGCTTTGGAGAAAGTAAATGACTTACCCCATCCAGGAGCGGACCCGTGCTTTGGGTGTGATCTCCTTGGGCTTTCCTTCAAACTTGACCAGCTTAGGTCCTCCACATGTACTATCATTCCAGTGAGCAAAGAATTGAAAATGATGTGTTAGAACGTGCAGCAATTGAAAGTCAGCCCCTTTTTCCTGCAACAAATAATTGCCTTATCCGAAAAAAAACACGTTTGCCCGGCCCTCGGAAAGAACAAAAAACAAATGAACAACTTACTTCTCCATCTGCTTCTCCCATCTGAGGATATGTTTCCAAGCCATCTCATTGACCATGTTATGAATCGGCACAACAAACTTCATATCCTCCTCACGCGGGCTCCAGTTCTTGCGCTTCATGGCATTGAAGAACATTTGTTCCGAGGGGTAGATCCACACCTCGCCTTGATCGCTATCCGGATCTGGTGCGTGTGCTCCCGATCCCGATTCTGACGAAGTTGCTCCTGCTGCTTTTTTCTTGCTGTCGCCATAGGGGTCGGGCGAGTTGGCAGCCTTGGGGATAGAACTGATCTCGCGCTCGGTGTCGAGGTCTCTACGTTGGGAGGCGATCCGGAACTGGTCTGGTTTCGAGGGCATGTTGTTGGTTGGGTCGATCTTTAGTGACTTGTCCTCTTCTCCTGCTTGTGATGACTGAGATGACCGTGGGAGAAAGTGTTTGTGGGCTTCGGGCGAGACGGGGCATTTTGTGGGTTCCCCGTCGGGGGTTGTCATGGGCACTGTGGGGTGGCCCTCAGGAAGACCTGTTGGTGCGGCTGACTGCGTTGACCGAGGCATGAAGTGTTTATGGGCTTCGGGGGAGACGGGGCATTTTGCGGGTTCACCATCGGATGAGGTTGGTACGGTGGGGTGTCCTTCGGGGAGTGCAGAGGCGGAAGGAGAGTCCTTGGGGAGGAAGTGGGTGAAGGTTGAGTGGTCGACGGGGCACTTTGCTGCGTTGTCCTGATCCTGTCCTGCCATGGTATATGTATGATTCCTTTGGTTTCCTTGTTGGAGGTGGTTGAGGAAGTGTGGTGAATGAGGAGGAATGAAAAAGAAGAGGGAGGAGGAAGAGAGGGAGATCTCGGCGAAGGTAAAGTTCGGCTTTTTTTTTGTGCCTTGTCCCTTCTTCCAGTTCCAGGGCAGCGATCGTATCCAAGAAGAAAGGAAAAAAAGCACGTCACCTTCAAGGAAAATCGAGTAAACAAAATTTCGATGCTTGGGCTGCGCGTTTGTTTTCCCAGACAAATAAAGCACTGAAAAGCACTGTTGTTGTTTTCTTTGTCGAGCTACATCACTTGGGTCAAGACTCATCCTTTCCAAGGTGCGTGGGGCATGGGGCTGGGTAGAGTGAGAACAATAAAGAGGAGAGAGTGCAAGAGTGCAAGAGTGTAAGAGTAGGGCGATGGATGTCTGGTGTCTATGGCAAATATAAAGACTCACAGCTAACAACGATATTAGCACTCTCTCTCTTGCTCGCCTCCCTTTTGGTAGTGCCAAGTGCCACTCAACACACCTGAGGTCACCAGCCACGCGACAACCGGCTCCTTTTTCTTTTGCTTCATCATCCTCACACAACACCTCCAAGGACAACGGGCTTGTTTTTCTCATCCATCCAACAAAGCAACAACAAGGACCAGGACACCCACACCAACACTCTTGTACTTTTCTTGTCCATCCAACAAACACGTCCATCCCCCGCTCAGCCATCACACCTCTCTCTTTGTCCCAAACGCGAGACTCGTTTATTTGCCACCTTTTTTTTTTGTCTCCCTTCTCTCTCCTCCGCAAACACTAAAGACGACACAGGACAAAGGGCAACGACGTCAACCAACCACTCTCGCACCTTATCATAGAACCAATCTCTTAGCCCACCATTCCTCATCTACTCGTCGGTATGATGGAATCAGGAGGAGAGCGGGGCGGTCCCTCAGCACCCTCGTCGTCGTCGTCGTCGGCTCAACCACCATCCACAGGAAAGCGCCCTTATGTGCGGAAACAACCTGCTGCTGGATTCCGCAATGACAAGAGCCGTCTCGCCAACAGGAACAACTCACACGATCCTCACAGCGAAATGATCGTCTACAACAACCACCAACATCAGCCAGACCCTTCGACCCACTCCAACTTTTGTCAGTCAATGCTCCGCATCTCCACTATGCATATGCTCCAGTCTGCAGGATACGATGCCGTACAAAAGAACCCGATGGCGGTCCTCAGCGACTGTTTGGGACGGTACTTGGAGTTTCTGGCCGAGGCTGCCAAGGAGTTTGCGGAGCACTCGGGAAGATCTAGGATTACGGCGTTCGATGTCGCGGATGGGCTATCAGAACTCGGGATCGACATGCCAGATCTGAAGGAGTGGTTCGTCGAAAACGGAGGCGTTCCTGTCACAGCTGCTGTTGGCGCGGATGGCATCACTGGAGAGGACAATCAGGCGACATCAGCTGTAACAGGAACGACAACGGCCGCCGCCGCCGCTAGCCGACCCGTCCTGCCTTCGTGGAAAGGAGCTGATCCTGGACGTGTTCTTCAAGGTATGCACTGCTTTGTGGATTCTTTCCTGTGTTTTTATTTCCACACCTTATTGTTTCAATTGTTAACAATTGTTACCTGTCGTCGTTGTTTATCTTGATAGATATTACGCGGAAAGGACGCGAGGAGGAGCATCTGGATATATATGAGTGGCGCCCATTACCCGATGGATTTGTCATGCCAGAGACAGACGAGGAGCAGGACGCATACGCCTATCCAGAAGGGTCAGACGACGAAGAACACAACTCTATGGAGGCGACCCCACTCACAGCACAATCACTGCAGGAGAATCGCTCACGACTTTCACGATGGATCCCGGACACGAGGCCACCCCACATACCAGACTTTGCTCCACCTTTCCCCAACTGTGTCCTGCCCGCAGACTTGACGCGCACAGACAGCGACGATCTGATGAATGGATCTGTCATGAGTCAATCAACGGACCAGTACGACACCAATACTTCAACACCCGCAGCATCGACACCTGGACTGGATTCTGCAGTGGTCACTTCAAAGACAGCAGACATCAAATCAGCACACGCAGAACTATCAAAGTTGTCCATCAACACAACCCTACCAGCAGACGCGGACAAGGACGGTATTGTTCCAACAGCAGCGAATGCGGAAGGCGACCAGTCCGAAACCAATCCATACACTGTTGTGGGACCATTCCAGGAATCCACCCAGCCGTTTTCGACATTGTACTCTACTATCCCTGCAAAGTCAAAGCAGCCCCACAGTTCGCAGTTAGCAGCACCTTCGTCATCAACCATCCTGTCACAAAAATCTCAACTACTGTTTTCGGATACGCTCTTGACGCTCCTGGATCCTACGCCGTACCCGCCAACATTTGCAAAGCGACTCAGACAACAGGCGTCATTGGCGCATGCGATTGAGCGAGCTGGAGAGCCATCAGATACTTTGTTCTCCAATTCTCAACAGGCGGGAATGATCGACAGCCTCTTGAAACACACGGCACCGACAGTTATCGTCAACAAGTTTGCCAACCCAGGAGTCTCTGTCCAGGACGCTCTGTCGCCTATTGCCCCCACAGAACGGATCATGAATGGCGGTACTCAGGATTACTATGTGGCACAGGATCCATTCACAACGGGACGAACGACAGTCGTACCTACTGCGTCTAGAAAGTCGTCATTCTCCAGCTCGCCCCTTTCAACAGTATCTTACCCGCCCAAGGAAGTAGTTCCAACGCCGCTTTCGACTCTCAGCAATGGCCCAATGACAAATCTATCCGACATTCAGCCCAAACCAAAGGCTGGATCCAGAAAATCGAGCCTTACATCGTCTGAACCAACTGCTCCTGCGGCGACACCCTTGCAACGGAGTCCATCTATGGCAGTCGCGCCGCCACCAGCACCTGTGGCAGCGCCTGTAGCACTTGGTTACTCGGCTGCACCCATCAACCCTACGATACTTTCCAGGATTGGGTCAAATTTCGACCCTGCTGCCTTACTTGCGACGTCGGGATCTGGTAAAGCGTCAGCAACTTCCAACGGCGTGTCAAATCCTCGGACCTCTACTGCGGCCTTGGTGTCAGCAGCGCCAGCCTACATCCCACCACCCGTCAACAGCACTGTGCCCACTAGCTCTTCAAGTCTTCCAGGACCGTCAGCGACACCAATATCTAGCTCTAATCACGTTGCAGCGGCATCGGCCAAGGCATCGACAGCAACGTCAGCGCCTAAATCAACTGCAGCAGCATCGACACCCAAACAACCTTCAACATCTTCTTCAAAACAGCAGGCGGCGCCACCAGCACCGACACCAAAGCCAATACCGGGACCCATTTCGCTGTCAGACTTGCCACTCAACATTCCTTCGTCAACAACGTCAGTCCATGCGAAACCTCCCACAACAGCCACGCCAACGACACCTTCAGCACCCAAGATTCGGTTCAAGTTTTCGGCACTGGATGCGATTTCGACGGGCGAACAAGATCCTGCAGCTTCGTCATCGTCGTCGAGTAAGCGAGACCATGGTCGTCATTCATCGCCCTCTAGCAGCCATCACCATCGGTCATCATCTCTCACCTCGACTGGATCCTCGCACCACAAGAAATCCAAACGGTCTTCTCGGGATCATGACGAGGAGGAAGAGGATGGAGCGGATGATGGATACTCACGGGAGAAGAAGAAGAAGAAAAAGAGCAAGTCCAAGGACCGTGACCGTGACCGTGACAGCCACCGTGAGCGTGATCGTTCAAGAGACAGGGACCGTGACAGGGATCGTGAGCGAGACCGCGAGCGCGACCGGGATCGGGATCGGGATCGTGACAGTGAAAGCAGCAGTCGACACAAGCAGCACAAGCAGCACAAGCATTCCTCACACAAGTCTTCGTCGTCGTCGTCGTCACTGCCAAATGGCGCATACGCAGCATCATCGTCAACATCATCAACTCAAGCACCTGCAGCTTCGGCCTACGGCTACTACGCGGTTGCGCCCGGAGGAGGAGGAGCTGTGGACGATTCTGGAGAGGTGATCAACTGTATTTGTTCGAACCCTACACTGGACGATGGACTATTTATGATCGCGTGTGACCGATGCGAGGTCTGGTTCCATGGTCGGTGTGTGGGCGTACGAGAGGGCGATGCTGTCAAGACTTGGTTTTGTCAACGGTGTACTTCCGGAAACGCTCGTTAGTGAGAAGGCTCTGTGGAGTTGGCTGGGAAGAGTGGCAAAGTTGCAGATCAGTCGCGTAGCTCCTAAAGAGTTTGGTCTTCTTCCCTTATTATAAAAAGTCGCACCATGTACAACTATGAAAGATCCAGTTTTTTAGGATGGCTGAGTACTTTATTCTTTCTTTGGTTCTATGGCTATCGAGCATGGCCTGCAACGCCAACACGAGATGCTGGAGGCGCGGCGATGCCTTTAAAAAGGCTGTGCCACCCATTATCGATTTGTAAGGCTTGCTAGTTAGTGGCTGTGACTGGCTGTGATTGATTGTTGATAAATAGGAGAGTTCATGACATGGGACTTTCGTTCATTCATACCTCTTCTTCTACCATTCATCCCACTTCCTTTCTTCAACAACCCTCAACCTTCTATCCTCATGGCCACTGTGATTCAGCGAGAACTCTATGGCGGTGCCATTACCATCAACCTCCCCAGCAAATTCGGCACCATCAGGTAGTTTTTTCTATAGGATTTTTCTTTCGCCCCTTCAGACCGTCCTTTTTTTTTCTTCTTGTATATATTTGCTTGATCAGTAGCTTGCTCTGTACAACAGTATCCTCACCCCTCCATTCTTCTTTTCCCTTTCAAATAAACTCTTGTATTTTACTTGATAACCGCACCCAACGAACTAAACTGTACCATGTCCACCATTCTCCCTTCGGAACCTTTTGCTTGGTCTGACGATACCCGTATTTTTTATTTTATTTTTAGCCATGTGCGTGAAGTGCCAGATCACCAGGAGGTCTTTGTGAACGTCGACGAAGACCAGAGTGTGATTGTCGAGATCCTTGAATTGGCCGCCGAAGCCTCCGACGATAACTGTGCCGCGTAAGTTTTTTTTGGCCTTTCCTTCCTTTCCTCCTTTCATTTTCAGGAGAGATCGTACACGTTTTTTTTTTGGGAGGAGATGTCTGTGCGTTGTGGGCAATGAAGGGGTGGTGCTAAATAATTAACGACGACATTTTTTTTTTTTTTTTTGTTGACGATGTAAAAATTAGATTCCATTTCCAACAATTGGCAGAAGATAACGATGCCGAAGATGCATCTATCATCCAGAGCGTCTCAGTCCTCAACAACGCCGAACTCCCTGCTTGGCCGTAAGTCCCTTCTTCTATCTCATACACACGTACCCTCCCCTTCTTCTCGCTACCCATTCTCGTTACATTGGCACAACGCTTTTTTTTGCTGACAGAACCCCCCTCCCATTTTACTTTTCCACTCTACTAGCGCGGATGCAAAGATCTACCTCCTGTTGGGCCAACAACGCGTCGCAAAATTCAACGAGCAACAACGCATCCAACAACAACACCTCGCCACCGCCGCTTCCATCTCTTCCTCCACATCCACCACCACCACCACCACCGACGCTCGTAATTTGGTCCAAATCATGATGGTAGTCGTCCGCCTCCCCCGGCAGGATACCGACATCGTCTTGTCTTATAACCTGCCCCTACAGATCTCGGATTCGAGCTCGTCAAAGCAGGTGGCGCATGAAGGAAATGTTTCTGAGGCTGAGGGATGGTTTAGGGAGGTTGTGGGGTCTTTTACGGTTAGGGAGTGGGGGCTTTTCGGGAACTGAACAGGGGGGGGTGCTATGATAGGATGGAGGATTGGGAGATAGAGTGTAGGGAATGTGTTGAGTTGGAGAGAAAGAGAGGGAGGGAGTCGAGGTGTAGAGCGAGATAAACAAAGACATCTTCAACATTGTACAGGAATTAACGGGACAATCCCCTCCTCCGACATTGTCTCTAAATAACACCAACATCATTAAGAGCAGCAAGCAACAAGCAACGACATCAACAATAAATAAAGGAATATTACCCAACAACAAACAAAAACAACCAATACATAATTGAGAGTGATATATTTATGTACGAGGATTGGTTTTTTTTTCATTGCAGCGAACTGCAATTTCTATGGCAAAAAAAAAAAGGTAATACTTACTCCAAGGTAGTATACTTCTTCAAGTGCTCAGGGATAGCATCTGTGAGTCCCTTGGACTCGATCCACTTCTTACTAAAAAGCCGAGACTGGTAACGGTATGCGCCATCGCACAAGATGGTGACAATGTTCTTTCCAGGTCCCAATTTCTTGGCCATCTCTACAGCGGCAACAACGTTGAGTGCGGATGAGGCGCCGACATAGATACCTTCTTCATCGAGGAGACGGTAGATCATGTGGAGCGAGTCTGCATCGGGGATCTGGAGGGCGTCGTCGATCAACTCGATGTCGGGCTTCAAGTTCTCTGTCACACGTCCCTGACCAATACCTATTTGAATCGTTAGATGAAGAATAAAGGAGTGGGAGTGGTTAGATTAGTTTTAACGCACTCGTGTAATCGATCCACTATTCGGGATAAAGGACTAAGAAGCGAAAAAAAAAGAGTATATTGAGCCAAGCAATATGACAAGTAAAGAGAGACGTACCTTCGGTGATAGAAGAACCGCCGCGCTCAATAAGGGTGCCGCCAGACTTGATATAGCTGTACAAAACACTGCCGGGAGGATCGGCCAAAAAGATCTTTGTCTTTCCGTTCGACTTCTCCTTCAAGAACCGAGCAATTCCAGCAAGGGTACCACCAGTACCGGTGGAGCAAGTGAAACCATCGACTTGACCCTCCAACTGCTGCCAGATCTCGGGTCCAGTGGTCTCGATATGGGCTTGACGGTTGGCAGTGTTGTCGAACTGGTTGGTCCAGACGGCGTTGTCGAGGGCCTCAGCGTGGCGAGCGGCTTGGTGATTGTAGTTCTGGGGGTTGTCGAATGCCACTGCGGGGACTGGGTAGACCTCGGCGCCTGTTATGATTGCATGCAGGGGGTGGTGGTGTTTTTAGTGTGAGAAAAAATGACAGATGCGGTGAGTAAATAAATTAGAAACAAGGTTCTTCTCTCACGGATAGGGGATGGAAAAAAAACATGTACAAAGAAGGACAACCGATGGGACCCTTCACCCATCCACCGCACCCTTCACACACATAATATTGAACAGAAAGTGAACAAAGACTTACCGAGCATGCGCAGCAGGTCGATCTTTTCCTGACTCTGGGTGTTGGGCATGTAGATGACGCACTTGTAACCCTTGGCTCGGCAGACGTGGGCAAGACCGATACCGGTGTTTCCGGCAGTTCCCTCAACAACCGTTCCGCCAGCCTTGATCAGTCCTATTTACCCCATCAATTGAAGCAAGTAGATGTTAGTTGGTGAGTTAAAAGTCACGCTCTTTTATCACTTCCAAAGAACTCAGTTGAGTTGCCACCAAGAACTAGAAGTATGTGTACCCTTGCTCTCGGCATCCTGGACAACAAAGAGGGCGGCACGATCCTTGACAGATCCACCGGGGTTCATGAACTCGGCCTTGGCATAGATGTTGCTTCCGGTCTCCTCGCTCAGTCTGTTCAAACGGATCTATTGGTTCAACAAAGAGCATTCAAGGAAGGTGGAGTGAGTTAGGCCAGGATCTTGCACATTAGTCGGAAGAGCATGATGTGAAATGACGCGATATGTCCTGAAGGTTGACAGGGGGACCGTTGAATATCAAAATGAGTAACGAGGCGCTTGAACATACCAAAGGGGTGTTTCCAAGGGCACCAATGAAACCGTTCACAGCCTATAGTTACCATTGACAAGTTCAGTAAAGAGTTAGTGTCTGAAGAAAAGGAGTTGTTATGACCGAGTCCAGCCGGGCGGGAATGAGTCCCATGAGAAAATAAAAGGTGGTCGCGGCAAAAAGTAGTCCATGTGTTTCTGCGAGAGGGAGAAGAAGGTACCTTGGCGGCGGAGATTACGGGCTTGACGGTGGAGTATGACCTCCTTGCAAAGGTCGAGATTCCAGTCCTGATCATTGTTGGGGTGCAATGAGTTTGGTGTGGAAGAAAAAAAAGAAGAAAAGGGGAGGAATAGCGAAGAAGTAGAGAAGTTGCGTTCTCTTTTAAAGGGCTTCGTACAGGCGATATGATTGATAGACTCATTCTCGTTCCATGCTTCGCTTTGATCGTTTCGTGCTCAGTGGCGCCATTTTTGCCAGTCACAGTGTCACTTTATGTTCCTGAGATGGTTGGTTGGCTGGATCGATCTCTTCTAGCGCAGTAGTACATACCCACCACCAGGCGCCATTACGTCTCTTCAACAACGCTGGATACTCGCACCATGCGCCACCAACATGAGGCTCCTGGAACAGCAGTCCTCCCATTTGACCTTCTAGACCTCCTCTTCCTCCTAACGGTCATCAGTCCACACGACAATTCATCGTTGGTTTGTCAAATACCCCCATCCGTTGCACTTGGTACCGTTCCCCTATTAACCCCTAGTTCTCCCACCCAATTTCGATAACCAACCCCCTGAGATCCTTCCGCTCTGAAATACCAATTGAGCACACTTAGACGTGCTGTATGTTACCGAGGATGGAAGGAATACATCTCCTCCCTTAGAACTAGCAGAGCATGGCATAGCATCTTAGATGAGCATCATGAAACCATTTCACATATCAGATCAGCGCTATGCCCCTTCCTTTTCTACAATCTTCTTCAATCTCTGCGCACTTTCTACAGAAAAAGATAAGACCACCTCCTCTGCAAAAAGGCACGCACAGCTGGCTCATATTTCTCATGGTCACTCAAGGAATCGAGTGCACCCTTTTTAAGGATCCGATCCGACACTATCATCTACTCACTCACTCACTCACTCACTCACTCACTAACGAAACGCATCCCCGATGGTGCTAAAGCGGCCTCCCATATGGCTATCAAAACTGTGCTCAGAAGCTGAACAGGTTTGCAAGCCGCGCTATGATAGCCGTGCCGATTTATTTTCAGCTGTTTTCAGGAAACCGGGTGTGCGTCTTTGTCATCCTTTTGGTGCTCAAGTCTTGAGCTCTTAATGACCTGCCTGGTGCACGACTGCATATGATCTATTCTGGGTCTGACAGAAAAAGAAAAAAAGGGGAGGAGGGGGGGCGGGTGTGGTTGTTTCCCCTCCCTCGTGATGCTCCTGGTACCCATGGTAAGGTACATGAACATGTAGAGTAGTACTTTCTGCGACAAAATGCTTACTTCAATCTTGAATTGCGGAGACATTTCTTGTTCTTTTGAAAAATGGAAAAGGGTGGAGGAAGAACGGCCATCCATCCCTGTTCACATCTAATTTCTGGTTCTGTACACTAAACCTCGTCTGGTCTAGTCCAACCCTTGGGCCGATCTTGTTGAAATGGATGTGGTTGTTGGTGTTTATTTTACTATGTGTATTTTGTGCTCAGATCGAAAAATGCAGCGCTATGAGATGGGATGTGAGCAGCAAATGGCGGGCAATGTTAAGAAGACAGCATCACAAACAAGGAAGTGGTCGTTCACGATACCAAAAGGCAGCAAAAGTGAATAAAAGGATTGAAAGAAGAAGAGGGAAGGGGAGAGAAGGAAGTGAAGGTGCTTGTCCAAGATAGCTGTTCCCTTATTAGTTGTTTACGATTGTTATATTTTTTTATTTGGCCGTTTTTGAGAGCACTAACAACAAGCCCCTAATCAAGTCAGAGTGAGTGGAGGTTATGGCTGAATAGACACGAGTGAGTGACATAAAAATAGGTTCAGTCGCGTCTCTTGCTCATCTCTCTTTACTTCTCGTCGGTTGCTTCTTTCTCTTTCTCTCGTTTCACTATCTCACTCTCTTTTTTTAAAAGCTCTTGCTCAATTACTCGCAGTGACCCTGTCTCGTTCATTTGTTGGATGTTTGTTTGTGTACAGTACATTTCCCATTTGCCGCCAAACAGTGGTCTTTTTAATTATTGATTTCATTGTAGCACCACGATATGGCTGGGTTGGATCGGATGGGCTTGGTTCATTTCATTCCAGTAAAATTTGGAATGGTGTTTGCTTATCCGAGCAAGGCACGGGTGCGCGCTTTTCTCTTTGTATAATTGAGTTATGATCGAGTCTATTGAAGGAAGGTGGAGGGAAGGAGGGAAGGGGTGGCCGTTTAGTCTACTTTACTTTGACTTTGTCCAAAGTGGAGACGGGTGGGCATGAGGGGGAGAAGATGGGGGGTTAATGCTCTCGTGTGAGTGGACTGAGTGAATGTCTGCATGGTTGGGAGAGTGTGCGATAAGGACATGGATGGAAGGAGGAGGAGAATTGATAGACGGACAGACGCATGCAGAGCGACATGGCGAGGGAGCAGGGGGGTCCATGAATTGGAAAGACTTACCACCTAAAGAAAAAAAGGGATCAGAGAGTGTGTATGTATTATGTACGAATGATCGCGATAGATGGGAGATCCTTTTTCGAATTTCTTTTTCGCCGAGGAAAAAAAAAAAAGAAGCAAGAAAGGGACACTCATGTACTCTTTTTGCCATGTTCAGCGCACGGGAAGGGTCTTTCTTTTGATTGAATGGTGGTGTATGCACTCCTTGCAGTGTATGGGATATAGGATGAAGACTACTCTGGGACAGATGTAAGAGCGAATGAAGGCAAGGGAATCGTGTGAAGTAGCCGGGATGGGTGCATCGTTATCAGACCATGCCCTTGCGAATTGAATTGAATGAGAGTACAAAAAGGAAGCCTGCGTGGTGTTCCATTTGTTTGAATCAAGGTTCCGTCGCAGCTCCACCCAACCACAGCTCGCAGTTCTTGCAAGGTGTATATATCTATTTAGAAGGGGCAATCCCTATTCCACTCTCCATGGTTAATTAAAAACTGTTAGTGCTCTCAACAACAACAACAACGGTTGTTGTTGTTTTTGGTTGTTGGTTGCTGGTTGTTGTGTGTGTTGTTGCAAGTGCTCTCACTTTCTTTTTCTTTTTTTTTTCACTTCAACAAGTGTTTACTGCTGCAGCAACTCAACTCAACTCAACTCAACTCAACCTGCTGCACAAATCAACTCAACTCATTTCCACTACAGTTCACTACACACACACACACACACTCACTCACTCACTCAAAGCGAGGGTCAGACATAGGCACAAGGGCACCCTTGCCTCCCATTGAACCCCTGCCTTCATTTTAATCGCTCGTATGCTCACCCCTCCTCCCCCACCCTGCTAGCACGTCTTTTTCGTTTATTCCTCTCTCTCTCATCTTCTCATCCTCGTCATCATCTCACCTCCTCTTTCTTTCGCTTTACTTTGCTTTCATTCCCTTTTTTCTCTTTTCTTTCTTTTTCTTCTTTTTCCCTTTCATCCCTTTTCGACCCTTGCCTCTCTCATTCTGCATCCTACTTGTCCTTTCCCTTCCCGACTTCCGCTCTCATATCACACCTCCTCCTTTTCCTTCATACCCATCTCACCACTCCTCCTCCTCCAGCAAAGCCTCACTCATACCTCTCTTTCCCGCTTGCACCCTTGTTCATCTCCAACCCGCCTCGTCTTCACTCACGACTCATTCCATCCTCTCTCCTCCTCTCAAACCAGCCAACCAACCAACCTAAACGGAAGCCTTAAATGAGCGTCAAGGATCCTCGTCTGTCCCAGATCCTGCCGGTCATCCGGTGCTCTGACTGTGGACACGATGTCGAGTTCAGACTGCTTGGCGAGCACGTCTGTTCGTCTGCACCTCCTATGCCTGCCTTGCCAGTGATCCCCGTGTCAAAGGGTAAGCCGTCAACCGCTCTTTTGCTTGTTCCCTCGACTGTCAATTACTTTCTCTCTCCTATCTTTCTTCCTCTTAGTCTCGTACGCACCCACATCGATGATCCAGGGAATAGAGAAAAAGGGGAGACTGATTGTGACCTCAAGAGTGGGAGGGGGGGGGATGGGAAAAGTAGTTGTATTTTAGTTCGGATGTTCTTTTTGTCGGTTCACCACTCGTTATCGAGAGGGATGCTAGCAGTGTTCGATGACTTGGTACAAGTCTAAGGGGACAGTTGCTAGTGAGAAAGAGAGGCCTTTTTTTTATTAGTGAGATTGGGTAGAGAAAGGTTATTTCTCCTTCAGCTTCGAAACTCCACTCCACTCAGTCAGCCAGCTGGTCAGACAGAGTTCTCAGGCACCGACTATCGACTCCCACCTACAGACACAGACACGGACACAGACACTACGCCAACAGGAACCAACAGCCGACAGCAGGAAAAGTACACGGGAACGAATAGGAATCAGCCGAGACGGACAGACTTTCTTTCTCTAAAGGACCGACGGACAACCAGACGAAAGAGACAAAAAAGAGGCACCGCGTTTGACCCCTTTGGGCTGAAACCTGGCTTATCATCTTGCATGGGAATAGCCCGGCTGGGACTAGTGATGAGCGGTTTTGATATATGAACTTTTTGATCAACAGCAACATCAATCAGTCAGGCACACCGCAACCACTGGCTGCTGATATTAAGAACGATGGTTGGGATTCAAAGGAAAGGATAGAATGAAAGACGAAGAGATGTAAAGAGTGAACGGACCGGACCAAGGTGCCCCAGAAGGAAGGATCCGAGAGCAACGAGGCACTTGGGAAGAAAAAACAGATCAGTCGCATAGGTGCGATGACCACGATCAACTTTTTCTTGTTGATCCTCATCTCTGGCTGAATGATCTATTTCTCACTGACTGACCTTGACCTTTTCTCCTCTTTTTCTCTCCTACATTCATTCTATGTGATTATTCCTTGTCCGTTACCTCATTGTACACCATCCGCCTGCCTGCCTGCCTACCTGCTTGTGCTTGCCTACCTCTCTGCTCGCCTGCATGTACGCGTGGAAATCACAAACAACAAAAACCTCCTTTACGTCTTCACCCTCGACCTTGACCACTCTCTCAAATGGACCTCAATTGGACTGGACTCCTTGCCTTTTTTCCTTCTTCTTCCTCTCGGATCAAACCCTCTCCCCTGAACATTCGTTGGCAAACGTCTCCGTTTTTTTTATCTTTCGCGACACTCTTTTCTGATGTCGTTCATGCTCTGTTATATACGACCTTGCTTCCGTTTGTTTGTGCTTCCATAGCCCACAACTCACAGCCCCCACGAACTCCTTCTAGGAACGGTAAGAGATCTTTTTCCTTCTCCTTGTGCTGTGTTCTGTTTGTTGTTGTTTCCGTGTTGTCTCCTGTTTGTTGAGAGCGGAAAAATACCATTATTATTTGGTCACCCCCTTTCGTTAAAAAAAAGCCGTTTTTTCTTGTTATTTAAACTGGTATTGTTATTTGCTAATGTTGTATATTAGACTCCCCAGGACCAGGAAGCGGTATCTCTTCGGGCGCATACAGACCAGGACATAAACCACCTCCAATCCCGATCGGCTCTGGAGCACCAGCATCGAACCACTATGTCGGAGGCGGAAGCAGCAGCAGTCTGACAAACGGTTCTCCTATCTCCCCCGGCCGTCCCTCGACCGCCTCCCCTCGCCCCTCGCTGCCCTTCCTGGAAAAATATGCCAAGAAAAAGACGGCGACGACGGCACCCTCACCTCCAGCCGCCAATGGCCGTGATGCCAATAATAACAATAATACCACGGGCTCACCTCTATCGGTCTCGCCAACAACCCCGACCGCCCCCAGTTATGACCGACAGGTACTCTCCAACGGATCAAACTCTCATTATCAGCGAGAGCAGAACGACTACTTCCCAAAGACGCCTATCGATGATCGATTCGGATTCCAGCAACAACAACAACAACAGCAGCAGCAGCAGCAACAGGCACCTTCACGATCAAGGACACCTATGGATGATGGTCGATATGGAGCTTCACCTTCACCAATCCCTGGACGATCAAAGACTCCAGTGATGGATTCTTCTAGCCAATTCTCGACCAGCCCCAACTCGACACGGGTTTCGCAACAGCCGGCATTGCCTCAGAAATCCAATGCTCGTTCGCCCTCGATTGCTTCAGCGGCTGGATTGGGCATCAACGGAATGGATGCCAACGGCCGTATCAAGTCTCCTACCGGAGGCAACCCCTACCAGGATCCTAGGACAGAATTCGGTGGACGTGACCGGGATCGTGAACGCGAGCGTGGAGGCAGCAGACAGCAGCAGCACAGTGACTATGTTGATTCACCACCTTTGAATGGTTTCGGCCGTTCGGGATCGTCCGGCTCAGCAGCATCGTCGGTGTTGACCGAGAGGTCGATGCAGCGGGAGAGATCTAACACCGTTCTTTCAGAGCGCTCGGAGCGTTCTGTGCGCTCTACCCGTTCGGAGCGCTCGGACAAGGATCGCTCCCGCTACCCAGAGGAGGACAATGAGCGCAGCAACCGTGATCGTGAGCGAGAGAGAGGAGACCGTGGTGATCGCGGCGATCGCGAGCGTGAACGTGAACGTGAGCGTGGCACGACTTCCCGCAACCGAACGGATCCTTCTTCGGCGTACAAGACTCCCTCACCCCCAATCTCTCCGGAGGATGTTCGTTCTTCAGATGCCATGTCTTCAGCTGCTCCCAAGCCCTCTCCATACAGACCTCCTACTCCCCCAGACGCATCTCCTATTCCTTCTCGAGGTAAAAAAAATATGTCCTGCTGTTTTACTCTCCATGGATTGAGGGGGGGCGATTTTCCCATCATTTTCGTTTCTGCTCTCAAAATTTTTCAGTTTTTAACCTATATATTTCTCACCCGAAATTACAATGCTCTTTTTCCATAGGTCGTCGCCCTTCGGTGGCACCATCACGCAAGGCCAGTGGCGACCAATTCGACGCCCTCATGGATGACCTGATTCAGGAGATCAACGTCCTCCCCACAGGAGAACGATCGGGCCGTGATTCGTCCCGCCCTGCCTCTTCCCACAGATCTCGCTCGAGACCCAACTTGCCCGAGAACGGAATGGAGAGGAGCCGAGTCAGGGATCTGGCGGGTTCTCCACCACCTACACCAGGACTGCCCAAGCTTGCGAGTGGATCGGAGAGTATTCGATCGCATCGATCTGGAAAGGAGCGTAGCGAGCGGGAACGTGAGCGTGGAGATCGTGGCGATCGTACGGATCGTGAGCGTGAGCGTTCTGACCGCACCGACCGTGGTGATAGAGACCGTGAGCGTGAGCACCGCAGTGACAGAGATCGTGGTGATAGAGGAGACCGTGAGCGTTCGGATCGGGATCGAGGACATCGCAGCGAGCGTTCAGTGGTGGATGAGCGAGGAAGCGATCGCGCTACCCGAGAACGCGAGAGGAGCGACCGCACCACATCTTCACGCTCTGCAACCCGCAGTCGATCGACCAACCGTCGTGGAGGAGTTCAGCACTGCGAAGGCTGCAAACACGATATCCAACCCCAGGAGGTAGCAGATGCGATCAAGATGCAGCATGGAGACTACCATCCAGAGTGCTTCAAATGTGCACGCTGTCGTCGACCCCTTGAATCTGCTCGGGATGGACGTGAATACGAGGGACGCCTTCTTTGCGAGAAGGATTATCAGAGGTACCTTGAGAAGGATGCTCAGCGGTCTGAGCGTCCCTCGCGCAGTCGTCGTGATGCCCCTACCTGTGCAGGATGCGAGGGCCCCATCTCCAGCAGCGAGACTCCCGTCTATGCTCTGGGACAATCCTGGCACGAGCATCACTTGGCCTGTTACCAGTGCAAGAAGCCCATCCAGCAGTCTGTTGGCCATGTGGAGAAGAACGGCCGAGTTTATTGCCCCAAGGACTTTGGAGAGTTGTTCTTGCCAAAGTGCAGGTCTTGCAACCTCCCCGTGGAGAAGGAGGCCGTCTGTGCTCAGGATGGCAAACTGCAGGGCAAGTGGCATGCGGCTTGCTTTGGATGCCAGACCTGTAAGAAGCCCTTCCCAGACAAGAGCTTCTATGTCTATGGCGATGCGCCTTACTGCAGGCGACATTACCATAAGCTGAACAACTCGCTCTGCAAGAGCTGTGATCAGCCCATCGAAGGACCCTGCGCTCAGACCATGGAGGTAAGATAATCATCTCCCCTCGGGGGTTTTTTTTAGTTCATCGATCCTTTTGTGTTTTTGTTATTCTGTTGTCCAGTAACTAATCTCATGCTCACTTTTTTTTGTCGATTTGAATATGATATTAGGGCTGGAGATTCCATCCGGGATGCTTCTGCTGTGTGGAGTGCAAGGTGGCGTTGACGGATGTGTACTACAACTTTGAGAACCAGGCCTACTGCGAGAAGGATATCATGGTCATCCAGCGGACACGCAACGTCCGTGCCGAGCGTCGCAAGACCTTCTTTGGCAAAGTGTAAAAACTCTTTACCATTCGTTTCCCCTCCTCCTCCTTTTCTTCTCTCTCTCCCTCTCTCTTCTTTCGACCCCCCCCCCCCCCCATCATGCACATTTATCACCCTTACCCTCCTGCTCATTCACACACTTTCGTCCTTTTTTTTTTTTTTTTTAAATTATCGTTCCTCAAAAGAAAACCAACCATCCGCATCATACCTACCACCCCCCATAACCTACTCCTACTACTACTACTTCAACCCCTCACCCTGCAACGAGGTACTTTCTTTTCCTTCTTTTACCGGCTCAAAAAAGAGCTTTCTTAGATATGAAAACAAATATAAAAAACAAGACAAAAAAATAACACAACTGGAGGAGAGTGCAATGAGAAATTATGTTTGAAAAGACGAGAGGTTCAAAAAATGGAAGGAAAAAAGAAAAAGAAAAAAAAAATATGCGACCGTCCCCAATTCTTATTTGTTTTACATTGTTTTTCTGTTTTTGCAAACGTATCTATGCTCTCTGTCTAGGCTATAGTCAGAACTTCCAGTCCGACAACGCTTACTCATACACATCTTACAGCCTCAACCCTCTCTCTCTCTCTCTCTTTCTAACAGCTCAGTCTGTTTCAAAAGGACGAACCTCAATGACTCGATTTCTTGATATCAAGGATGAATCCAGACTCATCGACCACGTAATTAAAGTATGGATGTCGCAACGCATCTGCAGCCGTGATCCGGTGGTCAGGATCATATGCTAACAACCGACTCAACAGGTCCATGAACTCGGAAGCAAAACTGGCATTCTCCGATCTGTTTCCAGCTGGCACTACGTAGTCCTATTGATGTCAATCAATTAAAAGGGTAAAAAAATGTCTTGTTAGAGAATGCATCAAAGTACGCCGAAGAGGTACTTGAAAACCTCGCCAAGAGACAACGTAAAAGGCGACATACTCGCAAGGGCCGGAGAGCTTTGACGTATTTCCGGCTGTTGCGTTTCGTCTCCTCGTTGGGGTAGTCTAGTCGTCCATGATGGAAAAACTTTTGCTGCGCTCTCCTATTGACATGAAGCAAAAGCAAAATGCGAAAAATCTTGGTTAGTTCAAGAGTCTCCTTGAGTCAAAGGCAAGCTCCGATCAGTGACAACCTGCAAAATGACTTACTGGGATGCCCGGATTAGTTTTTCAGGGATGGGCCCCAAGACGGCTTGCATCATGGCGAGATGCTCCAAGTTGTCGTGTGTTTGAAAGAGTGCCTCTCCGGTAAGAAACTCGACCAAGATACAACCGACCGACCAAATGTCGCAAGGGTACGACCAACCCATTCCTAGCAGAAGGCGTGAAAATCGGACAACGAAAAAAATATCCAGCATAGATGATGATGAGTTCAGTGGTTTGAAAGAATGGTTTTGCTGCCTGATTTGAATATAACTCCTGCGGAATGCAAGGTGGTCATCTGATGGTGATACCTAGTATGATCTCTGGTGCTCGGTAGTGCCGCGTGCAGACAACAGTCGAGTGGTGTTCATCCTGAAATGTTGCGCTTCCAAAGTCAATAAGCCGGATGTCAGGATCCAGAAGAACTCTCCTCGTATTCGTTGGTGATTTCTATTTGGTCACGAAGTATAATGTCAACGTTAGAAAAGGTACATGTGTCTTTCAATCTTAGAGGCGCGTTGCTATTTTTTGATCGCTTGTAGATGAGATCTTACCTTGTAGGGTTCCGTTCGAAAGCTGCCGTTTGCCAGTAAAATATTTTCGGGTTTGAGATCCGTGTGGATAAGTCGAAGACGATGGAGGACTAGATTGAACGAAAGCGGAGGAACGAGTCAGTATGAGAAAGTGCTACGTCAAATACTATCCACTTCAGTGGTCAAAATGTTCTGCAAAGTGGTACGTACAGGCTACACTTGTCAAGAGTTGGCGAGCAAAATGTTGAATTTGGTTGGGTGGGAACGGACAGAACGAATTGTCCTTGAGCCAGTCGTAGATCGATTGTCCCAGCAGATCAAACACCATGCAAACATGGTTCCTGTAATCAAAGATTTCATTCAGGTGGAGACATTTGCTGTATAATAGCAAGAAAGAAAGAAAAAAGGTATGTCAGTATAAAAAGTAATCACGCTCACATCTGTCACATGCCACTTTTAATTATGTGCACAGAGTAGCCATTCCGAGATCCCCTGCCGCTCTCCTTCAGTTTGTCATGACTTACAAGGAGTTCCGGGGGTCGCTCCTCTTGAGGGTGTTCAGTACTCGAGCCTCGATCTTGCTAGCATCCCGATACTTTTGAACCGCCCGAATAATCTTGATAGCACAGTGCTTTCCAGTGTCCCTATCAAAACACTCCACGACCTTTCCAAAAGTGCCCTGTCCCAGCAATCGGATCATTTTGTCTAGATCGATATGAATAACAAAAAACGCATTAGCAGCAAACCTCCAGATCTTTGATATAATTTGATCCGCATCGACAATCATACAACGACAATCCCATAAAGTCGTTCAACTTACATCTTGAAGTGAGATCATCGCCTGGCACCACTACGTAGTGGCCCTCTTTGTCGTCCCACGGGGGTATAGCGGCTGGTGCCTAGAATTAGCAGTGGGCAATTGATAAGAAGCTACTGTAAGTATCGGGCTAATTATAAACGACATGACCGGCAAAATGTTGATAGAAAAAGAAACTTACATCTCGGCCATATGTGGTCTGATCCTTTGGTTGGATTTTGGGTGCATGGTTCGGTGGTGGATTGTAATAAGATGCATAGGGGGCCTTCTCAGGGATGGCCGGTGGATGTTGTGGTGGTGCAATGTATCTGACTTCAGTGGCATTGGAGCGCCTCTTTTTCCTGACAGGCGCAATCAATTCCACGGAGACGGACTCTGTGGCGGGGTCGATGATATTAGAGTAGTTGGAGTGATGGCGATATGGATGGGAGTGGTGTGGTGCAGGATGGATTGTCGAGGCGTAAGGTCCATGTCCATTCGAATATGCATAGTGGTGCGGATCCGGACCTCCTGAGTAAGGTGGATATTGGTTATTGGAGGATGAGTTGTAGTAATGGTGACTTGTAGAGTTGGGCGACGGGTAGGATGTTGATCCATTGGATCCGTAAGGCGCAAGGTCGGTTGAAGGATACCGCTTGTTGGACCGCTTGGTCATGCGTCCAGAGTGGTCTGGATGTGAAGGCTGCAGGGGACTCGAGTCTGGGTAGAGCTGATAATGGTGGCTGTGGTGATATCCGGGATCATGCTGGGCATACGGAGGTAGGTGTGACATATTTGGTGGCGGCGGCATGACATGGGACCGAGGGGAGGACCCCAACAGCAGCGGGTGGTCATAGTTATTGTGCTGATAGTGACGACGGGAGGATACTTGACGGTACTGAGCCGACGCTGTGGAGGACGCTGTGGAGGAGGAGGATGGCGGTGGAGAATCGTCGTCGATGATAATGACCTCCTGGGGTGGCCCGTTTTTGTAGAACTCTTGCCAGTTGGCTGGTCGCTTTCCTGAATGCGTCCGTGTAGTGGCCATGGGCATCCGATAGCCAGTCTTGGGCGAAGAGGAGGCAACGGGAGAAAGCACCTTTTAGTCCTTTTCTTGCGGAAGGGGTCGAGGTGGTTCTGTTGGGGGGTAGGAATAGTGAACTCTGGTCTTTTCTTGTTGGATCGTGGGAGGTGAGGATGAATGAAGCGTTGGATTGTTGGGAGGAGAGTGAAGTGTCCCGCAAGTGTCCAATAAAAGCGAAGCGATCAGTATGTGTGTGTGAGAGAGAGAGAGGGCAAGTGAGGCAAGTCCCTGTATGGAGTATGGTCCGACTGAATCGTCTTGTTGTTGTATGTCTTCGGTCCTGGCAGTCCTTGAACTCGAACTCGAGGTAGCAGGGTTTGGCTGTGTCTGTGAGGAAAGAGTAGTGGCGGTAAGTGGGAAGAGGACGAAGGGAAAGAAGAAAAGGTAAGGGTGAGTGAGTGGGTGAGGGAAGAGAAAATATAGGAAAAAAGAAAAATAACAACAAAATAGGTTATTATTTTTTTGGGGGGGAGGGGTGGAGCATCGAGGGAAGAGGACAGAAAATAAGCTGCCTGCTGTTGTTGTTGTTGTTGTTGTTGTTGTTGTTGCTGTTGTGTGGGTGATGAGTGTCAAGTGCGGTGAGGGTATAAAGAGGGGAGGAGTGTGTGTGGGTCAAGCGAAAGGGAAAGTAATAGAAAGTCAAGAAAGGAGAAAAGAGGTGGAGCGAGTGGTTTGACAAAGAAGCGAAGGATTTATTTCTTTCTCCTTTCACAAGGTGAGCACTGCTCTTGGGTGTGTATGTGTATGTGTATGTATGTCTATGTGTGCCTTGCCTTGCCAGGTGGTCTGGCAACAGGAGAAGGGGGGAGCGGACTCCCGTTGTTGTTGCTGTTGTTATTGTTGTTGTTGTCTTGAGCAGAAAAGTAAACAATGAGAAGCGGCTGACTTGCAATGGGAGTCAAAAAGAAGAAGGGTCCATGACGAGTGAGTGAGTGTGTGCGCGGGAGGGGTTGGAGGTGGTTTGGGATGACAAGGTCAGTATCGGAGTAATAGATAGAATGGTCAGACGGGGAAGGGGAAAGGAAGGAAGGGGTTTGGTGGGGTGCGTACAAAGGACAATAAGGAAAAGGAATAAGGACCGATAATGAAAGGGGCGAGAGTAGCGTGTAAAAAGGGAAGAGTAAGCAGGCACCAAAAGGGAGAACACATACATAACAGGCACCAAAGGATTTGCTAGACTTTGTCACTCCTTCTCCATACCAGTTCTTGTACATGGACTTACCGCGCAAAATAAAGTAAAAGGGAGAGAGAGGAACAAGTTGTTATATACAGGGCAGACACGCGCAGGGGAAGAGAGGACAACAGAAGAGGAGTAGTAGGTGGAGTAAAGTAGCGATCAAGGAAAGAAGGAACACAGCGTTCAACGGCGATGCAGAAAAACAATCAAGAAGGCGAATGTCAAGACTTGTCAAGAAAGAAAAAGAAACGCTGTGACAGCCAACAACAGCAGCCAGATGATTCATCTCCAGCTCCTTAAGTGCTAATTTGCACACACTGGGCCCGGCATACACTTCGCCATCTTCACCTCCCAACCGCCACTCTCTCTCTGTCTTTCTTCTTTCCTTCCCTCATCGAACCTCATTCACACTCCTCTCACAATCGAATAATGTTCACAAGACTCGCAAATCGGGCATCAGGCCCGGCGCAGTTCCTCAGGACCGCCACTCATCATAACAACATCCGGAACCACTTCAACAACAGCAGTGCCGCTGCAGTTTCCTTCAACTCTATCCGCCACCAGTCCTCATCCTCCTCCAGCCGTGACAACGACAACTCCAACAACCAAGACATCGAACCCATCTCCTCTAACGAAGTCCCCATCAACGCCTCCATCGAACTCCACAGAGTCGATCTCGCCCACGGCTCCTTCTTTGCAATGCATCGCCCCCTCCTGGGGATCGCCAACGGACCCATGTTTGCCAGTAACAACCATAACCAGTTCCACGAAGAAGATTACGAAGGCAAGTTTCCCCTCTTTTCTTTGCTTCCGTCCAACGTTGCTGTTGTTTGTGCAGCCTTTTTTCTGCAGCCCCCTGCGTTCCCGACCTTTTCGTTCTTTCAACAAAAACCTACGGACAACAGAACAAGAGGGAGAGGACGGGAAGACGATAATGCAATGGGCAAATAGTGCGGCATTCCCTTATCTGGACTCAACATTTTCGTTATTTTTGGGATTCGATGATGACTTTTTCTTTAGTCGAACGTAACGCGTGACCCAATTCCTCCAGGAAATGACATGAATCGATAGAAAGGAAAAACGTTGGATGGCCGATGGCTCATACTTTTGTACACGCAATTGCAGAAAACGGTAGACAGCCAGGAAGGACGGGCAGGCAGGAACAAATTAAGCATCGGTTTCATCAACACACACTCATTCACACGCATACCGAGACAGGCATGAGCGCTCATCAAGACCGCCACGCTAGTATTCCGTTGGGATCTCGCTCGATATATCATCAACCGGCAACTGCACAAAGAGTCATCATCAGTCCATCCAGGAGAGAAGAGCAACAAGAGAGACTTGATTGAGAAAATTCAGGAGTTGTTCCTTGTCCTTTTCCCTTTTTCCAATGATAATTGCGATGAATCAGAAATGGGGGACAAACACATGCAGTTCTTATTGATACATTGCTTGTGCAAGCCCATTAACCCTCGTTATGATCCAATTCTTTTTTTTTAGATCCTGTGGATGATCTTGTCAACTACTTTTCGACCCTGCATCCATACTCACCACCAGGCCCAATGATCCAGGCTGCATTGGTCACCCCAACAGCGACTGCCTGGGCCAGCATGGCCCCCTCGATGCCTGATGCCGAACTGGCGGTGGAAGAGTTCCTGCGCCTTGTCGAGGATAAGCAGGCAGTGCAGGATCAACAACAACAACAACAACAACAACAACTGGAGGAAACAGCACTTCGGAAAGAGGCATCAGCAACAGCTACAGTAGGAAATATGGATGGTGTCAACGAAGGGTCAATAACGGTCAACTCGATCTTGGATCCTATGTTGCAGGACAAGTCGAATGCGATGCACATGACTAGTGTCTTGCGTAAAAGGCGGATCAAGATGCGAAAGCACAAATACAAGAAGCTTCGCAAGAGAACCCGAGCCCTCCGCAAGAAGCTTGGAAAGTAGATGATTCGGGATTCTACCTTTTCTTTTTTTTCTATTTCTTTTCCTCTCTTCTCTCTCCTGTAAATGACGGTTGAGGTGGATGCTGTGTCTTTATTTTGTTTCTTTTTTTTGCATGATACTCATGCAAAGTGTACTATCCTATTACTGTTATGTCTTCTTTTGCTATATCTTTTCCTTCTTGTCGTGCGTAGACCTGACACCCTAATGTCAAATAAAAACAGCTCCTAGAGCACTGGCAAAGCATAACTTTTAGACTTTCATCCATTTCACATGTGAATAGAAACCATGTTGCCACCAACTTTGATGATTAATATGACAGCACAGAGGATGTTTCGTCAACTAATCTGGCAGAGATCCCTTTCTTTCTCAAATGCGCGCCCAGTGCGTCCCCAAAGTGGTATGGGGCATCCTGCATTGAGACACCCCTTCCTTCTTCCTGTCTACAGCAGAACACCTTTCCTCGCCATGTGTGATGATGGATTTCAGAAGCAACCCTTCTGGCAACCGCAGGAACATCTCAAGCTCGAAATTGCCTTTTGGAAGGAAGAGAGACGAGTCACGAACTTTTAATCTTGTTCAGAACACGTTCTTTCTTGGCGCTTCGTTGCATTCCATCTCGCTCCTCATCACCCTTCTTCCATCCTTCCCCCATCACATAAAATCCTCCTCCCCCTCCTTACTTTTTCTCGTTTCCTCTTCCCTTCCCTTCCTTTCCCACCTCCCCCTTCCCCTTCAACAAAAAAAAAACAAAAATGAAAACGTCGGTCTTCACGGCTACCCTCCTGGCCCTCACTGTCGCCCTCTCCACCTCGGTGGTCCCCGTCGTCCAAGGTGGAAACATCCTCTCATCCACCTTCCACCCACGTCAAGATCCTAACCGTCACCTTCAAAACAACCAACTCCCCAACCCACATAACCAAGTCCCTAACCTCGACTGGAACTCTCAAATAGGTGCCACAAACCAACAAACTATGGAGCGCCAAGTCGCTTCTACCCATGGCAGTCAGCACGCTGGACCCGGGTGCCGGACCAGGGATAGGGTTTATTTGCCAGACATGCAGAGCTTCTTGATCAAGACCCCGTTGAGCTATGAGGAGGCTGTCCAAGCGTGTGAGGCGTGTGGGTCGGAACTGGTGCTTGTCGATGGGACGAATGTCGATCGATTCCAGGAGGCGTTTAGTTCTTTGGGGTTGTTTTCTGATCAGCGGTTCTGGATCAAGAGGTAACCCTTATTTTATTTTATTTTTGGTTTGCCCACCATGGCTGTACTTTTTGTATTGTGGTGTTATTGTATGTTTTTATTGTTCTATGAGAGATTGGGAACTGATATCAATTGCGATCTGGTCCAACCTCCCTTTGGCCCTCTTGAACATACTCACTCACCGACGGTCCTCCCCCCCCCTCCCTCCCATTCATATTTCCCGGCGATCATTAGCTGGTTTGGCGAGCAGGTGCAGAGACAGGGAGACTGTCCTGCGACGTATATCAACCCTGTCATGGGCAACCGTCTCGAACGTAAGTCCCCCCCTTTTTGCTTTTTTTTTTTTTTTTTTTTTGTAGTGTGTGGAAATGCTTTGCTAAGCACAGACCATGACATAATCCCCCACTCCCCTGGCTCTAACACTGTAACTAACAAATCGTCTTCACACATGCATACACATGCACACCACCCACTGACACCTCTCCATCCTTTTTTCTGTTGGAATTGAAAAAAAAAAAAAAAAAAAAAAATAGCTGTCGAGGACAATTGCAATACTCGCTTCTTTGCGCTCTGCTACTAAGCATGACAAAAAATAAAATAAAATATGATGTTCTTTTATTTTTCGCCGTTTGATCTGATATCTATATCTTTTGTGCATGCAAATCGTGGTCAATGAATGAGTGAATAAAAGCTTGCGCATCATCTGTTAACAAGAGCATAGGCCAACAATTGTATTGGTACACATAAAAGGAAGGTAAGAGTAGAGAGGAATGTCAAGGAGGGAGGAGAGAAGAGAGAGAAGAATACTAATGTACAAAAACCAAATGAAAAGAAGAGATGTAGACGTGGAGCAAAAATAAAATGGGGTGGATAGATACTATTGATGGAGTAATGAAAAACGAAAAGGAAGAGAGAATCTGACTTTGTGGGAAAATGAATGAACAGTGTCCAGTCGCTCGGTTGGTTTGTTCTCTCAAGTCTCGGGCGTTAGATCGAAAGGCAGGCGGGGTGGGACGACGATATAATCGAAAGGCATGGGTTGTGCTTTTGGCTGCTATTGTTGCTGAAAGGTCGTCAGTGTGGATGATGAAGACGAACCCGAGTACGGATGTTGCTGAAGGGTTGAAGGCTACGAAGATGAAGAAGAACCAGATCGATCTTCCTGATCCATGGGCTCCGGACCATTGCCTCCACTGCCGCTACTACCGTTGTCGTTGATGACCTCCATCTCTTCGTCCTGATCCTCATCCTTGCTCTTGCCCTTCGTCCGAGCTCCTTCCGAACCCGAAGTTGCTGTTGATACTAGAGGGAAAGTGCGCTGGTGGGCGAACACTGGTACATTGAATTGCATATGCTCCGGGTTTTGTCCCTGTAGCGCCTGTTGGTGTTGACGTTTCAGAAGTTTTGCATAATCTGTGTTTGTCAAGAAAAACAAAAATGAGAAAGTGGACCCTTTGGTTAATGCCCTGTGTTTTGTATTTGGCCTTGTCTCCCTTTTTCGTTTGTACGTTCTGTGTCCGTTCGGCTCATGAATATGCTCGATCTCACCAAGAAGGCGAAATGGTGCACAGACGAAAAGTGATCAAAAAGCAAGCAAAAAGAGGAAAAGCAAGCAAAAGGGACAGCAAACGAAGCTGAAACTTACGAAGTCCGCACGCGTTGCACAGTGTCCGTGCTCCATCTGGACCTCGGCGCCACTCTGGCGTGTCAGAAGCGTGACAGGAAAGACATCTTCCAGGAGGATGAGTCCGCTTGGCTCGCTTGCGATACTTTGGAGGAGGAGTGTTCTCGCCTCGATCGGTTCCTTCAGACTTGAACCCAGGGCTACCGCCATCTCCACCATTTCTGCCACTAGTGGAGCCTCCTCCGTTGGAATCCGTGCTCGTCATACCCGTCTGCTTGTGTCTCCCCATCGCCATCCCTTGATCTGTCAATATCGACGAGGACGACCTGCTTTCAGGCCGCATTAATGAGGACCCTTGCTGCGACGGGCGGCGGTGGTCTTGCTTGGAGTAGTCGCGCTCGAATTGGCCCTGACCACCTCGCCCATGGAAGCCCTGCAAGGTCGTCTGCGCATGCGTATACGCCAAAGCCCAGTCTTTGGCATGCTGATGCTGATGTTGAACATCCAGAGCTGGCATAGGAATGGTGGTAGTGCCGTCCATAAAGAGACACCGTTTGCCGCGAATGATGTTGATCTCTTCGTCCAAGACTCGCTCAGCAGGGGTCATGTTCACCCAGGCCTTTATCCGGATCGCCAGCTGAAAGATCGCCGCAGCTAACTTGGCCAACTCGTGATTCATCTCGTTCGTCGCAGCGTTCGGTCCAAAATGAGGCCCTCGCTCGTCCTCGCCATGGCCCATGTCTCTGTCAATCGCCGCCTGAAGGAGAGGGTCCTCGATTCCACTGCCACTCGCCCCGTCAGTCCCACGGCCAGAATGCTGAAGTCCAATCAGCATGGTCGAGCTCAAGGTCCGGATTGCCTGAAGGTTCGCCCTCTCGAGCGCCTCAGCCTGCTCGTCTCCAATGGGCGTTGGGATGTCCATATCGCTGGTGTCGTCTACTGCATGACTGGCATACTGAAGCGCATATCGGCACAACACGTCGCAACAATCGATGGCCGATTGGAGATCGATGGTGGTCGGCATGTCCGTCCCAAACTTGAACAGCATGTTCTCCAATGCTCTATCCTTGGACGAGGTCGACTCCCAACCCCGTGCATTCATCCGTGTATTTGTCACATCTCCATCACGATGTTTCTGCTGCTGCTTTTGTGGTGGATGCCGCTGTTTTTGCTGATGTGGTTTTCGCCGGTGTTGTTGACTGTGGTTCGAATCAAGATCCCGAGGAGATGGATCCAACTTGACGGTACTCAAGGACTGGACAATGTACTCCGAGGGCGTAGCAGCAGATGAGTTTCCGTGACCTGACTGGATCTGCTTGGATGGAGGGTTAGACGAAAGATGGTTTGGTGTATCAGGGGAATGGCTTGAAGAGTCCTGTGGACCAGTAGGGTATGGATGGGGTGATTGATAGGATTGCTGTTGTGCTGCATGGTGGTCATAGTGTTGCGGGGGCTGTTGTTGCTGCTGCTGCTGCTGGTGGTGTGCGTGTGGGTGGTGAGGGTAGTTTTGGGTCGATTGAGGTCCATAGGATGGTGAAGAGTGCGGATAGGGTTGGTCGGGTGCGCCGTGGGTTTGTGGGTACTGTACAGGTGCTGAAGAACGTTGTGGCTGATGTGGGTGAGGGTGTGAATAGGACTGACGCTGTGGCCCGTGGGGATATGCAAAGTATGACTCTGAATTGTAAATTACCCGCCGATCCCAGCGTTGATCACCCTGGGTGGATTTTGCAGACACACCGTGGGATCGAGCTTGCTGTTGGTGGTGAGAATGCGAGGGTGACGATGGAGCGTATGCAGTTACAAACGACGTGGGCTCCTCTCCACTTTGACGGGGTTCTGATGAGCTGTTTCCTTGAGAAGGAAGGGTTGTCCGCTCCCCTGTGCGAGAGTAGTTCGAAATGGAAGAAGAATGAGGTTGTTGTTGTTGTTCGTCGTCGAAGGGCCGCCTCAGGTTGGAAGCATGCGATAGTTCGATGGAGTGGTCGATAGAGGAAGTTGGATTAGCAAAACTGCGATCGAGCGCTTCTGATCGGACAACGGGACGGCGGGGTTGTGCGCCCGCATGATCTGGAGAGAGAGGCGAGGCCACTTGAGAGCCGCACTGTTGAAGGAACGGCATAAATGAGTCCTCATACGACCGTCTATAGGCAGGGGCTTTTTCTGAAGACGATGATGACGACGATACTGGTGCTGTTGAGGAGGAGGAGGAGGAGGAAGAGGAAGAGGAAGGGTAGGGCGAGGAGGAGTTATGATGAGGTGGCTCCATGACAGATGAGGGACTAGCGTCCGGTCTATTGGTCATGTCTAACTTCCTCCTATGATCTCCCGATGTCTCATCGAGAGACCGATCTGATGTGATATATCCAGACGTCGAGGCGTCGCCGTGGTATGGGATCGAGATCTCGCCAGGAAGGACCAGTGCCGATTCTGGCGGAGGTGGATGTGTCCTCGCTGTTGCTGAATGAGTCTCTTGCTGATAAGAGTATCCGCCAGGGCGGTGTTCGTGTTTATCAACTGGCGCTGGATTAGAAAAGAAGGATGTAGGATGTTGTTGTTGTTGAGAAGGAGAGAAGGATGGAGCCTCGATGGGTTGTCGAAAAGAGGAAGAGGAATAAGAGGAGGAAGTTAGGGGTGACAAATCGAATGATCCTCTGTCGTAGTGGTAAGGTCGGAAGACAGGTGCGAGGTGGTCCAGAAAAGAAGAGGAGGGGGACATAGTAGGGGGGCCTGTTGTCCGGGGCCTGTGATCGATGATGGTGGCTGGTTCGTGAGAAGAAGAGGAAGACGGCTCCGCTGTTGGCGCGGAAGATGGTGATAAAACTGAGAATTGCTTAGAGCCCACGCGGTGAGCAGAAGCATCCTGGAAATGGTCGAGATTGTTGCTGTCGTGTATTGGCCGCCTAGAGCGGTCCTGTTGTTGTTGTGTCTGTTGATGTTGCTGATGAGAAGGAGGCCAGGCTAAGCCCATGGCTTTCCCATGAGGAAGGGATGAGTCGTCGTGGGAGTGAGAAGAGTCATGGAGAGTTGAAATGGAAGGGATGATTCCAGTTGGACGAGAGAGCTCATGTCTATGGAGCAACGTTTCCTGCCGAGGATGGACACTTGGACAACGCTGTTGAAGATCCTCGGCTGCGGGGGCGAGAGGGGAGGCGAGGGGAGAGATAGAAGAGCCCTCTTCTGCGGGATGGACAGAAGGGAGCCCCATCGGTAGTGATCTTCCACGTCGGCTAGAGTCCAAAAAGGCCATTCACCATGAGTTGACGGGCAGAGATGGTGGTGGTGAAAAATATTGAGAAGGGAGGGAGAAGGAAGGGAATGCGAATGAGAATGAGAATAAGAATGAGAATGAGAATGAGAATGGAGGAGGAGGTGGTAATGGTGAAGGCGAAAGGTGAATGGTGTAGAGAGTAGGAGTGCGTATTGAGGATGAGGGTAAGAGAAGGCGAAGAAGACGAAGAAGGAGAAGAAGACGAAGAAGGAGAAGAAGACGAAGAGGAAGAGGAGGAAGAAGAGCGGAGGAATGTGAGAGTGGATAGGACAAAAGAAAAGAAAGAAAAGAAAGGAAAGGAAAACAAAACGAGAAGGAAGGGAAGGAAGAAACGAAAAGAGAAGGAGAAGGAAAGAAACAGAGAGGAGCGTTCCAAGAGCAGACGATGCGGATAAAATAATGATTGGGTGTGAGATGAAGTAGAAGACAGAGAAGGGGGGAAACAAAGAAAGAAAAAGGTAAAATAAAAGTAAAAGTAAAAGTAAAAAAGGGAGAAAGAGAGAGACAGAGAGGGATATGATGGGTACGTGAAGAAAAGTGGCCAGACGGACTGAACAGAGACTGAGAGAGCGGATAACGCTATGCCTTTCAATCTCTCTTTCCTCTTTCCTCTTTCTCGCTCTCTTCATCTCTTCGTCCTTCTTTGTTCTTGTTCTTGTTCTTGTTCTTGTTCTTGTTCGTCGATTTGCTCGTCGTTCTTATTCCTATCTCTTTTTGTACGTTGACGTTGTAGTTTGCTCTGGATGGGTTGATGATTGCCCTGTCACCCTGTCGCCCTCTCGCTGCCCTTTTTCTCTTTGCTGTCATCTCCATGCGCACAAAAAAAACAAGCTGTGAAAACAGGTCGGTTGGCCATGACTGTTCGTCACAACGTCGATTGCTTCTTTTTTCTTCTCTTGCTCCTCGTTTTCTTCCTAATGTTATTTGCTGCTCCTTCATGGCGACGTACCCTTGGTTGAACAAGGGTCAATTGAACGTTAACTCAAGAGTGACGGGTAAAAAGAGAAAAAGACAGAAAGAAAGAAAAGGGAAAAGCATAGCGACACACACATACCATACAACATCTTACACATTGCACATTATACTCCGCGTGAAGAGGGTAAGGAGTCGAAAAGAAAAAAAGAAAGTGCGAGGTTGAGTTGAATGGCTCAGCAGATACAAAAAAGGAACGAATCCGTTTGCCAGTTTGTTTATTGCTGTTGTTGCCCGTCAATTTCTGCGACAGTTTGCGTTGCCCTTGCCCTTGCCCTTGCCCTTGCCTTTTTTTTCTCTTTTACGCTTTACTGCTTGTGTGTTTGTGTATGTGTGAGCGTGTATGTCCTGTATACGTGCGTGTGTTTACTCCTTTTGCGTGTCCTTTTTTTTTTGCATTGACACAGACACAGATCCCGCTCTCTCTGTGCCAGATCCCGATCCAGTTCCTCTCAGATCGGAAATCGGCAATCGGGACACACATCTCTCACATATATAACAATGCACGCAAACATAAAAATGCTAACTCTCTTTTTTGCCTTTTTTCTTCTTTTTACGTCCACAACCTCACCAATTGCAGCTGTAAACGACGTAACTAGTTTATGGACAATTGAGAGAGAGAGGCGAGACCGTGTGGCCTGATTCCTTTTTTTTCCCAACAAAGTCTCGGAGGAGAGAGAGGGCAGGAGGAAGGGAACAAGGAAAGAGTCTTCGTCAGTTGGACCAGTAATATTAACAACGCTAAATCAGTGCATGTCATCGCACGCACATGTTCGCTGCTGCTGCTCAAAAAAAAAAAAAAAAAAAAAGAGAAAAAGAAAGCGAGGCTGCTGCTTGTTGTGCTGAAGTCTTTAGCATTGGCGGTCCAGACTTGTATTGGCAAGAGATAAAGAGAGAAAAAAAGGGAGAGAGGGAGAGAGAAGAGGGAGTTAGAGATAGAGATGTTGAAGAAAGGGGGAGAGAAGGGAGTCGTTATTTCTTATTCTTCTGCTGCTAGCCTAGATCCATTCAGATGGATCAAAACTCTTTTTGTTCAATTGGACAATCGAACAATTGGACAAGATCTTTCGTGGATGTTTTTATTGGGCTGTTTTCTAAAAAACAAGCGAATAATTGGCGTGTAGCCTAAAACCACCTGGATCTAACTTCCCAAATGGTATTGGTAACGTAGGGGTAGATGAGGAGGAGAGCAACAAAAGAAGACGCCTTTCCCTCCTTGCCCACCTGCGTCCTACCTTCCTGATGTTTCTGGCATTGCCAAGCTCGCCTCAATGCGAAGGATGATCAATAATAGACTCGCTCCTTTTCCGGTCAAGACACCCATCAGCCATCAGGGAAAGATGATCAAGAGAGACACGAATCACCAGTCAACCAAACGTTGGCTTGAACGTATGTCTTACAATTGGGCAAACAAACTGACCGCGACAAAAAAAAGGGGCGTAACCAACCCCCCCTTTGAAAGAAAACTAAAAATGCGAAATGGCCCCTCTGTCTTTCACAGGGGAGAATTGTAAAAAGAATGACTGAACGAGGAATCATATTTCTTGTGTGCGTTCGTTCGAAGGGCATGTATTTCCTTAGATATGTATATCACTCATGAGAGCGGACTTGCTCGGATTAGCCAAGCAAAGCAACCAAGAAACAGGAACAAGAAGGAAGGAGGAGAAGGGACATTCTTGCTCTTGCTACAATAGACTCGATTGTGCAAGTAGTTGGTACCAACTGAAACCAGTTCTGTGGAATGGCTACCTCTCGTGTTGCCAGGCAGAAGTACTTTTTTTTGACGCCCGCCACCTACAAAGCGTGTACATGTAGGAAAAAAAGGAGGAAAAACTTTCTTCTCTGACAAGAGCAATGATGATGCAGTTTGTCTGTCGGAGATCCAAGATTGTTTGGGAAACGATTTCTGGTTTCTGTGTCCAAATTGAATGTTGTTGTCACATCCACATCCATATCCACACGTACATGGACACAGGCATGCACAACAACGAGGTACATACACTCGGCATGATACACAGTACACACACACAACGCAGACGTATAAAAAGGATGCGCAACAAATGAATCTTAATTCGCAGAGAAAAAGATGCAGAAAATCCATTACGTTTGGAGAAGACCAAGCTCTTTGGTGTTTTTGTTTGTTGGCTTGCATGCATGCATGCTGGTCTGCACCCCTCCTAATCAAGATGAGGTGCCTCGTTGTGGTTGCACTTTATCTGTTGGAGAAAACATATCCCTCTCCTCTGCCCTTTATTCCTTCTCCCCATCCAAGCCATCACTTGCCACACAGAAAAAAGGATGCAATTAGCCTCATTAGGGAGTGACAATCGACAATATTCTTCATTCCAGTCGATCCCAACCTATTTTCCCAATAAAACATCAACCCCGAGTTATGCAGCACATTGTCCCCACCCTCCTTCCCGCTTTCTCGTGTGTTTTCTAGGGCAATTGGAGACGCGTGGCGAAATGATGAGTGAGTCGCCCCTCCCGTTTTCTTGTCGTCCCATCTTGCCTCTTTGATTATTCATCCCTCTTTCCCATTTTTTATTTTTCCAACACACCGTCTATCCACAACTGCCACACCTGACACATCTCTCCATATTTTTTTTGATCTTTCCTCGGACACTCCCTTTCTCAAACCCAAACTACCACCACACTTTGATCAGAAAAAGTCAAGGACCAAATCATCCCTCTCCATGGCACCAAAATCGGCAGCAAAGAAGGCTGCTCAAGAAGGAGTAGAAGTACTGACCATTTCCACCACCAACACCACCTCAAACGACAACATCGACAGCTGGAATGACCCTGAGGACAAGACAGACACAGACACGCGGGATACATCCCCAACTTCTTCCTCAGCAGGATCGGCACCTATTAGCAACAGTTCCTCGAACAGTCTTGACAGCAGCGCGGGGAGTGACAGTGTCGGTAAGCAATCTGATTTTATTTATTAATACCACACGCCCTTTATTCAACCTCGTTGTACTTTTGTCAATAGATGAGTGTGGTGAACAAAGGTGTCAGTTGGAGATATACTGCAATATTCAAGACGTGGTTACATCCACTGAGAGTGCCTCCATTTTTGTGTCTAAAACTTCAGCTCTTCCTGTTTCTACTTATTTCTTTACTTCACTCAAACATAGGTACCAAGCGCAGCGCCAGCAGAAAGAAAAATCAGAAGCGAAGGGAGGCAGCTAAGAGGAACAAGTCAGGAGCTACAACACCCACAACAACAACAACGCCTACACCAGTAACAACAGAACCGCCACCCTCACTGAATACAAATGCGCTGTTTGAAACCAACTCGGTAGAACAGGCCGTTGAGGACGAGTTGCTCCGACTGAGCCCTCAAGAAAACAACAACAACTCAATTCAAACGACATCGATAACAAGAGCCGCTCTAGAGAATGGTTCTCAGGTGATTACAGGCTGCGATTTTTGCTTTTCTACAGACTTTTTGTGTGAGCAGGAAATAACAATCGAACGAATCGGAACTTTTTAACTCACTCATGCTCCTTCTTCCGTAATATTCTTTTTATTTATTCACTCTGATGTCGATAACAACAGGCACCACAAGAACAACTCGATATCATAACAGAGAAGAATGTCATTACCGAAACTGTCACACTCCACAATATCAACACAACGACGCCATTACCACCAACCGACCTGGACAGCTCGCTGCAGGAGGACAGGACAACAATTGAATCTCAACCAGACAACGCACCAGAACTATATGAAGATTCTTCAGAACCTGCCTTCTCCGAGCCGACAACAGCCAACTTGCTAGGTCTAGACGATGTCGTACAAACAGACGACTCTCTGCTTCCACCTCCTCCTACCAAGAACAAACTCGAAATCGCCCACATTTGGCTGCAAGACACCAACCAAGAATCAAGTGTCACTGGGCATGGCACTTCCATCATACCTGGAATGCAACCCAGGCGCCCAGCGCCAGCAGCAGCAGAAGTCCATGATTTCCCACCCTTGAAATCTGAAATCGAAATCTTTACCTCACCAACAATCTTGAAAGGGTCTGAGGCCGTCCCTAATGCAGAGACCGAAATCGGGACCCAGATCGAGACGGCAGTGGAACACAATCAGTTTCACTCGTGGAGTAGTGCCAGTGAGCGTATCGTTGTTGGTGCGATCCAATGTCTTACCGAGACCAAGGATATGGAACTCTCCTATGTCTCACTCCTCTCTGCCATCACTGTCCTCAACAGCCGGCACGCCGACAGTGACAACTATGGAGGAGTAGATAGTGGTGAGTCGATAGTCGTGTCACCGGAGATTGTGAGTTTAGTGGCAGCAGCAGCAATTAGACCTGAGGATGCAATGGAAAAATTGTATGCCCGGCTGTTAAGCATCATTACTCAGTCAAGTGTTGCGAAAGATCTAGACAAGGAAACCGTGCGACAGGAGGTCATTTCGCCCGATGCGTTGTACATTCGACTCTACAAGGCTATTCTGAATGCTGGCTGCCATCTGCAGGTACCCTTGAGAGGTCCAGACCTTTTTTTGTTTTGTTTCGGAATACACGAATGAAAGTGCTTTTGCTGACACATGCTTGCCTATTCACTCCTTTCACAAACTCATAGGACGAGGATCATGTTCGTCTGGGTCAGTTCTTATTCGACCGACAAAACACCGAAGACTCTCTCTACTGCTTGAACAAGATTAGTCCAACCCGATGGACCAGCCACATCTACCGCCTGGCCATCTCCTGCCACCTCTTCACCCAGCCCCGCCATCTCCATGAGGCTGAGATCCTTTTCAACCAGTACCTTGCCCACAACAAGTTACTCTCCTCCTCTCCTTGGTCCTCCTCCCCTTCCACTTCCCCTTCTGCGACAAACCAAGGAAGACCGATGCGAGGCAGCAGAGCATTAAAGGGCATGGACCGCGAACAGTTCACCAAGGGCCTAATTCAGAATTGGTTCAAGCAGCAGTTGGATGCATCTAAATGGGACGAGATCAAGGCTCAGTACGAACGGAGAAGGGCTAGGTTGTTGGATGCTCCTTCCAATATTGAGCGGTTCTCGGCGTCTTTGCTGGATATGGATTCTCTGTCTGTAAGGTTGAGCGCGCACAGGAGAGGAGGGTCAAGTGTCTCGAGGGCTTCAGTTGTGGCTGATTATGGGTCTGCCGCCTCTAGTTCAGCCGAGTCCTTAGCACCAACATCAGCAGGAACGACCGGTACCACTCTAGTACCTACGTTGGCCGCATCAGAACCAGCGCCACCAGTCGCCACCCAACCCAGGCGCTCATCTTTTTCGTTGTTCTCCGCGTTCAGGTCCTCCAAACCCACAGCTGCTACCCCTCCAGTTCCCACCATCCAAACACGCGACATGCCCAGGCCCTTGTCTCTCCCAAGCGCATCCACAAACACCATCCAAGTGAACCGTCACCTCGCCATACTTGACAACGGCATGCTGGAGGAATGCGTCAACCACAAACAGTTCGAGTACGGATGGAGTATCTATGAGCGTATGGGACCGTCGCTGGAAGACAAGGATACTGCCAAGATTGCAATGCGGCTTTGTAAACGCGCCTTTTTGGGGCATGGGTTGGGGTCAAATTCGCCTGGGTCGCCTAGCGTTTTGGCGAAGGATGTTTATTTCGAGGATGAGGCTGTTCGATGGGCAACGACTGGCGAGCAGAGCGCACGTATGGGAGCAGGAGGAGGAGGATCAGAGTGTAGTAAGACGGTACAGGAGGATCCCGAGATCTGGGAGGCACGTGCCTGGGTGATTTACAACAAGGCCACGATGAACCCCTACTTCCTCAACTCCACCGGCAGCCCTTCCAACTCGCCTACTCAAACCCAAAGTCCCAGTGTTGCTCCCGGTGCTACTTCCTCCACCTCCGCCGCTACTGGCACCAGCAGAGGGAATGGGGCCTTGACGAGTCCAGTATCATCCATGGCGGGCACGACAGCTCTTTCAGTCTTTCTGCACAACATCTTGACAATCGCTATCAACTCTCAGGAGCGATCGTCACGGTACCTCAAGGCATTCAGGATCTATAGCACCATGAGGAACGACCCTTTGGGCCAGTACCAGTCGCAGCTCAGGGATCCGTTTGTGATGACTTGTATGATCAAGGCCATCTATGATACCGTCCTCATCCTCGTCAGGGTACAAGATCAGCAGCGATATCAGCAGCAGCAACAACAACAACAACAACAACAACAACAGCCATCTTCGGCAGCAACATCACAGCAGCGAAGAGCATCTGTGACTTCACTTGCACCCAACCAACAGCAGACGCAGCAGATGACGATTGGACCGTTGATTGACCTAGCGTTCGAGATCTATGCGGACATGCGGAATGTGGGACCCATCCGCCACTTGCCTCGGTTGAGCGCACTCGCTCCATCTACACCAACCCCAAAAACCCCGCAAACTGCCCAGGCTGTAACGGCCGGTAGAAACATGGGTAGTAGCATGTCGATTTTCTTTCAACTGTCCAATCGCACCCCAGCATCGTCCTCCACAGTTGTTGATCTTTCTGCCTGTGGCGTGACTGCACCCTCCAACGGAGTCCCCCCCGCCAACCCCGCCAACACCCCCCTCACTACATCTGCAACCACCAATTATACTACTGGCTTCTATTCTACCCCCACAACCTCATACAGTTCATCACACGCTCTCCCCTGCGTCCTCCAAGACCTAAACCCAACCCTCCACCCCACCATCGTCGCCCGTCGCCTCCCGACAGAACTCTACCTCGCCCTCCTCCACCTCTGTATCCAAGTCCCCCTCTCCGGCGTCAGCGTCTCCTCCCAAGTCGTTAAAACCATCGTTGCAGACATGGTGTCCACAAAACCTGGACAGCAGCCTGCGAATCTAGATCGACACCTTTCGGCGGCGTTGCAAGTGTATCACGATCGATGGATGTGTCGGACAGTGGAACTTAAAGGACGACGGAGGTGTCAGAGTAGCTCTGGTCGAAGGACTCATGTTGATGAGAGTGATGGAGGCGAAAGAGAGCTGGAGGGAGTTGATGATTTGGAGACAGAGGAGGTTCAACAGGATGATGATGATGATTCAGAGGAAGAGATTGAAGAGGGAGGCTGTATTTTCCATGGGTGGATGTACCGCCCAGAGGAGTATGTCCTCAAACACATGGCGTCCTCTTCCAGTTCCTCTTCCGGCGACCTTGCCAACAGCAACAACACATCAATCAACGCAGACGAACTCCCTTCACAGTCTGCAGAGGAGAAGGACTCGCCGTTCGAGGTATCAAAGTATGATGCGGATCTGGATGAACTGGACCGGTACCTTGACAAGAAGAAAGCCGGTCTCTCCGATGAGAGAAACAACAACAGCAGCGACAGGAGAGGTCAGAATACAAGCGAGGGCGCGGCGGGGGGGAACAGTTGGATGGAGGGGCTGGACCATGATACGTGTAATGGGCGGTTTTATTGGGACATGTGGGACCGAGAGGATCCGGTGTTGCAGGAGATTCAGTTCTCGAGAAGAAGGGCGAGGATGTTATGGCGCCATGTCGCTGAGCTTTGAGGGAAATGCGTGTGGGCGCAAAAATATTGGAACTTTTTCGAGATATGTAATTAGCGCAAATGAACATTTCTTTCTTTCGCAGTGTTCTGTTTGCGTGGACGTCGCTGGCGGTCATATTTTACACTTTCTACATGCTCATAGCGTCTGGGCCACGTCTATGGACCTTCCTTGATAATATTTCGGTTTAATCTTCTTGCTGAACGGATCGTTGTTGATCATGATTCATTTGGTATTGCGACCCTTTCTTTGTATTTTCTTGTTATCCAACAGGGATCATGGTAATCGTTTGCTATTTTCTCAGCTTACCTCACGACACTTTTTTTGGTGTTAGAACATCAACAGCCTGTTAAAGAATTGCCTTGTATTCCTGTTGAAACGACGCGTTCATTCCTTTGTTTGTATTATTCTGAACTTTGTTGTCACTTTGATGTCGCAGCTGGTTACCATTTTTTCTTTACTTCATCCTTCGTGTCCTGGTGGATTCCGATTCTGTCTCAAATTTGCTCCATCGTCCCTTTGGGCTGGTGTATATTGTTTTTGTCACATTCGATATGGAACAACATTTCGCGGCATTTTTTTTCCCTCGCCCTACTTCTTTCTGAGGATATTGTGAGGCCTTTCAATCTTTTTTTTTTGTCACTTCGATAGTTGGAGTTTTTGGTCTGCGCACTTTTCACTTTATCACATCTTTCAACTGACAGAACCAGGGGGATAGAGCTTGCGGTTCCGTGGCGGAGTGCTATGTCCCATACTGTCAATTCGGATACAAATGTGCTCAGCCTGGTAGTCTTCGTCATACGCAGATGGTCGACTGCGGTAGGAAAAGGAGAACACGTCACATTGCCAAGCCCAGCCAAGACAGAAAAAGAAATAAAAGAGTCCAACGGGACGCTTTGTGTCCCCCCTTTTCCATTTCTTGTTCACACGCTCCCTCCAAACTACCTTCCAACACTCCATCCACACATAAACTCCGTCCCCTCATATTTTACCGTTATGAAAAACAAACCACACACCAAACACTCAACGATAACATCCTCTCAAAAGCACAAGTTGTTTGGGGAGCAGGATATCTTCGCCTACATTGTCAGATATCTCAACCCACAGTCTCAGGTCGCCTGTCTTCAAGTCTCTCGCCATTTCCACGAAGTAATCGCCCCCGAGATTTATACTTCCGTCACTCTTGGCCCAATGCAAGACTATCGACCCAGTTTGGAAACATGGAGACGATACAGCTCCCTGGTGACGGCCCTTTCCTTTGACGGGTTCATCTCTGCAGAGTATTTGGGGGCAGGATTCAGGAACCTCAAGTCTCTTTCGCTCATTAACGACGAGGACTCGTACCACTTTCAGCAGGGCACAGACAATGAGATCATGGAGGCGCTGCTAAAAGTCATCAAGGAGAACCCGAGGCTGTGTCAATGGTTGTTTGAGAGTCCATACCCAGCGTTGTCGGCTAAGGTCTGGGAGGCGATCGAGGGTACCGCTCACAAGTCGCCAGAGGCGAGCAAGGTCGAGTCGCATAATCCTCAAGACTCCACTGCGACCCATACCGAATATTCCTCAACATCGGTGGTCATTGCTCCTCAGGGCGGGTCGGACATTCACCGAGTATCGTTCAGGACTGTCAAGGAACGAGTCCTTCATGGCCGACTCAGGTCGGGAATCGAGTTGCTGCAGGTCACACCGGCTTCGATCAGTCAGGAAGCTCTACCCTGGGCCACAAGTGCATGCGAGAAGGCTGAGGCGTTGTTGATGATACCTGCCAAGTTGGAGTCATTTGGTGCCCCCAAGGAGCTTCCCGATCGAGTCCTACCGCGACTCTACGCACCCATCGCCCACTATGTCGGATTGCACAATGTCCGCCAATGCTCATCGATGGAGCAGCTCGAGTTTCTGTCCCACTTCAACCAGGCCCGAGGGATCTACTGGAACATTTACAAGAGGCCTTATGTCGCCAAATGGAAACGAGTCCCGCCCACCATCAAAGACTGGAAGCAATGGATCCGACCGGACACGACGTGGCCACACCTCCGATCATTAGTTCTTTGCTGCTACAGACTCGTGGATGCAGAGCTAGACAACCAATTTCTGGTTTTCCCAGACGACTGTGTTGCTCATGCTCTGAAGTGTATCCCGAGGGGCCAATTGGAGCAGTTTTGGTGGCATGGGGCGCAGATGGGTCCGCTGGGGATCGAAGCATTGGCTGGTCACTTTTCGACATTGCGGGAGGTCAAGCTGGAACTCACGTCGTCATTGGAGCAGAGTGCGTATATTCAAAGGATCATGGAGTCGTGTATGCATCTGCAGGTACTGCGGGCTGGCTACCTTTCGGTCGGAGACATGCGGCGTGGTCGACCCTGGGCGTGTATGGGACTCAAATCCCTCTCCCTTCGTTTCAACATGCAGGAAGACAGGATCGAAAACATTAGCAACAACAACACCACCATCGCTCGGCCTGCGACCGCGGAACGAGAGAGGGGAGACTATAAGAAGAGCCAGCGCTATGTCTTTTCTCGACTCTCGGAACTGGTTCTGCTGGAGGAATTGACCTCGATCCCACTGCAGGCTGCTGGTCCGAATTTTCACGAGACATGGCACTTGGATTTCCAGTTGCGGTACGGTCTGGATGCCCTTTCGACCTTACAACTACTCAAGCGATTGGTTGTCTCGTTCACAAAGCAGCAGATGAATGCTAAGGATATTAACTGGATGGTACGCGAGTGGAAAAGTCTGCAGTCGATAGAAGGAAGCCTGAATCCGGAATGGCGACAGGAAGTCACGCTGGAGACCATTTTGTACACCAATCACATTTCATTCTTTAAATAACTGTACTCTTTTTTTTCTGCATCGCAGCATGAGTTGCGCACCGCATCAACCCTTTATTTTTTCAATTCCTCTCTTATTGTTTTGTTTCCCAAGCACATACAACAATGACGCACCTCTTCATTCCTTTCAACAACATCTAGCTCTCATAAGCAAGCTCATAAAGATATATATCGTTTCCTCGGTTGCCCTCTTCCCTCATTCTCATCTTTCTTCAATTCCACCCACACGCTCACCCCATACTCCGAGAGACTAAAGAAACAAGACAGCTGTGATAAACAGCAACAACAATTGTGCCTGATCAGGAGGATATTTCTTAAAATATATTTGCATTTCGATTTAAAAATGGGTTGCTGCCACAGGACTCACGCCATTTGACGACTCTGTCGTTCGTCTCTTCAATATTACGGATGATGATGATGGTAAGATGCCCCTCCCCACCAACTTTTTGCACCTCCGATTGCATCAATTTGCCTTCAATTGCTTGGTGCATGGGTTTCGCAGACGAGTGAAAATCTGCTCAAGAAAACAATCCTTGTTTTTTTTATGTCAAACCTTTTACTTCAATCGAAAAATGAAAAGAAGCGAACAAATGAATGATTTTTTTTTATTTGCAGCATGTGGCCGGGCGGGTGTCCGTGTGGAAAAATAACTTCCCGAAGAAAAGGATGGGGGAAGGACTTTAATCGCCTTCTCTATTCCATTCCTCTCAACAATTCACCCATTCATATCCCTCTCTCTCTCTCTCTTCATCCTCATTCACCACAACACAGATATCATCAGCAAAGGACAAGAGACCCCTACTAGCCACCACGACTCAAAAGAAACGGGTTCGTCAACGACTAGCCCAGTTTTATCCACCACAGACCCCCTTGCAGGTTTTAGGGCAAAACCGCCTTTGATTTGACAGGAAACAGGTCGCCGTCACCCGCTCAAACTCAGCTCCCCAAGATGCTCAACATCAACAAGGTCTCGATCGACACCTCCAGTTCGTCCTCAGGAACCAAAGTGCGCATTTAGGACTGGACACGGATAAAATCACAAATCACCTGGGCTTGGACAGTACGTTTTTTTTTCACCCCTTCCCTCCCCTCGTTTCCGTCGTCACGTCAAGCATAGCAATTGAACCGAAGGCGAGAAGCAATTGAACCGTAGTGGGACAATATTGTGAACACCACTGATTCCTTTTTCTCTTTCTTGTACAATTGTGCGTGTTTTCTGGTATAGGTGGATGGCGTGAACATCTTATTCGATCCCGCATTCTCGGACAGATGCAACTTACAGGACCCAAACGACCTCCCTATATGCTGGACCGATTTTCCCCGCGTCGACATTGTCGTCATCAGCCACAACCATTACGGCCATCTCGACTTGACCACCATCCAAAAGTTTCAAAAGGATTACAAGTCGTTCTTCTACGTACAGTTTGGAAACAAGGTCTGCTTCCATTCTCCTGGCATCAAGGATAAAGTCGCTGAGTGCGACTGGTATGTCCGCTCATTTCAATTGAGCGGGGAAAATGTATCTCATAGATATGAACAGAGTGGAATGTAGAACTGGTATGCTCGCCGTTCTTTTTTTTTTTTATTTTTATTTTGGCATTTTTTTGGCATTTTTTTGGCATTTTTTGATAGGTGGGATGAGCATGAGCACAATTTCCGCGGCAAAAAAAATTCGAGAATCAGGGTGATCTGCACACCCCTGTCAACATTTCACGGGATCGGTTCTTGACAGACCACTACAAGACCCTATGGGCATCTTGGGTTATCGAATCCATTCCCAGGACTGATGGGGACCAAGTCCGCCCAGGTATTCTTTGGAGGTGACATCGGGTACCGCTATGTCCCCAAGGGCGCAGACGAAAACGCTAAGCCCTCCCATTGCCCCTGCATTCAAAGAAGATTGGGAGACCGTATTGGACCCGTTTGATCCATCCATGATTCCCATTGGCGCTTACAGTCTTAGATGTTTCATGAATGTTCTAGTATTCGCGTCGTGAAAGGCTGTTGTTGTACCTTCTCATTGGTGCTTTGAAAATTAATGTGCGGAGTTTTTCCTATCCCACTGCTCGCCTGAGGATGCAGTGCGGGAGGGCCGCGAGGGACATCAAGTCCCAAGCGTAGCGTCGGAATGCACTGAGGCTCTGTCATCAAACAAGGCCAAAAGACAAAGCCAATATGTTTCAGAACCAGGACCCTGACAATTGACATCGACAATGATCAATCACAATTAAATTTTATCAACCAATCCAAACAGACGAGGACGTCTCAGAACCTCCAAAAACGCCTCGAGGTAGAAATGAAGAACCATGGGCATGACCCCCTCCCCCCATTCTCCCCCAACTCCCTCAACGTTGTCAGTATTGGCGAAACTCTCGCCGTTGGCGTTTGATATCCCTTCTTGTGATGTATTTTAAAATTTATATATTTTTGGTTCCATTCAGGGTGTGTTTTGACCCTGAAAACTTCCCTTTCCACCTTTTTGTTGTTGGACCCCCTTCGCAAATTAAATAATTGCAAGCGATATTATCTGTGTCGCCTTGAGCAAAAAGAATTGAACAGCGCGTTCATACCCTCTCTCACCCTCGAGTATTCATACATCCGTTAATAAAACAAATGTCGTGTGTGGTGTGAAACGCAGAGTTTTATTTTATTTTAATGAAAAACAAATGAAAGAGCAGTATGTAAAAGGGGGATGTGTGGAAATGTCAAGAAATAAAAATGCATGGAAGCACGTCGACTCTACATTTAATCAATGAATTGAAGACTGCGGGGGTAAACGAGATGAACACAAGGCATTGGTTGGTACTGGTGTTGACTCCGCAACATCACATACCGAAGCACTGACGGTCGAACAAGAATCGGCATCAGCCATCACAACACCCTGCGACTGACCCTCTCCTTGACTTTGTGCCGCCGCCGCCGCCGCTGTCAGTGCGGCAGCAGTGGCCTCGGCCTCACGCTTAGCCTTTTTGGCAATAGTCTTCGGGTTCGCAGAAGCCAAAGCCGCCTTCAACGCCAAAGCCTGTGCCTGAGCCTGAAGCTCCGGCTCGCTCTGCTCCATCGCCTTGACGAATGATGGTGGTAAGGGCTCGACTTGATACCAGCCAGTACCCCAGATCGACGCCGAAAGTATCAATTACTTGCATGGATACAATGGCAGGGTCAGGTCTCCCAAGCCGACGGGGGGCAATTCGGATCTTGTCTGGGAAGATGCAGGAAGGCTGTCGGAGGTGGTGGTCCAGTCCAAGGAAACGGGGTCCCATTGTGCGCTGCCGTTGGAAGAGAGGTGGCGGTAAAATGAAGAGGAGGGAAGACGGTCCATCTTCGACCAGTTTGCGGACAGGGGGTGTTCTTCACCACCACCACTGCTGGTACTGCTGCTTCCACTGGAGACACTGGTGTTCTTGATACTACCACCACTGTTGCTATCGGCAAACCAAGATCTTGCCGAGGGCACCGAGGAGCTTCGAGACGTCGTTGTCGTCGTCGTGGACATTAATGCTGTGCGTCTTGTGGTCTGAGAAGGAGTAGGCGAGAGAATAGGCGAGAGCGTAGGCGGCGGCAAGGCCTTGTTCTTTCGGGCCGGTGGAGAGAGCATCGAGTGCTCGTGTTAGTAATAGAGGCCGATGGTGTCATACTCGGATGTTGGGGACGATAAAGAGTTCTTCAATGACCAGTTGGATGCGGCGAGTGTATAGGCAATGACGACTCCAAAGCTAACTTGGCTACCAGATATGACACCTCAAGAAGCTATGTAGTTTACCCAAGGAGTAATTTAACAATCAGACACCGCCTTTTTTTCTCCCAGGAGAGAGGTGACCATTAAAAAAACGATGAGGTACAAATAATGTATTTGCAAACGAGAATCGATTACTCTCCTTTATTCAATTTGACATTCATGACAAGGTTGCATCCAGCGTACTTGAGGTCTACAGAAAACGATACAAGGGAGAAACGAAAGAAAAAAAATGGGGGGTCAGTGGTCCGAGAAGTCACTTTAATCGCACACAACTACATCCACTTGAGGCAGCACCACATCGACTCAATTCCCCCCAACAGTCCGAGATACTAATCCGGAAAGAATAGGCAGCAGCAAACTCCAGCGCATCCAGAACCTTCAAGTGATTGCAACGGCATATCCCTCCTCGGTAAAACTCCAAGAGCCCATATGAACTGAGGGTGATAGCTGTCTACCAGTGCGGATACCATTGGTCTGTGACCAAAGCACTGAACGGTGCCCATCCTCAAATTCACAGAGTTTGAGATACTCAGGGAATAAACTGAAAATTATAGGCAACGTCGACTCCATAGTCAACCCGAGTACCATGAAATGACACACAAGTGACTATGTAGTTTACACTTGAAACCTCAAAGAGCAGACACCATCTTATTCCTCCCAAATATTACTCAGGCCAAAGATGCCCATGAAAAGAGAAAAAGTGGCACATAGGAATAGAGTTGAGAACGCCAGTTGTTTACTCTCCTTTGTTCAATTTGACGTTCTTGACAAGGTTACATCCACTGCACTTGAGATCTACACAAAAAGACGTAGTGGAGAAATGAAGGAAAAAAAATGGGGGGTCAGTGGTCCGAGAAGTCACTTTAATCGCACACAACTTCACCCACTTGAGGCAGCACCACATCGACTCAATTCCCCCCCTTCAACAGTCCGAGATACTAATCCGGAAAGAATAGGCAGCAGCAAACTCCAGCGCATCCAGAGTCTTCAAGTGATTTCAACGGCATATCCCTCTTCGGTAAAACTCCAAGAGCCCCTGTGATCCGAGGGTGATAGTAATCGTCCAGTCGCGGATACCATTGAGCCTCTCAAAGCACTGAACGGGACCCATCCTCAAAATCATAGAGTTTGAGATACTCAGGGAATGAACGGGAAATTATAGGCAACGTCGACTCCATAGTCAACCCGAGTACCATGAAATGACACACAGGTAACTATGTAGTTTACACATGGGATCCCGACGAGTAGACACCACCTTATTCTTCCCAAATAATACTCAGACCAAAGACGCCCATGAAAAGAGAAAATGTGGCACATAGGAATGGAGTTGAGAACACGAGCTGTGTACTTTCCTTTGTTCAATTTGGCATTCTTGACAAGGTTGCATCCAGCGTACTTGAGATCTACAGAAAACAACACAGGGGAGAAACGAAAGAAAAAAAATGGGGGGTCAGTGGTCCGAGAAGTCACTTTAATCGCACACAACTACACCAACTTGAGGCAGCACCGCATCGACTCAATTCCCCCCCTTCAACAGTCCGAGATACTAATCCAGAAAGAATAGGCAGCAGCAAACTCCAGCGCATCCAGAGCCTTCACGTGATCTCAACGGCATATCCCTCCTCGGCAACACTCCAAGAGCCCCTGTGATCCGAGGCTGATAGCTGTCATGCAGTCGCGGATGCCATTGAGCCTCTCAAAGCACTGCACGGTGCCCATCCTCAAAATCATAGAGTTTGAGATACTCAGGGAATGAACGGGAAATTATAGGCGACGGTTACTCGACTACATAGTCAACCCGAGTACCATGAAATGACACACAGGTAGCTATGTAGTTTACACATGGGACCCCGACGAGTAGACACCATCTTATTCTTCCCAGATAATACTCAGACCAAAGACGCCCATGAAAAGAGAAAATGTGGCACATAGGAATGGAGTTGTGAACGCGAGCTGTTTACTTTCCTTTGTGTCCTTGTTTCGTTTTTCGAATGAAGAGCGGTGTGGGTGGGAAGAGAGGAGAGATGAAGTGGAAATTGAAGAGGAAGAAAGAAGTGGAAATTGAAGAGGAAGAAAGAAGTGGAAATCGAAGAGGAAGAAAGAAGTGGAAATTGAAGAGGAAAGGAGAAGTGGAACGAACTGAAGTGGGGAAAGGAAAAGGAGAGAAGAAAGGAAGCGTGAGAAAGAAAAGGGCAAGAGGAAAGAAGAGAAGGTGCGAGAAGGGATGAAGAAGGAAGGGAGGGAGAGGAGAAGTTCGAAAATGACGACATACTTGACGAATGCCAAGAAGGAAAGGTGCACAAACCCCTACTTTTTTTCCTCTTCCGTGCCTTGATCGAAAGAAGGTAAAGATGAATTAGCGTGAACCGGCGGTTTGATTGGCCATGCTCTGGGTTGTGACTCCAAAATAAAATGTGGAAGGGGCATTTGCATACGAAAAAAGAAGAGTGGCAAATGGCAAACGAAGGTAGAAGAAGAACATGTTGTGGGTAGTCGTCAATGGGTAAAGACAGTTGCCGATGAAGAAGAAAATTGCCGATGAAGGCAATTGCCGATGAAAGAAAAAGAAATGAATGGATGAGAAGATGTTGTTGGTCACATCAATGTCGAAACCGATCCAACGAACAAATCGGAAAACCAAGATACTGAAATAAAAGAAAGGAATCGCAAGAAAAAGAATAGGGAATAGCAAGAATGAAAATAGGGTAGACACATGAATAAACTAGTCAAACCAAGTGCCGCAGGTGCCGCCCTTGCCGCAAAGTCGTTTCTTTTTCGTTCATGAGACTGCTCTGGTTTTTTTTGAAGAATAAAACGGCTCTCAGGGAGAAATTGGACAGACAACTGTTTTTGCTCCTTACCTTCTTCTTCAAGATTCAATGACCAGCATGTCAATTTCCACCAAAACCAGCACCATCTCTCAACGAGCAACAGAAAGCACCACCCACAACAGCCCTTCCGCCAACACCAACCCCTCTACCACCATGCCAGTCAATCGTCATTCAGGCGTCAGTATCGCCCCGATCACCCACTATCCTTACATCTCAATCGGCGACTCCAGTCAAGATACAGGCCTTCCCCTTCAGACTATCGATTCGATCCAACGATCATCTGAGTACTTGGAGACTTCCAGTCAAACAGCTCGCGGCTCCTGGTCGAGCCTGCAGCTTTTCAGCTCGGAAAAGTCCAATGGGAGCCAGACTCGAGCGGCTGAATCCCAGGAGATGAACCGGGAGGATTCCAGGGAAGAATCAAAAGAGAGGAACGACACGCCCGAGCAAGAAACCAGGACCGAGGTAAAAAATACTGACCATCTCCACCGTCCACTGAGAGCCATTCCTCCGGTGTCGCATCGACTTGAAACTAACCAATGGCATCCTGTCCCTCTCAACGCATACCGACTTGCAGCCTGAGAAACCTCGGCCGTTCGTTGACAAGCGTACAGGCGAAGAATATGCGGTAGCGCAAGAAGGTCTTCTCGGTGAGGTAACTATCATTTGTTAACAAACAGAAATATGATGTGAGTCAAATCAATTTCAGACATGTATCCACTCAAACTAACAAACTTCACATTAAATTGTATCAACAGGGTGGGTTTGGCAGCGTCTACAAGGTCACGAACAGAAAGAGTGAGTGCTTCGCGCTCAAGTGGTACTGGCGAGGTGTCAGAGACATGGACGTAAGTACAACATGTATGGAGCGCTTGTGCAAAAGTATGATACTCAATGTCCTTTGTACTAACCATTGCCTCTTCATTTTCTTTTTGTAGATCCAGCACGAGGTCGCCATGTTGGAGGCTGCGGGCAAGCACACTCATCTGGTCAAGTACTTTGGTACCGTCGAAGACCCTCGCGGTCTGTGCTTGCTGTTTGAACTGTGCCTGTCAGGAGTAAGTAGCATGGGTACACGAGGATCACAAGAAGGTCGAGTTAATGAACGTTGTATCTGACACGCGTTGTCATCTTTTCCTCTTCCTCTGTACCACATAGAGCTTGGATACCCTCCTCAGAAATCGTGGGGTCATCACCGAGGAGGAGACTCGGTATTTCGGCGCTGAGATTGCAACTGGATTGATCCACTTGCATGACCAAGGTATGATCCATTGCGATCTTAAACCTGACAATATCCTCTTCGCCTCTGGTATGCGTGTCCGCATTGGCGATTTGGGTTTGGCTGAGAGGTTCGACTCGAAGAGCGAGGACGGTGGCAGAGTTGGGACCGAGGGGTTTCGCGCTCCTGAAGTTGTTGATTTGAAGCCGCATACATATGCGCTGGATGTCTTCAGCTTCGGCTGCATGATATACCTGATGCTCCAGGGAGAGGAGGCTTGGCTGACCGAGGGGTAAGCGGGAGCATGAAATCTTTCGTGCCTATTTGTAACGTGCATAATAGTGACCATATTAACATTGCGTTGTCTATTTCAATTTTAGAAAGAAGAAACACCCTAAAAGGCTAGAGAAGCTCTTGGATATGAACGAGTGCAAGCTAAAGCCGAACGCCAAGGACTTAGTCAAGCTTATGCTAGAGTTCGATCCAAAGAAGCGGCTGCATCTGAAGAACTTGAGCAGTCATAAGTTTTTCACGTTAGGGTACTTCCCCACCGTGCTAAATGAGGACGTATTCCACAGCGTGCCTGACTTCATCACTGATGGGAAGCGCAAGGCGATCCCGTCGGAGTCGGAGCAGGAAGTCAACACGAAGGTCAACGCGAAGGTCAACACGAAGGTCAAGTTGGACCCCTATTGCGACCTCGCCATCTTATACCGCAACACCGACAGCTACGAGGCTGACCTTTGATCCACTTGGACCCCGCCACGGAGATCGAGACAATCCCTTTCTTTTTTTTTTTTTTTTGCGCAAGTTTATTTTTTCTCGCATATTATTATACCTACACACCTCTTGCATATTCATACTCCACAGACCACTTCCTCCCTTTGCATAGTTTAATTCTTCATAATATTAGGGTACTCTTGTTTCTTCACCAGTAAAGTCATCCTGTCGTTGTCACTTTCGTTGTAAAATAAATGAGAAGGGCCTCCTGGTTAAGTGAAAGAGTTGGTGGTGAGTTTTCTAGTGATGGGCGAGAGTAATGGAAACAAAAACGAAAGAAAAAAAATATTTAGTAGAGTCACTTGTACGCAACCAAAAATTGAGACTCGAGAGGGACACTGACTTGTTTGACTGACATCTTGGCGCCACTCCTTACAGCACCATACATGTATGGATCTGTTGGACAAAAATGAAATACAATAGCGGGGTTAAACTCACTATCAAGGAGGCACTCATAGACTCGTTCCTGAAGCATTGCAACACAACAGACAGGCAAAGAACGAAATGATTTTCGCCGCGTTCTGGTTTTCGTGAAGATGCATTTGTATACGTAATTGTGATCTCATCGGTTCGATCTGCCATGCCAGGATGTCAACGTCCTACATGGATCTCCGGCCACGAAACATCCTTTCCCTGCGATCATTATATCTCTGACACAGGTACATCTAAAAAAACAAGGCGATCTTTCAATCGCCACTTGGCAGCGTTTGGATAATCTGCCCACGCGGGCGATCTTGGGTCTTTATTACTACGCTTCCCCACCAAGCTAGAGAAATTAAATAGTTATATGTTGTCTACTATTCTTCGTATTAGAGTAACACTGGCGGTCGTGTGTGTAGCACTTTGGTTTCTACTGAAAAGAGTCCTCGGCGCGTCTTCAGCGACTCTTCTGCCGGTGTTTTTATTCGGTCTTCTTGTGGCGGTGCCGGATGCCCTTTCTCGTCCACGCACTAAGATGCAACACGGATTGAGTAACTTTGTTTTCGTCTCATGGTTTCCCTCCTTTTTTCGCCAACTAGTTAATGCGAACGTGATTGAGCAATGGCGGCTCGTCGACCTTTCAAAAGGAATATACAAAATTAACTACCCGGAGGATTTCCAGTCCGGATTGAATTGACCTTTTTTGCTTTTGTACTTCTATTGGCGCTCGAGGATTGCGATATGATTTCGATAAGTCTTTTAAATGGAGTTCTTTTACTTTTCAACTACGAGCAGGGTACGCTAAGCTCACCCTCAGTGTGCCACTATACTGGCATTGCCCCCAATTTATATTCGACATCAAGGATAGACATCATCGTTGATACCTGGCTCATTGTTCAATACAATTTAAAAAAGAAGGTTGGTGTGTTTAGGTATGCCGTGAACTGTTTTTGCCTATCGCAAGCACTACCTAGATTCCGGGTTCTACTCGACTGATCACACCCCGTTCTTACTTTCCTTTCACATTTTTTTGCCACGGAGGATTTGTTTCGTTCTTTTGTTAGCTCTTTCTTTCTTTGATAGTGTTGCTTGAACAAATAACGCGATTGACGTGTGAGTCGAGTGCAGAAGACGTTATTTTTCCTCTTACCAATAGGGGGTTTCCTTCTGCAGTCGTTGTTTCTTTTTTTTTTAGGTCAGACTTACATGGAATACTAAGAGTGAATGGATATGATCCTCGTCCTTTGAACGCGTTTATTTCAACCAAAAAAAAAAAAAAAAAAAAAAAAAAAAGAAACGACAATTGGGTATTCCCTCCCCCGGTTATCGCTTCAATGCTTTTATTTTCACTTGCGGTTTCATCTGCATCACTTTGCCTTCATTTTCTTTCATTCATTCTTCCAAGCTGGATGTAGTTAGAGCGCCCCTTGCACACTTTTGGCATTCAATGAACAAGACAAATGAAGAATACCCCAGAAATTCCTCCTCGTCGCGGATTTCAAAAGCCTTGGCAATGGTCCTTCTGATCATATTTTTTTTAATCTTTAATTTTTCTGTGAGGATAACAATCTCTCTTTCAATGAGATGACGATCGAGTGATTTGGTAATTCGACCCTTTTTCCTTTCCTCGCGTTTTTTTTCGCGCATAGCGTTTTGGTAATGTTATGAGTGAATATAAAAAAGATACCTTCCGACCGTTCGAGAGTAACGAGACGCGCTTTTTGAACGACAGCAATGAGATGCAGTCTTTTTAGTAGAGTACATAAAAAAAAAAGGGTTGAGCGATCAGCGATGCCGCAGGAAGAAGCGCTTCGTCACCATGGTAAGGGCGCGCGTTTATTTTTCAACAAGGGAAACAGGGACGTCTGATCCGGGATCTCTCTCTGCCTTCATAAGCGCCTTTTTTATTTCAAGCTAGTTTTCTCCTTTTCCATTTTTTCGGTTTGAATCTTGAAGGAGACGAGCTGGATTCTACCCCTGCATGTCCATCTCGTTTTTTTTGTATTCATCGTCAAGGACGGATATCCTTGGGGTCCGCTTTCATCCATGTCTCGTCTTTCAAGGTTTTCTGCGATACGTCTTTGATTATTGTGACTTGCCTCTGCGTTTGACGTTGGTTAGCAAAAAAAGAGTTGACAAATGTATGATAGAAGAAAGATGCAGTCATGCTCACTTTCAAACAAGGTGAGGAAGAGGTCTAGGGCAAGGTGAGAAAAAGACAAAGAAAGAACGAAGAAAAGAAAAAGATCAGAAGAGCATTTTCTTGTTCGAGGGGCGACACATGGCCCACAATCTAGACACCGGATCCGCATGGCCACACTTTTCTTTTATCAGGACCATGTGACCTGATGAGAAGTGGTTGGTGATTGTTACACATGCAAAATAACGCGTTTTTAATTGACTCCTTCGCCAGAAAAATAGAATAGAAGTTTATTTTTTGGTGGCGTCGCGAATGAAAAGGAGTAACAACCATGTACACATACAACACCACAGGAGATAACCTCAGACCTGCTGCTGCTGTTCCTCCAACTCATGTCGCCCAGCGTCCACATCCAAACCAGAACCAGTCACAACCAACCCCTCCTCCTCTTCCAACCGCTTCTTCTTCCTCAAATACCGTCTCCTCCTAATAAACGGGCCCCAACAGCACCCGACAATCACCAACCTCGCCGCCTCAAACAACAAAAACCCTACCAACACCCACGCAATAAAATATCCAATCAACTTCCACCGGATCGTGACATACTCTTCATGACAGAATCCGCCCGTCGGTGAGAACGAGTACATTCCCGTCTGTTCAATCCAAAACATCTGGAAGTACTGTCCCAGTAGCGTCGGGGGCGCTGTCTTGTAATACACAGGGTTCTCGGGTGGGTATGCCAGCGGTTGAGTACCCGTAGGGTCAAAGAGAAAGGACGTCCGACGGGCCTTGAGTTGCGCCATGATGTTATCGATAGTCCGGTTGCCGTTGGTGTTGAGGATGGTCCAGCTGAAGGCGCTCGAGTCGGGGTAGTGGACATCGGTGCCCGTGATGAGAATGAGGTTGTTGTCTTGGATGAATTTGAGAGAGATCGTATCCAGGGTTCCGCCGTTTGCAATCTCGAAACCGTCGATTCCCATGTCCACCAGTAGCTCTCGACTCGGGTGATTCTGCATTCTTGGCAACTCATATCCATACTCTATTAAGACAAAAAAAAATGAATGTTAGTGAGGTTAGCATTCGAGATTCTCATTCCTCATTCGACCGCTTTGATCATTCTCCTATTCTCGTAATGTGCGAGCAGTGTGACACATACCGGTGGTGTTACTCCAAGGAATATGGTTGATGATCGCCAGCCCTCCAAGCTCATGGGCCCTAGCAATGGTCTGTCTGAGCTCGTCGTCCGACGGCCACTTCTTGATGGCAAAATCGATCGTTTCGTTGATTCCGATCAGATTCATATGTAACCGGCAGGTCCTGTTTGTTTACAAAATAAAGAAACCACAGATGGGATTAGAAATGGTCGTTGGATGGATCATCACTCTACCCTCGATTGCTTATCACATTCCCCTTTCCCCTGTCAATGCCCTGTCCGTGCTTCATCCTGCAAATTGATTTTCCCTTGAGGAGTGCAAAAACCAGTCAGTCAGTCGACCTCCTTGCTCATTTCCCAACGATTCCCCTCCATCCCTTGTCCGCCCCTGATCACCCAACTAATCCTTACGTAAGCTCCATGGCAGGGATAACCGTAATCTTTCCTGCGTACTCCTCGCTCTCGGCTACTTTCAATGCGGCAAGTCCTCCATTGATGGTGTTGTGGTCACTCACAATAACCGCATTGTATCCGTTCGCTACATGGATAAATAATCAAAAACAAAAGATTGGTAAACATTCGCTCCCACGCGCTTAATTTAATCCGCATTCGAACGGACCCCTCTTTCTACACCACCCGTAAAGAATGGAAAAACCTCCCCAATCAAAACAAACCCTGCGCCCAATATCTCTGTTTTACTCACCGATATGCCACTTCAAAAGCGTCTCCGACGACATCCGCCCGTCAGAATATCTCGAATGCGAATGCCCGTCAAGCAACACATCATAGTTCTCCCCAAAGCTCGTATTCATAGGACTAAGATACGATCGCGGATTAATAGGCGTCCAATTGAACTCTGTCAGCGCCCTATAATCCGACAACTCTGGCTGCCCTTTGCGGAACGAATAAAACAATGTCGAGACAATCAACACCGCCAAGATCACAATCAGAAGCAACATTCGACATAATGGTCGCAGTACGGTTGATCGGATGACGGGTTTCCGGCCACGATAATGCGGTAGTAGCCAGGGGGGTAACTTGCGTACTGCGGGATGGTAGGTCGAAGCAGAGGCTTCACGGTCGCGGGTGGGGGTTGTGAGGTAGAGCTGGAGGGACTGGAAGGGTGTGAGGATGTAAGTGTAAAGGAGCTGTGAGGCTTTTGATCCATGCTCCCGATTAGCAGAATAGGGTGAGTCCTTTGCTGGTCTGCCTCTTCCGCTGTTAACTCCTTCCCCTGCATGAGCAGTAGCAGAGACGGAAGAATTAGCGGCTGTTGTTGGCTGTGTCGTCGCCGCCGCTGAGGTGCCTGCAGCCGAAGGGAATGGACCATGACGCCCACCACTGCGCCCGATAGAGGACGACGATGTTGAGGACCGTGAAGAGATTGAAGAAGTGGAACGGAGGGGTGAGAAGGAGATGACTGGCTGTTGTTGGGTTACTGAAGGTTGAGCGGAAGGAGAGGGGGTGCTGTTGTTAATGTTGTTGCTGTGAAAAGTAGGGTGGTTCTGTGCGTGGACTGGATTGAAAGGCGGGGAGTTTAAGGAAGTATCGTCCTGGAGGGAGCTCGCCGTGGTAACAGAGGGTGTGGCGGCCTGCGAGGAAGGTAGTAGGAGGATGTTGTCGCCTAGGTGAGGACCATCCCTCGAACTGGACGCCATTAGAATAAGAGAATTAAGACCAGGTGAGAAGGAAGGATGAGATGAAATGAGAAAGATGAGGAGGAAGGAGGGGGAATGGGAGAATGAGAATGGTACGTGAAAGAATAAGGTGGGAGTATGGACAAGAGGGGAAGGGAGAAGACGCCGCCAGCAAAAAGAAGAAAATAATGTTTCGTATTAAAATAGTACAGTTTGTGAGACAGATATGGCATTTGGCCTGGTCTAGGCGCCAAACTAAATCGATTGTTCATTTTGATACAACCACTAACAACGATGACATTGATGCAAAAAAAGAGAAGAAAGAGGCGACAGTGGCCAAGGGGTCTTTGTATTTTTTATCATCAATGGAGAAAAAAAAACAAAGAATGCGAGAAAGAAAGGAGAGTACTACAGATGTGCTGGGTGGAAAGATTGTGTTGTGTGAATTGAGTGATTACTTGCTTGCTATTTTGACTACCGGGGTCGCCTGATTCTGCCACCTTGATTGCACTGGCTTCGCTAGAGAAAGAGTCCGAAAAGCTACTCGTAGGTCGTAGTGCTCTACTTTCGCGCCCAAGTCTTTCGCCGCCGTTTGACCTGGTCCTGTTCCGTAGGCTGGGAGGCAGTTGTCGATTCCAGGACAGGGCTGACCTTCTTCATCACAGGCTCAGACTCGACGACCTTGGCCTTCACGGGTGCCTTCTTGACAGCCGGTGCTGGCAGCGAAGGTGCTTCGTCCGTATCTGAATCCTGGAACCGTCGCTCAGCCTCAATCTCCCACTCCTCCAGTTCCTCTTCTTCCTCGGCATCGTTCTTGTTTTCTCCTGACGCTGCTAGTGCTGTCTCCTTCGAGGTTGTAGTGGTGCCATTTCCCTTAACTCCATTGGCGCCTGTCGTGGGTTGACCCTCATTGCCTTGCAAGCTGCCTATCGTGAATGTTTCCCAGACTCTCTTCTTGTCGTCCCGCTTTTGCTGACTGCTCCAGCCCAGTCCGACCTTGACCTGATCTTCTATTGAAACTTCCGGCAAGAATTCCTCCAGTTGTCCCAGGTTCACAGGTCTCGATTCCTGCTTCTGTGATAGCGCAATGAGTTCGGATGGGGTCTTTGGTGCCAACTATAAAGTTCAAAAAGACACGGTGATCTGGTCAGTCCTTAGCTTCCTATTGTTTTGAACCCGAGCGGAGAGTAAGGGTACGGGTACGTATGTCTGGTTCAATTCCTGAATTATTTGTCGACCCCCTTGCCTGCATGCACTAGATCCACATGGGTCAACCTCAACTGAGATTACAACCTCAGCTTGTGCTGTTTACCCCCCAAAGATTATTTTTTTTTCGTTATCAAGCGGCTGGTCAACTGTGTCGTCTGCAATTCCTGTCCATGAGATTCCTGAATAGCAGGCGTCCTAACAACAAATGACGAACAAAAGTGTGGTGGGTGTTGGCATTTACCTCCTCTCCTTTTCCGTTGAGGATCAGGCTTGTCACAAATCGCTCCGACTTCAAACTCTCGTCCTGCGAGGCCAGGTTGTAGATATCGACGAAAAGACAAAGGAAAGGGTTCTGGTGGATGGGCACGTAGCTGTAAAGACAGTGTAAGAGGTAGAGCGACACCACCCTTACTTCGAGTCCTTGAAGCTATGAGACGATAGAATTAAAGATATGGGAGATGAATAGTGGTAGATATGTTAGTTAATATCTCAATATATTCAACATCAAAACTCTGCTCCCTTTCTCAGAGATCAGAGGATTATTTGTGATATGACGAATAAGAGAGACGAATCTAATCTCGTGCGCGCAACTCATAATGCAGAATGAACCCTCGATACACACTACCAAACGCATACCGCACCAACCCAGGCCAAAGAGTGATGGTGATCCGGTTATTTTGGGCTTCCCTTTTTCAAAGCAAAAAAAAAAGGCTTACCTCTGAAGGGCGGCTTTTGGCTCCACCATTCTTCTCCAACAAGAGTCGCAGATTTGACTGGACCGACTCGACAGCGTTCAAGACATCCATGATGGCGCATCCAGCTCGGAACTCGCGATCGGCCGCTACCGACGTCAGAAAGTTCTTGCCGGTCCTCTGAAGGACATGGTCGAGATGATTACCTAGAAAGGCCGCAATCTCTTGCGTAGGGACCGTGATCATACTCCAGTAGGTGGTACCAGTGTGGTTGTGAAGTGTATAGAGCTTTTGTGGGTGGGGCTGAAGGCGTTGCTAAAGTGTATCCTTCTTGAAGCCAGGTCGATAATCCGTCCGATGATTTAACAAGTCTGGTCCCTCCTGAAGTTCGAGGGATATGGAGAGAGATGTCGTTTTGCTGGCGTAGTTTGGTATTTGTAGTTTGAAGAGCGTTTATCTGACAAGAGAAGGGAAAAAGAGTTAATATTTCATCAGCGATGTTGTAAAGTGCTCAAAAAAAAAGAGAAAGAGTGCACTCGTATATTTATATGATGGTTGTTGTTGCTGTTGTTATTTCGCTGTTACCTTTTGTTACAGAAAAGCGATGACGAGACGAGACGAGAATAAGGCTCGCTCAGGAACGTGTGTGAATGCGTGTGTGCACAGATAAACAAAAGGAGGCGAGAAAGAAAAAGAGAGATGTTGTTGACAGAGAGGGGAGTGGGGTTGCAGCAGAACTAGTCTGGTTTTTTGTCTGTGCGGAATACTAAAGGCGGTGGCAGGCTAGAACGTGGCCGAGTATGAAAAGAAAAAAAAACGTTCAGGGCCGGGAGGTGATTGAGTGTATTCGAGTGTTTGGTCGGAAAAAGAGTGAGCGAGAGAAGGGTAATGGGAAAGAAGAGGTTGATCGCTAATCCAACGCTTCGAAAGAGGGATTCACCATACGCCAATGAGAGGAGGCAAGTGATAGTCTTTATCTCTCGAAATATGAAAAGGGAAAAATGAGGCTCTCGGAGCGAGGCGGACGTGCAAATATCAACGAGTTGAGCGGAGAGAGAGAGTACGCGAAGAAGACGTAGTGAAAGAGAATGTGCGGACTCGTTTCTTTGTATGTTACAAAGAAGAGTCAAGAGGGATAAAGGCGCACAGAGTGTACAAGCGTCTAGATGTGTGTGCAAAGAGAAACAAAGGAAAGAAGAAAAAAAAGGCGGGGTTCATTGGCTGGTTGGTTGGTTGGCTGGTGGTCGAGTCGGATGGTCGATTCGAAAAAGAACAAAAAAAGGAAAGGATCCAGTAATCGGGGTATTGTTCAGTGTCGTATGTGGATGTGACAGACAAGGTTTTGTTTCTAAGAATGTTGTTGCTGTTGATTGTTGATGTGAAGGGTGCCGTTCGGGTTGACAAAGAAGCGGCTGGAAGGGGGGAGGGATAACTGCAGAAGAGGAAGAAAAAAAAAAAAAAAAAGGTGAACGCCCAACTCCAACCCAACACAAACAGGCTTGCATGCGGAGGGGTGTGTGGGTGGCTTTTGTTCTACTGTGTAGTTCACAAAATTATGATGGCCCCAGCAGTCACTCTCTCGCACCACAGAAAACTAAATGGCTTTCCGAGTCTATCAGCTCATCAAAGTGACCGTGGAGGGTATCACGTCGGTGTTATTCGGCGATGATGTAAAAAACAGTGCCGAGCTGGGACCTCTCCTGCTCAACAACCTTCAATCCAGCCTCCTGGACCAGCTCTCCAATCTCTCGGTTCCAATAGCATCCATACTTGTGCACATGGCGATCCAGCTGCTTGGCCTGCATATCCTTCATGAACCCCCAATGACTGTTCCCGTGCTCCAACAACAACAGCTTCCCGCCGGGTTTCAACACTCGCTTCATCTCCCTAAGCACCTGGACCGGATCCTCAAAACTGCAAAGACCAAACGTGTCGACGACGGTATCAAAGCTCTGGTCAGGGTACGGAATCGCCGCTGCATTCATCGTCTTAAACCGGATCTCTGTCTCCACCACTCCCTTAGTCAATCCTGAACCATCAATTGCTCCACCCACTGCCCCTGGTGGTACTCCCTGCCCTTGCGCTTGAACAAGTCTCGTAGAATGATGAGCTATCCGCTCCAACTCCAATTGCTGCACCCTCCGCCTCTGGTAATCCCACCTCTTGCCCAGATCACTCCCCTCAACCTTCTCCCTCAGGACCTTCATCATCCCCTCCGAGAAATCCGAAAATACAATCTCATCACAACATCCTTTCTTGTAATAGTCCACATTCCGTCCCGTTCCCGACGCGATTTCAAGGACCTTCCCCGTGGCCTGGGCGATAAGACGTTTCCGACGACGTTGGATTCCCAGCAAGTACTCGTGCATCCTGACCTCCTTGTCGTATCCTGGTGCGAGGGAGTCGAATGTTGATTGGCGGGTTGTCTCGGAAGGGAAGCTGCCGTCCTGTGTCTTCTTGTCGGACGACGATGGGAGGAATGTCAGGGCGGCAGAGACTCCGGTGGCGTAGGTGAGGAGACCGCCAATGATCAATTGTGTCCGTGAGAACCGACTGAGAAACGACATGCTGGCTGGTGTTCTTGATGAGAGTTTGTGTGTGTGTTTTTTGGTGGCGTCTCCTTGGGATGTCGATCCTGATTGCTGAGATGCGAAAGAAGAAGAGACGAGAGATGAACTACGAGAGAATTTCAAGCGGGGTCGAAACACAGCCTGTTTTTTCACGCGTCACATTGTTCAGGTGCACATCCTTCAACGTTGCTTTCGCTGGATACTTTTATTTGAGTATTAAAAATCATATGTACACATTACATAAAGTGTTGATGGAATGGGGGAGTGAAGGATGGGCCAGGGACGGAACGATAGAAAAAGAAAAAGTCAACCCGGGGTATGAGCGCAATATGCGAAGAGGAAACGACGAGCCAAACAAGGAAAAAAACCCGACCGAGTCATATCAAATGTCAATGGGGTTGTTTGTATTGGTATCTCGTACGTTAGCGACGCGCATACTCATCGTATCCTCCGTGCTGCTGGTATCCACCTCCGACTTGCGAGGCTGCATACCCGCCCTGGCTTCCTCCATAGCCACCGCCCACCTGGGACTGGGCATAGTTGTCATTTCCGTATCCTCCAGCGTTCGACTGAGCGTAACCGTCGTGTCCATAGTTGTTGTGGTTGTTGTGATCGGTGTAGCCGTGGTCGTAGCCTCCTTGGTCGTATCCGGGTGCAGCTCCGCGGCCATAGTCGTTGTAGCCCGGTTGACCGTATCCGCCGGATTGGTCCTTGGAAGCATAGTTGGCATCGTAGTACTGGTCCTCCACAGGGAAGGCGGTATTGGCACTGTAAGGCGATTTGGCAGCAGCAGGTTCGGCGGGCTGGTCATTCATGTGATGCAGGCGCACTGTATCGTTCTCGTACGAGCGAGGGTAATCCGTGTCTGCATAATCGTCTCCGCGAATCTTGGATTGGAAATCCCGCGATGGCTAGTGAATTGAGGAAAGAAGGGGACACAGGCATTGGTCAGCGATCATTCTTCTGTTGTGTCAGAAGTCAAGTAAGGTAGCCAAGAAAAATGAGATGGGTGTCTTACCGAGAGCTTCCACTTTCTGAAGACCCAGATACCAATAGCGGCAGCGACGACAACTGCACCAACAACAATACCAGCGGTGGCCAATTGAGTGCTGCTGCCACCAGAATCCTTGGGAGTCTGAGTAGGGGTGGGCGAGATCGAAGTGGTCGCGGTCGCAGTGACAGAAAGCGTAGTTGATGAAAGTGGTCTGGAAGTCGTGATGGCACCGGTTGTTGGTGCGACAGGTGGAGTGGTGATAACGGCAGTAGTTTGATTGGCGGGTGGAATAACTGGGACTGTAGAAGCAGTAGGGAGGGTGGCAGAAGTAGAAGTACCAGCGGTGGTGTTGGTGCCTGTTCCTGGCGGTGATGGGATAATAGGAGTAGTGGGGTCTGCACCAGCAGCGGGAGGAGCCTGAGGCTGAATGATATCGTCCAACAAAGCGGCCTTTGCACTGGAGGCCAGCACCAGTGCGATGAGGGCAGCAGCGTTTGATTTGATGTTCATTGTGAAGTGTGGGGGACCCTTTTGGTATTGCGATCGGATATTAATCTATCACAGAGAGCGTTCAGGAAGCGGTATTGTGACCTACAACGAATGCGATCGAGAGTGATTGGCAATATTAAGGAAATGGTTAGGTGAGCTATTTCAAAAGCCGAGGGAAGTGTGTTTGTATGAAGCGAACAAGGAAGAAGAGGAGGAGGAGTACGCTAGGATATTGAAGTAAAAAAACGGAAGTAACTAAAAGAGAGTTCTCTTTCTCTTCGACTGTTTGATTGACACCTCCTTTGTTGGTCTGTTCATTCTGGCATATTGTGGCGTTAGTTAACAGGAGAAAGTGGCGACCTGCGATTTCAAGGAGAAAAAAAATAAAAGTATGTGTGTGTGATGACCAGAACAACCAGAGTTGTTACTGTTAGTCGTGTAGTTGAGTAAAAAGGACTGGGTCTTGGTCTACAAGACGTTCATGATGCGCCATTGGTATGGGACGACGAAGGAAATGAAGAAAGAAAGATACATGGCGTGAACGGGCAATATGCAGGAGACGCAGGGGGCGATGGCATGGAAAAAAAACGGACAGAGAACAGCTTGCAGGGCTGGAAATGATGATGGCGTGAGATAGGAGAACGAGGGAGAGAGAGAACGAGTGGGGAAGGCTCTTCTTTTCTGATATCGTCTCCTGCGAGGTGCATTCCAGTTTGCGAGTGAGCATGAATGACACCTGGGAGTGTCTTTGTTGTTGCTGTTAGTTTGCTGCTCTTTTGCTGAAAAGGTGACATTATTGTGCTTGTTAAGCGGAGAAAGGGCAGAGGATGGTGGCGGCGGTGATTGATATGTGCTGATGAGACCAACAAGGGTGGGAGAGATATGTATGGTGTTTCTTGTTCCTGAGACATTCGGACCTTCACAGAGTCCGTGCCTGGTTGGTCACCGATAATTCCACTCCCTTTCTTTACCTTTTTTTCTGGGAAGGGAGCAAAGGGATGAGGGGAATATGACACGCGTGTGTGAGGAGTCGGTGATCGTCAAGACGGGTGAGATGGAATGTACCAGTGTGGGTGCAAGGGATTGCAAAAAGGAGAGGTGGGGTGGGGTCGTGCAATGAGAGAAGTGGACAGGGCAATTGTCGGAAGGGAGGAGGTGTGAAAGAGGATGTCGATGGAGGTTTAGAGAGGGAGAGGGGGGAAGGGCGGCGAGCCGAGGGATGATGATGTCCTTCGGAGGAGAGCGGGAAAGAAGGGAGGAAGAAGAGGTATGTGGAGAAAGAGAGGGAGGAGAGAGGAAAGAGGGAGGAAGTAGAAGAAGAAAAGAAAGAAAAGAAAAAGAAGGATGAGACAATGAGAGAGAAGGGCGGGGACGAGATGATGAGGAAACGAGACGAAGGTGTGAGTGGAGGGAAGGTGAGTGGAGGGAAGGTGAGGTGAGGGCGAAAAGGTAGGCTGACTTGCTGACTCTCATGTCAGCCTAGTTTCTTTTAACAGGGCGCTAGCACGGAAATCGATCCAGGACTCTCTCTTGGCTTTGAATGTTTCATTTTTAGAGCAGAAGGGTTTTCCGTGCTGTTGTTGTCCTCTTGAGGTCGAAATTGCGCTCTCGTTCTTTCTTTTTCCCTCTCTCACTTTTGCTTTTTGGGCGCGCTCATTTGAACAACCTTGAGCATCCCGCTCATCGTTTGTTAGGTACTCTCTCACACTATCGACTCTGAGAACTCACTCATAAAGCGATTAACCTTTTGTTCTTTATGTCCTGCTACATAATAACAATTGCTCTGTCTTTTCTTTCGTTCATGTTACATGCCACGGCATACATTGCTGTCCTCCTTATCCTCTGTCTTGTGTTAATCACTTTTTGTAGGCGTCGCTTCAATTCTTACTTCCAATAACACAAAAACAAGTCCAACACCTCTTTTTTCACCCAGCTGACACATTACTCCCCTCACCTACGAAAGAGGGCGCATACCATTTAGCACGCATGCCAGTTCTCTCGTTCTCTGTCGTCGTCAAGTCCATAAAAACGGCGATATTAATACTTTGTATATTGCTTGTGTGACATTGGGATTCTTCACAAACCGGCGTTCCTTTCCTTCCGTCCCTTGTCATCCTTCCTTCGCCGTAAGCCATCGCACGTTTGTTGATTAGAGTATTTTGCAGTCCTACGTCAAGTTTTTCCCTCAGGTGTCAATTCCTCATCATCATGCATCCTTCTTTAGCCCTTAGTTTATATTGCACCTCATTCAAACTCGCCCGCCCGCTCTCTCCATTCATCCTTAGCTCTTTACCCAACACCGTCTAATCATGTTTGTCAGCCCTTTGCAGCTTGTTGGCCCACAAAAAAATGGTCTAAGGCAATCGCTCATAAATATGAACACTGCTCACTTCCTCAATACCTTTCACCTTCGTTTATTTTATTTCACAACCAATCACCGTCGTACCCCGAAACGTTGTCGCCCACACGAAATGCTCACTCCGACAGTGTCTGCATAATAAAAGTGTACATAGTCTACCAAGGTAAATGAAAAAAAAAAACTTTAATGGTTTGGCCAAAAGTCCAACTCCTGTCAGGAAAAGCTACGGGCAATGATGGGCGCCAACTTCCAGGAACCCCATATTTCAGCCACAATTCACAACGCATATTCCGCCTGTTATGTCAGCATTGACTATCACTGAAACAGCTACGACGAGTGAGGAGGAAGCTTCAAAAGAAGGAGATACTTACTCCGAGCTCACTCTTCTTGTGTCAAGAAAGAGCTCTCGACGCCTTTTTATCCCATTATTCAGGACCCTGTTCATCCATTTATCAATGGGGGGGGTCAATAAGGAGACGATATAGGTAGGTCATGAAACAACGTATATGGTTAATCTATGGCGCCATGGTCGAGTGTGTTCTTTGAACTCGTCGCGTCCCGCCTGGAAGATGTCTCTTCAAGCCTCCGTTCATTGTACATCTCTGTAGCCTTGAAAATCAAAGTCTCGTGACCTTACGTCACGTGCATTGCTCAACCCTTCCCTTCTTCTGTGTTATTTTCCACACGTTTTCTAGTCCTCACTTTTCTTTTGCTTTCTCACTCATCACTCCACCACACAACTCCCCTTCACCAACACAACAACATACACAATGGTAAGGGTAACGCAGGAAGCCACAGCCCCACAACTCAACAAGGCGCCCATTCACACAATGGAGACTCTCATTCCTCACTCAATATTGCCTGAATTCATGGCCGGTTCAAAACGCGACATCCCTTGTATTTTTTGTGAGAATGCTCTCAGGAACACGTCTCGTCTTGGTGGCAAAGGAAAAAAAAAAAAAAAGAGTGGCACTGAATGACATCCCCACTCACCTCCACATTTTTTATTGCATTGGCATGCTCACTTTTTTTTTTACTCTAGGCTACCATCAGCGAAGATCAAATCAGTGGTAAAGAAGAACAACCAATATCCCTTCGCCTTCAGTCAACAACACAACAGCGACCAGGAATTCTCGAAGCACAAAGGAGAAGGAGGGAGGGAGGGAGGGAGGAGGAGATGTATCAGTCAGCCATCTCTCTTTTTTTACTCGCGATCCGCGTGATACGTGCTGAACCCCTTGTTTTTCGACGAGTTGGAATTGACGACATACCTCTCCCGCCCTGCCCTTCCCACCACAACCCAGCAGGACAGGAATATGAAGCCATCTCCTCTCTCTCTCTCCTTTTCTACCACTCCACTCACTCACTCCTTACCTTAACTCCAGTATCAAAAGGCAGGCCAGGGAGAGACTTGACGAGGATAGTCTTGGTTTATCATTTCGCCTATTGCAAGCTCTTCATTGTTCCAAATGGGGAAAGCATCGGCAACAGTCATAACATACATCAGGGCAACAACACACGCTTTCACAACCACATTCCCACCTCGAACCACAATTCGACTTAGTCCTAAACTCTCTAGCTATCTGTTTCCTTTGATGTCATTCAATGTTGATAGAGTTCAAGGAGGGATTCAGTCTCTTTGACCGTAAGGGCAACGGAACGATCGAATCAAGCTCGCTCGGAGACCTGTTGCGCGCCCTTGGCCAGAATCCCACCCAGGCACAGGTCCGCGAGCTCGTTGCCGAAGCCGACCCCGCTGGTAAAAAGCGCTGAGCTACTTAATGCTCCCAAGTTGCTGCTTTGTAATACCATATTTTTCCTGCTGACCTACTGCCCTCTTTTTTATTTCGGCTGGATAGGCACGCGTGTGATCAACTTTGACACGTTCTTGAAGGTTCTGATGCGCCCTGATGGCTTCAAGCCTGCAGGCACCTACAATGAGTTTATCAACGGCTTTAAGGTCTTTGACAAGGAGAACGACGGCTGTATTACTGTTGGAGAGCTCCGCTCTGGTATGTTGTCACTCTTTTAACACTTGTCCTTTCCTCTCTGTTATGTCTCCTGATGCATGATGTCTTCACAGAGCTAACATAACTTGGCTGTATTCTGCATATTCTTACATTAGTACTCACAAACTTGGGCGAGAAGCTGAGCGACAGTGAAGTCGATGAGCTGTTGAAGGGCGTTGAGGTTGACAAGAGCGGCAAGGTCCACTACGAAGGTAACGATCTTATATCCGCTTTTTTTTCCCGGGTGATTGACCTCTTTGTTGAGAAGGAAGAATGGCAGAAGGGACTATGGGGACTTGGTGACTTGAATGAACGGTGAACTGACGTAAACTCGATTGTCAATTCATTATTGTTATTAGACTTTGTTAAGATGATTCTGTCCTCTTAGAAAGGAGGCTTTTTCTTCTACACTGATACCCTTCTAACAAACAGCAACAAACACAAACAAAAAACACTAGCAACAACAACAACAGCAACATTCGCCCTCTCAATCGTCTTCATATCAAGAATACAAAATCCAAAACACGAGGATCAAGCATAGCAAGAACAATAAACCTGATTTGTTTTGCCAAATAAAAAATGATTCGGTTACTAGCAATATGGATCTTTCTACTGGGACATCGTTGACATAATGGACAGACATGCAAAAGTTAGTACGAGGAGAAAAAAAACTTCGTGGAAAGTGTTATCGTGTCTGTGGTTTATTTACATTTTGATTGTGGGTCGAGCGAGCTACTTTTTTTTTTTTGCTCGAATTCTCTGTTTGGGTTGTGAGTGCATCAAAGTTTGTAAGCGTTGTAAGCGAGTGAGCAAGTGAGATGGGTTTGGCCATTAAGGTAGTGTGTCATGATCATGGTACAAAGGTAGTGAAAACAGATAAAGGGGGTAATGGGAAAAAAAGGTAAAGAGAAGGAGTGAAAAAATAAGAAAAAAAAAGAAATCAAAAGATAAAGAGCGAGAGCGTCTAGGAGCGATGTTGCTGCTGCTGAGGCTGCTGCTGGTGATGGCGCGAATGTTGATGCTGTTCGCTCTGATGATGCGTATGGGGACGTGCAGGACCTTGGAGGTGAGGTTGGTGATGGAATGACAGCGGTTGCTGTTGCTGCTGCTGCTGCTGCTTTTGATATCCTGAATACCGGTAGCGATCCTCTCCTCCTCTGTACTCATGCTGCGAATGAGGCGGGCCTTGCTTGGTCACGGAATGGGTCTGAGACCCCTGCTGATGCTTGGGTGGGTCGACATCCATACCGATGCCCATCCCAACAACACCAACACTGTTGGATCCGCCCAGCTTCTCAAGAACATGGACCACTGGAATGATCGGGGTCGACTCTCCACGGGAGGGAGGGGTGACAATCGTCATTTCTTCGTCCATCTCGGGGACGCTCTCGTCGTCAGCGGTCAAGGTAGGTGGGGTGGACCTTGACGAGGACGAGCTAGTGGTTACTCCTGCCTTTGAGTGGTTAGGCGAAGACGACAACGAAGACGACTGTGACGATGACGCAGAGTTGTTGGTGGTGGGAGCGTTTTTGACGGAAGTGGTTGTTATGGAAGGAGTCGTAGCAGCCGTCGTGCTGTTGGCGGCAGAAGCGGCCGTGGGTAGAGGTGTCGGAAATGAAGTTGAGATCGCCTTGAGAGATGCATGTCCTCCACGCAGCGCCGTCAGCATCTGGATATCCGCATGCTGAACCTCCGTCGTCCTACTAATGCCCGTCGAAGTGCTGTGGTTGCTACGCTGCTGGCGTTCCGACTGGGGAGGAGGCGAACCCGAGAGGGATTTTGTGGATGTAGGAGGAGAGGCTGACGAGGACGAAACTCCAGATCCGACGCTGTTGGCCAGGGCTCCACGCTGTTTGCTGAACATGCTGACAATAGGGTCGTTGTCTCCCTGACGCGACTCGTCCATGCCCAGCAAGATCGCCGCCGCTTCCATCAACTGAACCTGCTGATGTTTCGACAGCAAAAACTTGGTGGCACTCTATTGAACGTATTCAGATAGACATTAATACACAGACGCCGACATCCATAAAGGACGACATGTACCCAATTTCGACAAGTTTTGCAAGGAAAACGCACCTTCCAGTACTGGGAGTGGAGCCAGCGGTGCTTCCAAAGGCAATTGGGGTGCTTGTAGACCTTCCCACAGTCCATGCACTTGTGAACATCCGAGTGATCGCCATCCTGCGCCTGCTTCTTATTGGCACCCCCGTCCTGTGTTTGGCCGCTCGTAAAGCTGTTGGATCGCCGCCGACCTCGGGTATCCGGCTTGATCTCGCCATCGTCATCGTCATCGTCTTCATCTTCGTCCATTGCCATCGATTGCTGTTGCGGCCCACCCGCTGCTGGTCCTTGTGAGCGGTGTGAGTGGGAGGATCGGCGGCCAGAAGGGCCTGGGGGCTGCAGGTAGGACTCACTCTTGTGCGACGAGTGGCGGTGAGGATTGTAAGATTCTGAGTGAGGGAAACCTGGTGCTGGTCCCGATGACGGATCGTAAGGATAGCCATGTCGCTGGGCAGGGTTTGGATAGGGGTTGGAAGAGGAAGAGGTATGCCGTTGAGAATGAGGAGGTGGAGGGTGTGAGTGTGAATGAGATTGTGAACGGGAATGTGAGTTCTGAGACTGAGAAGAGGAGGACGAAGATGGGTGGTAAAGGTGAGGATGATGAGAATTGTGCGACCGGATGGGTCCTACTCCTCCGTGGGTTGCGTTTGCTGGTGGGGGTGGAGGTGCTGAGAAAGTCGAGTGAGGGCCAGAGGCATGACCGTGACGCTGCTGTGGCTGATGCTGCGGCTGAGAATGTCGCGTCGCCTGAGCAACCCCAGAGGCGGTGACAGAAGACGACGATCTCGAGGAAGAAGGGCGATGACCGGCGATATTGGGATCCGATCCTTGATCAGGATGTGGTAATGCCCTATATATAAAAGAACACCGCGTGAAAGAGAGCGAGTGTATGTGTGAGCGTATGAACTCTCTTTTTTTTTGTCCGATGCAATTTACAGGATCAATTGGAACAGCAAAAAAATGAAATAACCATACCCTTGGCGTAAATGGTGGTGGTCAAGACCGTTGTTGCTGCTTTGGCTTTGGTTTCGACTGTGAGTTCGGTGCAGACCGTTGGTAAGTTCGTGCGGATTCTGCGAAAGATGATGGCCAGATCCTGCATGGGCCTCCCTGCCTATTGAACCAACAGAGTTAGAGTGCGCCCGTGCGTGCGGAGCGTGCAGATGCTCGTGATCCCCCATGTGCGACGGTGGTTGTTGTTGCTGTTGCTGTTTATGAGGTCGAGATTGAGTCAGTGGCGCGCTCGAGTGACCCTGCGGGTGAAGAGGAGAGGAGGAGGGGTAGTGCACGTTCTGCTTCATCATGATAGGCGATTGATGGGTCAAGGATGGTGTAGGTGCAAATCCGCGAGAAGGTTGCTGTGAGCGCGACCTGTCCGTGTGTGATGGAGGTACCGACGATTGGTGAGGATACTGTGGATAGGGGTTGTGCTGTTGGTGTTGCTGTTGCTGCTGATAGGGATGAGACTTTGATGGATAGGTAGGCTGAGGGTGGGACGAGGAAGAAGAAGATGATGCTGGTGGGCCAGACGAGGACGAGGACACCATGGCTGTCGATCGTTCAAGAGCGGAAAGTGTGTACAAGTAGGGTAAAGAAAGAAAAAAAAAACAAAAACAAAATTGGAATTTGAACTAGGATAGAAGCTGCTGCTCGCTTGAATTATCCTGTCGCTGCTCGACCCCGATCGTGAATAAAAAAAAAAAAAAAAAAAAAAGGGCGGATGAAAGTGAGAAAGGGCGTTTTTGTTGAGAGCCGTTTGTCGCGGTACTATTTTAATTTCGGATTGAATGAAAGACAACAAAGAATGTTAGTTATGAGGGAATTGAGTGAAAAGATGGATACGCCGCCCGCCGCCGCGTCTGGAGAAAGTATGATGCGCGCCTTCAGTCGTCAAGGGTGAGGGGAAAATAGCCTTTTCTTTTTGTGGGAGGGAAAGAAGTGTGGACAGAATTGAAATATAAAGGGAAGGAACGAGAAGCAGAGAACTGCAAATGCTAATGCGAAATAGGACAGGTGATGATCGGGCAAATGCTTCTTTTATCACGAGGGATGTGAAAAAGTAAAAATATTGTGTGAAAAAGAAGGAAACAAATGAACGAACGAATTGACGATAGATAGAGTGGCCCCAAGAACGAAAGGGAGGTAAACAGGATACTGAAGACACCATTCAAACTGCAGTTGTTGAGTTAAAGCGTACATTTGCCCCGACTGACCAGCAGACGGACAGATGAGTTTCTGCTGTCGAGGAATTGGGTTTGAAAAAAAAATATGTAAAGAGATGAGGATTGGCCAGACAATTTTTTTTTTTCTGTTGTTGTTGTTGTTTGGATGCTGCAAATCAATTGTCTCTCTGTCCCTCGTCGGACATTAGAAAGAAAAGGAAAAAAATGTTGTGTCCCTGACTGACGAAGAAAAGTGGGACTGTCGAGCAGATGTGTATGTCGATGGGGTGTGTATTGCAGTGTGTGGTATTATTATTAAATTATTGCAATGGGTGGGAGGTGGAGGATGAAGCGCGGAAGTGACAACAGATGAAAGAGATGAATTTGATTTGATTACACAAAGAGTGGAGGACGGGGACTGGGCTGATGGAGCCTCTGAGCAGTCAAGGAAGTGTAAAGGAATTATGTATTAGAAGAGGAAAGGGAAGAGGAAGATGACTAAGATGGAGTTGGAGAAAGGATTGACGGGAGGAGGGAGGGAGGGGAGAGGAGCGGAAGGGGAAGGGGGAAAGGGGTCAGGCAGGGTAGGGAAAGAGGGGCTATGTAAGGATGCAGGATTGTGGGATGTGGCCTGGAAGAAGGAGGTGTCTTCAAAGAGAAGAAAAAAGAGATGCGTTGTTTACAAACGAATATTTTTTTAGTTGCCTGGGATGTCCGTGGCACACAACACCCACAAGAGACAGAAAAAAATAACAACAACAAAAGAAAGTCATCAACTCTATTTTTTTTTTCATAGTGGTGCACCCTTCCACCCCTCGAATGTCTTGGACCTTGGCCGTCATGTAAGAAGACAATGTTGTCGTATTCTTGGACCTCTTTCGTATGGATACAGTCCGGCCGTATTGTCCATCTCTCTACCCTGTATAGCGCCTGCTTCAATCTTTCTTCCCTTGAACATTGACAATGTCTTTCTAGCGTGAGTTAGAACATAATATCCTACCTAGTTATTGGTGATATGTATCCCGAGGTCGACTCCGTTTGCAAAAGAAAGAAGTATAGTGCCAAGAACTAAAGTAGGTCGAGGTCCTGTTGGTTGGTAGGATGTGTGGACAGGAAGGGGTTGGCTTGGATGTGTGTGGCGAGAGGTCTTGAGAAGTGTTGAGAGGTGTAGTTGTGGGGTTTGAAGAAGGAATGATTCGAATCAATCTTTTTCTCAGAATGAAAATGGAACGATGAATGAGAGAAAGGGAGAGACTATGGTGGTGGAGGAGGAAAGAAGAGAAGGAAGGAGAGGAAGAATTAAAAAAAAATGTCGACTGGAGAAGTGACAACGGAGAAGACAAAGAGAAAAAAAAAAAAAAAAAAAAAAAAAAAAGAGAGAAAAAGAAAAAAAAAAACAAGGTTTGACCCCTTGTTGTGTGCTCTCTGGTGCACCTCCCTTTCTTTTTTTCTCTTTTTGCACATTCTCTATTTGACAACAAACAAAGTCGACACCTTCTATGCACTTGGCGATGGCTCTTCAATATCAACCCATTCATGCCACGGTATCATCCTTTTGGAGTCATCTTCGCACTCTACTGCCTCTCACTCATGACCACCGTTGCAGTTGCAGGTGTGGTCTGGACACACATCTTCCAACACCACTCATCCATAACAACAAAAGGGAAACAAGCTCTTTCTGGGACAAGGGCATCAAAAAGTACCGATCTCGAGATGACTGCAGCCATTCGACCAATGAGAGCTTTCCCGACACCCCGGAAATTTTCTCTTTTTTTTTTACCTTCCACAAAAATCAGCCTACACCGTCAATCAATCTGTCCTTCACACTGACTTGCCTCTGCATGCCTGTCTCCGATGCCAATACAAGTTACAACAATGTATCAATGCAGGAGTAAGAAGCAAAGCTGCTTGCATCAAGGAGCACTTGCTTCCTTGATCAAGAGTGATATTTTTTTATACGGATCCTCGGTCTGATCCAAAAAAAAAAAAAAAAGCAGTCAACCACACGTGCTTTGACCCGAAGGAGCAAAGAAGATTGATCGCCTTTTTTTTCGCACGTTCGTCTTTCTCTTCTTTCAATCTTCACTCTTCATACGACAAACGCAAACACCACTACAATCCCATCACAACAACAGAAACAGACACAGTTCAGATATGAGCGACGGAATCAACCACCACAGGGAAGGGCTCACAACCTCGCACCACGATTGGTCCATGCTGCAAGTCGGGAAACTCCTCGAGAACCAGCCCATCGTCATCATGTAAGTCCTCTCTCTCCTTCCTATCAACTATTCGTCTCGACAAAACTCCACGTCTTAGATCGTCGCGCTCTTACCCTCTTACCGCCATCTATTACACTTGTCTAGTGATGCTAACAGCTCAGTCGAGGACGCCAGCGAGGTCAGTAACTAGCTTTTCGACTCGCTACGCCAACATCCACACACAGCAAGGATCGTGCACATTATGTACCGATCGTCGACCTATTTTTTCTCACGGCAGATGGATTGACAATTCTGACTACTCTTTATTCTTTGCGAACGATTTGATAATCAAAATAGGTGCTCCTCAACAAGGGTGTCAGCTCTGCGCCTATTTACGACTCGGCACGAAAGATGTTCGTTGGCATGTTCGACTACAGTGATCTGATGACCTACATCCTCCTGGTCCTCAAAAAAATGGAAGTTCCCTTGGAAGACCAGACCATGGAGATGCGGGATCTCATCCAAAAGACCAACCACAGCCAGAACGTGCCCGTCAAGCTCGTATCCGGTACAATGAGTCATCTTGTCATCTCTCCTTGTCGTTGTTGTTCATGTGCAGTGAATGGCTGCTTACTTACTGCAACTCTTCTCCATTTTTGATGGTATCTGTTCGGTTTTTTTAGATCTCTCGGGCAACGACCCGTTCTGTACAGTGCTCGCAGAGACGAAGCTCGGAGGTGTGGTCAACGACTTTGGCACAGGGATCCACCGGGGTAATGTAAAAAAGTGTGTGGGCGTTGTTTGTGTGTCGGAGTGTTTGGTATTCATAGGCGGATGAAAAAAAATGGTTGTGTGATCATGGGAGCGATACTGGGTCCAATAATGTCTCGCATTCACTTGGTCACTGTGCGACTTGCCTTCTAAATTCTTACCGATCCTCTTTACTTCCCCGCTTGTGTGTGTGTCTCTCTCTATGTTTTTTAGTGGCCGTAATGGATTCTCAAGGAAATATGATGGGAGTTCTCACCCAGTCCTTGACTCTGGATTATCTTATGCGTCATGTAAGAGCACTGCATATGCCTTTGTTCTTTTTTGTTCATGCAAGATGACAAAGAGCTAAAATCACGTTTTTTGATGATTTATTACTCGGCGAGGAGATTTTGCCTCGCCCTTTTGAGCTAAAGCACTGACCCCTCGTCTGTTTGTCTTCTATCCTATGGTAATAGCTGAGTGAGTTTCCACAACTCCAACCACTGATGCAAAAAGGGGTAAGTCGACGTGGGGAGTGGGAGTAGGTATGTGATGCAATGAGGATCGGAGTAACAGAGAATGCAACTTTTGATGCTAACCGACATTTGGCTACGAATCGATGGCAAAAATGTACACCTCTTTAGCTCCAACAACTGGGTCTCACTGGCGTCAAGGTCCTGTCTGTCACCGGAGAAACACAAGTTCTGGAAGCACTCATCACCATGAGTAAGTTCGCACTATTCTATCGTTGCTGTTCGCAAGGGACATAGTTTTTCAGAAGGATACAATCGGGAGGATTAAGGAGAAGCCACACGGCCATTTAATCGAGTATTGACATGTTGTCATTTGAAAATGATGAAGAAGCTAAATAACTCACTATTCCTATGAATCTTTTGCACATCTAGGTACAAATGGAGTATCGTCACTTGCGGTCGTTAATGACCAGGGCGTCCTCCTGGGAAACATTAGTATGACCGATGTTCAGGTACAGTCATTTTGACATTTTTCACTTATCAAGCGAGAAACAAAAATTGGTGGCAACTGGCAAGGTACAAACACAATGTCAACTAACAATTCCTTTCCATCTCTCTACTTCCATTCATTGACTAATGTAGCATATCATGAAGGATCTCAGAACATCATGGCTGTGGTTGAGCTGCTTCCAGTTTGTGTCCAAGGTTCGGTTGACAAGAGGCGTCGAGACAGGCGAGGACCAATACCCGGTCCTGGATGTGAATGCAAAGTCGACGTTCGGATACACCCTCTCGAAGCTGCAAGCGACCAAGGTGCACCGGCTGTGGATCATCAATGATACAAACCATGTAGTCGGAGTCGTCAGTCTAACGGATGTCTTTAAGGTCTTGAGCGGTTATGTTGACTCTTGAATGAATGCTTTCTCGGAGGAACAGTTTGCGGAATGCCAAGCATGCCTGTCTGTCTTATGTTTTCTTCTGTGTCCATGACGCTAAGCTTGCTGAAAATGAAAAGAGAAAAAATAAAATAATTTGACTTTCAGAGTGTTGGAGTGTTGGAATGGTCAGTGACCCATGGCCTGAGTCCTTTTTTCTTTCTTTCTTTTCTTTCTTCGAAAGAGCCAGCCACCGTCATCGCTTGGTCGATCCCAGCCAATTAGAATGCATGACTGAAGGGTATTCAGGTCCAAAATCGCTTTTTTTATTTCTTTTATTTTGCTTTACCCTTACCCACACCAAGCATTCCAGAGGGGAAGGGCGGTGTTCCAATCTCCGCGAAGCTAACGGCGATGATGCTTGTCGTCCTGCCTCGTTTGCTGACGAATGTGTGAACCTTGAACCTTGAACCATCGATACCCGTTTGTTCCGCTCTCGGAATAAAGATAGATGCGGCTGGCTGGTTAGGCCTTCCCATTCCTTTTTCTTTTTTTCTTGAAAGGAGGAGGAGACCAAACAAGTTGGCTGTTGTATTTGACCCCCTTTTTGTCATGTCCACGCGCCAGGCACGACGCAGGGGGAAAAGGGAACATGATCGCACGATTCAGCCTGCCCTTGCTCCCCTCTCGTCTTCACAGGCAACAGACAGCAAACACACACAACAAGACGGAACAAACAGGTCTCCGTCCCTCTCAACACATCATCGACCACACTGTCCGACCCATGGGCCACCTTCTCTCTTCACTTTCTTCCTTTTCTTTTTAGTGTCGTCCACATCCACGCCTTTCTTCTCTTTTGTCTTCTCTCCCTCCTATTCTCCCTACTCTTTCGTCCTTTCACCTATCCAAGTCTTTCGCCCTACCCACACTCGGCAACCGCTTTTCCCTTCTCGCTCCTCTCTCTCTCTCACACACACTCACACTCACACTCTCACACTCTCGCTTTCACAGAAGTGATCCACTTCCTCTTCTTCCTCATCCCACTCCCCACCTTGCCTTGATCTCCTTCCCCTCTCTCGTTCGCTCCTCCTCATTCCCTCCATTCCTCTCTTTTCTCTCTCTGCCTGACTCAACCCTAAGTCGGCCCCCTACTTGCTTGCACTCACAGACCAAGCAAGAAAAGAGAGCGCTCACAGCTCGTCCCTCGCCCCCTTTTTTTTCCCTCGACATCGATCATCACCCTCCTTTCCTTTCTTCTCTTTTCGCTCTCTGTTAGTTATCACCCTTCACTCCATCTGCCACTGCAGCGTGATACTTTCTCTCTCGACCCCGCTTCCCTCTCTTCCTTTTCTACTTTCTTATACCCCCACCCATAATGACCTCTTCCTGCTCGGTAGCAGGACGACGCATACGCCCAACGGTTCGATTCCAGCACATACTAAACCACCAACAACAGCAACAACCTCCCGTAAGGACGATAGCGAGACCGACGACGATAGCAACAGCAAGGACGACGACGATGCTTCTCTTAGTCTCTTGCTTGGCACTCTTGTCCACAGCCTCAGCAGCCATCACCTGTGCCCTCCCAGCAGGGGGAACCTACAAAGCCGGTGATGGTGTCATCCTAGACTGGGGGTCTGACGGAATCTCTCCTGTCGTCAAAGACATTGTCGCTGTTAACGGTACACTCTACTGCAACAGCGGCAACTTCAAGGTGGTCGAGTTCCCCATCCCGTCCCTCACGGGAGCATACAACTATACACTGCCTAGCGTGGGCAATGCAACGACCGTCGGTGGCACTATAGGAGAATGTGCTCAAAACGCCTTCCATATGGAGTACTCGGGAACGGCAAACGGGTTTCTGGGGATCTCGAAAATCCCGTGGGGTCCCGTCCAGTGCGGGACGATTACTATCTTGCCTGCGCCCAATGGAACTGTTACGACGACGACCACAACCACGACCATGTCTGCGACTTCGACAACAACACCTACTTCGACACCTGACGATAATAGCAGTGGGGGACTGTCGACAACCATTATTGTTGTCATTGCAGTGGTATGTATCTTTTTTTTTTATTCACTTGATATGCATGCGAGTTTAGTCTCATTCTGTGATTGTCTCATTCTTCTTTGTTCCCCCTGGTTCGCTTTCACCGTACTGTGTTGGTATGGTGGTGTAAGCAATGAAGAAAAGAAATGAAAAAGAAAGAAGCGAAAATGTACCACACATTTTATTGCTCAATCGATCAGATCAAAAGACAAGCAAAGCAATTTGTGTATAACACACCCATTGCAATAAATGTATCTCTCCGCTTCCAAACAAAACAACTTACCTACCTTCTTTTGTTTGGGCTCTGGTTGCCACTCTTTCACTTCCTGTATTAGGTCGTTGCTGTGATAGTAACTCTGTCGATTGTTGGAGTGGTACTATGCTTACGCAAGAAGAGACGCCAGCGCAAGCTGAACAATGCCTTCTTGCCCTGGAACGCAAACAGCAACAACAATAACGGAAGCGGGATCAACAACAGCAATAATCGATTCTCAAAGATCTCCACCATGGACGATGGCCTCGGTTCGGAATATCCTGAGGGGACGTCTGGGTCAGGAGCTGGGGCCAATAGGATGAGCGGTATCACAGCTATAGGAGGCGGTTCAGCAGCTGGAGGACTAACAGGAAAAGGTTATCCACTCAAACCCCCTCGCCCCCCACGGCCTCAAACCCCTTCTCTCAGTCTGAACTACTTTGGCGATGAGAGAGCCTATAACGACTATGGATACCAACAACAAGAACTCCTTGACCAACAGCAGCAGCAGCAAGGGCAGCAAGAGTTCCAGCAAGGATATGAGAAGTATGGTGAGGCGGACGCCTACTATAACCCTTACTATGCCTCGGGAGTCACGGCTGCCACTACCACCGCCATAGACCACAACACTCTTTCCTACTACAGTCAAGCCTCAGGCAGCGACACGGTGGCAGCAGGAGCCCATGGGTCTCCGTACGGTGCTCAGGACCCTTACCTGACCTCGTCAGACCTCTACCTTCACCAACAAATACAACAGCAACAGCAGGAGCACCAGCGTCAGCAACAACACCAGCCACCAGGGGGGCGTGGATATATCCCACCTCCACCAACGATCCCCCTTCCACCACTAACGCCACCACCACTACGGAGTTCTGGGCTCAACTCTCTTCCGATCGTCAGCTTTGCGGCACGGAATCCGGCCGGCACACCTGCCAAGGGTCAAGACTCTGGCGCGATCGGCTCTTCTCCAAATCGCGGACCGCAAGTCGTGAGAGAGGAGATGGGACGCAAGGAGGCTGAGGCGGATGATGTATCATTACAGGACGTTACCTCCGACTCAAAGGTGGAAGTGGCGTAAACTACCACTTCCACCAGCAAACAATACATACCGTTGTTCATTCTGACCGCCGCTTCTTGTTTGAGAGGAAACCGTAGTGAGATATGAGCGCGTCTACATTGCTCTAACCTATAATCCTAATAACATAAAAACATAAACACCATAAAAACACCAAAACGATAATTTCATGAAATAACGGTCTGTCATCGCATAAACAGTTGCCTTGGACGTGTTCAATTGCCATCAGCCCCAGCCGTAGATTGTCTTCATGTGCCAGTGTTCGCATCATCCCTCATGCATTAAAGAGGCTTCGGAGTGTGTCTTGGCATACACTTGTGTATTTCTCATCTTGCTGTACGACATTGTCATTTTTATGTATTGTGGATTACCACCCATGTATGGAGGCGGTGCCAAGGCCCAACCCATACTCTATTCACGAGGCACGGCCGGTTTTTTGTGTCAATTCCAACCTGGCTTACATTCTTCAAAATACCTTCAAAACCGCCAGCACTTGAGGGGGAATGTTCCTCATCTTGCCAGCAGCCGTCTTTGACTGACGCTGTGTGTTGTTGTTGTTTTTTTTTTTTTTGCGTTTATTACTGTTAACCTATCCACTGCCCTTATTTTCATATATTTTTTCACTAGGCGCTCTCAACTTTTTTTTTACTGCAATTTATTTGAACCGTTCTTGTGGTTACTTGCAAGCCAAAAAAACACATATAAAAAAAACGAAGGTGCCAATTGGGCGGCTCTTTTTGACGGGGATATGAAAAAGAAAACGGGAAACAGGGACCCTGACCCCGTCTGAACATACCAAGATGAATCTAAAACAAAAAAGGTGTAGCGCGGGTGGCAAAATTAAAATTGTTGGGAGTGAGGAGGATCTGGAGGAGGAGGAGGCTCGAGGTGCAAGATTAGAGAAGATGAGACGAGGTCGTGAATATGACGAATTGGTTTCGCGTGCCTGTTGGATCTATGAGGTAGGAAGAGGTTTGAAAAACGAGGTGGAAGAACAGGATGGAGATCAGAAAGAAAAGAGACATAGAGACATGTGTGTGGAGGTTGGTTCCATCTTTGGAGCCCAGGTAGTTTTCGATGAGTAGAAGTATGAAGAGACAGAGGGCAACGGTCCCCCGAGTTCCGTGCTCGTTTTTTTTTCTAAAGACGTTCTTGTTCGTTTTCTCAATTGCTTCCTTGCTCTTTCCTTGACGAATACGGAACTGGACACAATGGCGGCTTTATCCGCGAATGAGAAAGATTGACATGGGACACACATGTGCACATCAATGCATGCGCTTGTTTTTTTGAGATGTCAGGAAGGAGAGAGGGCAAAGAGATGGCAGTGTTGGGGGTGTTCGTATGTGTGTGCAATTTGAACATAGCCACGCGAAAGTGCTCACCCTTATTGTATTGAGAGGAGAAGTACCCCCTCGCTCTCACGATCCAAAAGACATGAAAGATGCGTTAGTCTTGTTTTTTCTTTTTTTTGCAAACGTTACACGTTAACAAACAATAAGCGGAATACACAAGAGGCACCACAAGTCTACCATCCACCATGTTGTCGGAGGTTGTGAAGTCGAAAAAGGGCATGTTGGGTCGGCTCACATCCTTCATTGATTTATTAGTCTCCTTGCCCTTGCCCTTAGCCTCAACCTTTGTCTTTGCCATTCGCCGTTTTTCAGGATATCTACCCTGCGCATTCATAAAAGCAGCCGTTGAACGTCTTGATTGATGTTGGCCACCCCTTTTTCCTTCTCTCTCTTTTTTTCTTTCTTTCTTCGCCTTCAGGTCCCTCTTTCTTGCCACCTCTCTTCCTTCCTATCTCCCTTCTCACATTCCGGCACACCTTATTGACCTCTCCCTAATACTCATACCCCTCAGCTCTATCACCAAACAATCAACAAGAACAACCAACAAGACAACACACCGCCAAACAAAATGCGGCCATCATCTTCCTCCCTTCCTCTCCCCCTCACATCCGCCATCCTCCTCCTTGTCACCCTCACAACAGCCCCCACCTTAACCCTCGCATCCATCACCTGCAACTCCCCAACCTCCGGCACAACCGTCAACCCCGGAAACTCCCTAACCTTCCAATGGGGCGATTCAGGATCGTTCCCTAAATCCGGAGACGTCTACTCTGCCGACGCGACCATTTCCTGCTCTGGCGGCAGCGGCTCCCAAATCGCCAAGCTTGAAGGGATATCCAACGGACAGTCGTGGACGGTGCCTGGGAATGTGTTGGATACTTGTGGAGGTGATGGCGGATTGGAGGTTAAGTTGTCTGGGTCGAATTATGACATGCTGCATTTGACGCATTGGTATTCCTTTGAGGCGCAGTGTGGGCGTGTCGAGGTTCAGCCGCTGCCTGTGGCAACTACTACGACAACTACGGCCGCGACTACGACTACAACTACGACCACGACGACGAGTGCTGCATCGGTGATAACTGCCACGACTAAATCGGCTACGACGCCTATGCCTACGCTCTCGACTGCGGCACCGACTATTTCTGTCACTCCTTCCGTCAACGGAACCATCCCTGGCGTCCTCCCTCCAATCGCACCCGGCGCCAACCCAGAAGTGACCGGACTCAACCCCAACGACCCCTCCTCCCCTTCCTCTACATCCTCCACCTCTTCAGACTCTTCAGACTCTTCATCCAGATCCGGAGACTCTTCAACCAAATCCGGAGACCCTCCATCCAAATCCGGAGGCCCTTCAAAGGCAGCCCTGGGAGCCTTGGGTGCCATCGGCGGGCTCGCAGCGATCGCAGTCCTGATCTTTGGATTTGTCCTCTTCAAACGCCGTCAACGCCATCGCGCCCGCGAGGAGCGTTGGATGGATCATAACTATTCTTCCGCCTCCATGTCCGACCATAAGGGCCCCGGCAGCTTCAACGGCGGAGGTAACGGTTACGCGTTCAGTAGTCCGGGAGTAGGTGCCACCACCTCTTCTGTATCGAACCCTCACCTCCATTCTACAGAATACGTAATCCCACAACCCGCACCTCCCGCAGACCAGAACGACGACGACAACAATGACAAACAGCCCGAAATGTCGGCGGTTCCTGCTCGGCCAGCACGGACTTATCAAGGAGATTTCGACGACCCGACAACGCCCTGGGACGGCCAACTCGGGTACCTCCAACCCTTCCCATCATCATCATCATCATCATCACAGCAAGCAAGCAGCATTATCATCGGCGCTGGCGCCGGCGCTGACGAGAATATGGACCTGGGATACGAGTACATACAAGACTACATCCCTTCCAACCCCACCTACCAACACGACAACGACACCAACAACAATAACAGACAACTGTCAATGAGAGCGAGTAGTCAACTGCCCGAAGATCTCGACTACTTTGCTCGACTGCGCGAAGCCTCTTGGTCCATGCCTCCCATACCCCCCAACACTTCGTCGCCCCCAACACCAACAACAGTCGACGGCCTTGATTGCGACATCAGGACAACAGCCATCCAGCAGCCCCACTCAGATGCTGTGCCTGATCCCTCTAGCTAGGAGCTTATCCCATTCTGGCGCACACCAGTATGATGACGCCATCGGCGCTGGTGATGCTGATGTTTTTGCCTTTGGGAGTGCATGAGAATTATGAATGGTCGCACATTATATAAAATCTTCAAATGGTTCAGCATGTTCTTTCTACCATATTTTTTATTGAAAAGACGGACAGAAGAAATATTAAAATCGCGAATGACGACAGGCTTAAGGCTGGGCGGTAGCCTGTGCGGCCAGAGTGTCCTGAGGAGCTGCGTCGGTGACGACCTTGAGATGGCCAAGGACAGATGCCGAGAGACCCAACTGGGCCTCGGTCCAGATGGGAGCGGGATCGACAGCGCCCTCGACGACACCGGCGCGACCGCCGGTGGCCTTCCACTGAGAAGTGCGCTTCAATCCGTTGCGCTGCCAGACGCTCTCGAGAGAACGGATCAGATGTCCCATCATCTCATCGGTGTGGCCAGGGGTGGGGGTGATACGAAGACGCTCCTCACCACGGGGAACGGTGGGGTAGTTGATGCTCTGGACATAGATACCATGGGAGCGGAGGAGCTCATCCGAGGCGGCCTTGCAGACCTCGGCATCACCTACCAAAACGGGAACAATGTGGGAAGGGTTGGGGACGACGGGGATATCGAGGGCAGCGAGCTCAGCCTTGAGAGTGCGGGTATTGGTTTGTTGAGCAATGCGCTCGTGGGGCGAGTTGCGGAGGTACTGGATCGATGCAGTCGCACCGGCGACGATGGCTGGGGGCAAGGAGGTGGTAAAGATGAATCCCGGGGCGTAGGAACGAATCACGTCGACCATGGCGGCCGAACCAGCAATGTAGCCACCAACAACACCAAAGGCCTTTCCAAGGGTTCCGGAGATGATATCGACCTGATCCATGACAGTCTGGACAGGGCTGTTTTGAGGTCGGTTCAAGTTGCCGGCAAAGTCCAGGTGCTCGGCGACACCGGCACCGTGAGGACCGTACATGCCGACGGCATGGACCTCGTCGAGGAAGGTGATGGCGCCATACTTTTTGGCAAGGCGGCAAATGTCGTTGACTTTACCGATGGTGCCGGACATGGAGTAGACGGTCTCAAAAGCAATGATTTTAGGGATGGAGGGATCGAGGGTCTTGAGGAGCTCCTCGAGATGGGCGGTGTCGTTGTAGCACCAGAAACAGCAGCAACAACAGAAAGGGAGGAGGAGGGAGAGAGGGAGGTGATGGGAGTGGAGGCGATGGTGGTAGGAGAAGCAGTCGCGTCCCTCATAGGCAGTGGTCACTGTTTGCCTTCGGTGTCGACCTTCCTTCTGTATTGACATCAGTGTGAATCAACAATAAACCTTATTCATGTGACTTTGTTGTGGTGTTAGTGAATGCTCCATTCTTCACATTGCTTCATCTTGCAACCATGAAGACTTACAGGCCCATCGCACCAAAACCAGCATTAACAAAAGGAACAATAGCGACTTCGGAACGTTCAAAAAGTCGCCCGATGAAGTAAGAAATCGAATAATCCGAAAAGCTCGAATTCGAATGCAAAAACTGATTGTTTTCGTAAAAGCTGTTTCCTCTTATATCGTCAAAAGATGAACAGACTCATAGAAGGGAAAACCACCATTGAAAAGTCCGCCATTATAGGTCAGCTTTGGAGAAGCGAAAGCTTGGAAGAAAAGACGAGGTGGAGATTGCTCGCGTAAGTCCTAACATCGAAGTGCCACTGTTCCTGTGATAAGTTGTCAGAACTGCAGCCTAACATCCTAATTGATAGACAACGTGAGAAACACTTGTTTCAGATGTCAGTCAGAGACCCTCTCCCGAAGCAGTCTCACTTGCCGATCAAGCTGCTTTCGCTCTGAAGGATCTGCAACACATCGTTCTTCTTTCTTTCCGTATTCCTTTCCCTCTGTCTTCGTGTTCCTTTCCTCCTTACCGCCTCACATTAAACCATGCACGCATACTCCACTTACACATCGTCGGACTACCTCGCATTGATCAGATCGACAGCACGTTCCACGACGACGATCACACGAGCCACTGAGAGTCGAGACATACGTACAAACGAAAGTGTCTCCGATCGACTTGCTAAGCACTGCGTTCACTTCCTTTGCTCTACTCCTTTCTCCAAGAGTAGGTCCCTCCGTTGATTTTCTTTATGACATGATACTCTTATATTACGTTGACAATGCACTCACGGTTGTACAGATCCTTCAGACGACAACATAGACTCGGGCGCGGCATGGCAACAATCACACTCCAGTAAGTTCGCATTACATGTGGTGTTTTGTTCTTTATGGCATGGGTTCAATAATAACATTGGTCTGTTTATGTATAGGGTTTCCTTCTTGCAAGATCTCGAACCTTTCAAGATTTGGACGACACTCAAGCTTCACATCCTCAAGTGACTTAACACAGCCGAAACAATCTCTTGGATACTGCAAACGAGATATCACTCTACGCACGATTGACGCAAGTTCAAAAAAGGCGAGACTATCATCTCGAAAGTAATAAATATCAATTCAAGGAGCATACGCTGTACTATTATTTATCAGGGTGATTCCCACTTGTTTTTCGCTGTCTGACAAACTTGTCATAGCCAAGCATATGCGAACAATTCTGCGTAGATTCCGAAACCTAAGGCGGCGACGAAATTTTTGACTGAAGGAAGAAGGACGCGGCGATGAAGATAGTGATTGCAAAGAATCTGCTCGGACAGCAGTGGGTCAGCGGGATCCTTGTCGATTATTTCAGTAGGAAATCTGCGATGAGAAAAGGGTCGATAACAAACCAAGCGCTCGCCGTGGTTGTTTGCCTTGCCAGATAAAATTACCTCCGCGTCAACCTCACAGAGGTGTAGGTCTACTGTTGACTCACCAAGGTGAACCGCAAGGTGAACTGCATGAACCATGTCCCAAGGCGTCAATACAGCATCATCGCCGTCAACCCCTGTGTAGACAGGAAGTGATGTATACTTGGCAGAGGAGGTATTGGACTGAGATATCGATTGTGTGCTGTGGGTCTCCAGATTGTCAATGTTATCCAATCCTTGATAAATTTGATCCGCATAGTCCAAGATGTCGTGGCGGCCCGAAAAAAAGTTGTCCTGAATGCCTTGAATCATGCCACGGAATCCTTAGCAGTGAGATGAAATAGTGTGGATAGCGGTTGGCTAGACCCACGGGGAAAAATAATAAAAACTTCCTGGACCGAAGACCTGGGAACGAACCGAGAACCTGCAAATATGCGTCCGGTTTGACATCTTACGGACGCGCGTGTTGAATTCGCACAGGATCCTTGGTGGCATATGAACGGCTTGAAACCACCTCTCGATGGACGAAAATAGCACTGACTAAGACCAATGCAGACGCTATGACCAGGTGCCTGAAAAGTTACGCCGACCTAAAATGACCCTCGAAGACTTGCGACAGGAGCTGCGACCAAGTAACGGCGCCTGGAGAACCTAAGAGGATCATACATGAGTATATCAAGATGCGTCTACGCCGATAAAACAAGTTGTCCGGGAACCTCCTTGGGACGACAAAGGTAGACGGCATGCCATCCTCGTCCGCATCAATCGAAATAAGATCAACCCAGGATCATTCATGACGAGCTCACCCGAGATCTCCGCATTGGCTTCTTGACCTGGTGTTTGTTTGCTGGTGCCATGATTTGAGATCATGAATCTCCCGTTCGCTTGGGATGGGGCTAAGACAGTTGACTGCCACCTGCAACTGCTGAAGGTCACGAGTTGAGATCTCCAGCAATGAAGAAGTGGCTTCATGCAGACGATGGTAAAGTGCCAGGGTTGCGAATGAACTCACAAGAATCCAAGGAAGTCGCTTGAAGTACGAAAAATAGAGGTTCATGCAATGGTGAATATTGATCATGTAAGTAGTAGTAGTAGGAAAGATATTGTAGATATTAATTGCTCGCTGAACTTACCTGGGAGACCGTATTGCCAGTCATTGCAAGAACGCGTTCCACGAAACCAAATCGTGTATTCACCTAGAATGCAAACGCGGACAACAAGCGATCAGATGAATGGATACTGCGTACGCTTGAACAAAATACAACACCATATGTGCTTACCGCTCCAATGAAGAATACTCCCGCAAAAACGGCTAGCGCTGGTTGATTTCGGGCAGGGTCAAGGCATCTTGAAACAGAATCTAGAATACAAACGGCTCTTGTGAACAATACTTCTATGAGTTCTGAGGAGAATGTTAGTGTTAAAGTACGATCATGAAAGGGGCCAAGACCAGCACCGCAGGAATGCACCTTGTTTTCATCAAACGGACAACATTTTCGATAGTCCCATCCTCTCGGACAAAAACGAGACAAACCCCTAACAGAGCCGCGATGGTCATCCGCCGTGCGCCAGGGCATCTCGCGCTGGCTGGCTGACCTTATGAGCTATCCATCCACGGCGTAGATGATCTACCCGCATGAGATTAAGAGAAGCGTTGTTGAAAATTATGTTGGCGCGAACAAGCGAATGTTCTTTTTTTATTCAAGGCTTATCACATATATCTGTATGTCAACTTCAGAAGGGCTTTTCACGTCATGAACGCGCTTGAGAATGCTCGTGAGGGCTGCAGAGCTTACATCCAATCCAGCATCCGAGGCGGTCACCAACGCAAAGAGGAGATCCGCAACAGAAAGGATTCCGACGATCTAATACCGAACAGAGGCGGACAGGGATTTGGGATGAATGTGAGACATAATATTGTGATATCCTCCTTGCTCTGTCGATTTCTTAGCAAGAACCACAAAGAAGAAAATACGGGGATACAAGGCCTGTGACTTAGAGAGAGTGTGTCGTCAACTTCGAGAAGTTATGGCAAGATAGATGTTCTCCAAACGTGCTCCTGGGTTGTCAAGAATGAGCTCTTGCTTTGGCTCGTACATTGTGTCGAGGTGATGAGGCAGAGTAAAAGATGATCGGATGGATAGTTCAAAGATAGTGAGATGCGAAATGGTCGGGAATGAGGATCATATGTTTGAAATCGTTGAGGCGAATGCTGCGAGAAAATTATACCAGTAGGAAGAGAGAGAGAGAGAGAGAGAGAATGGGGAACGAGAAGTTGGAGGTAGGTTGTACTTTGTGTGTCAAAGCCCTACTTGTGATGGTACCTGAATTTCGTGTTTTTTTTGGGTCTGGCCATGGTGTCTTGTAACTTTTCAATTTTTGCATTTCATCGTTCGTTACTTTGGTGACTACTGCAAACCTGCTGTTCCATGTACAACTCATTGGATTCGGAATGAGTCTGGCATCAGGGTCCATGGGGAGCATTCGTTTGCAACAGACAGACAACTCGCCCTTCCCTTTTGGCCCTACGATAACTTCTTGACGAGGGACAAGGACGAGTCCGGAGGGCACAGGGAGCAAGAGAGAACAGACTACAGCACCACCATCACAACCACGACATCAGCGCCGTGACTCTCCTTCCTACTCTCTCTTCTCCCTCTTCTCTCCAGAACTCGTGCCGCGTGGCAAAAAAGAAGAACCGCAAGAGTGGTACCTGTACCGGAGTAGGTTTCTTTTCTCTCTTTCACTCTATATTTTTCATGATTCGTAGGGATTGATGAGCAACAGCATATATTCTGTCTGTGGACCACAAACCTGTAACTATTACCGTTGATTCCTTGCCCTTTTATTAGATATCTTCATTCAACTGGTAGGGATGGCGATCGCAACTCGATAATTGGAGTACCACGTGGAGCACGTATGATGGATTCGCTCTACACTGTCTCATAGTACGGCACACAAGGAACCAGTCAAGCTCAGTTACGACAGGAGTTCGATGTTCTTTTTTCTTCTTTCCTGTCAGGTATGTAAGAAACGGGAAAGAAAAAGATATAAAAAGGCGCACATGCACTGCGCAACGCCCAATTGCTGATCCTCGGTTTTTTTTGTATTTGCTTCTCCACTTTTTCTATCGCTCATGGCTTTCTGGAGTCCGACGAGAGGGGTGCAACACTCAGCCCTACACCATGGTGTTCTCTATCGCCGAGTTAAAGCGAGCGGGACTTTGTGGACGAGACGGATACCCAAGTCAGGAACCAATTCGTGCCGGATCGGAAGAATCTTTAAATTGCTTGTTGTCGAGAAGCGATGTTGCATAAAACATATCCGACCATCGTTGTTCCGCGATCACACAAGCAGGATTGAAAGACCATGATATGGTATCTGCAAGGTCTGTGGAACCTCTGAGGGATCCGGGGAATCCGGTCGGTCGTTTATTGAGAGGAAACATGTTCTTGTTTCTATGATCACAGTAAAGGGTAGATACCATTTCATAGATACCTTCAACATTACTACAACTGGATTGGTATAGGGACTATAGGAGGAGGACGTGGAGGAGAAAGACGAGGAAGAAGAAAGCGGTGCTGAGGTGACGAATCGATTGGATTCCCTTTCTCTCGTTCCTGCAGATGTGATTCTTTAGTGCGAGATGTGGTTGCATGGCGTGGGATCTCATTTCCTTTGCAGGCAAGCGAATTCCGAGCCGAGACCCACAAAATTATTCACTTAACTGTTGGTTGACAGGTTTATCCTACATGTACCTGGAAGTGTCGAGAAATGACAGTAATAAAAGGTTGGTCATCATGTGAGCAACAAAGACGTGGGCGTTGGTGTTGCCTTGTTTATGCGAACACACATCTCCTTCCTTCTTGCTTTCTGTCGATCAATTGATAGAGGGAAAGAAAAAAAGGAACGGGGAGAGGAAGCGAGGAGATGGAGAGAGAGAGGGTGCAGTTGGAGGTCCTTTCCCCTCACTGATGGGAGATAATAAAAATCTCAATTGCGGATCAAGACCAAGAAAAGAGAAAACCACGGGAGAGAGAAAAGAGTGAAACCTGGCCAAGAGGGATCGGAAGTCATGTCGATATCAGTGATTAAAGATGTGGTATAGAAGGTGTTGTGGTTGGGTGACTGATTGACTGAGTCAAAACGAAGGCCGGAAAGAATAGCAACAAAATGAACAAACAATACGTACAAACGGCAAAGTACCTCTGTGTGCATTTTGTACGAATCTTTTCTTGTCTTTTAGAGATCGGATGGTGTCTCTTCTGTATCTGTCTGTCTGTCTGTCTGTCGGAGACTGCATCTGCCGGGCACTGTAAACACACTCCTTCTGTTCACTCCGCTTGACCCCTTTTCTTATTTCTATCGACTCACTTTTTCCTTTTTCCTTTTCTTCTCCCTCCCTCCCTTTTAGTTCATCCATCCCACCCCACCTACCCCTTCCCTCTTCACACCACCCATCCCCTCACTCTCTTTCTCTCTCTCTCGCGCGCTCTGATCTCATTCACTCGTGCCTGACTGATTTCCATCCATCCTTTAATCTAAACAATAACAGAACAATAAAAAAAAACACTTGCTCATTACCTCCTCCACTCACACCCAACAACAACTTCAAACCAACAACAAGCATCAACAATGGAACTCGCCGCCAAAGCCTGCCCTTTCCTCCGCAACTCAACCCCATCGGCTCTTCGCTCGCTCTCCCAGAAGCCAAAGACCGCCATGGCGTCCAACGGACTTGTCCATATGGCCCAGCAGTGCCCCGTCATGGGCAAGGCCATGACCATCCAGGCCAGATCCGCCATGATGACCGGCTGCCCCGTCTCATCCGGAGCCCGCCATTTTAGCGCCTCTGCTGCCAAGGCCAAGCCTGCCAAGAGCCAAGTCCTCGGGTATGCCTCTACCGCTACCTCCAACGACCTCAAGGCCTCTGTCCAGCACGAGCTCCACAAGGCCAACCCTGCTCCTGGCGCTGGTACGTTTTCTGTTTACATTTTGTTTGTTTATTTATTTTTCCTTCCCTCCTTTCGTGTTCTCCGCCTGATAGGAGACGCCATCACACACCACGACCTCTCTCATCACCGAGCCTTTTCCTTTTGAATATCCGAAATTAATCCACCGCCAGCCAGCTAACTCACTCCTTATTACTTTACCCTTTTCTCGCTTTCATTGACACCCACTCCATATCGACAGCTTGCCCCTTCAAGCCAGTCATCCCTGCCTCCCATGCTGTTCCCACCGCTGGAAAGCCCTTCGACTACGAGCAGGTCTACGAGGCCGAGTTGCACAAGAAACACCAGGACAAGTCCTACCGCTTCTTCAACAACATCAACCGCCTCGCTCAGCAATTCCCTCGCGCCCACACCGCAAAGGCCGAGGACGAGGTCACCGTCTGGTGCTCAAACGACTACCTCGGCATGTCCAAGAACCCCGTCGTCATCGAAACCATGAAGGAAACCCTTAGCAAGTACGGCGCCGGTGCCGGAGGTACCCGTAACATCGCTGGTAACGGTGCCATGCATCTCGCCCTCGAGGACGAACTCGCTGCCCTTCACCACAAGCCCGCCGCCCTTGTCTTCTCCTCCTGCTATGTTGCCAACGATGCCACCCTCAGCACCCTTGCCCAAAAGTTGCCCAACTGTGTCATCCTCTCCGACGCCATGAACCACGCCTCCATGATCCAGGGCATCAAGCACTCTGGCGCCAAAAAGATGATCTTCCGCCACAACGACACCGCTCATCTCGAGGAGCTCCTCAAGACCCTCGATCCCTCCATCCCTAAAATCATTGCTTTTGAGACCGTCTACTCCATGTCCGGCACCATCGGTAAAGTCAACGACATTTGCCGCCTTGCCAAAAAGTATGGCGCCATCACCTTCCTCGACGAGGTCCATGCCGTCGGCATGTACGGTCCTCACGGTGCCGGTGTCGCCGAGCACCTGGACTTTGCCGGCAACTTGAACCGACCTCAAAACAGCCCTGTCCAGACTGTCATGGATCAGGTCGATATCATCTCCGGAACCCTTGGAAAGGCCTTTGGTGTTGTTGGTGGCTACATTGCTGGTTCGGCCGCCATGGTCGACATGATTCGTTCCTACGCCCCGGGATTCATCTTTACCACCTCCTTGCCCCCAGCCATCGTCGCCGGTGCGACTGCGTCGATCCAGTACCTCCGCAACTCGCCCCACGAGCGCATTGCTCAACAAACCAATACCCGCACTCTCAAGGCTGAGCTCGCTGCCCTCGATATCCCCGTCGTCCCCAACCCTTCCCACATTGTTCCCGTTTTGGTAGGTGATGCCGAGGTCTGCAAGGCCGCCTCGGATGAGCTCCTCCGCTCCCATGGTATCTATGTCCAGAGTATCAACTACCCCACCGTTCCCCGTGGTGAGGAGCGTCTTCGTATCACCCCCACCCCTGGCCACACCGATGAGATGATGGGACACCTGATCCGTTCTCTCGAGAGCGTCTGGCAGCGCAACGGACTGAAGCGCACTTCTCAGTGGAAGGCCACCGGCGGTCGCGCCGGTGTCGTCGAGGGCGCTGTCGATCCCGCTCCCATCTGGACCGAGGCCCAGTTGGGTCTTTCGGCATCTGTCCTTGGCCATCACAAGGTCGCCACCGACGCAGCTCCTCAGAACACTCAGACCAGTCAGGCTGCTGCCCAGCTTTAAGGCATCTTATGGGTTGCTTAACTAGGAAACGATTTTTTCATCGACCCTGATGTTTTATTTTTGTTATTTGTTCCCGAACCCGAAGACGCCATGTAGCAAAATAAAAAAAGATAGATATTCCTTTACAACTCTCTTGAGCTATTCGTGTCTGGCTGACACATTCCTTCTCATCTGTTGAGGAATAACAAGCATTTAAGCTTGCTTGGGACAGAGACCTCGGTAAGCTCCCTTGAGAGTATGCTCGATTTCGTCCCATGTGGCACTAAGGAAAAGTATGAATAGGTTAGTTAGAAGCTAAATTTTCGTGATGAGATTGCACAGCTAGATAAAAGTTACCTTCGAACAGACACACAAAGAAGCTTGAAGTGCTTCTCGGACGACTGTGCCCCGTCTTCAAGACAGGGCAAGGGTACGCCTACCAATTTCAAGATTTCCCCGAGCTCGAATGTTTCCTGATCCAAAGAACTGTCCAACGCGTAAAGGCGACAATGAAGAGTAGGAGTTTTGCATACCGCTGGCAAAGGAGTTGCAGGTGTTCTCGATCCGAAATAGCGAGGTTTGTTCACCCCATGCATCGGAGAAACATCCTGCGAAATGGGATCGCGAGCGACGAACTGCCAGCAATGGTCAACGTATTTCAACGGAGCAGCAAGTGTGCCTGTCATTGTGGGAAAGCAGAGTCGTCGGCGTCAATGACCTGTCGCGTCTCATTCACAATATTCGTGTAAAATTATTTAGTTTCTTACCTATGATCTCCACCAACGCGTGGTCAGAGGATCTCTTTCCAGTCAACTCGGTTGTACTGGCAAGTTGAGCAATATTTCTCGCAAAGAGGATGGACTGCATACGAATAGAACCAGAGAACACCTTGGAAGGGTCCTTGCAAAAAGTTACACCGATTTTCTTTCCTGACCTAACTGAATTGCTGCAGGTCGCGTTCTTGAGTTTGGTGTTCAAAACCGGAACGGTTTGAGCCCCACCAAAGTCTATTATGTTGAAAAAGAATGGGCTTAGAATTTAGAATTCTTCGACAACATCCACAGCGTCCATTCGCTTATTAGGGTGCCGCTTTTACCTTGATAGAAATCATCGTCATGGAGTTTGCGCTCCTCATATGACCACAGTGAGTCCTCATCCGAGTTGGAAAATGGTGCAGGGGATGCTGGTACTGCATGGTAAAGCGGCGCGTCACTTTGCATCGCAGTAGCATCCGTCATATCTTGGTTGGAGGAAGGAATATAACCGCTCTACAGAATTGGTGGCGTTTGTTAATTAGATGAGAGAAGCGACCATCATTCTACCACCAAACGAAGCTAAATGTGAATGCAATACCATTTCCGACTGGAGGCGCTGTTCAACATCAGTTTTTTCGTTTATCGGTTCGAAGTAACCGTCGATGGCCGTCTGCCGGTCTCTTGTAGGGGCCAGCTTGGAAAACGAGTTGAAGCCACCTGAAACTCTGTCCGACTGCATGTTCGATCGTTCTTCTACCACCAGTCGACCGGAGAGTGCAAAGAATTTGGATTAACAATACTTAAGACCACCATGGTGTATTGGTAAAGATAGGAAAGAGTTCATTGTTGACATGCATACCTTGATGGAAGTTGAGGCGGACAAAGAAAGGAGGGAAGGTGTAAAGAAAAGGTGGAAGCAAGAAAGTACCTCGAAACCGTGCAAGTGCAAGCAGTCACATGATAAGCTCGAAGCACAGCGAGAGTGAAGTCAGTTTATGAACAAGGAGAGTGTATATGCAAGTGAAAGATATATTCTAACAGAAGATGGTCGCCTCTTATAGCGAGATGAAGACTCGCAGTACCCTACGTTGAATTAGGCTGCTGTCAATGCAGAAGGAAGGCTACACATTGACAACGGGGGCAACGACAATGACCACTGTCGCCTATGAGGGACGCCACTGCTTCTCCCTCCATCGTCACCTCCTTCTCTCTCTCCTCCTCCCCTTCTTCTGTTGTTGCTGCTGTTGCTGTTGCTACTGACATGCTCGCGAAGAAGCCTACCACCACCGCCGCCACTATTGCTATTAATATTACTGGCATTTTGGTTTCCATTGTTGTTGTTGTTGTTGTTGTTGTTGTGTCTGTTGCTTACGTGGTTCATGCTCCCACTAATACCTGCTCCCTTAACCATCCTCCTGCTCCTGCTATTATCATTGTTGTTATTGGTATTGTTAGAGAGAGTGGTTGTTGAGGTGGTTGTGCTGCGGAGGTGTCCTTGGAACAGGTTGAGGTTGGGGAGTTTGAGCGCCCCCATGACAGTCGCCTTGAACGACTTTCTCACTGTTGTTGTTGGTATCAGCTGGCTGTTGTTGTTGTTGCTGTTGTTGATCGTAGACTCGCCGTTTCCAATTACTTTCTTCCCTTTACCCTCTCTGCCATCAACATCCGCATCGTCGTTGTCCCCCTCCTCGCTTGTGGTATCGCTGCTGCTGTTGAGGTTCCTCCAGTCCGTGGACTCTGTTCCTTCACATTCACTATCACCCACAGGTCTCAAACCCATTCCAGCTCCAGATCCGGCAGTAATGATGGTCGTCGTCCCAGTCATGGCGATCATCGCATTTGATGCAGATGACAAAGACGCAGTACCAGTGAGAGCAGTCGAGGGAACCGATGACGATGACGACGTTGGTACTACTGCTGTGGGCGTCGTAGGGGAAGAAGAGTGTCCAGACAATGACGGAGGGTTGGTGGTTAGGGGCAGTGAGACCATGCTCTTGGATCGTTGCTGACTCTGCCACTTGTTCTTGAGCGAAAGTCCAGCGATTCCTGACTTTGCTGTTGTTGCTGTCGGCAAAGTAATTTCTCCGGTTCGAGCATTAGCAGAGGTGTTGCGTCGCTGCAGGGGAAAAAACATGGAGGATGAAAAGGGTGGCGATGTCGACGACGCGTTCCCGTTAGTCCCAGTAGTTGTAGCAATTGTAGCTGTCGTTGCAGCTGCTGGCGTCTCAAGGACAGTAGTCGCATTACTCGAAACAGCCGCAGCCATGGTGGTGGACGAATGAGAAAAGAGCTGTTCCTTGATCTTGGTTCCAAACTGGTTCCACGCGTTCGGGAGGGAGGTATGTTTCATCCGACGACGACTCTGCTGACGGTGTCGGTCACGAAGACATTCCTGGCAAATCCGTTGGACGTATCCGAGGCCAAAGCATTCTTCGCAAGCCTTCCTGCCGTTGAAGCAGAAGATGCAGGGGAGCGATGAGGGGCCGTAGGGGGAGGGGGATGAGGGAATTGAATAAGTGGAAGAAGAAGGAAGAGGAGGAGTGAGTCGAGATTTGGGTGTGGTTGTTGTGATGGTTGTGGGGGATGATGGAGTGATCGACGACGATATTGAAAGTCTGAGATGAGGAAAAAAAGGAGGTGAAGCAGTAGAGGAGCGAGTGGTGGTAAAGAAAAGAGGGGCGGTCATATTGGCAGTAGGAGAAGAAGGGGCAGACCGGGTATAGGATGGATAAGGATAATCGGTAATCATAGAGAGGGAGATGTCCTTTGCAGGGATCGGCGAGACGGGCGAAGACGAGACGAGAGATTTCTGCGGGTGGCCTGACGGTAAGGGGAGCTGGTAGGAGATAGAGAAGGTCTTGATCTTCGTGGGTCTTGGACTGGGAGACAAGATCTGAGGAAGTTGGATAGCGGAGGGAAGAGGAGGAGATGGGGTCTGGGAAGGAGAAAGAGATGGAGGAGGAAGACCTCCTGCTGAAGAAGAAGATGCTGTTGGTAGAGGTACTGATGCCGAGATGACCGCCGAGGGAGGAATAGCAGTGTCCCCAGATGGGGCAGATCCGGATCCTGTACGCTGGAGCATCTTGGCTGTGGTAGTCGTAGCCAGAGGACCGCAGCCTGCGATGGGAGAAGCTGCCTCGATGGAAAGACTGCTACGTGGAGAATCCTTAATTGGCGTCGAGCAAGCTGACGAGGGCCTAGAAGAACTAGAAGCAGTTGACGAGGAAGACGACAGACGATGATGATAGTGCCCATAGTTGTTGTTGTCCTTGCTACTTCGTCGCTGCTTCTGTTGGAGCTGCTGGTTCGGCTGTTGTTGGTTCAGATGATGTTGTTGGAGTAGCTGGTGGTGGTGGTGGTGGCCGTGAAAGTGTTGGGCGACAAGAGAGCCGGCATGACATATATCGCAGGCGATAGAGCCCAGGTTACACTTCTGACACTTTTCTCTTACAAATCCTCGAGAACACCCAGCACCGCTGTTGGAAGCACAGGACTTTGTCGTCGACATTACACAGAACAAGTAGTAAAAGATACAATGTAGAAAAGTAAGATGTGAAAAGTGAAAGGAAAGAGGAGTGGTTTGTCAGTTACCAAGTGAATAAATGAATGAAAACAAAGAGAAAAGAAATGAAAAGAGGGGGATGACGATCACAAGGGACAGGTAAAAAGGAGAAAGAACGAAAAGAGATGAAAAAGCGAGAGAAAGAAAAGTGGGATAGGAAAAAGGGATAGGCTCCAGCTGACTGGTTTGAAAAGGTCGCTCAGTTTTTTTTTTTGGGGGAAAGGCGAGGGAAGGGGACAAACAAGTAAAGAAAGTAAAGCTCGTGTCGATGATGGGCTTTAGTTGTTGTGTTGCTTGGTTGTTTGGGCAAAGTGGAGAAGAAAGAGAGCGTGAAAAATGGTCAGTAGGAAAATAGCGAGGGAAGGATAGTAAACAGTATCAAAAGAGAGCGAAGAGCGGAGAGGAGGAAGGGGGAAGAGAAAGAGAGAGACAGGAGACACAGAGAGTAGATGGCAATGGACAATGCGATTAGAGAGAAAAGCTGAGCGGGAGTTCTTGATGGAATGGAGAGTGATGGTTGTGAAGGAGCTGAGAGAGTGATGAAGGATAGGGTGTCAATGGTTCGTGAACGTGTCGAATGCGTATGGATGTATGGTTGATGCCGATCGATTGAACGGGATAAAAAAAAGTAGTACATCCAAGGGAGTATGTTGAATAAGAATGACAGGGGTCTGTTTGTGCATGTGTACAAGCCAGACTGACAACGAAGGAAAGGAAAATAATAAGCAATGTTGCATCGACAGAGAACGGACAGTACCCCCTTTTTAAAACCAAAAATTGGACATGTGGACATGCTTCATTCACGAAGGCTATACTCAAAACTCAGTTCCGGATGAAAGTCAAGCCTCGTTCTTTCTATGACCCCGGTCAACGATTACCCACCACTGCCACGACGACGTACTTCTCAGCTACTCAGTAACAATCGTCATTGTTGTCATTCCTTCTCTTCTTCTCACGCACATTCATCGTATTCCCTTTCTTGGTCCAAAAAAGCTGGAGAATATCATAAAAAAGCACGCTCGCTTTCCACCGAGACCCTTCCCTTATTGCCATGTGCGCATGAAAATGGTTTGTTGGGCTTCAACTTTAAAAGTATCTCTCGTCGTCAACCTCTCCTTCTCTTCCGCACTCGCCGGAATAAAAAAGATGCGAACTCATTCCGACCATGCCAAAAAAAATCAACAGCAGGAAGGATTTGTTGAGTAACTAGGCCAAAGAAGAGAACAGAAATGAAGCAATCGCTTGTGGAAGTAGAAAAGCAATGGAAGAGAAGAGAAGGGAAGAGAAGAGAAAGAGGTCTCTTGCCCCTTTGTCGTGAGGTTGGTAATGGTCCAAGAAAGCGCTTTAGTATGACAAGAAAAGCAGCTTCACTATTCTTTGTTTTCACGCGCGTTGAGAAGAGTGAAAGAGAACCGCTAGTGGGGAGGAAACAGATCAAGAGTGAGGGAAAAGGAAGCAGGTAAGAGGATGAAGCATTGGGTAAAGACAGTGCGAGACAGGGAGGACGTAGGGGCCTCATAACCTCAGAGAAAGCTCCTTGTTTTAGTTTTTTGTGTGTCATCCAAGAACATGAGTAAAAATACCGATGTGGCAGTTGTGAGAGGGTTTGCCAAAGGTGTATCTTTAGGACAACGACTGAATATGGCTCTCTATATCATAAAGCTGAAAGGATGGAAGACAAGGATGGAATGGATGAAAAGAAGGGGCTGGCCGTTGAGAAATGACATCCGGACAGTCCCAAGGGGAAAAGGGATCCGGATTGGGTCTAAACTCATTGTCCGCACGGAGTTGCATTTCTCAGCTGAACTCGGGAGCAACAAGGCTGGAAATGAAGGGGAATTGCGAAGGATGAACAAATGAATATTTTTATTACAGGGGTTTGCGGGGGGTCCGCCATCATCCTTCACAAGATGCACGGGGTCGAACAGAGAAGTTAGCCTTGTGCATATTAGATGTCGGATGGTGGAATGATAAATATAAAATAGCTGAAGGACGACAGATAGAAGCACAGAAAAACGACTCTTGCCTTGCTTGCAAAGAAGCAGGCAGTGGAAGAGAAGAAAGACGAATGAAGTAAAATACATGGAGATGAGAAGAGATATAATATGGAGCGTGTTGGGTCAAAGGGTTGAAGGAATTTTGTTCAGCGGTGTGACCACAGGTGCAGGTCCTTTGCTCTTCAATGGAAGAAGAAGGTAATAAGGGTCGCCGGTGTTCTTGCTTTAGTAACTAGGAGCGCTTGAGGAACCGGCGCTTGTTTGCTGGTGGTACTGCTCTACGTAGCTCTCGACGGTGACAGAGACGTGCGAGTCAAGAGGAGCGACCTGCTTCTCGGACTGCGTCATGAAGCTCTGGGGCTGCTGCCGACGATCGCCCGAGGACCTCTCAATGAGGTTGTTGACCGATCGTCCACCACCGCGAGAGGTCACCCAATGGACGGTGATTGCGTTGAGTGTGACATCGACAGTACAAGAGGCCAGACAGATGAGACCGCGTTCATAACCCTTGAAGAGCACCAGGGTGAAGACGTTTCCGGTACTGAGGACAAGAGCCATGAGAGATCCCATCAGTGTGCGACGGGCCACATCGCGGAGCTTGCCCTTGGAAGGGCCTTGGAGGAGCGAAGTCGACGACATCAATGGGCGAATAAAGAGAAGAGTCAGCCAACTCGAGATGAAGATATCGTAGATGATCAGAGTCACTGAGGCAGGTGGCAAGAGACCGATTTTGCACTCGCCGTTGTCTGACACCTCAGAGACGCGGTAGACAATCATCAGGCCAAATATTCCCATGTAAGGCACAAGCAGCGCCAAGTTTACCCTATACAGCTGAGTTTTTGTATTGAAAGATACGAGAGTTAGAATTGTCTTGTCTCATTGGCTGGTGATTGACGAGATATGTACGCGACCGCGACTTAGACGCGTCGCAAAGTTGTGTCATCTGTCTCGCGGAACTCTATCACTTACCATAAAGTTGGCGCGGGTGGTTCCGACGGCCGTGACGACATAGACCTTCTCCATGAGGAAGAGGTAAATGATAATCTTGGAGATGGCATAGAGGGTAATACACATGTAGACGGACATGGTGCACGAGATTGCGTTAAAGTTGTTGGTCTGGACCAACATGGCGGCGATCAATGAGAATGTCCACGAGATGATGTACAACCACACGACTAGGCCACGCGCATAGTTGATCGTACTGAGCTTAGTTCCAGCCGTCTTGCGTCCAAAGAGGACCGACATGGCTGAAATTGATGCCAGCGAGATGAACAGCGAGATCGACTCTGCATGACATCGCGATGGGCGTTTTGGTTTAGGGGGGGGGGGGAAGAGTCGAAAGAGAGACATGGAGGGAGATAGAAACAAGGTATCAGAGAGAATGAAGGTTAGCAAAAACGGTCCTTGGAGTGCATGCAATTATGTTATTATGTTATCATTGTGCGACCTCGGAGGACTATATCGAAGGGTGTAGAAGGAGATTGTGTGCGAGTCCAAGAAACCAAGATTGACACACCGGAAGGGAAGTCGGACTGGGGGTAAAGTGGAGGCGAGGGAGGGGAAGTCGATTCAAGTGGGGGAAGGGGAAGTATCGATGGATGTATGATGAGGAGGGGCTTCGGTTGTTCATGCAGACATGGTGTAAGGTTTGCCCCTGAATGCACCAAGACAACAAAAAAGACAGACACAAAAAAAAAGAGCGTGCCCACGTAACTTCTCTGTGTTGTAAATTGCATGATGGGTACCCTTCAAACAAGACGCAAAGTGAAATCATGCAAGATGTAGGAAGAAAGGAGGGGTGATTGTTTTGTTGTTGTTGTTGCCTTTGTTGTTGTGCGAAAGTTGACAACAGGCAGACAGATCATCACTAGCATTGTTGTTTTCCTTCTTGTGAAGTTCATTTGATTGGCGCGCATTTTCTTTTGTTATTTTATCTCTGAGGGTGTTGGCGGGAAAGGGTAGGGAGGAGTAGGGGATGGGTATGGTGGAGAAGAGGAGGGAGAATGCAACAGTGCACGGTGAAGGGACCAGATGTGGAGGTTGGAGTGGGAGAGAAAGAATGAGTGTAGTGGATGTGTTACCTTCTGGGTCTGGAGTGTACATGGCGGATGTGTTGCTGCCCTGGCTGTTATTTGTTGTTGCTCTTCAGATGAGTAATTTGCAAAGGATAGAGTGGATTGAGAGAAGGATGAGGAGGAAGGAAGGAAGGATTATGTTGAGCAGGTGAACGGGAGAGAAAGAGGATCGGCGAATGGAAGTGAAGGACAAAGGGAGGGAAAAGGGTCTGTCTCCGAGTCGGAGAAGTCGAGGAAGGTCGAGAACGAGGAAAGGAAGATAAATGGGAGTAAGGGGATGAAGTGGGTGCACCTTGGAATCTATTTCAGAGAAGGATGAGGAGCAAGAGAGAGGACAGAAGAACATTCATATCTCGTTTTTAGTTACTTGTTGCTTGGTGTGTTTGGCGGTGGTGGTGGTGTTTTTATTTCTGAGATGTTCTTTTTTTTTATGAGAAAGGGTGTACAAGAGCACGGAAGGAAGTATCGCAGAAAGGTGAGTGGTATTTGTCGCTTACAAGGTGAGATGAGATCGTGAAATCGAATAAATGAATGTAGAAGAGAGGGAGGTGTGGTTGCTTGAGGGGACGTGGGAGTGGATTCTATTATTTTGTTTGCGTGTGTGCGGGAAGAAAAGAAGCGGAAGGAAAGGCGAGTTGGAAGGAAAGGTGTGGTGTTTTTGTCTGTTCAAGTCGCGGTCGGCATGAAGGGAGAATGTAGCATGGACAGATACAACAAATGGGGTATAATATATGGGCAAAGAAGAATGAAAAAGAACGAAGAGTGTGAATCAAGAGCAAAGAGGACAGTCACTGCAAAAAGGAAAGAAAGAGAACGAGGTCGGGGTACTTGGATCGAGTAGCCTTTTATATAAGATCCGTGGTCTATCTCCAAGGAGGAGGCAAGTCAATTGAACAAATTGAATACAAAAGAAACAAAGAGCGATCGAGCGAGGGCCATGGCCCATGGCCATGGGTCCTGAGGGACACCACCACCAGCACAACAACAACAACAACAAAGGACCAAATTGAAGTGGAGACAGACGGTCCAACGAACAAAAAAAACGAAGGGATGAGCGAAAGGGGGCACAGAGAGAGAACTGAATGAACAAATTTCAATTGTTTGAAGAGAAAAGAAGACGCTACTGCGATTAGATGCGTGTTTTTTTTTGTTGTTGTTAAGGAGGCATGAAAGGTAACAGAAGAACAGAAAGAAAAAACAACCCCTAATGGAGGAAGGGGCGTACACATACATGTACATAAATTCACCCACAGGAAACAGGAAGAAGAGGAGGAAAGACCATTCAACGCTTGAATGGATGTAAAACATACGCGTTTATGTTCTCAATGTAGTAGGGCGAGGAGAATGAATGCAATGGCGCATGGAGAGAGCCAAATGGGAGGATAATACACGAAAGGAATGCGAGATAGAGAGCAACATTAGTGGAAGGCGATTGAATGGATGCAACGACTACAACAACAAATATTCATTCATTCAAACAATCACCCAAACTCATTTCAGATGGACTAGAACCATTCAGTCCAACCTCACACATGTACTATTCACGACGTAGCAAGACTTGTTGCAAAATGCAGTGCTGTGGGTATCTCCATTCACCCATTCATTAGTCAATCTCTCCATCCTTGTCAAACTCAAATAAGCGCCTCGACTGGTCAAAAAGCCTGGCCGCTAACTCCACCCGTCTCTGTCTTGTCCATACATATCCATGCTTCCCTTTTGTTACACCTGCCTTTTCGTTGTTTTCAATGGTGTTGCATACGTCCTCATTGATTGGCCATACGCAGGCCACAGTCCATTTCTTGATATCTTTACTTTACCAAAGACCAGCCTACTCTCTCTCTCCTCTCTCTCTTTCTCATTCTCTTTCTCTCGCCTCGCTTAGCCAGTTTTGTTTTTGGTCACGTCTTGCACCCAATATTTATCACTCAATTGCCCATTGTTCCGTTCAAGAATGCAAGAGGGAGTGAAGGGGGAAAGTGGAAGTGAGGATGCACATCTAAATTATCTTGGACTCCATTTCTACCTCCAGGCCAAATCGACCCACTCTTAGTATCTTTTACTATCGCTTGATTTTCTTTAACAACAGAAGCGGATAATTTTCATCGGCAGGTACACATAGGTGTTGAGTGAGAGGATGAAAGCCACGAATATGTTCTAGACGTCTCCCGATTACAAAGAGCTTTTTCAACGGCTTGATTGAAAACGAGTAAGACATGCAACGACCATTGAAATGAATAAAGTAATGGAGCAAGGGTTAATGTGAGGTTACGTTAGTGTGTGGGGGAGGGGGCCACAAGAATGTATTATATTGAAAAATTGGCTCTTCTTTCCTTTTTTCAGTCAGTCGTTCACTCCCCTAGTTTTTTGCCACGAGGAAGAAGAAACTGATATGCGATCAATGCAAAGAAGCAGGGCATGGACGAATTGAATTTCACGGAGATAGATTTGATTGAGGATGAAATAAAAAATAGTCAATCAGGCCAGTTGAGCATTGTTTGATTTTTTGCTTGGTGAATGTTGTGTCGCGAATGTGTGTGTGCTGATGACTGATGGAGGGGTGAGAAGAAGAAAAAAAAAAAGACATACAGCAAAGAGGTACGATGGCCAACGGTGCGGTGTTCATGCTTCAGGGGTTGCAAAAGTATGTTTATTGGGGCGATGGATGAAGAGGGATGAGGGATAGGATTAATTGGTTCTAGTTATTGCAAGGGGAGATGAAAACAGGGGGGAGGGGAGGGGGGAGATGATGATGGATAGGGAGGGAAGGAAGCAGGAGCGGTCAGGCAGGGGTGAAGAAAGTTGAAGCGTACGCAGCAGCATCAGCGAAGAAGTGTAACAACAAGTCTGACCTAAGAGGGACACATCAGCTGAGACAACACGTTTTGCTTATGGTACCCCATTTTTTATGAACCGATAGTTAGTGTTCCACCATCAAGTCTTGAAAGTGCGGCGTGAACGAATGCAACTTGTTGTTTGTGCCACCGTTATGCAAAATAATCAATAACGACTACAACAACAAAGACAACACATGCCCAACAACGCAAAGTCATCATAGTGCGCCCAAGAATACATCAACGTATTTGTTGACTAAACAAAGCATCGATGCCATATTACTACACACTGAGATTGGGATATATAAAGCCCTCCGTTCAACCATGTAAAGGAGCATAGGGTGGATGTACGGTGTCCTGCCCAATCTTGTGCCACACCCGCACACGTATCCATACACTTGCGCTGGCCACCAGCAAAATGACCCAATTGTTTGCTGCCTTTATTTTCTCAGATTCAGCAGGTTCCGCATATCAACGCCTCTTTCTCTTCGCTCACTTTCTTTCTCTCCAGTGCCAATCCATTCTCTGTGTTCCCACTTTCTCTTTTGGGCCCAGCGTAAAGCGAAGCGAGGAGAGGGAACGGGAGGATCTACCTCTGATGTACACTTAGCAATGCAGGGTTTCCTTTGCACTCTGGCATACCTGGTTTTCTATTTCCTCCCTAGCGAAATTTTTAACATTCTTGGGGTCGCTGTTGTATCACTGCAGAAGTGCCAGTAAGAGGATGAAGGATTGACAGACAGAAGGACTGAGCAGCCGAGAGAAGGGAAGGGGATTGTTTGACCGACTGGATGAAGGAGCAAGAGAAAAGGGAGAGAGATGAGAGACGGCGTGCTGCATGAATGATATCCTAGCCATCGACGCAAGTGTGTACAAGGAAAAAAGTACACGCCTGTTGTTGTCAACTCTTGAGCAATGCAATTTCCATCGTGCATACCACATGGGATGGTTGCAGGATTGTTACATTGTGGACAGACTAGACCCCAAGCTGCACAGCACACTTTTAGCTTTATTTTTATTTTCCTGTCTCCGTTGAAGGAAAATTGGCTAATTATTTGCATGAACTAGCCCAACAAACGCCACCCTTCCTCTCCCTTCCCTTCCCCCTTCCTTGGCTTCCTTCTCCTTGTTTCCTCTTTCTGGCACCACTATTCAGTTCGTCTCTATCCGTTAATTGGCCAGCTCTCACTCTCTCTCTCTCTCTCTGCTTTCTGTGCGAAAATGTGTAGCGGCGAGTAGACAAACCGTTGAGTATTTATCCCATTGATATCATTTTCTACTTTGCAGGCATGGTAATAAGTATACAGGAATAATACAAGAGAGCAAAAGGAGAAATAAAAGATACCAGGAAGAAGATTTCTGTAACAAGAGAGAGAGAGAGAGAGAGAGAGAGAGAGGACTACATAAAATTGGCGGAGTATGGTTCAAAGGCAACACACGTCATGATAGTCAAAAACCACCACTCTTTGACACAGCAAAGAGCGCGTCTTTTATCCCGGTCCCTTTCACCTCCGTTTCTACACAGCAGTTGGCGACAACAAGGTTGTCTTACCGTCATCATAATTTCCCCACCGACTCCAAAAAGAATAGACGCCCTGAACAAGATCCACTTGTCGATCCTCCGTATTTTTACTTTTTCGCGCATGCATATTAACTTTCGGCTGCCCTTCCCCCTCCCCCCCCCCCCCCCTCTCTCCCTCTTACTCTTCTCCCTGTCATGCCCCCTCTCCCGATGCTGTTTTATTTGCCACTTTTTTCACGGAGGTTTTGTTTCCCATTTGAGATTCCAAGTTGAGAAGACAAGGAGAGAAACCGGGCCGGGCGGATTGTAGGAGAACGGAATCTGGTGTTCAGCGCTCGAGCCAAGAGGCAGGGACCATGCATGATCCCGGTTCCCTTTTTTGTTTTCGTGCTTATTGTAACCATCATTGAATTTGTATCGATGCTTCAACAGACGCAAAGGGTTTACTGACTCTGCAGACAAAGCTACCCATGATGTTTATTCTCATTCACTTATTGTGTGAGGCATATACACCAGTCTGTCTCCTCTCTCCCTCTTTGGCTCCACGTGGCACGGACCGATCTCCCTAATGTGGGTATGCATATTTTGATCAAAAAAGGCAGGCAGGTCAAGCTTTCTTTGCCCTATGCATCTTATTTTTAGCAATACCTCAAACTCCTTTCTTTTTCATCTTCCTCCCCTCCCCCCTGTCAAAAGCTATTCTGGGGTGGGTTACATGAAGAGTGGAACGAGAGAAAAGTGAGAGATGGACAGTATTTTGTTTTGGCTGTATGGTGAGTTGTGTAGAAACGGGGTGATGGGCGGTTGTTGACCTAGACAAGACAAACGCGTCGTCAGGAGCAAGAAATCATGGTCATAAATAATCCTTTATTTCTGAGGTTACTGTACGAAAAGTATTTATGCATGTAGTAGAGGTGGCATTAGCGCATTGCAGGCGAGAAAGGGAAGGAAGAAAAAAAAGGCAAATCTCAAGACCATGAACTTGGATATGATGGATAATGTTTTTAATAACAGATGAGATTTGAAAAATGCAAAGAAAAAAACTAATGAATAGGGAGATGGACTAGTGGTGGCGCGCTCGAACATGAAAAAATGACGAGGTGGAGAGAGAAAAGGGAAGGCGATGAATGATAGAAGGAGAGGGAGAGGCTAGGACAACGGGCGAAGAAGGTGGTAGTTTACGTACAGCGGGTAAAACGATGTCGACAAAGGAGCCACCATCGAGTGAGGGAATTGGAGGGCAAAAGGGAAGTAAGGGAAAGTGGGAAGAAGGTATGATAGATGGGCGGATATGGGCGTGTACAAAAGAAATGCGGAAGGAGGGGAAGGGACGAGGGAAATGGGATTGTCGTTATGTTAAAAGGGATGTGGTAGGGGTTCGTTTTTGTGTTTCTTTTCTAGCGCGTTGAGGCGTGTGTGTTGAATGTTTTAATCGTCTTCGGCCATCATCTCCTCTCGCGAATCCACGGAGACAGCAGCAACAGCATCACCGCATGTTTCCGTCGTCAGAGTGGTCGTCGTTGCAGTTGTTGTCATCATCGATTCCTCCTCTCCATCGGCCTCCATAACCACATCCATGCCTTCATCGCCCTCCACCGCCGCATTCTCATGTTCAACACTCTCGACCTGCACTTCCTCTGCCGATTCATCTTCAGTCTCACTGGTCGAGATGGCAGCCATAGGAGCGACCAAAGGCGTGATCTCTGCGCACCCTCCAGCAACAGCAGACGTAGGAGACGCCATAGAAGCCGAAGCGGCTGCCTCAGAGATCGCCTTGGGCTTGAGTGTCAGACCGAAATCCTCCGACCGGAACGAGGCTGTGACATTGGGAGGGATCAAGATCCTCCATGCTGCCGTCTCGACTCTTGTGAACAGCGAGTAGTCAATACCCAGCTCCTTCTGGTCCTCCAACGAGACATAAGACGAGGCTTTGGCGACATCCAAGGCGTCGATCATGGGAGAGTTGCAGCCGCTGGTGCTGGTGACGGTATCGCCGTCCATGACGACTCCGAGTCCAATTACGTCTTTCTTGGAGTAGTCCTGGCCATTGATCTGGCGGGCGGCGTTCGCAGCGGCAGCAACCACGGCTGCGGCTGCGGCCTCGGCGACAGAAGAAGAGGATGGGGTGGAGGTGATGACGTCCTCGTCTTGGGACAAGGAATCAGCACGACGCTTCTTGGAGGATCCAAACCCATCCTCGCCACTGTTACCGTCGATACCACCACGGTCGCTGCTAGAGGGAGACACCGATCTTCGGCGACGTTCCAGGACCGAGGACGAGTTCCGGATAAGGAGGTTGGGCTGCGAGATGGCATGACGAAGCGCACGGCGAGGATGTTCCGAGGAGGCTGAAAGAAACAGAGGGCGAGGGACATCATCGAATCCAGACAACGATGACGAGGAGGAGGAGCGATCAAAGGTCGACCGGGGCTGAGTGATCTCAATGACGACCTTGGAGCTTTGGCTCATCTTCATGTCAAGATCGTCATCAACTGAGGATACGCCAGGTGCTTGGCCGTCAACAGGAGAATCCTTAGAAGCGGTCACGGCGCTGGGGAAGCAAGTCAGCTTGATGGCGTTGCGGGGGAGGGCAGAGTTCAAGTCCTTGGCTGAGGGAGATGAAATTGGAGCGATCATACTCCCGACGGTGTAGAGGTTGGGGCTTGAACCCAAGCGACGGATCGATGGACCCATACCTGGCTTTCTGAATCCTTGGCGCATCCTAGCATAGAGGCCTATTTCAATATATTGTTACATGGTTGCGTTAGTATATGAAATTAAATAATAGTTGTAGCATAACAAAGACACCTGCAGGCGGCTGAACACTTACGACCATCGGCGTCTTCAGGGGATTGGTCGCCGCGGGAATCATCATGGGCGTAGGAGTCACGAATCTCCAAATCGTCACGAGAGGAGGGTTGGTGGTAGTACACCGACGAGGACGAAGCCTGTTGGCGGGGAGTCTGGTACGCATGGCGACTTCCATTCGCTCCAGCAGAGGCAGCGCCAGAGGTAGCAGAACCGGGCGCTTCAATTGAGGACATCGAGTGTGAAAACCGCATGGGCTCCGCCTGGGGTGTGCGAAGACCCTGAACGTTAGAGTTCATCAATGGCGAAGACGATGGTGGGTACCCAGGCTTGACAGCGTACGCAGCAGAGGAAGATATAGCATGGACAGGACCATCACGCTGCTGGGCGGACAGAGGGCTGTCAGACGAGCGAGGTGGGGAGCACTGCTTTGGCGAGATCTTGGACTTGAGTGGATGTCCTCCTCGCATAGTGCTGGCGTTCAATCGCTCGTACTGTCGGAGGTGCTGGTAGTTATACTCGTCAACCTCACTGGCGCGTCGGTCGTATCTGTGAGAAGAACCGACGGGAGGAGGAGGGAGCTGTCCATACGGGCGCTGGATGCTTGGGTGAGGCTGGCTCATTCTTCGCGGGTAGTACGATCCTTGACTATGGGTCTCTTCATACCGACCGCCGGGTCCAGCCAACGACGCTGGTGCTTGGCCAGACTCATAGCGAGGCGAAACCTGCGACGAAGGCGACAGAGCTGGGGACAAAGCTGTGTTGTTGGGGGCAACAGGGAGGTACTTGCTAGAAGGAGAACGCTGTAGAGCTGCAGGGTGAGAGAATCGGCGCTCCGCCATTTCAGAGCGCGAAAACTCCGATCCATGGCCATGGTGAGGCTGCGCTGGCTCAATGCGAACAACCTGGCGGGGTTGCTGTTGCTGTTGCTGGATATGACGCTGCTGGTCAAGGTACTGCTGGTGTCGCTGTTGACCAATATTGGGGTGCGAGTGCGAGTGGTGGAGCTTCGGGGCGCCTTGACGAGGACCTAGGTTGGACGAGTTTGAAGACGAAGCTGCGGTTGGATGAACATTCACAGGGGTAAAGGGACGATGGCCCTGCGCGGAATGAGGACGATATAGTCTTGGATCTTCGCCCTCCATTGGTGGAGTGTTGGGAACCTGGAGGTGTCCAGAGGGAGGTCCCATCATCGTCGACTCTTCGTAATCCATCATGGGCGACTCTTGACCGATCAGCGAGGGGCGACGTGGGTGAGTCGCCATGGCCGATGAGGGGCGTCGACTACCAGGACGACCACCACGTTCATCTCCCGCCTCCTCATACCCTCCTCCTTGCTGTGGACGACCATGCTCCTGGTACAGCTCACGCTCGTCTCCCTTGTGATCCTGGTGGTGGTTGTGGTGGCTGTGATGATCATCCTGGAAAGTGTGCGACTGCTGGAGGTCCGGGGTCATGTTCGCATCGGCGTACTTTTGAGAGGGTCGACGACCAGAGCCAGACTTGGTCATGTTGGGAGGGAGTGCCAGGGCAAGGACGTTCTCAGACGAGGTGGCAGATGAAGGAGTGCCGGATTCAGGCAGGCTATGACCATAAACGACGCCGGCAATCATATTGCGGATCTTGGACTCGCTGTAGGACTTGTTGCAGATGAGGCTCATCGAGACTGGGGGTCTGCACTTGAATCTCAGATTGCCGTCTATTGGTTGCATTGCACAGATGGGATGGGATATACAAGAAAAATTAGCATATGGTCAGTGCGTGTCACTGGTCGTCTGCCTCCCAGGCTCGCAGCCAAGTGCAAATTTGAGAACAAGGGATAAAAACATACCAGACATGCCGTCTCGCTGGATGGTGTTGCGAGAGAAGCATTTGGCACAAGGAATAAGGTTACGGTACTGCTTGAACAGGGCAATCGTCTCCTCCTGAAGCGCAGACCGAGGGAGAGTCGCCGTCATGGTCCTCAGCGAAGGTCGACGGGAAGAAGAGTTGGTCACGCTACTGTCCGGAGTCAAAGTCGCAGTCGAGGGCGTAGCAGTCATGTTGGGCGAAGCCATTGCCATTTGAGCGCCGCGAGGACCGTTTGTGTGAGAGTGAATGGCACCCGAAGAGGTGTCGACCATGAGAGGGGTCTTTTCCTGCTGCTGTGAATGATGGTGATGATGGTGGTGAGGTACGTGTCCATGGTCTCCATCCTCGTCTTCGTCCATGGTCTCTGCGTTGGGGAGCATGGGGCTGGTTGTAGGCCGTTCCGAGTCTCTTCCTGCCACACCATCATCCTCATCTCCATCCTCATTAGTCATGACTATGTCGGGTGCGTTCATCTGCTGTTGCTGGTGATGATGTTGATGTTGCTGTGGGTGAGGGGTTGTCAGTCCGTGCTCAGATTTGATTTTGACAAGCTGTTGGTGCTGGAAGGTCGGTGTCGAAGCCATGGTCGGTGTCTGAGAGCGACGCTGTTGCTGCTGTAGTTGTTGAGGAAAGGGTCGTGATGAAGAGGACGGCGAGGATGAGCTGGACGTGGACAACGGATGAACGCCGGCGATAGTTGACGATGATGACTCGGTCGAATAATCCCTGCCAGGAGATCCTCTGACCATTCCACTGGATTCGTTATAAGGACTGTTACTGCTGTTTGGGTTGTTGCTGTTGTTGTTACTGTTACTGTTGCTGTTGCTGTTGGCGTGGTCTATCATCGCGGAAGAAGGTTTTATCGATGGTGCATCGACGCTTGGGTGGTTGTTGTTTGCTGCGTTGGATATTGAGGAGGGCGACAGGGCAGACAACATGGTTTGTTAATGGTTACAAAAAGAAGGATAAATAAAAACAGACGAGAAAAGGAAAGGGAAAGGAGGGAAAAGAAGGATAGTGTGGTTTGGGTTCTTGATGTGAATGGATGTGAATGGTAATGCAGATGCAGAAAGGGGAGATGAAAAAGCGAGGAGGTGGATTGCTGTTGAATGTTCGTATGTATGTATGTGTGTAATTTTTTTGGTTGCTGTGAGTAGCTGGTAAGGGACAAATAACGAGGTGCGGCAGGGGAATGTTGAAAAGGAGTAAGAAGAAGAGGAGGGTGAAAAGAACCAAAAGGAAAGAAAGAGAAGAGATGCTAACGGGATGGTTATTTTGTATCTTTCCTAGGAAACGAGAAGTGAAGAGGGATGGATGAATGATTAAGGTAGACAAGGAAAGAGAGAGAGAGAGACGGATATGATGTGAAGGAAGAGAAAGGGTAAGAAAGTAAGAAGGAAAGAGAGAGAGAGAGAGCTGGTTAGGTTCGGAAGGACAACAAGAGAGCTGGATCGCCAGTGTAGTGTCACAATGGTCAAGAATTTGAGTTGGTGATAGGTTGGTTACTTTGCTGTTTGTTGGGTGTTGTAAGGACGAAAAGAAAAGAAGGGAACGTAAAGAAACGAACGAATAAATAAAAAAAGAAACAATGGGTGAGCGAACGCGTTGTTGATGTTGATGTTGGTATTGTCTCTTTACTCCTGTCGTTTTTTTTGGGGGGCCACTCTCTCTCACTCCATCATGTAAGATGTAGTTATTATTATTGTAATTGCAAGGAGGGTGGAGACAGAAGCAAACACACAGAAAAAAAGGGACATGCTTAATGAAACGAAAAGGGTGGCCAACCAAACTTAATTATTCAAAAGGCGAACTCTGAACAGACAGGCAGACAGGACAAACAACACAGAAACATAGGCATGTATCCAATCCTGGATGCGACGGATGAATGGGATGTGATATGGCCACTCTGTTTCTTTAAGGGACTCCCTTTTTTTTCGAACCATGATATCCAAAATATAAAAATAAGAGTTGCACCCCCTCTCCGCTTCAGCGCGCACACTATCATAATATACCTCTTTCCTCCCCCCCCTGGTATCCATCCGTTCTACCTCCCTCCTTCCCGACACCAAAGGCCATATACTTTTCTAGTCAATTTGGTGGATACGTCTATTCTGTTTCTGTGAACGGACCATGGGTACTTTTACCCAGAAAACATTAGAAAAACCAAAAACCAAAACCAAAAAAAAAAAAAAACCTTGGTTCGTAACATTCCTTTTCGAAAAGAGACAGAGAAAAGAAAGGCGGACGGGAAATGAGAGCAGTGCGCGGACTCAGCCAAGGGTCAAGGGGGCAAGGAGTGAAGGAAGGGAAAAAAGGAAAGGAGGAGGGGCACCAAAACCCAACTAGCTAGTCTAACCAACCAAGCTGGGATACATCATAGGCAGCACGAAAACGACTGAAAACTGCGAACTGCTCAGCTATTTTCTTGTGTTACTTTTCCCTTACATGCTGCTTCTCAATGCATCCATCACAAACAAATTTCAACACGCATAGAAGCCACGACCGGCAAACATAAAAAAAAAAGGAAGAAGAAAGCGAAGCACCGTCCTCTTATTGACTTTGTAGTTCGACATGACGAGTGATACGTGCATCCTGCCTTTTCGTGTTCAGCAACAGAGAAGGCAAGGCGGGAGAAAGAGGAAGAGTTGAGAGAATGGGAGTGACAGAGAAAGAGAGAGAGAGAGCAGCTGTGCATAACTTAGCCGGAACAAGGGACCAAAGAAAAATAAACCTGTGAATGAGCCCGCCTTACCTCGTTCCTTTCCTTTTATCACTTTTTCTTTTTTGCAACGAGGGGGAGGGTGAGATAGAAAAGGATAGTGGGAGCTAGAGAGATGCTAATAATAATAGGAAGAAGAGAAAGATCCAAGAGACCAAGTAAAGGAAAAAAAAAAAAAAAAGAAAGGGCCTTCATGTGAGCATACATGAGGTAGGAAGCATCCGTAGGTAGGAATATAGGAATAAAAAAACTGAGCCAATGGTGGTTCTATTTTTATCAATGAATAAATCGTTCGCCCATTTTTCTCTAGATGGGTTATGCCGCACATGGATAATTAAGGTACAAAGGTGCGGGTGCTTATGTACTGTTCGTTGAGTTGGGTATGGTTGTGATTTTCCACTGCGACCATGTCCACAATGGAAGCCAGTAGGCAGTTGAGAAGGGATGTGATGTCCACGCGAACAAAATAAAAATGTCCAGATGGAAAACGAAGGCTTCTGTCGATAGTACGTTTTAAATGTAGGCATGTATGTGGGGCGGGGGATCCGATTAGGTTACAGACCGGAGAGGGTAACCATGGCAATTAACACAAGAGTACAACAACACAGACACCACAAAAGAGACAGAAAAAAAAGTCCAGGAGTGAGCCCAGGTGAGGAAAGGGGAAAGAGAAGAGCTGATCAAGGAGGGATGTTGAGAACAAACACAGAATCAAAGGAAGAGAAAGAGATAGACCCAGACCAGAGAAGGAAGAACAGGGAGCAAGGAGCAAGGAGCAGGGAAGAAGGAGAGAGAGGAGGGACGTAGTGGTGATGGTGGTGGTGCGAAGGAGGATGGGGGAGAAGAAAGTTTAATGGGCACTGCGATTGTGGGATATGTTGCAAGGAGGTGGTGCTTTCTCGCGCTGCATTGTTCAAGTCATTCCAATTCACTTTTCTGGTATCGCAAAGTTGTCAAATGAAGATGGAGGGGGTTTGAATAGGTATCTTTGCTTTGGGACGGAGCAGAACCATCTGTCTCCGAAAGGGGTGGTGGTGATGGGAGAAGAAGGGGGGTTTGAACGAGGCGAAGAGAGATGATGGGTTGAGACGAGATATGTAAATGAAGTAGCTCGTTCTGCGAATGAAGGGATAGAAGGAAGGTGGATAGGTTGTTTGGCTGGGTAACCCTTTCGCTTTCCCACTTCTTGGTACATTGGAATGGAATGTCCTTGGCGAGAGGGTGGACAGATAGTTGGAGGGGAGTAGGGGAAATAGGATAGGGGAGAAGTAGAACGTACCGACTGTATGCATGGATGGCATGAAATAAGAAATGAAAAGGGAAAGGAATGTGGACAATGAGCAGGAGACAGAGAGTGTTAGTAATAGGCAGACTGTGAGGCGCGTTTGATGTTGACGCGTCGAGGCAGTGATGGTGGTGGTCAATGCATTTTTGATAAGATCAGTTCGCATGTTTGGTTCACACGCGTTTGATCGGGTTCGAATAAAATATATGCTGTGAAGAAGGGGTGAATTACTATATGACAAGGACAAAGGCAAAGGCAATACACTTACAAAGAAGAATCAAAATGAACGGTTTGTTTCGTTTACAGGCTGATCCAAGAGAGGGGCACAAAAAGGACACCCAGCGAGGAGGAAGTGCAAACAGAGGGAAGGGGTGGGCTGTGTGCTAGCTGGGTATTGAACAAAAAATGACTGTTGGATAAAGGAGAGGAGGAATCGACCATTGTCTTTATATCTTTACACCTCTCGCTGCTCTTCACATTCATTTTTTCTTCCTGATGGACCCATTTTGTCCGTGTGTTCTTCCGTTGGGCATCTTGGAAAAACAATTCTCTCAGCAGGGGGTACCAAGAAGGTGAAGACCAGTAAGGCGTGAGAGCGGACGATTGTAGATGAACACAATCGTACATTGCCTGCTGCAGCTTCTCCTCGTTTCTCTGTCGCGCATTCGCCACACATACACGTACAGTATCTCATTCGCGCCATTCTTCTTTCAAGGACCCGAGGCAAGGGCCTTTTTGAGAAGAGAAGGGGGAAGAAAGAGAGAGAGAGAGAGAGAGAGAGAGAGAGAGAGAGAGAGAGAGAGAGAGAGAGAGAGAGAGAGAGAGAGAGAGAGAGAGAGAGAGAGAGAGAGAGAGAAAGAGAGATACGTAAAGCGAGAAGGAGCCAGCTTCCTTCTAAACTATCTCCCTGCTGCGTCCAACCAGTCATCCACCCTATGCGCCCATGCCCCAAGTCTCACGCCAGCTTCTTGTGTTCACTCCCCTTGGATGATAAAAAAAGCTTGCCCCTTTTATTTTTCTCTCTGCAAATGAACCCTCAATGGTGATGCATGCCTATTTGTGTTTGTTGATGAGATCGAGGAGGCAACTAGGAAGGATGGAGGTTGTTTTTAAAGGAGGTGCCACTGGAAGTTGATACACCTTTGGTCTGCTTTCGCACAAACATAATCAAACAAAGGAACAATGAACAAAGTGTGAACGAAGCCCTTGTCCTTTTGACGATCTCAGCTCTCTTGAGCATTGTTTTCACATTCCACAAAAGAGTTTGGAGCGTTGGGCGTAGTCGTCGCGATGAACGTGAAGTCATGTAGTGGTCGTTGATTGCCACCGTGTTCTGAATGTATTGCTTGTCAGTGTGGTGCGAGTCGGCTATCCCTCTGACGCTTCGTGTTAGTTATACACCCACCCCTCGGTTATCTTTTAATCCTAATAATTCTCTTTAGCGCGCCGTCCTCTCTCATGCACGTCGTCGTCCACACAACCACCTCCTGTTAAACACGTCCATCTTGTACATGCACATTGTATTTTCCCCTTCAAACAGTTTTGTCTCAGTAAGAGAACAGCTCATTTTGATTGATGGTAACATTGCTCCTTTGTGAAGGAGTTCCATACTACCCCGCCACCATCACACATCCCCTCACCTTCTCGTCTTCTTCACTTCTCTTCCTTACCCAATCGTAAAAAAGAAGCAGCTCCTTGCTTATTTTTCTTTTTTGTAGCCTCCTTGACGACGATATCCTCACCACGGGTATGGGTAGACGTTTATACCCGGGCCGCATAGTTACGAGGCTTTCCCCCCAGATACTCCGCATTCTTGTAACCCCATCGCGATAAAGTTTTTTGCTGGTTGAGTTCTCCTCAAACAGTGCTCTGCTTAGCCTGTCATACTAGATAACTATACAGGTGTGCAAGTAAGTAAGAATAGAGAGGATACAAATAAAAGCAGGGTGTGTGTCGTGTTTCTAGTCTTTTGCGAAACAATAGAGACGGACATATCGTTTTCTCTCTTACTGCTGTTGGCACAAAGGATGTTGTGTAACAGTAAGGTGAAAGGAGGTCTTTACAGATGGGCATAATAATGAGGGAGAGACAAGAGCTGAGGACCTTGATGGCCAAGTTCTTGGCTTCCTGCAGGGCGATGCCCTCCTCCTTGTGGATTCCTGTCTCGAGATGTCTGGGCACTAGCTGTGATGGCCCCAACACGTTGCCTTCCGTCATGTATAATTAGCTGAGGGGTCCGAGTGGTACAGTTAGAATCCGTAGGGCTTATCATCCCATCCTCCGTAAATGAACGACACTCCAAAAGGACGAAGACCTGCAGAGAAGAAGGAGGAAGACAAGGAGGGGTGCCAATGTTGATGATTGGTGGTCAATTCTTCAAATCCTAATTACGAACGTTTCGCCTGAAGTACATACGCCGTCGAGAGCGAAGTTCCTACCTCCGTATTGGGTGTATCCTTGCTTTAGGCCACTGGATTTCTGCAGGAGCTGTTCCATGTCTTCGTAGTAGGTATAAAGGCATTATTGTGGAGAAATATGTACACAGTTGATCGAGATGTTGACGTCCGACTTGATACCGGCGACTCCGCAGATCACGGTACCAATTAGATACTGACTCTCCTCAATGCTTCCGGTACAGCCTTACACCGACAAATGATATCTCGTCTCATATTGTTTCTGCACATATGGAACTAGAAATAGATAAATAGCCAACCAAATTAATATACAACATTTGTCTAATTCATATGTCACTTCCTTCTTATAGATCGCCTCGGTCCGGAGAGACTTACCCGTTCATGATGGAGACCTTCGCGCCTTCCGAGGTCTTGTCGAGCAGCTTGGAGGTAACCTATTCTCGGCCGCAATGACCAGTCCGTAGTTGGCCAAGATCCCGAGTGCTCTGCCGGCATGCGAGACCGCCTCCAAAGCGATTATACTTGGTACACACAACCCAATCGATATGCTAGGCGTGTACAATCTGTATCGAAGGCTCTGTTTGCCGTCGTCTCCTTTTGACGCATCAAAAGTTCCTGAGGTATCTAATTAATAGGACTTTGAAACAGGAACAGGGTGAAAGTAAAGAAACTATCATAGCCATGCAACACAACATGCGCAAAAGTCGTGAAATTGTAGTGCTGCGTCCTCTGTTCGAGACATCATACTGCAAGGAGACAATAACAGGCGTCAAGCTAAAAAACGACCTCCATCAAAAAAGGGAAAACCCGTCCAAAAGTACCTCCCAGAGCGTGGTCTTCTCGCTTGCAGGAGGGTAATGGACAGAACAGATGTGAGGGTCGGCTTGCTCCAGTCTCCTTTGCAGGGTGCGTAGCGTGACCTCTTGCTATGGCATGCCTGGACAAAGGAGACTGCCACGACACGTTGTTGATAAAAAAAACCAACACAGACGTTCGCGCGAGCAGCAACAACAACGATCTCCATCGAAGAAAAAGACCCCGTTTAAGCACCTCTCGGAGCGTGGTCTTCTCGCTTGCAAGAGGGCAGTGGACGGGGCAGATGTGAGGGTCGGCTTGCTCCAGTCTCCTTTGCAGGGTGCGTAGCGTGACCTCTTGCTATGGCATGCCTGGACAAAGGAGACTGCCACGACACGTTGTTGATAAAAAAAACCAACACAGACGTTCGCGCGAGCAGCAACAACAACGATCTCCATCGAAGAAAAAGACCCCGTTTAAGCACCTCTCGGAGCGTGGTCTTCTCGCTTGCAAGAGGGCAGTGGACGGGGCAGATGTGAGGGTCGGCTTGCTCCAGTCTCCTTTGCAGGGTGCGTAGCGTGACCTCTTGCTATGGCATGCCTGGACAAAGGAGACTGCCACGACACGTTGTTGATAAAAAAAACCAACACAGACGTTCGCGCGAGCAGCAACAACAACGATCTCCATCGAGAAAAACTGAGGATGGGTAATGGAGATAAATACAAAGCTGGAATGGTCGAGTGGAGGTGTGGTGAGGGAGAGGGGTTTGGTGGAGAGGGTTTGGTGGAGAGAGTTTGGGGACAATGAGCGCGAGGAAACAGGACAATGTGCGCGAGAATTACGTCACCGAAGTTAGCAAATCGTCCGCTCTAGAGGCTAATGCTACTCCTTTTTCCGCTTGAGGGGCGTTCTTCCTTCTTTCCTCGTCACTTACTACCCTTTTTATCTCATATCTTCATCATTTTTATTTTCGTTTCTTTTTTCACAGACAGACACTGTGAAGGTTGCGACGGGCAATAGAGCTGTCCTTGTGGGTAGTGTCGATATTGAGTAGGGATATGATGCAGTTGGGGCTGGACCATCATTTGATTAACAGACGGATGCTGTGGCTGAAGGTGCTGAGGGTGCGGAAGGTGTTGGGGCTTGGAGGGAAATGGTTTATTTTATCAACTGATTGGCTCGGCATTTCCTCTTGAAATGAAATAAACCAATCACATTTCAAACGAACTTTTCAGTTGAATGTGACTGCATATTCTCTCTTGCTTCAACAGAGCGCGCCTTCTTCCTTGTCTCTTGTCTCTTGTCTCGCACCTCTTACAAAAAGCTCGCCACCACATTCCCTCCGCACACATTATCCACTGACAGCATCAGCCAAACAGCAACAACCAGCTTCTCGCATTCCTTATTGCATACCGTACGCTTCAACAGTAAGAAACGCCATGGCGGATTCGACACTGAGACGGAAGAGGCTGCTACAGTTTTTCGATTCCGTCGAGCCTCGCTATTGGCATGACATCAGGCGCTTCTACCAGCACCGCGACACAAGCCTGACGTGCGAACAAAACTTCCAAGCATTCCAGGCCGCGCTCCACAAAATCCAGTCATTCCCGCCAACTTCACCCGAAGACAAGCGCAAGTCTTTTGCAACAAGGGTGCTACATAATGTGACTCTGGAGAAGTTTCAACGCTCCTTCAACCTAATGGTGGATAACGAGATGTTGGAGAGCGCCAGAACGAACGTCAAGAGGACCTTATACAATGTCATCGATCAAGGAACCAAGAGCGCATCCGAGGAGTCCGCCAGCGGTAAGTGGACGTGCCAAATATTCGTCATTGCACTTATGAGCTTAAGACAGAGACTTATCACCTTTTTTTGATGACTCAAGCTTCTGCTGACAACCTAGTGACGGAGAGTACCTTGGTGGATAGTGCCAAGGAGGCCGCCAGCGGTAAGTAGAGGTGTCACAACTTCTTCATGCACTCATTAACTTAGGACAAAAACTTAATATTATTTCCTTTTAATTTCCGACTCTAACTATCGTAGTCGAGCACTTTAACAAAAAATTCAAGGTAATGGGGTCTTTGTGTTCGTTTTATGGTGCTTATGCTTTATTCTTTTAATTTATCTATTTGCATTTCTTTTCAAAATTCACAGATGGGTGCGTTCGAGAACGAACTTGGGTCTACTACAAGCCTTGAAGACTTCTTCCAACCCTCACGTAAGTGGCGCTAGCTATTTGACAATGCTGCCTCAAGTCAAAAATTTACAGAGATGACCATCGTATCAGGATCCTAACATTGGCATCTGATCTTTTAGGTTCCGCCTCGTCACAAACATCATGCGACTCCGTCGACTTCCAAGAAGTGATTGAGAAGCTGCTTACCCATCCCACAGAAAAGATGGGCGTGCTTCTGGGTAGGCATGAGTTTGAGTTCACCGCTACAGTCGAAGGTGTCGATGTTGGAATGCTGTTTCAGGACTATTATCGAAGGTGCTCCCTCGACTCATTCAAAGCGGCCACGCCACAGGACGCTCTGTAAGTAATTCTGTCTTGCTTGCCATTGGCGTGTGAGTCGCATAGAATCGTAATGCTCTAACCAACCGTTTCCATATATCGTACCTAATCGATTCTATGCCACAGTGCCCTCAATGGCACATTGGTGCTCTCCCCAAAGCCCACAGCTATCCAAGACCTTGTGTTCGGTGCCGCTTACGAAACCATCAGAGCGGAAGCTTTGTCGCTTGTCCCGAAGGCTGACGTGACCAAGGAACGTGCCTGCATCAGGCGATGGCGAGATGTAAGTTGCGTAGTTGTACTATCCTCAGAGATTGCCTGCTATATTTGATAACGATGTTAACACACTAACTGTCCACGGATGTAGGCGTACGAGGATTCCGACCAGGACAGAGAGAAAGTTCTGGATCTTCTGGAGGCGTCAAATCAGGAGAGCGCAAAGCAACTCCATCGCTACATGGTCCGGGCGTTTGCGGAACTAGGAACCCATCAAGATCCCCTATATTCTGAGGCCCACGGTATCGCGTCCTATCTCCTTCCATTGTTGCGAATATTTTTTCATCGCCCCGATCGTGCCCACGTCGACTAGTAAGTCATCGGAAGGGTGTGGCTAATATTTTATTCATCAGGCATCTTCTCAAGTCATTATATTAACACCTTTCTTTTGATTGTTGCTATAGCACCAACAACGCCTCGACGTCTAGCGTTTTCAAACGCAAATTGTTGGACATGGAAACGAAAACGTGTGGACAGCCCGACATCACAGTCAGGACCAAGGCAGGTTTGGAAACCTGCTACGCCGAAGTATCAGGAATAACATGCAGAGATGTTACGAAGCAAGCGGGAGATTTGGTGAGACTCGGAGTGTTCTCAAAGAATGCTTGGGACAGAATCGACAGTGAGCATGATTATCAAGGGGGGATCGTAGTGCTGCAGGTGATGGGACGTCGATTGACTGGGTACGTGTTGCGGAACTTGGGCAATTTTTATGCCATGGTCGAAGTGGGGACCGCCAAGGTTCCAGACTCTTTGGAGTCGTTGGTGGATTTGGAGGGAGCTGTCACCTTGTTGCGTCGGCTGGGTATGATTCATGATGAGTTGCTTTCACAGCTCCAGGAACGACCAAGGGTAGCAAAGATGTTCAAAAATCATTTCCCATCCATCGCCACCCCCTCAGCCAAAACTGCGCTATAGTGAATCGCCCCATCGTTGAGAACGAGCCCTCGATAAACCCGTCCGCTCATGGCAACTTGCAGGTATGATAATCTGACTGACACTTTGTGCTGTGACCCATGTGAAAGATGAAGGATTGCGAGGGTGTAGAGTGGACGCCATATGTTCATCATTCCTATTTAATTGTCGTTGTAATCCCATAGGCGCACCTACCTAGCCTTTGTACAAACACATCTATTTCTTTTTTTCTGGCATGATTTTTTTTCGCGGACCACATTTATTTTACTTCATTGGATCTCCGGGCTGTCAGGGAGACAAAGAAGAATGAACATTGTGAAGCAGATCGAAAAAGAAATAAAAATGCCGATTCTAGCAAAAATTTGAAGTGTTTTAGTATTGCCATTTTTTTTTCACTTCCAATGGATGGAAACTTGAAAGTATCTCTCCAAGTTAATGTTGCGATTACGGCGAGTTTTACTACAGGATGCTCCCAAATACTTGTGCCGAAACACGCCGGAACAGTCGACCGCTCCTGCAGGAGCATGAGCTTTTTTTTGCTATCCAGCATTCTTGGAGTTCAAGTCCAACATTGCGCAGGCTCTGATTCGCCGAACAGTCAATGTTCCAGAAGAACCTCCCGGGCAACGTGATGGACGCTTTCAGACCTGGTGCTCGAACACCCATGTTGCATTGGCTGAGACGGACAGGAAGATAGAGGGATAGAGGCATGGATGAACTATATACTTTGAGGAAATTCTTTCTTGACAATCTAATCGGACCAATGGCATGTTACAGAGCATATCCAACAAACTCTCCCCGGGGGGTCAATTGTCGCAAGCAGCGGGGTATCTGCCATGATCAAGTCTTTCAAGGACATCAACCGCTTGACTTTATACACCCGAATCCTATTGTGCCTGTAGGTCAAGTGCGTCCCTTCGTGCATGGGATTCCAACCCCCGGCTATACTTCGGTTGTTCCGTCACTTGGTCGTCTTCCCGTAGCCCAACACGTACAATAGCCTATACCGGACAAGCTTCGAATTATCCTGCCAACACCTGTACGGCAGTTGATTAAGGAACAAGCACAGCCACCGCCACCTACCCCAACCTTCCCGGTACGTGGTCGTCGCCCAGAAGGAGGAGGAGGAGAAGGAAGGAGGAGGAGGCCAGCCTCTGGGGTTGTACTGTCGCAACGACCTAACCCTGCAGGAACAACTGATGCTCCGTCGAATGCAAGAGGACAGATTGCCCGCTGCCGCTGCCATTGCCAAATCCAAGCCATGGTCCGTGCCAGTTCGCAAACTAGGTTCTGTGCTTGCTCTTTATAATGAGTACAAGCAGTACTTGATCCTGAAAACAATAGAAATAGACAAACTGCCTTTGCCGACGGCGAAATGTATGGATAACAGGAAGACTATCTGCGAATAAGTACTGTTCCTAGAAGCGAAGAAAATGGAGGAAGAGTTGTTGTCTGCGGAGGACGTCCTTGCTGCTGCTTCTCAAGAGATTGATGCTATGGTCTGGTCACTACGAGAACCTGGTGCGCCATTTAGTCATAACAAAGCCGTTGGATATTGCAGGTCCCAACGGATGAAGCGAATACAGGAGGAAGGGAAACGATAACGAACCAGGGCAGGACAAAGAGCAAGGACAAAGGGAATGACAAAGGTCAAAGAGTAACATATTCAGCGAGACAAGATATTCCCTTTTTTGCTATATTTTTGTGTCTTGTGTTAATGTGAGTTATTCGCTCGAAAATGTAGCAAGCATGGAGAAGGATAGTGGAGGAGATATAGGGGACATGTACACTAGAAAAGAAGACAGTGAGAAAGTCATTGACACTGTGATCATGATCATATCCATGCCATTTTCATGTTAATAAACGAATGACTTGATGACTGAGAATTGTGATAGTGAAGGGAGGAGGAAAAAACACATTGGCGTTCTACATGAATCATCGAAAGCCAAACTTGCTCATCCTGTACGACAACGACTCGTTCTCGTCCAACGAGCAACCACTCAGATCCGTCGGTAACAATCCCGTAAGATTTCGTCTTCTTTTGGCTCCTCCTCATCCCCATCAACCTCTTACACCTCGCGTTTGCGTCTCTCTTCACCTCCGTCACACCAAGAGTGTAACCTTTTGTAACATGTTGGATTATCGATTATGTGTGCTCCAACTCCATAACGTAGGAATCAACTTTTTATGTATCTGGCTTTGATCAAGTGTGCGCTAAAATTTCGTTGCTGCAGTTCAAGTCATGTGCAACACAAAGCAAAGAGAAAGAGGGGTGAGCTCAGTTTTCCAGCCCAACCAGGCAGGACCTTCTAGCCCCTTTCTCTTTTATCCCCCTCTTCTTTGTTCTTCTTTTCTCTCCTTCCTCCTTCCAACCCTCCCACTCACACTCTTCACTCATCACTATACAACACAACCACGGACACACATTCGGCATCCCCAAACCCAACACAATCAGGACAACAGAACAAGCATTAAACAAAAGCAAAGCAAGCATGGACATTCCAACACCCTTCAGCCAATTCTGTTTCTTCAAGAGTCTGTCATTCTCTCTCCACGAGTACGACTGGTACAACTTTGTCGAGCAGTGGCAGTCCATGGTCAACGTCAACGCCCCCCTGCCCGAGTTCACCTATAACCTCGTCCCTTTCTTCTCCAACGCACGACGTCTTGTCCCCGTATTTCATCGTTACATGGGCATCGTTCGTCACGTAAGTGTCTCCTTCTCAGCAACAAACAAAACAGCGTAGAGAAGAGAATGCGCATTATGCACCTTTCTTTGTTTGGCCTCTCACACTTGCATGATACGTACCTGTTGTTATTTCGCATGATGGACTGACAGGTTTCTCTTTCCTTTCCTCAACTTCAAATGCTTGTAAACTATGCAAACTACAGCAACCGGATTTCCTCAACACGCTGACGACAGTCTTGATGTCGACGCCCTTGCTTATCAAGGTCCAGGCGCTTCTTCGATCTCCGACACTCTTTTCAAACTACGTGGTGGCGTTGCAGATGGACAACCCTTCCGCCTCTCACACCCAGGTGATGCAGTCCCTCCAAGCCTTCCTCAACCAACTACCTGCCACAACCCGCCTTGAAATTCAGCGTGTCTTTGCAGAGGCGGAGGCGTCAGACTCGATGGGTACGTAAACAGTGAGCACTCTTTCTGTACATCGTGAAAGTGGTAGTGAGCAACACTTCGATCATGGATTTGTTGGGAAGGGGAAGAGCAATGCATGCTTACTTCAATCGAGTGTCATATGCCTTCGGGTGCCAAGACATTCGAGTGGAAAACACAGTAATCTAACATCACCTTGGATTGCTTTCATATCGATAGGCCTGTCCAGCTCAACTTTGGAGATTGCTTACAATGTGCTGCACTCGGACACTCAGCTCTACATTGACGTTTTGACGACGCTCCAACTCAACCAGACACGGAATATGCCTTGGGACACCGTGGTTTCAAAGATCAAAACGATTGTCAATGCTAAGAAACCCTACGCCTGGACATCCATGGACCAGTTCCTCAAACACCTTCACTGGGGCCACTACAACGAGCAGTACAACTATCCCAACAGCACAGAGGAGTATGGTGGCGAGTACGACCAAGGAGAGTACTATGAGAGCGACGATATTGTCGAGAAGGTCGAGGGCGTTGATTACATCCCGGACGAACAGGACGAACAGGAGCTCCGCGCCTTTGCCCAGTTGTCATTGTCAACCTCATCGAGCAACTTTAACGAACACGGAGCTGCCATCAACAACAGCAACGGCACCAGGGGAGTTTCTCCTGGTCTGGGAGTGCTAGAAGATTTCGCCAAGTTGAGCGTTTCCGACAAACGGCGCGCCGTCGAGTCGTGCTAAGATGAACGCCCCCATTCTTGCAAATGATCAGGATTTTGGAGCCTATCACTCCACTTGGGAGTTTTGACTATAGATCCGATTTCACTCGATACATCACCTACACGCGACTTTACAGAAAGACAACAAATGGTAGCGCAACGACAAACCAGGACTGCAACACAACTCGACTATCAAACAACAAAACACCAACTACAAAACAACACACAGCCTTAACAACATTACTACCGACACACAAGAGGACCTTTGTACTTTGCTACCTTGAGTGAGGCCCTACACACCACTATCTAACAAAAAAAAAAAGTAGTCCTCCCCATCGCGATTGCTTAACAACCCTTAACCCTCACTCTCTGACGCACTGTATTCTAGCTTTTCTTCGTTCTTACTTCTTTCTTTTCTCTTTTCTCTTTTCTTGCTCATCTTTTTTTCAGCCTGCGTTGTGTATTTTACCTTTGTACCATCATTGCTTCCATGCACAAAAAACAATAAAAAAATTTGCAAAACCCAAACGAAGACTGCAGAAAGTGTACATGTGCTTTATGGCGAGCCAAAAGGGTCAGTGAGATCTACATCAATTGGAGACGACCCACGAGACTTTTTCTTGGCTACCTTTCCCTTCTTCTGCAGCAGCTCCAGTTCCCGCGCATCGAGTGCTAGGACACGAGCGTTCATGGCTCGAACCATGACTGCCCAATCCATCTCGCCCTGACAGGCAAGACATTTTCCGCCTGTAGGGAGTAGACTCAGCTGTTGGGTGGTTGACGAAGATCGGATGTGTAAGGCGAAGCGGTTGTCTTTTGAGAGGAGGATGCTGGACATGCAGTCTAGGTGGGCGATCATTTCGCAGGCTCCTGAGTATTCGGAGTTTCTGCTGGTTTCGTTGTTGCACGTTAGGTAGCTGGATGGGTCCTATGTATTTTGGTGGCGTTTAAGGTGTTATTTTCAATGGAGAGAAGAGGGACATTGAAGGCAAGGAGTGGTCTCTTACCTTGTAGTTGATGCCCTTGGAGCAGAAGAGGCACCGCGAGTCTATTTCTTTGAATCGATCAAACCTCTCCAGCTCCCTCGATCTCAGTTGTTCTACAAACATGCATACGGGTAAAGGTTAAAACGAACTCTATTAATTTCAAGATCAATTTCCGGTTTAACGGCAAAAGGAATGGTATGATGTTGCATACCTTGCCGGAACCCACGATCCGAGAACAAAGGCGCCAGCTCCTGTATCGTCCCAGACTTGACCACAATCTTCGTCTTCACCCCTATCCCTCCCACTCCTGCTCCTGTCCCCCGAGTTCTGACAAGATCCTGCCATTGGGTCATTAGATCCGGGTCCATGAGGTACACAGTAAGAGGCCAGCGGATCCAGGAGGGGCGTCCAATCATGGTGTGAACGGTTTGCAGTTTCTGAAGGACAGTTGCTACAGGTCTTGGGAGCTTTCGACGCCTTCCGCCTGCTCCTGTTTGTGAGGATGTTGGTGTTTCCTCGGAAGATGAGGGCTTTGTGGGAGGTGGTGGTTGTGAGGAGGAGGAGGAGGAGGAGGAGGATGTTGGTGGTGAAGGCTTTTCGAATTGGCGGGAGCGTTCTGGGTACTGCCATGCCCACTCAAACTAAGAAAGATGAAAGTGGAAGGCGTGGCGTTGTCAGTTTCTGCCGTTTAAGACTTCAAATCGCATTTATCGTTGAACACATGTTTGTCAGTAGGGTACCTGCAGTGCAGCTAGTTTGGTCGGAAAGCCATGAACAAGCATGGCCATCTTCCTAAAACAATCCACAAAAAGCAAAGTGAACCAAAAAAAAAAAAAAAAAAAAAAAAGCATTAGTAAAGTCTTTGCCATCATAGCAACCTCACGCACTCAATCCACGTTTATCACTTTCGCATCGGCAGAATTGTACCAGGGTCGCTTCCTGGAAGTCTTCTTGGCTCCCTGAGTAAGTTCTCCGTTATGTTGTCGGAGACGGGTGACGGGGTCGGGGGTGCTTCCAACGTAGGCGTGGGTTTTGTATCGAGGTACGGTTGAGCAGAGGAGGTAGCAGCAGTAGAATGGGACGAGTGGGTCTCGGCCTCTTTCTGTGTCGTCGTCGTCCTGTTTTGTTGCCTTTCCTGCGCTTGTGGTTGTGGTTCTGTTTGTGACTCTGCTTGTGGACTGTATTGGGTGTTCGTCGTCGTCGCTGTAATAACCATCCTTGCGTCTAATAGGCGGCATGTATGTGTATGTGTGTATGTGTGTATGTGTGTGAGTAGGTGGAAAATAAGAAAGCAGGAAAGCAAGAAAGAATGGTTGATCGTTGCCGCCAAATTCCTACAAGTTGGGCGAAATGTGGCTTAGGTGTCCTTTCCCTCGCGATTCCCTCCTCTTTGCTTCTTGTCGTCCAAGCGCGCTCTTCACTCTTTTGTTCACAAACTCTCTCTTTATTCCACACACGCTTCCAACCTCATTCCACTTTCGCACAACCCACACAACTCACTCAGGGATCACCTTATCGGCAACCGAAACAACAAACTCAAGCAAAGACGCACCAATGGCTGGACGAATTCGACGCATTCAAAAGGTACCCAGGTACACAGGGCCATTCGCACTACTCTCTGGAGCAAACGGAAGGACCAACATGCAACAGGCACGGAATGAGCTTACAGCCATGTTGTATGGCGAGACTGTAGCTAACTTGACTTCGTGGCCTTCTGTTATTATCCACTTCAATAGGAGATTGCAGACTGCCAGCGGGACCAGTCTTCACTTATCGACCTCAAGCTGGTCGAAGACGGCAATATCAGTATGTGGCCCCCAGATGGTTTTCTATTTTTTGCTGAACGTGAGAGCATAGGTCACAAATAGGAAGTTTGATTTATTACCATGGTGTCTCCTAAACTTTGTGTCCTAATAACTATCTTTTTACCGTACTCTCTTTTCGCAAATGTCACCAATAGTGCACATGAAGGGTAAGAACTCGGTCGTCTCTAATATCAGTCTCTTGGATAAGACTGTGCCCGCCTGCTGTGCCTCCTTACGTTTTTTGTTACGCAGCATGTAACTGACTTTTTCTACTTCTTGCGTGATATTGCTTATAGGTCGATTCCCAGGTATACCAAAGACAATGTGAAACAAGAGTCATCATGAATATCGTCAAGAACAGGAAGACGCACGATGTCGGGATTATCACTGGCAGATGGATTAACGACGCTATTGTTGCTGCAACTTGACACGAAATATAGGTCCCCCAGGAACCCCTTACGAAGGAGGCATGTTTCAAGTCGACATTCTACTCTCCGATGGTACTTACAATATGGATGGTGGCGATTGTGGTGATTGTGCGCTTGTTCACGTACTTGGACCTTTGTTGCTGACGCGTTCTTCCTCGCTCCCACTGTATTGTACCTGATAGCGTACCCCTTCCAGCCGCCCAAAGTCAAGTTCGATACTAAAGTTTATCACCCAAACGTCAGCTCCCAGACAGTGAGTAATCCTTCATTACTTTTTTACAACCAGGATCATGGAATCGCATATGGATGGATGCAGCGCGTGTCTCACGGCTCAGGATAGGAAACTAACATCAGGACCACTGTGCATACATGGAATAGGGAGTGATTTGCCTGGATATCTTGAAGCAGGCATGGTCGCCTGTCCTGACGATATCTTCAACGCTGCTGTCGGTTCAGTCTCTCCTCTGCACGCCCGAGCCCAATGATCCTCAGGTAAGAACTGTGACTTTTACCTTAGTCGCTGCGAGGGGATTTGAACTACATAGAGAAGAACGTAGGCTGACCTCATTATCCCCCTCGCTGTCGTATTGTCTGGTACTTGATCTAGGATGCTCAAGTGGCTTCTCAATATCTGAACGACTATGACGCGTTTCTGGAGACGGCGCAGTTCTGGTCCGAATGCTATGCAAAACCCAGCCCAGGAGACAGACTGCATCCGGACAGCAAACCATTGGGCAGTGGGAACCCATCACAACAACACGACGCAACAGCAGGATACAACAACCATTTCCAATCGCATCAGAGTCCTGCGTTTGTGGCGCCAGCACCAGAACCGGTGTTGAGCAAGGAGGAGCTGGAAAAACGGCGCAAGGTCCAGGATTTGGTCGAGATGGGCTTTGGGGCGGATCGGGCTCGAACCTTTTTGATCAGGGCCAACTGGCAGACCGAGGCAGCTTTGGAGGACCTGCTGAACCAGTAGAGAACGGTTGATTCGATGATAGGCGGCGCGGGGGACGCACCTGAGTGAAGATATGAAAGTTTATAATGTTGGTCTGAGAGGTACGGCGGGACGGGAAAGAAGGTTTATTCTGGTGCTACTTTTCATTTTACGACAGCACCACTAACACTGACAAAACAAGCAACAACAATCAACACAATAAAGCAAGACAAGTCTTTTCACCTTTCATATATCGATACGTTCACAGAGGAGTCTAGTTCGAGGCGGGAGGATTGAGAGCAGGTATATCTGGCCATCCATGCAGAGATGCAACGCTCCACAAGTCACTGGATTGTCTGTGTCTGAATAATTATTAGGGTTGCTGTTTCTGCTTAGGTGATGCACTCTCAATACATCTTGGGAGAAGGAGATGCGTCTGCTCTAGATATCCCTTTCGCCGTACGACCTCCCTGACTCCTCTCTTTTCCCCCTTTGCCTCTGCCCGCTCCTCAGATCCATTGTTTATTGTCGCCTCCCTTCGATGGAGAGTGAGTCCTTTTGTGTTCGCTTGTCTCGTTCATTTCCCCTGTCGCCGGCAAAGCGTCGGACTTTTCTTTTTTCTTTTTGAGAATGGACGCTCTTCTCTTTCCAAAAGAGAGGAAGAGCAAAAGCAATAGGAATGCGAGGGCGCGTTTGTTTTCATTTGTCCTATTCGTTCATTTTCATGATCTATATTACTTGAATGGATCGTCTGTGAGGTTTGTTTTGTTTGCGTTATTATTTTCTTGATGAGGTTATTGCTGTTGTTCGTTGTCGTTCTGTCCCAGTTGGGAATCCCGCGCGAATTAAGGAAGTGGGCATGGGGAGACAGACCAAGACAGATGGCAGGCAAGATGGGGGATGAACAAACCCTAACGAGAAAGAAAAAAAAAAGGGCATTAGTTGCCTTTGTGCCCTTTATGCCCTTTCTGCCAAACCAAAGAGGGGTAAACAAGTTGTTCACGTACAAAGCAAGAGTAAAGGACACGGCGTGTGCGCGTGTGTGTGGATGTGTGGATGAGCCAGCCTTTCACTCTATAAAAATTCGTACGGAACCGTACATGAAAATACTTGAATCACTTTCTATTCCTTGATCCGCCCACCCCCCCCTAGAATCGTACGGATAGATCTTGAACGGACAAAAAGGTACAAGGTAGACATGACAACGGGCGTTGGAACAGACTGGACGTCCTTGGAGTAGGACTGGACCATCCCCCCCCCCCTCCTTTTCATCGTGCCTTTAAGATTTTAGTGCGGGTTTTTTTTGGGCATGTCTCTACGATGACCCCCTTCTTCGTTCTTTGTTCGTTAAGAAAATTTCGGGTAAATTGAGAATGGAGATGGAAGATGGAATCTTGAAGGGAGAGAGGGGGGATAATAAGGACGGTCAATGACAAAGACAAACAACAAAAGAGGGTGAAGTGAACAGACCATGCAGTTGTATTAATTCTCACTGCTAGGGTTATTATTATCTTTTGGATCTCTTGAGCATTCTTGCTCCTTGTTTTCCCAAATGGAGCAATTGGCAGCAGCTGTTCAGATAAAGAAGAAAAAAAGAAATGAAAGAGTTTAAAAGAGTTCCATCTTGGCGGCGTAAGGGCGGAAGGAGGAGAGGACAACAACGTGTTTAGGTCAATGCTCCTTTCTATCGAGTCCTTTTTTGTTCCCTGGAAAAAGAAAAAAAAAAAAAAAAAAAAAAAAAAAAAAGAAAAGAGCAACATGAAAATGCGGGGGCAAAAGGGTACAAACACCCATGCAATGGTATCATCATTCTTATTCTCTTTAGTAGGGCCAGACCCTGTCGTCCTTGTTCGAGTGGCAGGTGCTGGTCTCAGTCAGAGAAAGAGTCACGGATACAACCTGTCCATTAGTCCATTAGTCAAAGATGAAAATATTTCCGGTGCACGACTAATCCGACCAATCGTAGACTTCGAGTCCCGAAAAGTCAGCCAGTCGCGACCCGCGCCCCCTCGTCTGACTACTACTCGTTTTCACCCCACCCGGATCCACTCATTCAATGAAATAGGGAGGGGGAACTACAGATACCTGCTCTGACGGTGCCAACCAGGACTGAGGAAAGAAGAGATCAAAAACAAAGGCTCTGCCTGCAGGAACAAAGCACCCATCAACATCACACTTAGACATACATACATGCACACACACACATCGCAAACAAATGCTTACTTACCAGACTATTTACGAGACACAGAAGGAGCGAGAACAACAGGAAAAAAAAGAGAGGACGCAAACTCGAGAGCCTATGCTTGCTTGTATCTGTACTGTAGGCTGTCGTTGGTGGTTTTTTTTTTCGATTGTTTGTTTGTGTTTGGGTTGTTTGTTTGTTTGTTTGTTTTTGCTCTCTTCCCTTTCCCCCCCCTCTCTCTTGGGCCTTGTCTGTTCTCTCCCTTCCGACTATCTCTTTTCTCTTGGTCCGTAATTGTCCCGTTTGATGCAGAGTAACGAGAGACCGCCGACAGAGAGAGTAGGGTATGGGAGCTTGTCCGTGGATAGGCAGCAAGAAGACAAGAAGAAAGGATAAAAAAGGGGGCGATGTGTATTGAATGAGGTGAAGGACGTACACCGTTTTCACACACACACACACACACACAGAGCCCCTTCACTCTCTATTTTTTTTCCAGGGGGGATGGGAAGGAGGACACATACAAAGAGGCATAGTTTGACTACACCACCCACGAGGGAAGAAGGAGTAGGGGTGTCGTGGTGTGTCAGTTTCTTCTCATTTATTCAAGTGGACAAGACGAGGAAAAGAAGAGAGGATGAGACAGAACGAGTGGAGTTGGAGGTGTGGGAAGTGTGCACCAACGGTTGACTTTATATCATTGGAGTAGTCCACAGGAACCGGCTGGGAGTCAGCTACGGTTGATGCAGGCAGAAGAGAAGAGGGGATGTATCGTCAGCCAGTTTCTATGTTTTTTCCTTTTTCATAATGCGTGGCAGCAGGAAAAAAGAGAGAGAAGAGACAAGTCTCGGCCAGGGCTACCGAGCAATGCATCTCCTTCGAGGGTGCTTTTCCATTGCTTCTTTGGTTTTCCTTTGCGCCAGAATACATAAATGAAATGAAAAGTTCTCGACCTCATAGACCCTTTTTTCCGCTTTTTGTGATATAAAGGAAAGAACCTGTTCTTGAACACACCCCTCTCCCCTTTCGCTCTCTTTTTCTTTTTCTTTTTTCTTTTCTCTCTATTTTCTCTTTCATCACCCCTCCTCCCTCTTTCTACTCTCTTCTCTCTCCTCTCTCCTCTCTCTCTCATCCCTTTCATACATCCTCTCCTTCCTTCTCTCCGTCATCCTTCCTCGTCATCTACTCTCTCGCTCATTTATTTTCTACTCAACACCCTCACACTCACCAACACTCACATTCTCCTTCTCCGCACGTTCACCTCTCTACCTCCTCTCCTCCTCGCCCTAGCCTAAACTCCCGTTCCCCTCGGGGATATCCACGGCCTCACTTTTTTCTCACTCCACACCACCTACACCATATGTCCAACCAATACTACCCTGTTGCTGGTGGCGTGCCCATTCAACAACAGCAACAGCAACAGTTGAGTCTCATGCACCAACAGCAACAACAACAACAGCAGCAGCAACAACTGAGGCTCGACCAGTTTCACCAGGAGCAGCAACGCCAAATACAACTCGCAGCCGCCGCCGCTGCTGCCGCTGCTACTATTGTTCCCCGCACACTCCACTCCCAACTGCCATTATCGCCCCCTCAGCAACAACTCCAACAGTCCTTCACCACAAACGACAACAACAATAACCAAAAAGCAACCCTCTTAGCCCAAACCTTACCACCAACACCTTCCTACAACGACAACGGCGACTCTCCATACTCTAAAAACTCTTGGGATAGCACTATCCTCGCTAGCCAGTCGGGCCATGACGACTCACAGGTGGCCATCTCTATCGGCCCTGACGGAAACCTGGTTTCGGTGTTGCCCCGCTGGGAAGGATACGACCTCAGCAGTTTGCCCCCCGCACAGCTCGTCTCTCGACCCAACAATACCAAAGTCCTGCCACAGCAACAGCAACAACAACAACAACAACAACAACAACAACAGCAGCAGCAGGACATCTTGCCAAGAGGCAGTGTCACCGACTTCGGTCAGCAGCCCCATCCCTCCGTATTGGTGCAACAACAGCGCCAGTATTTCACCCAAGGACAGGGCCCTCAGCAGCAGCACCAGCAGGCTTTGCACCAGCAACAGCAACAGCAACAACCACATCCACATCAACAGCAGCAGAAGCAGATGTCATACCAGGAGCAACAGCAGCCATTATACTCACCAGGACAGCAGCAACAGCAGGAATTGTTTGGTAATGATTACCTGTTCGATGCTCCTTCCCCCGTGCCCACAATGTCATCCTTGGATATGGGTATCCCCATCGTCCCCTCGCAGCAACAGCAGCAGCAGTCGCAGTCGCAACCGCAGCAGCTCCAACAATTGCACGCCTCGCCCTCCCCTCTCCATGTGCCCGAGTATATCAAGACCAGCTGCTCCCCAGAACTGCCTATCAAGGCCTCTCCAGTTGACCAGCTCGCATGGGGTAAGTTCCACTTCCATCCTTCTCTGCAGCACCAACAGGAGCTCACCGACCTTTCCCTCTTCACTTTCGCTCTCTCCCGGCATCATCCTCCCATCCTCACTCCCTCCTTACCTTTCCGTCCCTTCTATCTCTCTTATGCCATCATTAAAATGAATCTATTCTGTGCCCTTCTTCCCACTTTATCTGTCACACCCACTCACATTCATTGTTATTACTTCGTTCTAATGTCTTTTGGTCATAGCTCCATGGGAGGATCTCGCTGTGCACCCAGACGATCAAGTTACGTATGCCACACCGGCACACACCCACACAAGTTTCGACGACAATCCAAGGGTAAATTAACACCTTCACTGTATTTTCCCCGAACTGGTGACCTCTTTGGCAACAACAGGTCGATCGAGTGTCTCTCTGTTCACGCATAATCGTAACCCACTAATTGGAATGTCTCGTTCTTTTGTTTTTCCTGTTCTTATTTCTCCAGGATGAGGCTGACTACCAGGGTACCAAGCACCTCAAGGTCTTCACCTCTTCCAAGAAGGACGATGACGGCGAGTTCCGCAAGGGCCAGCAGTTTTATCTCAATGTCCATCTGACGGAGGAGGATCGCATGCGGTACCGCTACATTCGCATCCCCAGCGAAAACATTGTGTTGCCTTGCCGTGCCGACTCGACCGGCCGTATTGGCTTTGGCTTGAATGCCTCTGGTAAGCGTTCGGCCGATTCCATGTCGATCCCCACGAGTGCTCAGGAGGAGGATGTGCTGTCGTTGAAGTTGACCACATACCTCGAGCCAGAGCACCGCCCTGTGGTTCCCTGCGGTCGCTGCAAGGACAAGACTCCCGAGATCTTGCGTTTCCACCCCGGTGTCAATGGCAAGCCCATGATTGACGACAACGGCATGGTGATGCTCCGCAACGGCCAGGTCAAGCTGATTGCCTCAGCTTGGTGTGCCAGTACGTCCCACCACCGTGGACCTGGCACCAAGTTCAGCTTTGAGATTGAGTTGACGAGCATGGGTCATGTGAACCACCCCGAGCCTCTCTTGGTCTACCAGGGCCGCAGTGACGAGGTTGAGATCTACGCCAGCCACGGTCGTGACAAGGGCGCACGCCAAGCAAGCAGCTACAAGAACAACGAAAAGTAAGTTTCAAGTCTATATATCTTTGGTTTATTTTGGCGCCCAAGTTTGATGCTTTTAGACTGTAGCAATGTGTTATCGTATGTTTGTTTTGCTTTCGATCATATTTCTTTTTCTAGTGCTTTTTCCTTCTACTTCAAACTGTTGTGTAATCGTCCTTGTTCATGTGATACTCACGCTGTTGCTCTCACCTTTCGGTCGGTAATGTTTTTCTTCGGTTTATTTTTGCAGGAAATCTCAATCGCCTCCCCAAGAAGGTGGCAGTGCAGGAGGCCCGCCCTCTCCCGCCAAGACCTCTAGTCCTCCCGGTTCCCCCTCAAACGTAGCCCACCACCTCGACATGGGCCCCGTTAAGAAGCGACGTGAGGAGCCTCCCATGACCCCTCCCCTGACCGACTCTGAGCTGCCTCCCATGATCAAGAGTCTGGAACCCAGGAAGGGCCCTATATGCCAGGAGAATCACGTGATTATTATCGGCCAGAACTTCTCCCGCGGAATGACCCCGATGTTTGGTCGTGAGTACGGCAAGGTCATCGAACTCAACCCGTTCTACATCGAATGCACGACCCCTCGATACCCCAGGACGGAGACTGTGCGCATCTGGATTCACCACAACGAGACCTTTATGCCTTCAGACAAGTCATACGAGTTTACGAATGAGCAGGCCCAGTCTGAACTGGAGCAGATGTTGAGGACCATGATCCAGTCCGAGGGCGAGTTTGGCGACGGCTCCTACTTCAACTTGCTTGGCAGAATATCCAACCTGCCATCTTCAACCGACATCTCTGGACAAAGCCAGAGCAACGGATCGACGATGCTCCACAACTCGGTTCTACTTGGCTACCAAGTCGGTGTTGACCTCTTGATTGAGGAGGGTATCGAGCTCGACATTGAGGACGATTCAGGGCTCACTGGTAAGCTTATGCACTTTATTTTTCGCCACACAAGGTTCTTTTCTATGCGAGAGTATAAAACTAACCGCGTGGTGACATATTTTAATTTGATCCGCATATTTTTTTCTTAGCGCTGGACTATGCTATCCACACCAACAATGTCGAGATTACCAGCACTCTTCTCCACGCTGGATCCCTGGTCTCCTACGAGAGACTCGATGCTTTGCCGCTTCGCCCAACAACAGCCATGATCACTCTGCTCAAGGACGTTTGCGGCGTGGAATTGACCTCCAACGACGGCAGCCCCCTGGACGCTGTCCCCGATGTCGCTGATGTTGTCGAGGACGAGACGTCGACCTCGACCATGGATCACATCATCTCTAGCAGCGCCAATGATAGCTTTACAGTGCCTACAAGTCTGATTCAGGAGACTATTGTTGAAGAGCCTGAGCAACTGGAGGAGGCCAGCCCGGCAGCAGTACCGCGTCCTCTTCAGCGTGTTCCCGTTCCAACCCCAGCGCGTTCAGTTCCCGCGCCCACTATGCAGTCAAAATCTGCCCCTCACAAGTCTTCCCGCGCCATGTCGATCTCGACTGTCTCGACGCAATCGACTGGTATGGTGTCGTTGGCCGCCACCATGTCGACCATGGCACCCTCTGCCACATCGTCGGCGAGAACGGGTCACTCGAGCATGAGTTCCCGCTCTGCCAGCCATGCCAAGGGTGGTCAGGACAACATTTACCTGAGTGCCAAGGAGGGCAACATGACTTTGGTCAAGTACCACCTCAACAGGGATCCCACTCTGATCAACGCTCCCTGGAAGTTTGATGGTCGCTCAGTCCTGCACAGTGCCTGTACGTCGAGCCAGCCCCACGAAATGGTCGAGTACTTGGTTCAGCACGGAGCCCAGGTGAATGCCTTAGACACTTTCCACAAGCGCACTGCTCTCCATGCCCTCTGCCAGGAGGGAGGTCTCCCTCAGGATGATTGGCGTGTTGTTGTCTCGGCAGCCGATCAGGAGGTGAACGAGCGCGATGTCTTGGCAGCGATGCGATTCTTGTTGGACCGTGGTGCAGTGGTTGATGCCAGGAACTACTGGAAGGAGACGCCGTTGATGCGTCTGTTTGCCGGACGGGACTGCCCTCTGATGGTACAAGAGTTGTACAGTCGGGGTGCGAATTCGCGACTCAAGAGTTCCAAGGATTTGTACCCCCACGGCACCGCTCTCGCCTACGCCGCGTACTTTGGAAGGATCAAGTCGTTGAAGTGGATGGTGGAGAACGATTTGTTGTTGAACGACGAGTCGAACATCAAGGACGCTATTCGATGGGCCAAGTCGTCGAAGGAGTCATCGCTTGGATCACATGCCCATGCTGGCCAGCACGCGATGGCCAAGCGCAAGGAGGAGCGCAAGGTGGAGGCGATCCGTCTTTTGGAGAGCTGGCTCGGCGAGGGTGGTTTGACCAAGCGCAAGGCTCTGGCGCGTCAGACGATTGTACAACAGGCTGATGGCTGGTGGAGACGCATGAGCGGTATTATTGAGGAAAAGGCTGGCGGGCCTGGCGGCAATGGAGATGAGCACGAGCAGTCTGCTTCGTCTCCTCAGCGTGACGCTGCTTCTGGCAACAACGGTGGTAATATGCCCACAGAGTTGAGACCAGTCTGGCGCGATGTAATTGCGCTGTCGGAAAACCTTGCGTCTGATCAAGTCTCGAACACGAGCAGTCGGATGAAATGGAACCCTCTCACCATGCTCCGCAAATCCACATAACCCACCAACTACTTTTATATCTCGTTGAACGCAATACCCCTCTCCTCTCCTTATCTTTATTATCACTACTAGTACTTATTCTCTCTCTTACTCCTCGCTCTTTTCTTTCTCGTTTTTCTATTCTGCGAGACCTCTTTTGTATTTGTAAATAAATGACAACCTATGAATAACGAAACAACATAGAGCATGTCGTTGTGGGAAGGATAGTTGTCGGGCATGGATATTATGCATGACTTTTTTTCATTTTAGACGATAATGCCCTGATTAACTGATAGCCTGACACACACCGTCTTATCTTTCATTTTGTCCCCTCGCACATACCCCTGTCTTGTATGTTTCTCTCAATCAGCCAGGGGAGGAAAGAGACATGAGAGAGAGGTGCACAACTGTCCTTCTGTCCGGTTCGGGAGGATGCATGAGGAGGATGAACGTTTTTTTAATTGTTTGTTTGGAGGTTTTTTTTTTGGTTTGTTTGGTTGTTGGTCAAGGAGAATGATTTCGATCCTTTTAAGAAACTACAGATGAATGGTAAGTATGGAATTCAAGGCTTTTTTTTTCTTTTTCTTTTCCGGTGCCCTGAGGATGGAGCATTGGGCAAGGGGGCAGGGGGCAATAGCATTTATTTCCTTTTTGGAGGCGAAAGAACAGAGGTCCGCCGCCTACTTGCCCACCGCACAATGCACACAACCAAAAAAAAAAAAAAAAAAAAAAAAGAAAAGCGGAGGAATTGGGCTTCCGTGCGACTTCCCCCCCTCCCACCTCCCCCCTTCCTCATCTCATTATCAGCAGTTCAAACATTCGGAGCAATTGAAATCTCTTTTTTTTTGTTTCTCCCCTATTTCAACCCTCTTTTGCCCCTGTAATCTTCATTTCTTTATTATTATTTTTTTCATTTCCCTCTCCTCTCCTTCACCTCTTTTCACACACTTCTCCCCACTTTCCCAACCCAACCCAGCGCACCAACAACAACAACAACAACAACAAAAAAAAAACATGGCTTCCGCTACCCCGTTGGAGCCCTACAATGTTTGGGAAGACGTCCCGTCCACCATGGACATCAACCTCAATAGCATCGAGACTGACGATAATGATTCCACCATCACCACAACCAGCAACTACAGCAATAACAGCAAGAGCAGCAAGAGCAGCAATGGAGGGTCACCGACGCGGTATAGTGCACAGACGATTCGACAGAAGAAGGGGCGGCAGTTGTTGTCGACCATGATGGGGGCTGAGGATAAGGATGGCAACAGTAGTGTGGGTGGAGGAGCGTTGTTCCCGACCGCAGGGACGAGTTCTTCGACGGTGACTGTTGAGGAGACGAAGGGGGGAGAGAATGAAAGTGGGAGTAGAAAGACGACCATGACGACTACTACTAGGACTGCTACTACCAGTTCTTCGTCAGGCAAGCCATCCACCTCCACGTCCAACCCTGCAGCCGCTGGAGGAGCACACAGTTATACCGATGGTACTGGAGCGAGTACTGGAGGTCAGTTGGGACTTGGCAAAGCATCCCTCCCCCTCGTAGGAGGTGGACGAGGAGGATTCCCGTCGGTGGGTCTGTACCAGGGCATTGGTCGAGTACAGGCATTCTCGGCGATGGCGTTTAGTACCTTTGCGGTGATCCATTTGGTTCCTCCCATGCTGGCGTCTGTGGGAGGCATCGAGCTGGCGAATAAGGCTTTGCTCTGGGGGCGTGTCTATTACCAGGTACCGTATTCTTTGTTTCAATTGAAGGAAGGCTTTTGTTTCTGAGAGTGTGTGGTATTATTTGGGCGCTTTGCTCGGAGGTTGGGAGGTTCGGAGATTGCAAGGGGGGAGGGCATGGGCGAGATTAGGACATGAGAAGATTTTTTTTTGTTGTCTGTTAGATGCATTGTGTGTTAATGACCTGCGTGTTTGTTTTGTTTGTTTGTTTTTTTGTCTGTTTTTTTCTCACACGCACCCACTAACGCCTTCTTCGTTTGTATTGTTTGTTTATAGACAAATGGATTGGAGCAGGTACTGGTGTCAGGATCACTGTTGGTGCACTTGGGAGCAGGACTCTGTAAAGCCGTGATCCGCATGGTCTGGAAAGTCAAGTCCTACTACTCTGGTTCATCCTCTTCAACATCCCCAAGAGCCATTGAGGATAGAGATACCCCGACCGTCAATAAGGAATCGTCCACCACGACCAACGCTTCCGGTTCTACCAGCACTACTACTACTACCAAAATCACGACAATCACCAAGACTACAGGAGGAAGTGGAAGTGGATCGGCAAGCGCACCAGGATTGTTCCCTTACCACCGACTCGCAGGCTGGATCCTGACGCCTATGGTCATCGCCCACATGAATGACATGCGTCTGGCCCCACTCGAAGTCCTGGGTGACTCGTCCTTGGTCGATTACTCCTTTGTCACATACCTCCATCGGGTTGGGCGTTCCGGACCGTATATTTTGCTGGTGGGATTGTTGGCGTACCATATGTTTGGGGGTGGACCGGTGGCGTTTAATATGGTGCTGCCGAAGGGTTCGGCGAGGAGAGTCAAGGTTCAGGATTTGATTAGGTCGAAGAAGGTGAGGGGGGGGTTCGCAGCGTTTGTTGTGGGGGTTGTTGTGGTTGGGACGGCGAGGATTATGTTTGCGGAGGGGCCCATTCCTTTGAGTCGGGTCTATCTTTCACTTTTGGATCTGTAGGACATGGGGCTGGTGAGGGGTGGGGGAGGGGCGTGGGCGGGACTGGCTTTTTTTTTTTTATTTCGAATAAATTGAAAGTGCATTTTGATACCAGCCAACTTTTCGCCTCTCTTTTTGTATCCAACAAACTAATCACCAACACTTTTCAACGCACTAATCAACCATCATGGCCGAATACAAAGGTACACGACAAGCACCTACATACACTTTGTCTCTCAAAGGAGACCTACTTCAGTCAGGCATCAAGAAAGAATGAAACTTCAAGAAGAAGCGATGCAAAAACTGAAGGAGAGAAAAAAAACCCCCCAATGCTACCAATAAACCATCAACAGAAAACTCACATCCACCCAACCTCATTCCTCCCCCGCGCACCCCCTCTCACCCAAATAGGAAGCTCACAAGAAGGAGCAAGGCACCAAAAGCTTGAAAAGGCCCGCGAGAAAATGATGCAAGATTTCGAACAGCAACGGATCCAGATCGCAAAGGACCACGAAGTCAAGGCCGCAGCGGATAAGTTTGTGGTGCAGCATTCGAATGTTGAGGAGGCTTTGAAGCAGTCGACGATTGGCTTGGTCCATTTGAAGGATTTTCAGAAGGTTAGATTGGAGTTGGAGGAGTTGAAGAAGCGGGAGGCTGCCCAGACTAATAAGCTGTAAGTTTATATCTTTTCTTGTTTTTTTTTATGATGAAAAACTTGACGTGGTAAGGTGGAAGATGTTTTTGTTATCTAGTTAGTAACGAAGATGTTATCTTTATTGTGTACCATAATCATAGGCAGGAGAGAGTGGTGAAGAAGAAGGCAAAGAAGGTGATCTCCAAGCTCTCATTCGCGGACGACGAGGAGGAAGAAGAGTCTTCAACAGCATCATCGCCCAAGGACATCAAAGGAAAGAAGCGTGCCCAGGACAACGACGACGACGATACAAAGGACTCCAAGTCACCATCAACACCACCATCAGAACCAGCACTGAAGAAGTCAAAGTTTGGCAAGGACCCCAACATCGACACGAGCTTCTTGCCGGATCGGGAGCGTGAAGAGGAGGAGCGTCGGGTGAGGGAGGAGCTTCGTCAGGAGTGGTTGACAAATCAGCAAAAGATCAAGAATGAGACGATCCAGATTACCTACTCTTACTGGGATGGCTCTGGACACCGCAAGGAAGTCGAGGTAAGAACTTTTTCTCTCTCATTGCTGTATTTATGTGATAGTGCAAATTGAACAGCAACAGGAACACTCAACGATACATCGTTACTTACTATTGTTTTTTTTTCCTCCCCATACCTTGAAAATAGTGCAAGAAGGGAGATACGATTGCACAGTTCCTGGAGAAATGCCGGCAACAGTTTCAACAGCTTCGCGGAGTCAGCATCGACAACATGATGTACGTCAAGGAGGATCTGATCATCCCACACCATTTCACCTTTTACGACTTTATTATCAACAAGGCTCGTGGAAAGTCGGGACCATTGTTCAGCTTTGATGTCCATGAGGATATTCGATTGACCAACGATGCTGGAGTCGAAAAGGATGAGTCTCATGCGGGAAAGGTTGTGGAGAGGTCGTATTATGAGAGGAATAAGCATATCTTCCCGTTGAGTCGGTTTGAGATTTATGATCCGGAGAAGTCTTATGGCAAGTACTCTATCAAGGGCAATGCCAAGTAGAAGGGTGGGTGCTGGAGGGCTGGCTTCGTTGGCTGGGATGTTTTGGGGGTGAGGAGCATCACTTTGTCCGAGTCGAACATGAGTCAATATTAAACAGCATAATAGCACTTCGCAATTCGTTTGTGTTTCTGTCAGCTTGGTGAAGTTTTTGCATGCAAAAATTGGCGATGGATGTGGCACAATCAATTTTTTTTTGCCATTTCTACCTCCACGTTCTGTCACGAACATGTCATGACTGAGATATCCAGACTTGCGCCAGTCAACATTGGCAGTGAATTCATGGGGCCGATGGGGATGGCGCTTGGGTGTCTGGAGAGTGGAGACCAAAAGGACAATAAACTGATGGTCGAGTGACCCAACAACGACAACAACAACGACAACAACAACGAGAAAGATGTCCTCCAGCGAACCTCACAATGGTGAACTGTATAAGAGCAAGTATATTTTCCACTTTCCGTTAGCTGCTTAGTGCAAGCACATGGACCTGCGGCCAGAACTCTGTTACGAGTGCGGGGCGTGGCTCAGGTTTATATTCAAGAACCCCAACAGCGGATGAGACCCGTTCGTACCGACATCTTTGAAGCTGCCTGTGCGCGCCTTGTGCGTCCCTCACTTTGTCGGCAAGTTCATGCAGATGCGTCAGGACCCCCAAAAATTGGTGGCAAATTTGGCTTATCCCCTAGTTTGTTTGTGGTGCAAATTTGCACCACATTTTTTTCGATTTATCCAGGTTTCCAATAAAACGGGTTAGAAGACTACGTCGTGGGAGTGTCCTTGTCGTCTTCGTCACATTACATTCATCACTCTCGAATTCAGCTCTTTTTTTCTCATCATCATCCCGCAACCCATTACCTTTTTTTTCTCACACATCGACTTCACCCTACTCACTCATGGACTCCAGTCTCGAGTTCCTCGGTTCCTTTGACGTTTCTGACTCTCAAGGCACCGTAGTAGCATCTGCGGAGGAGGTTGACGAGGCACAGGAGGAGGAGGAGTTGTTGTTTTCGGTCCGTTGTCGTACTCGACCAACGCCTGGTACAGATAGCTCTGGGGACGAGGAGGAGGAGAAGGCAGGAGATGAAGGGGTGATAGATGCTTCAGCTCCACCGACAAAGAAAATCTTCTCCGACCCAGTATTGACGGATTTGGCAGACAACACTAACGCATATGCAGCATCAAAAGGAGCCGGCACAGGAGAGGGATCGCGCCAATGGGTAAAGACCACACCTGACGAACTGCGCACATTCCTCGGCATCATTGTCTACATGGGCGTGTTCAGGCAGAACTCTGTCTCTGAGTATTGGTCAACCTTCCCTGAATGTCCTCAACACAACATCACTACCTTCATGTCCCTCGTCCGCTTCGAACAACTGAAGCGTTTTTTTCATGTCTCCAACCCCAACGAGCCTGAGCAACATTGGTTCTCAAAAGTAGAGCCTGTGATAGATAGGTGCTTCGCTTCCTTTTCTTTTATTTAACGAAGAGAGTTACCACTCTTGCCCTCTGCTAGGCTATAAAAGCTAACTGCGACAATCGCCAGACCCACTTCAGGTTCTTACCGTGTTCTGGATGGACAATAGACCTGTCTCCATACTCTTCACCGTCCATGCCCTCAGCCTCGGCGACAACGACTGATCCGTTGTCCAAGATCGCAGACGCCCTCGAGAGACAAGCGCCAGCGCAAAGTCAGTGCGGGCTGCTCATAAAGGACGTTCCATGGCGTTACTTCCCATCCCAAAATCATCGATGACAACAACCACCACATGAACGGAGTCGACATTGCCGACCAGTTATGCAGCTACTATTCGACTCAGCTCAGGACTTATCGCGCATGGGCTCCGATCTTCTTCTGATTACTGGATACAACAATCATCAATGCGTACCTTATCAACAAACTCTTCGGCTCTTCCATGCATCAAAGGGAGTTCCGATAGTTCCTGGCTAAGGATCTGATAGTGTCCGCCAAATGTCGCGACACCCCTACCTAAGTATCCCCTTATGTCTCGAAAAAATTCAAGGGACCAAACGATGAATTACTGAACTACTCATGACTGGCTGCATCCTGTGCAGATAAAATAAACGAGAAGGCATAACACAAGCATATCCTCAACCCACCCAGCGAATCTGCTCTCTCTGCAAGGTCTTCTTTGCACCAAGAATGATTTAGGAGTATCATACGCGCCCTGAGTTTTAGAAAGGGTCCTGTGCCCGCGCCGATAGCGTTGCATCTCAGTGTCTGTCCACTGAGGCTGAAATGCATGGGATTGGTGAGAAAGAACCATCCTACCCCTTAATTCGCTCACCCCTAGCTCATAGCTCTGACGTTCACGGTGACTGAGTGAGCGGCTGAGGCTGAGTGAATAAAGACCACTAGCTTCTTTTTCACCGTTCTGCATCGCCTCGTGTCCCTTTCATTTAAACTGCCCCCTTCTCCCCCTTCTCCTAAACTGCCCCCCTTCTCAATTGAGCTTCAACAGACCTATGTAAGGCCGATGTTGAAAGTGATTGCGACCCGTGCTATTGAGAGAATCTATGAAATCAGACTCGCGCTAACCATCAACCTTCAATTGTGAATTACTTAGAATTACAGCAATGGGCATCACAAATCTCACCGGGTGGATCAAGGCGACAGACGGAGTGGAGGAAGATCTAACCAAGAAGAGATGTGAAGTAGATTTTGCGTCGATGTTTTTTGCGTTGGTGAACTCGCTGAGTTTCCATAAAACAGTGCAGTTCGCTGCAAAGTCCGCCCGATGTCAATTATCTACTCACACAACAACATCGACACAGCAGGCTTCATCCGGCCCAGAGCGAGCAGCCGACGTCGATGGCGCGGGCATGTCTACTCACACAACAACATCTACACGGCAGGCTTCATCCAGCCCAAAACGAGCAGCCGACGTCGACGATGCGGACACCGCCGACACTGCTTCCTCTAACAAACGCCTCCGACCCCTCCAAATCAGCTCCGGGTCGTCGACTCTCGTTGAAGACATGCAGCGATTGCTGGCAACACAGCCATCCCAGATTCGGTTCGACGAGAGCGGCGCTCTGACCACAATCTGCGCCCAGGAAAAGGTCATTGTAAGTACCATAAATCATACCATCTGGAGAAAAGCTAAATGGATTGTACTGATCTGGAAAAAAGTTAAATGATTCATGCTATCTGGAGAAAAGCTAAATTGCTGTGACCAAAATAATAATTCGCTGTTTCCAATAGGATTTTCGATCTGTCGGAGCCGCAATTGAGAAGATTCTCTCCTCACGATTGTCTAAGGACATCACAATGCTCCATATGGATGGTCTACGATCAATGGAGAAGGAATGGGCGCACGGCAAACGAGATCAGGCGCTGTCCAAGCAGTTGGAAACACTTGAACGAGATTACACGGAGGGCAAGCTGCACAACAAAAGACAGCTATACAAACGCCTGAAGGCGTCGTACCGAGCACCACCGGAGGCATTGCGCGCCGTTTCGGAAGTACTGCGTCAGAGTGGATGGACGATTTGCCAATGTCTCAACCAAAGCGACAGTGCATTGCGCGGACAGTCAACAACGCTGCCGTACCCGGAGATATCCGAGTTATCACCAAGGACTTCGATCTCATGGCATTCGAGTCAATCATGTCCGTCACCATGCCAGTCAAGAACACTTGGACTACTTTCCACAAAGATGAGCTTCTGAACGAGCATGGCCTTCCGACCCCTGTACATCTAACGCTTGCCGCTCTGGTATCGAACAACGACTACACCAACGGAGTTTTTTCCTATGGCTTGACATCCAATGTCGATACGGTCCGTCAGTTCAAGATGACAGGTCTTGATGGAACGGTTGGCCAAGATCGAGTGGAGGTGGTTCGGATCTATGTTAGGCGCTACCTTGACATAATACACCAAAAGGCCCGTACAATCAAGGACTCAGCCACCCAAAGCGCACGTCGTCGACTGCGATGCAATCCTAACCCAACGGTGAAGGCACACGACAAGGATCTGAGGAGGATCGAAACGGCCGATCGACAGCTGCGTGTAGATGTGACAGAATTCGGCCATGCTCTCAAGACATTCGTGCTTTGCGAGGAAACCACTCTGGACAACAACAGGATCAGCCCGGCGGCCGATACACACACACGACTGATGGCCATAATTAAGGAAACAGAATTCAACAAAGCCTACAATGATTGGCGTCGCTTTTCCGCGAGTCGGACGGGATCGTTGCCGCCTGGGCTGCTAGTAGATCCAGCTTCTCAGGGGGCGGCGACAGACGCAGAGGCAACGCCACCACCACTCCCAACGGCACCCAAGGCAGGATCAGCACCATATCCGCAAGCTACATCAGCGGGATCACCTTCCATCAGGCAGACGCATGGCCCAGCCGAACATCCACCATCGCACAAGCAAAAGATTAAAAAACAACGCCGACATGGTTCACATGCCCTCCAGCGGCGACGACAGAAGTGGCGTCGTTCCAGGTATGTCTTTTCTCCTGGTATTTTTCTCCGCCTTGTCCAGCTATATACATATATTTCCACCTTAACACAACTCATTGCAAAATCGCATCTAGATTCCGCTCGCGCACAGACGTGCAAGATCGCTATGTGCCGGACACTGTTTTCCTAGAAAAGGCCAGCCCTGTTGATGTCGTGGAACTTTCAGGATTGAAGCCGTCGACCCCCCGTCCTTCAAAGCCCAAGGAGCAACCCCCCCGTATCGACCAAGTGCCTGCCCCCGCTGCCAAGAAGAAAAAGAAAAAACTCCTTGGCGAACCTAAAGGAATAGCTGGACCCAAGGCCTTGAAGAGAGCGTTCCAGTCTGTTTTCGCAACGGTCACGCTCACGACTGGATCCCTGCAAGGCTGCCTAGGAAGATCAACCAATCTGTCGAAAGCAGAGGTTGCGCAGCTAACCCAACACGTGAGTTCGGCAGTCTCTACCGTCAATAGCGCCAAACACATTGTGTACAAGCTTATCGAGATGCGCATTCTACAGCCGCTGATCGAGACTGGACTGAACCAGGCAGAGGATGGACCGGACGAGAGCTTCCTAGAGAAGATCCTGGATTCCGATTGGGCGGAAAGGTTTGTCCAAAACCTACTGTCCTTCGTCTTGAGGAATTCCATTGTCCCCCAAGGACGTCCACCCGCGTCGGACAAGAGCAAGGATGCTGTCGCTGAAGCAATCTCGACGTTTAACGAGTTCAAGAAGACGCTGTGCCCAGGGTTCAAAGCCCTCAACTCAACGGATCTGGCTTTGAGTAATATCATCGCGGAACTTGCACCCAAGATCTGCCTAGATCAGAAACTGCATTACAGGAGAATACCGGAGACTCTTAGAACAAAGGTACCATCTATCCATATCCATTCAGTTTGTCAAATATTTTCAATGGGGTGTAAAACATATTTTAACACTCCTTTTGTTTATGCAATGCCAGCTCTCCAAGCTGTCCATTGATTGCGATGGTCTTCCTGAAATAGATCAAGATGGCACCGACGCTGGTGGTGATGCCGGGGCTGCTGACGTTAACGAGGGTGTGGACGACGACGACGCCCTCAAGCGATCCAAGAAGATCATTTTCAAGCCGGGTCATATTCAACTCTGCTGGCGATATTTCCTCCTCTTACCATCATCCAAGCGGCCCCGGTTCTGCACCCAGGCCAAAATGAGCGATTCCTTCATCGACATCAACGAGGAAGCGTTGGTTGCGCTTCTCTGGGGAGAGAAGGCAGTTCAGTTGGACAACGTATGGGAGGACACCCGCTACACTCACAACTGGGCAGCGGCAAAACAGCGTTCTTCGTACGGAGAGGTGATCAAAGAACTATTCATCGGTGACCGAGATGTCATCAAGGAAGCCAGGAATAAGCAGCAGACGACATACGGGAAGAGGACAACAACCATGGCTGAGCGTGAGGAGGCCCATCCACACATCTACGGATAGTTAGAGCTCGCACGGTATTTGACGAATAAGGTCAATTTTTTCCGAGAACGGCACAACGCCTCCCTCACGGCCCCGACACCACCGTTGCCATCATCAACGCCATCGTCATCGACGACCTCCACCCCACCGCCTCTTCCCACCCCACGTCAGCAGCCGCGTTCTTACCGCTACGCCCTCAACAACTATATCAGGACGGATGGCCACCAGCTGCAGATTCTCGCGTATGACCTTACAAAACCCCGCCAATCCCCAAATTACAGTGAGTTTCTTTCTAGGATCGAGAAGCTTTATCCAACGCGGCAGCATCTTATCGACGCGTTTGGCGACGACCTGGATTCAGTCATTGTCGTCGGTATTGATCCCGGAGAGGTAGTGAGTGGTGCATTTTGTTTGACACTTCCCGGTGGAAAAGTCATCAATCTGCTGATCAAGAGGGCCTCCCTATACCAGCCTACTCTGGCCTTCCGAGATTGGGAACAGCATTGGAAAAGGCGACACCCAACAGCTGGTCCAGGCGATGTTGTCGACTCATCCCTTTGGACACGGATTACCGACCTGGACAAGCTCACCACTCTCCCGTCTGTCCACGACCTAGAGAATTCTCTCCCCTCAACGAACTACGACACCTCGTTGGATGCTTTGACGGCAGCTCACAAGAAGTACTACGAGCAGGAACCGCTGATCCACGGGATTTACGCGTCAAGAGAATGGAAGGTAGCGGTTCACGAGCACAGAATGGCGAAAATGTCGGAGTTGGATCTGGCCGTCGCTGGCGTTTTGCGGATGGTGGATGAGGCATGTGAGGGCGTACCCGTCCACCAAAGAAAAGTTTTTTTTGCCCTGGGGAATGGAACCTTCCGGTCTGGCTTTAATCTCTCTTCGGTGCACACCACGTTTCTCAGACGTCTTTTACAGCAGGTACGAAAGGCAAAAAAAAATTGTGAAAGGCATGGTTGTATCTTTTTGTCTTGATTGTGTGCACTCATGATGCCATGGCAAATCTATGGAACACAATTTTATTATTCCTGCACCGATAGAGTGCTGCGCTCGGATACAAGGCTGCCCTGGTCGACGAGTATCTTACTTCCACCATGTGTCCAACATGTGTGGTTGAGAACCGAGCCACCCGCCTCGCCAAGCCGTCGATGAGGACATGCGCCTGTGTTGAGTGCACTCGGTGGATTCACCGAGATGGAGTGGGGGCGCACAACATCGCTTTGATCGGAGAACAGTACCTCAAGTCTCTAGGACGGCCCGAGCCCCTTGCAAGACCCCCCAAACAAACCTAACCTCTATAGATAGAAACTATAGTTTACATTATCCCCTTCTACGGATTAAGGGATAGGACCCTCTTACATATTAGCCTGCGTCCTTTCTTAAAAGCAGAAATTGATTTCGATTTTGATCCTGAGCTGGTGACTTAATGTTGATTGGCTCGGAAGTTAAGCTAAATCAAAATCGGAATCCATTTGAAAATCAACTTTTTCTGATTTCCGAGTAGATCTCGCGTGTCATTATTGTCCTGCTTTACTCTTTGCTTGCTTTCTTGCTGGTGTATTTGTGTTTGCTTTCTTTTTTCTTTTGCTTTTGCTTCCATCGTCTTACTCTCGCCCCTAAACCCCCATTCCCTCCCTGCCTCCAATATGAACCAACAACCCCCTCACACTCAAGTTGCAATCCCCATGGTCCGACCTCCCAACCCTCCTCACCCTAGTAGTACTTCACCCGAATCTCAACAACTCCACAAGCACCACCAGCAACACGAGCACGACCGGCAACAACAACACTCTGATCTCCACCGGCAATACGCGTTCCAGCAATATATGCACCAGCAGCCCACTCACTACAATAACCAACAACACGACCAAGCCAACATTCCTCCAGCCCCATATGTGTTTAACAACAACCAGTCTACTATTCCTTCGTATGGTCAAACATAATATCAATCATCGTTACTGCAGTCCTTGGGCACAGAGTTACCGCCGACTCCTCGATCCCCAGTCCTTCTATCCTTTACCTGTCTCTCGGCTTCGAGCTCCCCAAACCTCCTGATCTCAGCCCGCCCAAGCCACAATTGTCTGATCCCTTGTCCTCTGCTTTACTTGAGAGCCCTAATCCCTCCACCAAGGGCCCCTCAACAACAAGCAGCTATGGCCGTACCATCCTCTCAGTTTGAAGTCAACACAGCCGCGACATCCCAGGGTAACTCCCAGACCTGTACGGCCTCCCAGAACAATACATTCTCCAAGCCCACATCCAACAAACGCAAAGAAATGGCTTCTCCTCCTGTTGCCGGTTCGCTGAACCAAGGAAAGAAGCGTGGTGCTTCTGTACCTGCTTCATCGTCAACCCAGGATGTCAATGAGACCGCTTTCGAGGATGGATCTGAGAGAGAGGATTGGCTGGTTGCACGACTCCAGGACCCTTCCATATCCCTTCCACCTCGGGCCGACAAAAGGCATCCAAGGGAGAGTCGGATGAGGTTCAAGGCGGATGTTCACAGGCAACTGGCGGAGGAGTTCAACAACATGCAGTTCAAGATGCCGCACTCCAGACGATTCTACAGTACCACCCTCAACGGCAATGGAATCAAGTCCAAGATAAAACGCATTCAAACAACATTCATGACAGCGCACAACCTTCGAGGCCCCTCTGGATATGGCGGCACGGATTTGGAGTCATGGAAAACTGCCATCATGAAAGAATGCCGTTATTTTTTCGAACTGCTTCCGGCTTGGGGTCAGAAGTGGAGCGATGGCGTAGTATTTTACGCAGACTCGATGACGGACTTGACGGACGATCGCATCACAGACAACATAAAAGACCTGAACGAGGCGACGCGCATGTCAGTACAATTGGAGTATCGGAAAGCAGAGATACAGGGACGAATCAGGATGATGGAGAGCGAGTCGAGCCTAATGGAAAAGGAGATAGCATTGAGGGAGAAGGAGATGGTCTTCAAACTGCGACTGGAGGAAATCGAAGCCAGAAAGGCAGAGGCTATCGCCAAGGTGCAGGCAGAAAAGGAATTAGCATTGGAGCGAGAGCGATGGATGTCTAAGCACAATTCACCTGGTCTATATTGTGGAAAGAAGGAAGTATGGATTCCGACAGGCAGCTTCAAAAATAAAAGTCCTTCGCCAAGCGCTAACCAAAGTAACCAATAAACTAAATACTGGTAAACCTTTATTGCATTCGTTCTCTGAGTTGTTCCCTTTTTCTTCGACCAAGGATCCTTTGATGCCTTTCGAATCTAGTCCGCTAAGCTAGGCTTTCAAACTTGCGCCATGGATAGTCAATGTACACTTGACCATCATCCTCGATATCATCATCCCGAAGATCCGTACCATGGACCTCAACGTCCTCATCGTTACTGCCATCGTCACTGCCATCATTATCGCTGTCGCTACCATCATGGTTATCCATCACTGCCTCTATCGTAGTCTGATTCGAGCTCCGGGTGTGTTAAAAGAATATTATGGATCACAACGCATGCGTGAATGTGCTGAACGATCCGTCGCATATCGCTTGTGGTGTTGTGGTCCATGCGCAGGTGTCTGAGAGATGCACAACGACCCTCCAACAGGCCAAACGCATGCTCAATTTTCACCCGAGAGGATGTTGCCTGTTGGTGGAGACGACTGCCCAGACGTGGTAAACTTCTGCTTTTTGAGCTGGAGCTCGCGTCCTGGGATATCAGAGTGCATCTTTCTCATGAGCCACACGATCTGGCCTAGTATAGACGCGGCCTCTTCTCTCCAGGTACTCTTTTTGTAGTTAACAATTTCATCCAGCCTCGAGATCCTGAACTTGGGGCAGTCTCCAGAGTCTTGCGACGGATCGATAGTGCACTCCACAAAGAACCAGAAGGTGGCGTCGGTGACGATGCCATATGCTCTCATGGGAACGGAGCTGTCCTCCTCTCGCTCTTCATCTCCGTTGTCATCACAGCTGCGCTTGCGCTTCCTCGCCGTCAACGACGACTCCAGCTGCACTAGGTTCTGCGCCAACCCCTTGCGATACTCCTCATGCTTGACCTCTGTGACGCCCAGTACATGTCTCGAACCATCCTTGGCAAGAGCCTCGATAGCATAGTCGACCTTGCCATGCCCGTGTCTGCCTCGAAGCGGTCTCCCAGGTGCGAGTGTCAGCTCGCCATTGAAGATCAGGACGGCTTGCGTGAGGAACGAGCACACATAGGCAGAGCATGTGGCTTCGTTGGCGAAGGTATCTGAAGGGATCGCCCGTATCCTGGAGTCGAGCTCATCAAGCAGTCTCCGTAGCGACTCCTTGTGCTCTTTGGAGTGGAGTGGCTCTGTCGAGATGCCAGTGAAGGGTGGTAAGTCAGACATGGTTGGTGTTTCCATGTTCGAGATCCCGTACAGGCTGTTGACCTCCTTGAGTGTGAAGTCTGTGTACTTCTTGGTCGGCGTCTCCAGAGCTACCGTGAACGTCTTGATGTTGGTCCTCCGGTACAGCTGGATGATGTCGCGAAAGTGTGCATCGTCACTGGGGTATTCGGTGCCTTCAGAGATCCCGCGTGGATGGATAACCGCCAGCACAGCCTCGTCATCCTCCTTGTCCGGATACACGGCGTAGATGGCTTTCTCAAGCTTGCTGATGGTTGCCGTGTCGGTGTCTGTCGTCCATGGAAAGCTCTCGGTGCGGTTGGGTCGCACGACAACGTTGAGTGTGAAGGTGCCCTTGGCCCTACGCAGGTCCTCGATCTCCATCAGCAGCTCCTCCATCTTCGCTTTCAACTCGAGCGTGTGTGGCGTGCTTGTGGCTGTGGTTTTAAAAAAAAAACGGAGTGCTTAGTCAGCAGTAGGCTTGGCATCCAGCTTTTCTAAAAGTTGCACCAGAGTGGTGGTAGTGGTTCCAGTCAAACAGAGAGGGTAGGTCAACAAGAGAGGGTTAGAGACATACCTTTGGGTCGCTCGACAACGATGTATGTGTTGTCGTCAGGGGTCTCTGGGAAGAGCTTGGCGAGGCATGTCCTTGGGTTATCAAGCTTTGTCTTGTCGTCCAAGTCATCAAGCTTGATGACGCGCTCGTCTCCTGCATTCTCGTTGGCGGGGATCGTGGCTCGCCAGAACACCAAGTCCTTGGCGTCGATGTCCTCAAAGGCGCCTGGGTTCTTTCCGATGATCGCTTTCTTGAGTGCACCGATTGTGTCGCCAGCAGACAGATGGAGAGGGAAGGCGCATGACGTGGAGTTGCCGCTGATGAGACAGAAGAGTGTGAGTGTGTTTGCTGCCATGGGTGTGTGTGAGAGAATGGAGAGGTGGTGCGCACAGAAAGCCCCCCCTCCTTTCTTAAAATCCGATTTTGATTTAGCTTAAATTCCGAGCCAATCAACATTAGGTAAGGGGGTCGTTCCATATCTTAAGGGCAGCCCAGGAACGCTTGCACAGTCTGGATTCCAGAGAACCGCTCATATGGCTCATCTTTTAAAACAACACCCGTCCATCCAGCGACCCCTGGATGACTGTGGAGCAGCAAGTTCACTCTTGTTCTTGTATCAATAAAGAAGACCCCGCATCAGGAGTTGGGGACTTGAACTTCAAAGGCAGTCTGAGCCTGATTAACTCGGGCATGGTCCGCAGAGGGGCCTGGCTCTATGTAGTCCCTAGAGCTTTGTGAGGGACACGGTTGCAGAAACAGCCTGCCGTTGCTACGACTAGCGGCCAAGTCTACCTGCTGTTCTGATTGGGCGACAGCCACCAGCGACTGTGTTTGTTCATAGTGTGGCCTGAGTCCATCAGACCAAGAACAACCCCCTAAAGTCGTCACCAGCTCATGATCTAAATCGAAATTTCATTGGACGCAGGCTATTTTCATGTTGCTCCTGATCCGCCTCAACATTAGCCGATTTCGCCAGAGAGTTCTTCTCAAGGATGGAGATCACAGACGAAGATCAGGCGGTAGAGCCAAGGGTGACCCTGGCAGGGGTGGCAATCTTTCCGGCGTGTTCGACAGAGTGAGAACCAGCGGTCCATGCAGGAGGTTGCGAATGTTTCTTGGAGTCACGAGAAATAATATCATGCAGGCTTGGACTAGGATGGGGGTTCCTTGAACCCCATTTTCGCTCACCGACGCGAATGACTTTGGTGAGGAGGAGGTGAAAGGAAGATAAGATACATACATCACGCATTTAGCTGGACTAGAATTTGCTTCATCTTGCGGGTGGCATGGATGGAATGTTCAACTCGCGAGAACTAGGATGCTTCGACTTACTCTAGGAACAGGATTCACATATGTTGAATAAGCTACAACTACACAACATGTCTGCCGATATTCGTGTGTTCAAGTCCACCGTCAACTTTGAAATGCGTTTATATCCAGTCCAAGTTCACGTCTCCTCTCAGCCCACTACTTGGTCGAGCATCCTGCATCCTACTTTTGAATGAGAATGATCACGGAGGTTGGTCAAGAGGGGGAGGGGCAAAAGAGAAGGATAAGGTTGGAGAAAGGAGAAGAGAACAGTCGAAAATCAGGTCGAGAGAGACTTTAACCGCACTAGTCATTGTCGTTAATAATAATTCGTTCCCTTCCCGTCCTGATCTCCGGCAGGACAGACCAAGCAGCTTTCCACTCCATCGCACACATGTCCACAATGTCAACCGCAACCACTCCGATGACCAGCCTCTCTCCTCTCGACAACATCAACATTAACATCAACTCATCGCCAACACCACTGTCGTCGCATCTCAACACCACCACAGTCTCAACACCCACTGCACCCTCCTGGCTCCTCTGGCAGTTCCTCGACTCTGCTCTCCCCACCGGAGGATTCATCGCCTCCAACGGCCTCGAAGCCTTTGCCAAACTCCACCCAGATGCCACTTCACCCAAGGACATCGAGGCCTATGTCAACTGGAGTGTACACTCCTGTGGATACACCAACCTGCCGTTTATCACCGCTGTCTGGAAACTTGTCGATGAATGGACTTTGAGGGACATTCAACTCAAGACGGAGAAGGGCAAGGCCAAGGCGATGAAAAGTGTCCTGCACCGGATCGGGAACATTGATCGGGAGTACGATGTGTTTATGAACAACGCTATCCAGAACGCAGCCTCGAGGAAGCAAGGCGATGGTATTGTGATGATGGGGGTCAAATGCTTCGCAGACCAATTGAATAACAAGGCGTCTTCAAGGGCCAAGAGTAGGATGCTGGAGGAAGACGACGAGGAGGAAGGAGAGGAGGAGAGTGAGTTGGGGCCAAACATTAGGATCTTGAAACCGTTCAAGGCGCTATTGAGAAGTGAGGAGGTTGCGGGACACTATCCGATTGCTTTTGCGATGATTGCCCGTCTACTCGGCTTTGATCTTGGTGAGTCGAGTCAATTGCAATATTGGAATACACTGGGGGTTTTTTTTTCAATCCTGTATCCTCGAATACTTATTCATCGCCCTTGTGATTGTTCTTATTAGCGACAACACGATACCTACATTTGCATTTGCATGCGCGGACACTGCTGTCGTCGGCGATTCGATTGGCGCTGGTGGGGCCATTTCAGGCACAGCATATTATGACCCGATCGCAGGCCAAGGCAAGGTTTATCGATGCAAAGACGGCGGATCTGACGATTGAGGATGCGGCACAGACGTTCTTGTTGGGCGATATCTGTTCAGGTGTCCATGGCCGACTCTGGACTCGCCTCTTCAATAGTTAGAAGTAGTATGCAACGTCGATGTAATTAAAAGAAGCGGGCGTGGATTTCTGTTAGTGAGTGCGTGCGAGTCACGGATTCGATTTTCTGTTAGTCGCTGTTTGCCACCACGAACTTCGTTGTTGTTTCTCGAGATCATAACAACTCCTCCTCTCTCCAATCATCAACCGCGTTTCTGACCCTTTGTTCGTCTTCATCACCTCAGGGGTCAAGGCATAAACAGGACGGATCCCCCCCTTTCAACAAGAAACGCGTGTCGCTGAGGAACCAAATCGACCAACGCCACCATCACCATAACTTAAACAACAACCCACAAACAACAAGCAAACAAGTAGCTCCCTGCCATTGTATGGGAGCTCAGATGACAAAGGAGCCGCTCACCACCCGCAACACATCGCGGCCCAAACCTGACTCTTTTACTTCCTCGGTCACAGGCAACCAGATTGGTTCGGCTGACTCATCCAGAACATCTACAACGCCCGCACCAGCGGCGACAACAACGACAAAAGAGTCAGGAACAACAACAACAGTGCCTGGAGACACAGTGGCAATGGACGTCTCTACCACCGCCACTACCACAACACGCGCAGCAACAGCCGCGACGATGGGTCAGCCAGTAGCATCATCACCTTCCTCCTCGCGGGACCAACAAACAAACCCATCACGGAAATCCAGACGAGAGGAAGACTTGTCGTACCTGGCGCGCCCCAAGGTCCTCATTCAAAACCACCCACCACAAATACCCCTCAACACAAGATTCGCTCGACCCAACACAAGGAGGAATGCCTCGCCGGACACCAGAGCGCTCGAGTTGCTCGGCAGGAGAACGAAGAGACGGAGACGGTCTGGAGAGTCTGAGGTTCGCGCACGCCCGTCTGGGGTAGGTGGGTATGATATCAGTGATAGCGACGACTTGTCCTCCGCAGACTCGATATTATCTTCCGCAGACTCGATGGATGTGGTGGATGATCAACAGGTCCAAGAGCAGCAGGTTGAACCGCGGGATGAAGAGGGCGCCAGGAAATCGGCTAAAGTAAATTTGATCCCGAAGGTGGCTCCAAACGAGAGTGTAGCTGCGACGGCATCCAATACACCCAGGCGCATCCAGGAAGAGACTGTGCAGGATACCCCCAAGGTCTCCACCAACACCGCCACCAACACCGCCACCGACAATGTCGCCACCTCAAAGCAGTCTTGTGCCGTGATTGAGCCTACCACTGATGTCCCTCCAGCACGAACTTCGACTATAATTGCTGATGCGGCTAAGGAGACTCGCTCAATCAACACCGACAGGGCTCCTCGGATGCCTGCCCAAATTACATCAGTGATCCAGGCTTCGCCCAGCCGGCGTGTTGTGTTCTCTCCTGACAAACAGGAGTCCTGTCTCTCAATCCCCAACAACACGAATATTCAAAAACTCAAAGGAATTCTCAAGACCACTGTCAAGCCCGTCGGGAAACTCGACATGTCCAAAATGACCATGCCCACCGAAGAAGAAATCGCCAACAACCGCCCGATCGTCAAGCGGAAACATAAACTCGTCCAAAAGTCCATCTCTGCTCGCTTGATGGAGTCCCACATTCCCAACAACAAGTCCAAAGTCCCCGACAGCGACTCTCCCTTCATTGGCGGCAGCAACTCGGCTCTCACTTTTGCGGCCTCGCCAGCCAAGGTTCTGGATCCGTTTATCAGAGAGTCGATCGAAAAATTGAAATCGCAGGATCTTGCCGTCCGCAAGGCGACGTACGACTCGATGCTAGATATTCTCAGGACCTCGAAGGACAAGACCTATTACGACGAGATTCAGGAATCGATCAGGCCCCTCACTGCGCGCATCTTGATTGACCTTGACCATGGCAACGCCGAGACTGTCGTGTAGGTTACATTCTGTGTTGATATTGTGAGCTCGTGATGTCGCAACCGTCTCAAGGATCGACTCAAAAGGATTTTTTTATTGACGCGTACTATTTAACCTTCCCTTTCGATTCTTAGGACGCTGTCGGTTTACAGATGCCTCGCTTTCTTGTTCTTTGAGCGTCCTATCGCGCAATTGTTCACAGGTACGAGACTTTGTTCTTCAAGGCGTATATGATTAAATGTATGAGCAATATAAATTCGCATTACTTACCGTGTCCTTTGCTTGACTGTACCTAGCTAATGAGGTGGACCGCCTCCTCAAGTTTGTCCTCCGCGTCACCAATACCAGTAACGACAAGGTATTAGAAGCGTTGTCGTGTTGGTCTTGGAGGCTCTACACCCCCCCCTGGTGACTTGTTGGAACTCATACTAACTACTCATTTAATTGTAATAGACGCTGGTTAACGTGTCGCTCTGCTGTCTGGGAACGTGCATGGTGCCGATGAAGATTCTTGCGCCTTATTGTGAGCAAATTATTCAGAGCATCGCCAACCACTTGAACTCTCGCTTGAACTCGACAAGCGCTACAAACGAGGGCATACTGGTAGGTGGTCGCCTGATACAAGTCAAGTGAAATCCGCACGTAGACCATGGATCATATCTAACACTTACGCCATCCATGAATGATTTAGAACTTGATTGCCTTCTTGGTCAACCATCAGGAGGAGATTGTACCAAGCGCACCGGTCTGGCTGTCCTCGCTGTTACTCCTTCTTGTTCATGATGTTCCAGGAATCCGAAAGAAGGCACTCGAGAGTGTACAGGCCCTTATTCCCACCTTCCTCCAGACGGATGACAACCGTCTCCGAATGGCGGCGATCGCGTTTATGAATGAGCACGGCGAGAAATTCGTCCAGAAGTTGGATGAGGAGCACCTCAAGCCCTCCCATGGTAATGCTCGAGGAGTAATCTGTGAATGACTATTGCCTTGTACGCGATCTTTTCTAATATGTTTCTTCTTTTCATATTCACTTCTCAGAGGTGTTCGCTCTCAGAGTGTGGGGCACAGTGGCAATTGTCTTGGGCAAGGATCTGCACCGCCATCCCATACTCAACCCTATGCTGAAAGTTGTGGAGGTATGGACAACGCCCTTTGTGGTTTTTTTTTTCAAAGTTTTGCTCCGCAATGACCCCTAAAAATGTGGCGACTATTAATTTCCACCAATTGTCCTATTTCTGAATCACAGACTGCCTTTAACCGGGGCATAAACAAGAACACCGACGCCAAAATCACCGCGTTCAAGGCGTGGACGTAAGTTATACCATGGACATATTGGTACTTTTGATCAGAGTGGTATCAACTCAACTAGAGTTGCTAACGCGTCATCCTGCATGTTGCAACTCTAGGCGCCTGATATACAGCTTTTCGCGGGGCGGTCACCTTCACGCTGAAAAGACTCGCAAGTTGATTTTGAGGCCTATTGCCAAAGGGTGAGTACCATTTGCCTTGTTGCGGTAGTCACTATTGAATGTTCTGGGCGACCAAGGATACTTATCATACTCTGTTGCCTTTTATTTTAGCTTGGGACCACTTAATCATAATCGCACGCGACTTGCTGCTACGAATGCCTGGATGGCGTTGGTGTACGGTCTGGGACCCGAATTAGTCAAGGTGGGCAACAGGCCGCAGACGTGTTGGAAAGGGACTACTATATCGAGTACGACTGGAGGACTAACGGGTGCCTTCTCTTCATTGTGGATATCTAGAATGCCGACGAGGTCTTCTTCCCCGTTGTACGGCCTTTAGTCACCGATGAGTCCGAGCATATTCGCGATCTTATCTTGAGACTCCTCACAGCCATGTTCAGCAACTCTGGCGGCGCCGGTATGTATTTTGTAGCTATCACCTCCACAGTGTGAACGCCTAATATATCAGGCACTAATCAACTGCCATATGGCGACTCTTTTTCCGCTGTATTTAGACCTTCTGGAGGGCTCACAGTTCATTGCACCAGGATCGATCTCGTTTTCAGACTTGGGAATGTCCGAGGCGCATTGGGTACGAACGAAGCTTTTGGACGAAGGACTGGAATGTCTCTTCTTGACAATGCATCTCCAGCATAAAATTACCGATGCCAGCCGAGATGAGTGGCGCCTGAGCAGTATCACTGGTTTGCCTTTCCTGACTCAACCGTGCTCAAGACTCTGGGAAAGCCTCGTGAGGGCTGTTCGGGATATCAACCTACACGAGAAAGGTATGGTGCACGCTGCATTACCGTTTCGGCAAATTGGGGAGACACCTATTGAATCGTTATTAATACATCTACGCTTGGGCCTTTTTCCCACGCTAGGCTTGAAGGCGACAGATGAAGCTGAACGTGCAGTATCGTCGCTGTTGTACTTTATTGAAAGGGTATCAAAGTCGAACCCATCGACTCTTGTTCCTGGCGACTGGCCTGATCAGGAAAACGACGACGTTAAAAAGCTACAGGCTGACCCTGAGAAAACAGGATATATCATTCGCGCAGACATTGTTCACTACCTATATACGGGTCTCGTTGAGATCATGTCTGTTAAAACGCTTGTCGCCACGCGCTACAAGGTGCGGGATACGATCCATGCGGATATTTTCGACGCATTACAGCAGGAATCTACCAACTCAGAATCGCCAACAAAGATCACTCAGGTTGCGGAACCTAGAGACGCCACCATGTCACCCATGGGTAAGATCTCACAGATGCCAATTGTACGGGTACAATATTTTTTTGGGTAGAGGACATATTATTAACATTCGAACTGTTTGCTGTCGTTCTTTAGAATTCATTCTGAAGTGCTGGTTGGCATTGGGCGAGTCGGTTCAGAGTACTCACTTTGAGTCCTCGTTTTGGCAAACAACCTCGACTCTTGTTGACTGGTCAGCAAGCAGCCTCCAAGCGCTGCGGGCACTCTACAGATGTGTCGGCCATTTGGACGATATCAAGGCCAAGAGGCAAACAACCAGCACTTCGGTCTGGCCTGCAGTGTCACACGGCCCCACCTCGTCCTTGGCTTTCCGTGACTTTGAGATCAAGTACTGGTCTATCGTTGGTAGGTTACTTCAAGACATACAATGCGCTTTGCATAAATGGTGGCACCCAAATGTAAGATATAGGCTAACAACGTGTAATTCTCCCCTGAAATAGCTGTGCGACTGTCAAGCTCTATCAGTACTGTCAACGAGATTACGGAGACTCACTCACCTGGCGTAAATTCAGGATACGAGGACTTGTTCGTTGTGCTCTTATACCCCCTTAGCATTCTTCGTAGTATGCGAAATGACAAGAACAAGAGCTTGTGGGACGATCATAGTCAACGAACACACGAGAATGAGGACAAGGAGACTTTGAGACACGAGGCTTTGTTTCTAGAGAAGCGCACACAGATCTGCTTGCCTGTATGGACGTCTCTGGTCAGAAACTTTTACAGGATTGCCCAGCACAAGCGCGGAAGAGCCAATGCTGTCTTGAATGCTCTTGCAACTCGACTTCTGAAGTTCTATGATTTTGGCGTGCCATACGTCTGGTAAGTAACGATCCTCCTTGTTTTATGGAGTTATTAGTTCCGCGTGCAAGATGGCTAATAAGCTCTTTCATTCCATTTGCACAATAGGATGCAGCCTATGAGCGTCAGTTTCACGAGTATTCTCGTGGACACAATGATCTTGGCGGACCCCAAGGCAGCGCTCAACACACCTTTGGGACGCGGCGCCTACTATGGACTTGATTCATCAAAATCACAGCCCAAGCAGTAAGTTTTGTGAACCTTGTCGTTTTACAGACATGCGTAGTGGTGCTGTTCTTGAATACCTATCGTAACTTTGGAATTCTCCTACTGGAAAATTAGAAGCGTGGATTTTGTGGATGGTGTGTTGGACGTCTGCCTGATGTTGGTAAAGCAAGCGTATAGGGGTATCCAACTCACCAAGGACCTGGAGGAGGACCCCGCCAAGATCCCAGCCATGCAGGACTCTGCCATTCTCTTGCTGGAGAAGGTGATCAACAAAGCGCCCACGTCACTTGTCATGCAGTGGATCCACCATCTACACAAGGCGATATTGCTCTGGTTGGCAGACTCTGGGCACGCCATCAAAGACTTGCCCAAGGAAACCCGGCAAGCGTACCAGGCACGACTTGAGACTCTCTGGAACGACTGTATCTTGCACCGGTTACAGAGCTGTGGAGAAGAGAACATGGAGACCGGAGCAACGTCCGGCTTTGGATCTGTCGTGGCGCCTCCGTCGACGACTATCCGAGGCGCATACGATCGCGCAGTGGCAACCCGTGGCGCAGGATCAGGGACGGGGTCGAAGTCTGCAGCGGGAGCGGGATTGCTGTCAAGGTCGTCATCGTCGACATCACTCTCGGGAGGATATGGTGACAAAGCAGCGGCAGGTCCATTTTCGTCCGAGGAGCTTGCGCGCCTGTCGCCCCTGCTAGTAGCGGCTCTTGTCTCTGGACGGAAGGCTGTTGTGAACAAGACGCTCGAGTTTTGGAATGAGACGTTTGGAATGTCACGGGTGGATTTGATATACCCCGAGGCGTTTGTCGAGGCGATGCGGCCGCTGAAGTTGGTTGCGACGGTCAAGTTGCCCGGTTGGAGCTACGAGGACAGTTCTCAGACGGAGACGCCTCAGTTCTCGGCGTCCATGTCACAGGAGGCCTTGCTTTCTATCCCTGTAGAACTGAATGTCAGGGTCAGCGCTTCAAAGTTGATGAAGCAGAAAGCTGGACTTGCAGTCTCGTCTTCGTCGTCGCCTACTTCATCCCCAAAGAAGGATGGCCCAATGACACCAACATCTGTCAAGAACAGGGCCAGGAGATCCCGTCTGCTTTCGGAGGAGGAGGAGGATGATGATTATAAGTTTGAGAAGGAGGAGGGGGATCGGGAGGACAGGACGCCAACAAAGAGGAAGAGAAGCAAGTTTGTGCATACTTTGGAATTGGATCCCGTCAACAAGAGTCTGATTGGCAGGTCGAGCGAGCAGGTGAGAAGGTCGTTATCGCCTGATGATGCTGGATTTTGGGATGAGGCCGAGGTATCAACACCAACCAAGCAGCCTGTCCAGAGGATTCCCAGCCTCACTAGAAAGGAACCACGGAAAAACTTGCCGGCTCCTCCTGTCTGGAGGTTGGAGCCTCCATTACAGCCATATGACCCTGCCAAAGACGACCTAAGCGCCGCCACTCCAACTTTCCCATCGTCGCCTGCCACACCTATTGCTGCTGCTCCTGCCTCTGCCTCTGCCACCGCATCTGCAGCTGCGTCGCCAGAGACGAATACACAGACCACCGTCGAGCTTGGAAACGACTCTGAGGTGACAGCTATGGACATGTCCCAGCAACTCAAGCCAAGAAGCCTGCCATTGGAGGTCACCAACATGGATGTCGCTGTGGATAGTACAAAGGAGGCACCTGTGGAGCATCATAAGGAATCTGTTGCGGAAGGTTCCAAAGAACCGATCGCGGAGGCTCCAAGGGGGGTCGTTGTTGTGGAGGGTCCCGTGGAACTAGCCGCCGTGGAGACTCCAAATGAAACCGTTGTTATGCAGAAACCTGTGAAGGCGACTGTGGAGAAGACGGTCATTGGCGAGCCAGGCGCTAATCGGGCGGAGATTGTGATTGAGGACTCACAGAGCATCGCCAAGGTCGAGGTTGATGAAGGAAAGAGCATGAGCGTGCTCTCACAACAGAGTGCATCTAACGAGCCCGAGAACTTTACAGATTCAAAGTCTCCAAAGCAGGAACAGGAGCAGGAGACCAAGGTTCAGGAAGAAGTCAAGGAAGTTGTTGTGGAAGTGAGGCGTAAGCGTGGCAGGCCACCAAACTCGTCCTATGCTTCTTCTGCTTCATCAACTCAGAATGCTTCCTCTTCTCGGTCCACCTCGTCTTCTCCGGCAAGCAATCTTGAGCCCAGGAGAAAGAAGGTCCAGAGAGGATCTCCAACCACAACATCACCGACATCGGCATCGGCATCGCCTTCGGACTCAGTCTCGGTCTCGGCTAGGAATCTTACAGGCGCGTCGGACGAGAGCCTTCTGGAAAATGGAGCGAGTGTGGGAGGAAGCCCGGATACTGTTATTGCGGTTGCGAATAGGCCATCAATGGAGCAAGACGGGCCAATCGTCGATTGCACAGAGTTTATGACGGCCCTTCGCCGAGTCGAAGAGGCCAAGGAGCTACTTAACCGGTTGGATTCTAGGTATGGAACGAAGTCAAATTCCTACTGCTCGATCACTTTTATTTAGGGTTTTGGGTTTATGCTTATTTCTATATCAGTCTGTATACTTTTTTTTGTTGTTCATACTTTTTCCTTGACCGCTAACGATAAGCTCCTTTGATTGTTTGATTTTTTTTACTATTGAACATAGACAATTGCTTGAAGTGCAGAACCAGATCATTGCGTTGAACCAGGCGGTCTGTGGCGTGTGGAGCCAAAGGGTCAATGACATTCCTGGCCGAAAGGACTAGCTGTTGAACTATTATATTGTATTGTATTTATTATGTACTAAAAGACTTTTTCGCATTATTGCACATAACACACATAACAAGCAAACGTGCTAGGACGGTTGGTGCATTGTGAACGGAGGAAGGGGGCTGATGATTGTTTAGGGCGAAGGTGTGCTAAGGTTGACGATCGATCGCGCTGTTACTCCTTTTTTTCCGATCGGGTGGGGGATAGATCGATGGGCCTGTAGACTCATGGAAGAAAATGGAGCCTTGCAGCTCTCATCGAGTATTCTGTCTAGATGCATGCAAAAAAAACGTAGGACGAGGCTCAAGTACACGTGCCGGCTTTTTTTTTTTTTTTGCCCATCGACCTTTTTTTTTTATTGCGATTTGATGCCAGGTTGCACATGGGTTGGACAAGCGGAACGTATGACGATCGCTTTTTGTGGAGAATCACAAGGGATTTTTCTCTAGTGCAGGCGGAGGCTCACATTAAGGCTTTGTAAGGAAAAGGGAGGGGGGAAATGAGAAAATACAATGTGCAGATCAAGGCATAATCTGTATTTATTATAAGACGCCCTAGAAGGATTTGTGTTCAGCGTATTTCTCAGTTGGTTTGTTTGTGAGAGGGGGGGGGGGGGTTCGCTACGGTCGTCAGTTAAAAAAGCCATTCGACCGTGTTGATGGGTTCCTCAAGTTTTTTTTGTTTTTGTGAGCCCCCTCATGACCCACGGAGACTTTTTTTTCTTCTTCTTTGTAACTCATTCTTGGTGTCTCTCCACCATTTACTTGATCTTATCTATTTGCAATCCACATTAAGATGGACTGTCTGGATTGGATTTGACATTCGCCGAGATATAAAAAAAAAGGGGTGGTGGTGGTGGAGTGAGTAGGGGTCCAGAACACAGGTCCATGTATATACAAAGATCACATCTTTTTTCCGAGGTAAGCATGACCAAGAGTCTAGGCAAGCTATGAGAGGGTGAGATGGCGGGAGGGGGGGAGGGTGAGCGAGCGAGAGGTTGAGAGGATGTGTGTCAGTCTGGGAAGACAAGGCAGGTTAGGGGGCAGCTGATATCTTAATGCAAGGGTATTTGCGATGTGGAAGGGTATTGGCGATGGATGTGAAGGTAATATGGATAAAGGAAAATGGACCAATAATGCAAATTAGGGCAAAGGCAGGCAAGGACTGGTGAGATGTCAGCGACGAGGAGGGGGGGGGGGGTAAAGGTGTGATCTGAAATAAAGTGGATGTAGACGATAACGACAAGAGCAAGGGCAGGAGGGAGGACATGGTCGACCGAGACCCTTGAATGTTAGTCTCTTAATGTCGTCAAAATGAAAAAGGTGAACGCAACCTAAAGTGAACTATGGACGACGGAAAGTACATTTGGGAGGGGAAGCATGGTCAAGGGCTTTTGTTCTGTTTTTACGTTTTAGTTTTGATCTGTGGAAGGATGAGGGGAAATGGTGTCTAGTGATGATATGGGGATGAGCGTGATGAAGGCAAAGCAAAAAGCGCGAAAACCTAAGAGCCGTTGAATGGCGAGGAGGAACTGAATGGACGGACGGGCTTAGCTTCTTTTTTTTTAGGATGGTGAGATGATGGAGTGTCGATGAAAGAAAGTTAAATGAACTGGTTTTCGCGAACCGTAACCTTCTTTTTTCCTCATTTCTTTTCTTTGTTTCTTTTGGTTCATTTCATTATTATTTTTTGGCAGGGATGGTTTCTGGCAGTGGTAATGGTGGCATCATAAAGAGCAAACTTGTCTCTTTGTCTCTTTGTCAGTGAGCAGCAGCAGTGCTAGACCGTGATCCTTCGACTTCAATGCAAGGGATGAAAATGTACTCTTCGGAGAATACCTCCCAGCCGCGCCTCGCTCCCTCTCGCTCTCACATACCCCACCCACTGCCCAACGCTCTCAAGTCACTATTTTTTTTCTCCTATCCTCCTCTCTCCTGTCTCGTAGCATTATTATTCCAAGGCTCAGATGGGAAAACGGCCACAGCATAGTATGCCAATCCAAACAAAAAATTAAAGGGAGCGAGCGCGCGCCAGACTCCGACCCCTCCTCTTGTATATGCCTTTTGCGGAGTATTTTTTTCTTTCTTTAATATGAATTCCCAATTGAAGGAGCCACAGGAGGCGGAGTGGACGCGCTCTAGGACCACCTCTTCATTTCTTTTCATTTGTCGATTACAGTACAGACTGTAGAAGAGCCAGGACCAGACCCGTTCCTTATTATGAGGCAGAATGAAGGGCTAGACGGTTGATGAAATTGAAACCTCTTGAACCATTTCTGCTCGAGGGAAATGTTTCCCGTTGTCCTTGGAACGACACATGGTTGTCGAAGGGCAATATCTTAAGGTTCTATTACAATGAGGGTCGCTCAGTAAATGAATGAAAAAACAGGGGTTGTAAGTTGGAGTAAGGCTCGCTCGTGAACCAAAATTCGACATTTTTCATTTTGTGCACACCTTTCTACACTCCTACATCGCGATGGATAAGAGCCTTGTTATTTCTCCATTCATATCTTCACTCATCTTTTCATGGCTTGAATCGAATAAGGATTGCGATCTGTATCGATAGCCCTTGTTCGCATATCAGCGCCATGATTAACCGGTTCCTGTCAAGTTGTTGCATGAATGTTCAGAACCGGACATTTATTGATTTAGCGTTTGTCACCGCTTTGTCTTGTCTTGTTCCAAGTCTTTGGGGAACCCAGTATGCCAGATAAGCCGGATCCTCGGAACCCCGCTCAAAAAAATCCCTCCAGCCTGTATGGGACGGAGACAGGGTACAGACTGATACATATCTGCACCACTGCTGCAACAGTAACCCACCGCTGGGTTGCTCGCTTTCAAACATTGTCAATTGCGTGTTGTAATACCATCGAGTCGACCTGGTCAAAAAAACGAACAAAGACAAATAAAAAAAAATCGGCGGAGTTGAAGGTGAACTTTGTGCAAAAAAATAGAAGGATCGCATATTCACTCCGCTATAACATTTGCTCAGACGATTACTCTGGTTCTGGTTCTGTCCACCTCTGTTAGTTGTGTTGCAGTCTGTGGTTGCAGTGGTGGTGTTCATTTGGTATTCCTTTTTTGTTTATGCTCTTTGACCTCTCTCCTTCTCTCTCACACTTTTGTCCAATGAGCAGCTCCATTCATGAAAAAGATGAAAATATGTCCTTCCGTTCGTCCATTTGTCCACCTGCTCACCCTAACCATCGAACTCTTTTCAGAGGTGCTCGCTTTGTTTGTTTTCTGTGGGTACACTAGAAAAACATTGCACGCCTCCTCTTGGTCAAAGCATCGTTCTTTCGGTTCATTTAACGAGCTTCTTTCAGAAACAAAAAAAGACGAGATGACCGAACGACCGATTTTGTTTCGTTGTGCGGCAAAATTTAAATGTATTCCTTGTTTGCGAGGGCGAGGGCATAGAGAACATAGAGGAGGAGGGAGAGAGCAACAAAACAGGGGGGGGGGGATCAGAATGGTCTGGAACTGGGCGAAAAAATCACGATGCTCGATTTGCCATGCGATCTGTCTTGCAGTCTGTTCGGCCATGTTGTAGTTTTGTTATCCTACCCCTCCAGTGTTTTCTTTTTCTTTCAAGGGTTGGTTGGTTGGTTGAAGATGTTCGATAGGCATTAACAAACAAATGGAGGGTGTTGATTTTTCAAGTTTGGCCCGAGTTGCATGCCATGTGTCCCCCCCCTCCCTGGTTTTTTTTTTGTATCTGTTGTTGTTTTGCTTTTTTTCGTTACCCATATCTTCCTATCTTTTTTATCTTCTTCGTTCTCGTTCACTTTATCGCTCTCTTGAGAAAATAATAAAAAAACGCAGTCTTCCGAGATACTCACTCTCACTAACGAGTATCACACTAGCTTGTAAACGAAAAATGACCAGTCCTGCCCGATGAACACTTAGTTTTGGGGCACAGAACGAGAAAGAGGGGGGTCTAACGTATGTCTCTCTACCCCAACCCTGCTACTCCCAATTCCTCGTCATCCAAACAGGATCCCCCTGCCTCGCCTCACTAGCAAAAATCTTTACCTTCACTCGTTCTCTCTCGCTCGGGTCAGGTCAGTCAAACAGGGAAGGCGAAAGGGCCAACGGGCGATGCAAAAATTTCTACCCTCCTAGCCAATGACAGGAAACCTGCACCGTAATGTATATCAATTAGCGACCAGAAATGAAGACATACAAGAGAAAGAGATAGACTGGAGAAAGGAGAGGGGGGGAGGAACAGGGGCCCAGCCAATTGATAGCGTTTTCTGGCTATTAGGGTTGCTGGTTAGGTAAATGGATTAAGGATTTGGGAAATGAAAGGTGCGAGTGTCAAGGTGGAGGGAGGGAGGGGGAAGGGACACAGACCAAGATAGCGTCGATACCCGTATCCGATATAGGATTTTTTTTTGATGGGGTAATAAGATAGCATAGTATGCTTTTTTTTGGTGTGCCCGTTTAGGTGTATCAACAGAGGAATACTCTAATTCGTTCAAACAACTATGACTTTGTTATACATAAGTGGTATCTGTATCCGAATACTTGTACCTTTCGATGAAGTATAATCTTGCCATCATTTACGCGAGTTCACGTACGAGCCGAAAAGTCCAAAGAAAATGTGGAGACCTTTGATTGCCAATTTGGAGTAGGGGTGTTTGATAGTGGAGGGGTGTGTTTGAGAGAGTACGCATTTGTGTATGTATGTAGATCATAGAGTGTGATGGCACCCTTGGTTTAAATTGCTGTATGGAGGGTGGGGTAAGGGATGGGGCAAGGGGTGGAAGGGTTTGCGTATGCGTGTTTGTGGAGAAGAATTTTTTTTGTGTGCATGAAGGATGAGCAATCATGGTGTGGGTCAAATGAGTGCGCGAAAGGGTTGAAAGAGCCAAAGCGATGAGAGGGGAACCAATGCGAGAGAAGCATCCATTGCATAATAATAATAAGTGGGATACATGTGTATGAGTTTATTTTGTGTGTGTGGATTGTGGAGCCAGAGGAGAAAGGCTTGAACGAATCGAGTGAAAACAAGAGTAGGTGGGTTAAGGCAGGGAGTAGGAGGTGGAGGTGGAGGTGGAGGTGGAGGTGGAGGTGGAGGAGTGACAAGGTAGCCTGGGCTGGTCTGACCGCCGTGTCTGTTCTCATCCATGGATGCATCTCCCTCCACATTTTCTTTGTGCGAAAGGACATGATAAAGTACATACATGGGCCAATTTTGCCATCTTGCCACCAGCAAGGGGTTGTGTCGAATGCCTTTTCAGTACTTCCCTCCCTTTATTTTGTATACCCCTTTGGAAGTATTGAAGTATTGAGTTCTGATAGGCAATTCAATTGGGGGATTGGAGGAGGGGCAAAGCTGAGAGTGAACGCATTGTTTGAATTGGCTCCTTATTCTTATTTTTCCCCTTTTTATTTATTCGCAGTAGCGCCATGTAACCTTGTTCGCTGTATAAAAAGAGGAGCATTGTCCATCGATTCTTTCTCCTTTTTTTATTCTTTCTCACCCACAGCCCCGCCACCTCTATCTCTCTCTGTCTCTTCTCCACCACAGAAGACAAACTTCTCTCCCCTCTCGCCTCTTTACTCTCACCTTTCTTCTCTTCATACCCCTCCCTTCTCCTTCTTGTACACTTCTTATCTTTCAACTCCATCTTTCTTCTCTTTGCGACTCTCACTCCCCTCATTCTCTGATAAACATACACATAATGGGTGCCACTCACTCGTCCTCACGCGACTCGCACCACGGCTCCAGGTCCTCCTCGGGCTTCACCATCCACAAGGGACGCTCCTCCTACTCAAAAGAGCGCCTCCGCTCCCACAGCAACAACAGCATCCATACCCCTACTCACTCTTACAACAACCACCACCAACACAAGCAACCTCAGATGCACTACCCCTCTGCCAACAACAGCGCAAGCACCCTCAACACCAGCCACTACCTCTCGCCCGCGTCCTCCTCTCACGCTCACAACAGCCACCCTCAATACCGCAACCACCACAGTGCACCCATCCATAGCCCATCCTCCCATCGCCATGGCACTATCTCCCCACCCTCCAGCAACACCTCCAATAACTCCTCAACACTCCAAAAGGCCGTAACCCGGCGGAGAGCCTCAAGCCAGACAGTCGAGTCAAACATCTCGTCCAGCTACGGCTCCACTCTTGTTGCCTCCTCCCCCGATCGTCAACAGGCCTACCTTCCAAGGCACTCTGGCGAAGGGAAAGGTGCAGGAGGATTTGGGCAATCCCAGGACGATCTCGAGTTCCGATGGTACCATGGACGACGCTACCACAACACTCCTAGCCACTATATGCTCCCCAATGACACCGAAGAAGTCGACAGGTAAAAGAAGCTCTCTTTTTCCTCTTACTGTTCGATCGGCCCGATCGTCCTTTTTTTTTTATTCCACAAGGCTTGCTACTGGCCTCACCTTTCCTTTGACATTCTTTGCCCCTTTTCACTACTTAACCAGATAAGAGAGGGGTTAGTCCTTTTTTTTTTTTTTCTTTTTCTTTGGGTTGTTGTACATTTGGATCGCGCAATGAAACGGATCGAATCTCGTTCCTTCCATCTTTCATCTTCGGTCATTTCCTTCGCCACCAGTCAGAAGTGGGATGTTGCCACTATTCGAGACCCGCACTCTTCCGACCCATTCAGGGCGAAAAGGAGGGATTGAAAGAAAGAGAGGTAGTGACAATGGGGTGGGGGATCGGCAATCTCCACTTCTTAATGTTGTAGTTGGCTCTCTCTCTTATCATCATCATCATCATCCCACTCACCCCCTTTCCCTCGCAAACCAAATGCACGGCTTGCAAAAAAGAAAATTGATTCCGCTCTTGTCTACGTGTGGTCCGATATCGTTTCTCTTCATTTGTCTCTTCTTTTTCGTGCTTGCTCAGTTGTGTCACATAACCTTCCCTACTTCTTCATCATCCAACAACAACAACCATCTTTCCGGTCTGCTCATTTGGAGTTGGCTTGCACATACCTGAATGCGGGAAGAATGGAGCGCTTAGCAAGAGCAGCGAGCTTGCTAAAAACACAAATACAGTTTAATACAACAGACTGGCGGCGATGGGGCACTTCCATCAAGAATGGATGTTGAGCAGTTGCGTAGGAGAGGGGAGCTGAAGTGTGAGAGCCCTTGAGTGGTGGATAAGATGGTTTCGAGCTCTTCACCCTCTTTTTTTTCTTTTTCGTTTTCTGTTTGGAGTGGCGTATGTACGTGTCGGTCATAATACGGGCATTCGTTGTTGGGTGTCTCGGACACTTGGCAGAGTGTCAGTACATGCAGCGACTACATGCCCTTGCATTTCAATCCCCTTGCCATCTTTGTTTACAATGATCGGGTGGGGTGGTTGATGCGCGGTTGTCTACGGAGACAGACGGGTCATCATGACATACAGTAGCCTTCTCTCTCCTCTCCCGCTTTTCCAATTAGCCCTTGTTCCCTCGGAATAGCTCTTTATACAATGACTAACTTGTTTATCTCTCTCCCTCTATCTCTCTCCCAACCCCATATTATATTTTATCAAATAGGTTGCATTTGCAGCACTACATCTACAAGATGATTCTTGGCAACAAGAATATCCATGTGCCCATTCCCAAGGAGTGCGGTCGGGTTATCGATCTTGGCTGCGGCCCCGCCACTTGGACCATGGTACGTGTGCTTTTTCTTCATTCATGCAATGAACCCCTTTCACAGCCCATTCTGTTCGACCTTTACTTCTTGTTTACCCGCATTATATTTTTCGCTCGGTGTGCCTTTTTTTGCTGAAGAGTCCACGGGGTGCGATGCATGTCGCTTGACATGCTTGAACAAAGAGTAGTGTGGTTTTTTATTCTCTCTTTTTCGCGGCAACGTGCGCACACATCCATTGCATCGGATAACCATCCGATCGGTTTATAATCTCAATTGTACACCTCTGCAAATAAGCGCTTGGGAAAGGGAGGAAAAGAGGTAGGAGGGTGTGTGGAGGTGGTGTGTGCACCAAGCAAACAAGTGGCGGGTTGACCTCCTTTGATTGTTTGATTTGCCAGACCATCCCAAGCCCCAATCCCCATTCAACATCGTAATACCCCCTATCCCTACGATCACGCTTTCATGTGCTCATCGTGACCCTGCATGCAAGGGGCAATGCAATGGGCAGGGGTGTCCGTGTTTGTTTATTTTTTTCTTGCTTTATTTTGTTGCTTTTTTCTGAGCGGGCACCCCTACCTTGCGTATGAAAGAATGGGCGCACAACCAGTCCATTTTCATATACGCTGTTTCTGTACTGAAGCCAAGAGATTGGCTCTGTGGGCTGAAGTGCAGCGCCCCAGAGAATAGTATTGAATAAGGTACCGCTTTGGCTTGCGAGGAAGGAGAGTCAGATGGGAAGGAGGATGGGGCAAGACACAAAGTGAAAGGTTTTTGTTTACACAAGTAACTTTACTTCTTCCTCTGCTTCTCTTGTGAGTGACCTCATTGTGCCGCTCTCATCCATCTCCAATATCGATCCATATTCATGCAGCGGATAGCCCCGCGGGGATGGGATTTTTTCTCTTCGTTGTTCAGCGAGCGTAGGCTGGGACCCCCATGCTCATATTTTTTTGCCTGTCACATGGTTTCCTAACATTCCTTTCTCCCTCACGCAACTCTTCTTTTCAATAGGACATGGCAACAGACTTGACATCGGTCAACTTTGTCGGGGTCGACATTTCACCCATCTACCCAGCTGCCATCCACCCCCGAAACTGCGCCTTCTTCCGTGAATGCATCGTCTCGGGTCTCACCCAACCCGACGCCTCCTTTGACGTCGCTTACCAACGTAACGTCGCCCCCGGGTTCACATTTGAACACTGGACCAAGTCAATTGCAGAGGCTTATAGGATCCTCAAGCCTGGTGGATATTTTGAGAGTGTGGAGACGGATGTGATGGTTCATGATGCGGGTCCGATGACGACTGCGTGTTTTGAGCATATGACCATGTCCATGGCCTCCCGGGGTGTCGATCCTTCTGTTGTCCGGTCGTTGGATAAGCTGATGATCGGCGCGGGCTTTGTGGATGTGAGGGTCGTCGAGTACCGTGTCCCCCTTGGCGAGCACGGTGGAAAGTTGGGTCATTTGTGGAAACAGAACATGACGGCGATTATGGAGACTGTGAAGCCCCATTTGGCGAAAGCTGGGAGGATAGGAGATACGCAGGTCGGGGAGATGATTCGGGAGATGGGTAGGGAGACGAGAGGTGTGGATGTGGAGGGCGGGTGGAAGGCTTTCCAGACGGTTTATGTCACCTATGGACGGAAGCCTTTGTAATTTTAATGATCTATTTTCATGTTCTATACCTTTTTCTTTTTTCATGTTAACAACAAACAACTACTACTACAGTCAGTGCGACGACAAAAAAGTAATAAACCCCCTTGTACAGTATCAAATCAAGAACTTGTCCCTTTGTTTTTTTTTGCTTTGTGATGCATCGTGTCGCACACTGATGCTATCGAGTAGAAAGTTTCTTATTGCGTATCTAGCTAGCTTTAGTAGCAAGGAGAACCGACTTGAACGACGAGCCCTTGTCGATCAACAGTCGCACTCCAACCCCACATGGAATCCCCATCCACCACCTCCTCCTCTTCCCCTTTCCTATCCAGCGCCATAGCCTCCCTAACCTCCCTTACAACATGATCCTTCTCCAGCCCAGGCTTAAGAATCGCCGCTAGAAACCCTCCCCCACCTGCGCCGGCGAGGGAGAAGCCTTCGAGGTACGGAGAGAGGTAGGAGAGGAGGTGGGCGATGATGGGTGGGTGGGAGAGGGTAGTTTCTGAGAGATAGCGCTTGTCGGCAAAGTAACGGGTGAGTACTGTTCCCATTGTCTTCAAGTCGCCTATTGTTATGATACCATTAGTGTGAGTGGATATGAAACGCATCTTTTTTTTTTTTTTTTTTTTTTTCCATAAACCACAGAATAAAAAATTACCTTGACGGAGAGCATCCTCGCATTGGGTGGCATCAGCCACCAAGCGATGCATAGTATCAACTACATCTGGTTCCTGGCCGGCCCAGTTCATGAGGACGGTTTGGAGGAGGTTCTTGGCAAGACGCGTCTTGCCGGTGTAGATGAGGAGTAGGCGTGAGTTGAAGGTTGTGATGAATTCCTCTGGAACCTCGATCGTGTTTGTCTTCAGCTATTGGGGGGGGGGGAGGAGAAATAATTTCGAGGCAGAAACAAGTAGAGTTAGTGATGGGGGAGAGATAATGTAAACGGTTTGAAGGGTGATGGGGCGAATGCAGAAAGAGGGTGATGGTACCTGAATGGGGAGGTCGAGTTCACAGGTCGACACTTTGAATCCGGGCATGATCCCTCCTACTTGGTCCTGCCAACCACCGCCTGTACGCACACACACGCATATGAAAAATGTCAGACGAAAATGAAAGGTGCATTGTCCCTCAGGATCAATAGTCGAGACAGACTGCGACGAGCATCTCAGTAACAGACGAAGGGGAAAAGCAACCTACCAATGTTCATCATTTGTTCGACATCGAGGGTCTCATAAAAGAGATCATCGTTCGTGTAGGGGGTTCCCATTAGGGTCTTCAGAACAGCCAGAATCGCTGCAATCAAAATACTGCTCGTTCCCATGCCTAACAAAAGGGGGTATGAAATAGACATCAATCAAGGTTAGCTATTAGATCGTGGTCTCAGAACATGGTACCGGATGGCGTCAGCGCTCAAACACACAGACACACGCACAGAGCGTGCGAAAATTAGTTCATACCGGACCCAACGGGCAAGGAGGAACGAATTTCGAGATCAAGACCACCACCCGAATGTTTCAATGCCTCGGCCATGGTCTTATGGTCCCCATCATGGCGCATGGCAGTGATTCCGAGGATCCCCGACTCGACGAGACAGGCTTTCAGGAGTGCGCCGGGGACCAAAGGGTCTGCATGATCGCGGATTTGTTCGATTGAGTGGAAGTGCTGTGAAGGGATGTTTGGGTCATACGACAGCGATAGTATCAGGCTAGCGTGTTGGAAGGTATGTTGAGGAAGGAAGAGAATTGAATGAATGAATAAAGATTAGCGATTGTGAACAAAAACACCAACCCAATCCAATGTTGCTCGCTCCCATACATAGATTGCTGTTGTTGAGTTTCAAATCGGCGGTGAGATTAGAAAAATAAAAATCGATGGAGCAAGGGAAGAGGCGGAGAGGAAATGAAAATCGATACATCAGGCTACATGACACCAAGGAAAAAGCTCTTTTCAATTGCATATTCCCTTGCATATCCAATTTCTTTTTTGGTTTAGTATTTCCTGTATGTGTCCTGTGTGTCCTGCGTGAGTGAAGGAGTGTGAGAAGGTGTGCGTGTTCTTTCCCACACGCGCGGAGTGTGTTTCAACCAACATCAATAACAACAACCTTACGCTTCTGTTCGACGAGCTTTGACCGTGTACGGCGCCTGTTATGGATATCCGCGGACACAAGGAAAAAAAAAACAATTGTGAGAATGAGGTAAGATGATGAAGAGAGGGCGTTGAGTGTGTGGGTGCTAGGAGCTACAACTGTGTCTCAATTTTCATTTTTCTCAGTGAGCCACATCCTTTCAGGACACTCCTCGTTAGTTCTGCCTTAACTTCCCCCGCAAAGCCCAGACCAATACCGCGGTCTTTAGGACTTTGCCATAGGAGTCGGAATCAATCTCAATCGCTGCTGTTTTGGTTATTCTATCGGTCGGACCCAAATGCCGAATGCGCGCATTCCTCAAAACACTCTATAGACAATTGCTGCGATTTTCGCTAGTCGAGTCTGTTGTCACTTACGCGATTGTTCACTTGGACGGCTACGTTGACAACCTTCCCTCCATGCTCATGTCTATTCACACAGAAATAAAGGAAAGTCGAAAATTCTTATGTCGTTCAGGATTTCCGAGGTTTTGCTTGTGCATACGCAATACCAAAAGGGGTAGAGAACACCATGGACGGTGGTTGTGTTATCTCTCTCAATCGTCCTCTGTGTCTCCGAGATTGATGTATTCCCCTGGAAGGCCTTTTTGTTCGTATCCAGGCTTTGTTATTGATAGATAAAGACAACTTACGTGATGGGGATAGTGTCAGTCCACCCGCCGGCGAGGTCAATTCTTGCAGGTGCGGACGCATAGACAAAAGTTCCGATTGGCAACTTGGATCCCATTGGTCGCGACTGATATAATAATCCTCCTTCTTGTCGTCCAGTCGTTGTTGTTGGGGTGATTGTAGTCGCAGTGTCCCTGTCCTGTTCCGTATGCAGCATTTTTTTTTTTGGTGCTGGTTTGGAGGAGTGATGAATGAGCGAGGTGATGAGGAAGAGTGGGATGGAGAAGAGATGTTGATTTGCTGTTTGAAAAGAAAAGTGAGGAGGAAAAGGAAAGACGAGGGGGGAAAGAAGCAGTTGATAGGTTCCTCGTTGATTTTTTATGTGCGTCTTTTATTCCGGTTTTTCTTCTTCTTTTTCATCAGGCTAGGGATCCCGCCTCAAGCTCTTTGCCCTCGTCCCTTCGTTGCTCCGCAAGGGTAAACAATTGGTTGTGTAAACGAGAAGACTACGAGAAGAACGGTAAAGAGGTTAGAGAGGCACATTGAGAATTGTGCTGGCTGGCTGGCTGTTGTTGGCCTTGGTTGACACAGCCTTTGGTCAACCAGAGGGCTTTTAGCTTGACCATTCTTGGCAGGAGACTTTGTGGCGAGAGAAGTGGCGCGTTTCTGTTCAGTCGCCAAGTTACCAGGCCTCATCAGCTATGCAAGGATAGAGTTCAATTGCTCCTGCCGCTGGCCTAGATAGTAGTAGCTACAGAGACTTCAGATGGAGACCGTGGTGTCCTATCCACTGGGGCGAGAGAGTGATGTAATGAGACAAGGCAAAAAAAGGAGCAGACTGAGCAAGAGAATAAACAAAAAGGGAGAAGACGGCGCCAAGGCGATTAGGCAGTTCGTATTAGAGAGATCGACCCACGAGACACGAGGGGTATGATGATGAGTGTGTTCAACCTTCAAAGACCCCTCTTCTAGACTCTTTTCTGAGAAGGAAGAATTGTTTACGTGACAGAGGGCAATGATTGGATGCAGAAGTGGCGACATTTGGGCAAATGTTCATTGCGGTATTGTGTACGTGGAAAAGTACTGCCGCACCATAAGACAACCAAGGGTTCCTGAACACTGTGATCCCTCCTTTCTCTCCTTTCTTTCTTTTCTCCCCAATTGTCTGCATCGGCAAGCAAGGATCCTCCTATTCACTAGTTTGTTGTAGTGGTTGCTCTGTCTCAACCATCAACATCCTCTCCTTCTTTTCCCCTGCTACACCTCTTTCCCATCCTCCTCCTCTTTGACATTCAGATCCAAGAGAGAGCGAGCGACCTGCCTTTATTCACACTTACACACAGCCCGCTCTTTTTTTTATTTCTTACAACCCATCCCCTCTTTGACTAGCCCTAACCGACAGGCACCTAGTTGAAACCCTTTTTTCTTGACACCTTTTCTACTCTTCAACCTTTTTTCTTTTATTCTTTTTTATTAACAATGGCATACTTCTACTTGACCTCGGGTGGCCACGTCGGCCGCGAAGTGGATTGAGTATACGCGGGATATCAGCTTTTTTACACACCATACGAACCTGAACACCATCACCCCCGCATAAACAAACAAGTACTCCTCTCCTTTTCCTTCCCAACACCCTCCTCCCCCTTTACAACAACAAGCAACAAAGCACCTTTGAAAACACAAAAAAAAACATCCTCCACAACCAATATCCCACTCCACCCAACCCGATCACATACAATACCAACAACCAACCAACCTAGCCAACCTATTTCCTGCCCTCTATTTCTACCTTATCCAAACCCTTTTGTCACACTCCTCCTCTACCCGGAACCTTAACCACCATCTTCCTCTTCCTCGCTCTCTATCTCCATTTGGCTGACTGCACCTCCATTTGGTCACGTTTCTTTTTTTTTCTTTTCGATCGTCATTCACCCTTCGGTTTAATTATCCTATCACTATCAACACTATTACTATCAGCAACATGTTCGCGTCTTCTACACCAACCTCCTCGGGACCCAGCTCCTGGTTCCAGGACGAAGACCTCCTCCTCTCGCCTCAGGACGTCCTCGACTACACCTCTTTCTCCGACGACTCCCACTCGCCCATCCTCTCCATGGACTCCTTTTCCTCCGCCAGCCACAGCCCCGACCTCAGCGCCTACTGCTTTCAGGAGTTTGCACCCCTCGACATGCCCACCTTTCACTCCAGCCCCATGCCTACCACTGAGCCCACCAACTACTCGGTCAACGACGAGACTCACCGCCAGGCTGCCCTCTTGCACGCCTATTTGGCTTCCCAGAGCCAAGGCACTCAGGCTCAGGTATCAATGCAATCTCAGTGGACCGTCCCCTCGTCCACCGCCCAGGAATTGGTCCATCATGCCCAGATGATGGAACAAACGAACCAGTTAGAGCAGCAGCACCGCATCGAACAGGAGCGTCTGGAGCAGGAGCAAAAAGAGCAAAGAGAGCAGGAAGAGAGACACCATGCCCAATTGATCCGCCTGGCTGATGCACAGAACCTTGCTCGCTACCTCGCCCAGGCCCAGAAGGACGTCAAGCAAGAGTCCTCACCTTCGCCCTCGCCCGAGACTGCCATGGAGCACGACAGCGTCTCTGCCCCTCACTCGCCTTCGCCCTCCTCCTCTTCGGATGACAAGAGCCCCATGGGATCGCCCACTCTTGCCGAGCGATCGCTCAGCCCCGAGGCGGCTAAGAACACCACCCCCAACTCGTCGTGTACCAAGCGCAACCGCGAGCTCATCTGCTTCAACTGCAAGGTCACTCAGACTCCCCTTTGGCGTAGGACCCCTGATCGCAAGCACTCGCTCTGTAATGCCTGCGGTCTCTACTACAAGCAGTATGGTGCCCACCGTCCCTTGCACATTCGCCACAAGCTGCCCACTGTCTTGGCCGATGTTCGTGCTGGCGCCCTGCCCTATGCCCGCCCTGTCAACATGGCCAGTCGTGCTTCGTCCCCTGGAGCCCTGGAGATTCCCTTTGTGTTTGCCCCCACCTCGGTCGCTAGCGATTCGTCTGCCTCTTCGTCCGATAGCGATTCAGATTCGAGCTCCGGTTCCCGTCCCCACAACTTGGCCTCCTTGCCCGACCTGGCCAAGATGTACACCGACGCGTTGATCCGACCCCCAGTCCAAAAGACAACGCCTCCTCTGATGACGGCCAAGCAGGGAATCGAGTGCGCTAACTGCTCTCAGACCCAAACCCCTCTCTGGCGCAAGAACGATGCCGGCGAGCCCATTTGCAACGCCTGCGGCCTCTATGCCAAGCTCCACCACCGCGACCGCCCCGTGACGATGCGTAAGACCAAGATTACGCGCCGTCGTCGTGATTGGGGAGGTAACCTGGCTCATCAGGCTCAAGCTCAAGCCCAGGCCTTGGCTTTGGTCCATGCTCAGGCCCAGGCTCAGGCTCTCGACGCCATCAAGAGTGGATCTTCCGAGATGGAGTCTCAGCAGCCTACCGCCGTGTCGATGATTGTTGATGAGATGGAGCTCCTCGCCAGTGCGGCCCCTGCTCCCATGCACTTGAGCGATGAGAGCGAACAGGATGATGATGATGAGGAGGAAGAATACGAGCAAGAAGTTCAAGAACCTCAGCCAGAGTCACAACAGGAGGAGATGATTGTCGTCACTCCAATCCCCGTCGCTGCACCAGCACCAGCACCAGCTGCAGCACCTACTGCCCCTCAGACTTTGGCAAACAACAGCATTTTGGATGAGAGCAAGTTTTCGGACATGGTGGGACAGATGAATGCCCACCAGATGAACCGGTTCTTGTCGATCCTCGAGACCCGGTGTGGAGTATTGCGTGAGCGTCTGTTGGCCAGCACCGAGGCCACCGCTCAATCCAGCCTGGACCATTTGTTCTAAGATCCTTCCATGCATTACTCTAATCCGCCTTTCCGTCCATTGTTTTTTGCTGTTTGATTTTTTTTTGTTTCTACTTCTGTAATCGTTCCCCCTTCCCTCGTATTTCTTTTTAGTCTTCCTCTTCTTTGCATGTAATAGTACTTTCTTTTGTTATGGAATAAACCGTCTTGTGTGTTTTTTTCGATTCTAGACTGCGTTGTGTGCTTGTTGACGTTTGTGAGTGAATTGGAAGCTGAGGTACAGAAGCGACAAGATGAGCGTGCACTCCAACGCCGTTTACGATATTTCAACTGCTCCAACCTTGACATGGACTGGGGTGAGTGTAAGCCTCTCTTATCCCTTCGATCGTTTTAGGGACATAAATGTCCCTATTTTTTTGACCGTTTGTTGTTTGCTAACCAACGGTTATTGCAGTATGTTGTTTCATTCATCTCTCTCACCCATTCATCACTCAAACCTTGTTTTACATTCACTCCGCCCAACTCCTAATCCTCATGCGCAGCCCGTTGTAAGATCGTCAAAGTGACGCCTGCTCCTGTTGAGGAGACGCCTGACCCCCAGTTGAGAAGGAGAAGGGAGGAAGACAAGAACTACGATCGCCAAGTCCCCACAACGATATGGAAGTATTGGTTCTGCAAATGTGCCCTTTGTTGTCTGAGTGGAGCTCGCAATTGTTACAAAGGGGTATCATGGTATTCCATAGTGCATCTTCCATATCCATATATTCCCCTCCTCCAGAATGCAAGCTTTTTCAATACATATGAACAACAAGCTTAAAAAAAAAGGTGCAAACCTGGTACCTGGGACGTGGGGCATAGTCAGTTTCCTCGTTTATAGTCCCCCTTTTCTTTATTAAAAGACAACGCGCTCTCGTATTTTCGTTCCTCACGCCACCCCTCGTTAGTGCTCGTCCACCCGTTTCTCCGCCCGTTCCTTCTCTCTTCCTTTGTTCTAAACTCGTTGCAAGCGGTGGGGTGGGTTGGTCATCGTTGTGGGCGATGGTTAGTTGACAAAGTAGCCCTGTTCCATTACGACTCGAGTGTTGGATATGTGGGTGGGAGTGGGAGGACTTTGGCTAGCACGGAGGTCGAGGCGAGGGAAGGTTGTTCCTCGTTTCGACTGTTGAGTGCCTTCATTTCTCATTTTCTTCCTGGTACCAAACGAGCAAACTGACGGATGCATGACATATCGTTGATCCTCATTTTTTTTTATTCAAGATACGAGGATCTCTCTGTCATGTTCAAACACTCAAGAATCTTCATCCTCAATGATAGTTAGACAGCAACTTTTTGAACCCCCCCCCCCCGGTTTACGATTGACCAGTTGAGAGGATTGGCAAATATTTCCCCCTTCCAGCCAGCTCCCGGCACCTTAACACGCGGCACCCGTTCCAAAAAAAAAAAAAAACTCCCTGTAAAAAATACTCTCCCACCAGCACTCTCCTTCAACAAACCTCTTTCCTTCACGATAAAGATGCACACGAGGCGTTCGCCAAGATCCTACCACACCTTCACCTCCGCACACTCTTGCCACCACTTCTTCTATCTCCCTCTTCTACTCCGATTTAGTCCCTACTCAGCTGAGTCAGCTCGTGGAGAACACCAATGCCTCACATCGCCGTAGTAGAGAAAATGTTTTCCCTCACTTGCCAATAATGCCTCACAAGGGAAAGAAGATATAAAAGCAAGGAACAAAAAAAATGAAGCAACAAAAAATATGAAGCAAAGAACCAAAAAAAAAAATATGAAGCAAGGACCAAAAAAAAAAAAAAGAGCAAAGAACAAAGAACAAAAAACGAACAAGAAACGAAAAAGAGATGAAGAGCAAAGAACAAAAAAAGCAAGCCCTCAGTTGCCTACAATGCCTCATAATGCCATAAAAAAAAGGAAGCTCACATTGAACAGAGCGCTTCAGACTTTGTGTAAGTCATCATTGGCATAGCGTCTCAGACTGTGTGAAAGTCATCATAGGCATAGAGCCTCAGACTTTGTGCAAGTGTCATCATAGTCGTAGAGCCTCAGACCGTGTGCAAGTCATCATAGGCATAGAGCGACTCCCATCCTAAAAAAAAGAAGACATGCAACATAACATAGATTAGCACCCCCATTACGTCTTCCTCCAACAGCATTTACCAGTGCTGGGAGGACCAGACGTCCCCCTCAGGGGACGGGGGTAGTGACTCCTTTCGACCCCTTCCTGATACCCTCTTGTCGCTAAAGTGATACGATGATAAAGAAGCTTTCTGATTAGTAAAACGTTCGGGCTACGAAAATTATGTGTAGAGAAAAAACTAACTACACCCACGCGCGCACCCACTTTCTTTTCCTGTTGCTTGAAGGGAAGGGACGAGAAGGGAAGGGAAGGGGGGTGTTTATCTTACCAGGCGTCGGTCCAGACGGTGGAGGCGGGTGTAACGAGGAGCAACGCTCGACTCTTGTTACACCCTATCTTGGCAGGGGCGGGTATAAGGAGGAGCCAGCTCAACTCTACTTACACCCGCCTATCTAGGCAGGGGAAGAGAAAAAAACCCTTTGGAGGGAGGCAGGCGGGTGTAATGAGGAGCCAGCTCAACTCTACTTATACCCGCCTATCTAGGCAGGGGAGGAGGAGCAAGCTCGACTCTACTCAACCCTGTGAGGGGAGGCGGCTGGGTGTAAGAAGAGGAGCCAGCTCAACTCTGCTTACACCTGCATATCTAGGGGAGGAGGAGCAAGCTCGACTCTACTCAACCCACTAAGGGGGGGACGGCTGGGTGTAAGAAGAGGAGCCAGCTCAACTCTGCTTACACCTGCATATCAAGGGGAGGAGGAGCAAGCTCGACTCTACTCAACCCTTCTTTCTTGGTAGACCTGGGGCTTGAGGGTATGGAGGGCATCACTTCCTCCTTGCACCCTAACTTGCCACTAAAGCGATATGGATGACAGTAATTAAATCTCTGATGATTAGTACATAGTATACTCGTAACCATGATGAGACAATCACTCAAGAACAAAAGCGCAGGAGAGCGTGGGAACTGGGAACCCTGGAGTTGTGTAAAGAACGCAAGGAAGGAAGCAAGAGAGCGTGGGACCTGGGAAACGAAGAGCGTGGGACCTGGGAAGCGAAGAGTGTGTAAAGAAGGGGAAGAAAGAGCAAAAAAAAGTAGCGCAAACGTAAACGCTCACCCCCACAGAAAAAGACGAGGAGGGAGCAAAAAGAAAGCAAGTCAGACGCGCAACCCATACACGACAACTCAAAAGAAAAGGATTCCGGAGAGCGTGGGAGCTGGAAAACGACGTGGAGTTTATGAACGAACAAAACAAGCAGCGCAAACACAAACGCTCACCCCCACAGAAAAAGACGAGGAAGGAACAAAAAGAAGGCAAGGCGTGTGCTCTTGCACAAAAACACGAAGAAGGAAGAAAGAAACTAGGACAAAACAACGCACACGCGCACCCAACAACGAGAAACAACGAGATAAGGAAAGTAGAACGGGAAAGAAAGTGTGGGAGAGGAGATACAACGCGAAAAACAGACACACCCTCTTTCGTTTTCTGTTCCTGAGAAAGGGAGGAAAGGAAAGAGAGGAAAGGAAAGGGAGGAAAGGAAAGGGAGGAAAGGAAAGGGAGGAAAGGAAAGGGAGGAAAGGAAAGGAAATGGAAGAGAAGGAAGGTGGTTTTCTTACCAGGCCAGCGGCGGTTTCCAGAAGAGGAGTGAAGAAGAAAGAGAAGAAAAGAAAACAACTGTTTTGGCCAGGGAGATTGCCTTTTATACCACGTGGCACGTGCAAGCAAATATTGCTGCGTCATCTTGGGTGGCAAAGAGCAAGGGCGAGTGCGTGTGTAACTAGAGGGGTGGTTGACAGGGCTCTCAAAAAGGAAGTATACGAAAAGGTTTCCCATGCAAAATGGGATATTCCCATCTCTCTAAACGCAGGACCTTCTCCATTGACCATGAACCAACCTTTGTCTGACTCTTGTTTCATTCGTCATCCATGGCCTCTCTCCGCACCTCTTATTTCCCTTTCTTAATGCCTCTTCTGTCCTTCTCCAAGTAAAGGATGGTTGCATGGTCAATGGGTCCATGATAGAAGGTCCTGCGTTTAGAGAGATGGGAATATCCCATATTGCATGGGAAACCTTTTCGTATACTTCCTTTTTGAGAGCCCTGTCAACCACCCCTCTAGTTACACACGCACTCGCCCTTGCTCTTTGCCACCCAAGATGACGCAGTAATATTTGCTTGCACGTGCCACGTGGTATAAAAGGCAATCTCTCCGGCCAAAACTGTTGTTTTTTCTTTTCTTCTCTTTTCTTCTTCACTCCTCTTTGGCCCCTCCTCTTGTCACCCACCTCTACCGTCTGGAACCCGCCGCTGGCCTGGTAAGAAAACCACCTTCCCTTCCCTTCCCTTCCTTCCCTTCCCTTCCTTCCCTTCCCTTCCCTCCCCTTCCTTCCCTTCCTCACCTCCCTTTCTTAAGGAACAGAAACGAACGAGGGTGTGTGTATCTGTTTCTTGTTGTATCTCCTCTCCCACACTCCCTTTCCCGTTCTACTTTCCTTTCCTCGTTGTTTCTCGTTGTTGGGTGCGCGTGTGCGTTGTTTTGTCCTAGTTCCTTCCTTCCTTCCTCGAGTTTCTGTGCTGCAGCACAAGCCTTGCTTTCTTTTTGTTCCCTCCTCGCCTTTTTCTATGAGGGTGAGCGTTTGTGTCCGCGCTGCTTGTTTTGCTCCTTGCGTTCTTTAAGCTCTCCTCGTCGTTTCCCAGTTCCCACGCTCTCCGGCTTCTTTCTCTTTTGAGTTATCGTGTATGGCTTGCGCGTTTGGCTTGCTTTCGTTTTTTTCCCTCCTTGTCTTTGTTTGTGGGGTGGGCGTTGCGTTCGTGCTGCCTTTTAGGTTCCTTCTTCCCCTTCTTTACACAACTCCACAGACGGTTTTCAGTTCCCACGCTCTCCTACTTCCTTCTTTCCCTTCTTTACACAACTCCACGGTCCCCCTTTGTCCTTGAGTGATTGTCTCATCAGATTACATGTATACTATGTACTAATCATCAGAGATTTAATTATTGTCAACTGTTTCGCTTTAGGGCAAGAGAGGGTGCAAGGAGGAATTCATCCCCTCCTCACCCTCATGCCTGGGTCCACCAAGGAGAGAGAGGTTGTAAGTAGAGTCGAGCGGTGCTCCTCCTTACACCCTCCCCCTGCAGAGATGAAAGGGTGTAAGTAGAGTCGAGCGTTGCTCCTCCTTACACCCTTCCCTGCCGAGACGAAAGGGTGCTAGGAGGAATTGAATCCCTCCTTGCACCCGTGCCGCTGCCGAGATGAAAGGGTGTTAGGGGGAATTGAGCCCCCCCTTGCACCCGCCTCGGTCAAGATGAAAGGGTGCTAGGAGGAAGTGATACCCTCCTTGCACCCGCCCCAACCAAGATGAAAGGGTGCTAGGAGGAACTGAACCCCTCCTTGCACCCGCCCCTGCCGTTCGGACCGACATCTGGTAAGATAAATACCTCCATTCCCTTCCTTTCCCTTCCATTCCCATCCCTTAAAGGAAAAGAACGTGGGTGAGCGCGTGGGTATGGTGATTTTTTTCTCTGCACATTTTTTTGGTAGCGCAAACTTTTTACTAATCACAAAACTTCTTTATCATCGTACTACTTTAGTGACAAGAGGCTGCCAGAAAGGGGTCAAGAGGAGTCACGACCCCCTTCCCCCTCATACCTAAGTGTCCGCAATCCCGACTTGGCATGGGTGGCCGTGTGCTTGGCCGTGTCAAGGAAGTGGGTGCGCCGGCATGGTGGTCACCTTGGGGGCGTCTGGCCCTCCCAGCACTGACATATGCTGTTGGAGGAAGGCGTAATGGGGGTGCTAATCTCTGTGTCATTGCATGTCTTCTTTTTGTTAGGATGGGAGAGGCTATATTCCTATGATGACAGATGCAGCAAGTCTTAGGCGATATGTCTGTAATGGCACTTGCACCAAGTCTGAGGCGCTATGCCTATGATGACACCTGCACCAAGTCTGAGGGCCCCGGCTCAATGCGAGCTTTCTTTTATTATGGCATGAGGCATTGTAAACAACTGAGGGCTGACTTAATTTTTTGTTCTTTGCTTCATTTTTTGTTAATAGGGATTAGAAGAAGTGGTGGTAAGGGTGTGCGGAGGCGAAGGTGTGGTGGGGGCTTGGCGAAGGCCTCGTGTGCGTCTTTGGCGTGAAGGAAGACGTTGAAGGAGGGGGTGTTGGTGGAAGAGTACCTTTACAGGGAGTTTTTTGGAACGGGGTTTCGCGTGTTTAGGTACCGGGACCTGGCTGTAAGGAAAAGAGCGAGGACAAAGAAAACGGAGAGTAGGAAGGAGAGCAATCACCATACTACAAATACCAAACCATCAGCCATGGTCGTTCGTAGTTACTTTTTCGTTATTAAAAAGGCATTTTCGTTATTAAAAAGACATTTTCTCTAGTATCTGTTCTTCATGCCCTCGTTGGTGCTCGTCTACTTGCGTCTTTGTCCATTTCTTCTCTCTCTTCTCTGTTCAGAACTCGTTGCGGGGTGGATTGTTCATGATTGTGTTGTGGGCGTTGGTTGGTTGTTGAAGATGTCGTCTTTCATGACGATGAGTCGAATGTTGGATGTGTAGATGGGAGTGGAGGGTCTTGACTCGTACGAAGGTCGAGGCATGAGAGGGTAGGAGAGTCGAGATAGTACGATAGAGAGAAAAGTACGTATGTGGTATATGAAGTGTGTGAAGGACAGGAAACAAGAAAGAAAGAATGAAAGAAAGGGAGAAAGAAAAGGAAGAAAAATGGAGGGAAAGGAGAAAGTTAAGAAAGAAATTGCAAAGAAAGTTGGAACGGGGTGGCCTTTTATATGTGTCTGTCCTTGGCGAGCAACAATGCTTTGCATAAATGATCATAGGTAAACGCGCGCGCCTCGAGTAAACGTCCAAGGGATAAAAGGAGACTTTCCCTTGTCTCAAACGCATCTTGTTATTTTGTCATTCAAGCGCGTCATGATCCTGTTTATCAGTCGCGTATAGGACCTTCCGTTACGATCGACCTTTATGGGCGCTTCATTTGCTTTATTAGAGACAACTTTACTACAAGAGACACAAGAACATGGATGTTATGATTGCCTTTAATCCTGGTGCTTGAAACGTACGCTACTTATTGCATCCTTTACCTTGTTGTAAGATCGAAAAGCATTAAGGAGCTAGTGAGCGCGTTGGTTGCGGAGGACACGTAGCTACTCAAGCCCGAGGATCATGGCAGGATGTGACCTCATTTCTTTTAATGGTGGCGTGTCAAGACAACAGATCTGCTCTCCATTGTGCAAGAGAAATAAGAGGATTTCTCTCATATGATGCTCTCTCATCGACATGTTATTTGCCATTGTATGTGCATCGCATAGACAGGGATGCATCGTCCACTGTTCCTACTTGTACGCTTTTTTTTCATCGCATTTTTTTTTGTTGCTAGATCAAGGATGCAACGGGGGCTGGTGTTGGGCCATTTGATGTAACAAGCATTTCACCAGAATGCAAATTAAGGATTCGCCATTGAACAGGCGACAAACTGCTTGTGACCATCACTAACTTTATGAACAGGAACAAGACGATGGACCACACTGAGGGACGGCTGGGCAACCTCTATTTTCCATGTTCATCAGAAATCGAGGTGACACGCACTGACTTCATTGGAGAAGCGATGAGGACGCGGGTCGAATGGTAGTTTCTTCTTTTTAAAATTCAAATATGAGGACTGACTGACTGATGCGTGGATGCCAGGCGATCATCGATCGTTGGAATAGGCACATCCGACCAGAATGTGCTGTTAATAACATAAAAAAAAAACATATCCTGATCCGAAGCTTTTGGAGTTTTACGACTTTGAGTATTACACTGAAACACCCTTCATTTTATCATCACAAAAGTGTTGCTGAGGATAGTACTGATGGAGACCTCTCCTCCTTTTATTACGTTCCTTCCCAATTGGCTGTGAAGGCCTCTCATGAGACGCTTGTGTGATGAAGTGGACGAGATTGACGAGGAGGCCGAAGGAGAAGAAGAAGAAGAAGAAGAAGCGCAGCACACGCCTGGTAAAACATCCGCACTACCCCAAAGGTGATGAATGGAGTCTGTTGCTTCAATATGGACTAACTTTTTGCATGTAATTTTCTGTCAATGCCAATGTAGATTCAGTCGAGAAGGAACCAAGCCGTGCCCCATCTACGAGTCATCCGGAGCGTAACTCGAATGCTCTGCGATAGTCTCAGCTTGGACCAAGATATCAACTGAAACTGAGTTCGAAAAGCCTTTCATGAACCAGACAAGTTCACGGAGCACGAGTTTAACGTTGTAGCAGACATTGTCGAGAAGCTCAGACCATACGCTCCCAAACGCCATAAACCCACTCAAGGCCGCCGAAGAACCCTTCCGACTCCAAGCGCTGCGTCGATATGCGGAATAGTCCTCATTGCCAACACATTACTCCGAGTATCCCGGCTATCCAAATTTCACGCGCAGGATCGCTCCACCCGATACCATTGGGGGCAGCAGCGTTGTACGAGTGCCTATGCGCGAAGAGTCCAGGTCACTTTGGCCCTTTCTACGATTCCATCAACAAGATAACATCCCTCCCCGCCGCCATACACCACAAGGATGAACTTTTTGCATCGCTATTCGACATGAGCCAGCATCAATATCATGTGTGCTCAGCGGAAGTTGACTTTTGTTCGGCGTATAAGTTTATTGACAGTTTTTGCGTTATAATGCGATCCGCCTTGCGAGTTTTGAGATGGAATAATAGAAGGTTGCTGATACTTCATATTTCTTTTTTGTAGAAATCAGATAAGCTGTCTCAGGAACCCAGGCCGCTTGGCCTTGACCACAAGGGCAGGAGGAAGCGGTTCTTGGACAAGGAACGGGTTCAAAGAGATACGGCCGCCACCATCAAGGGGATTCGAGACACGCGAGGCTCAACGGACGACGCCACTGAACTCTTAGAAGGTGGATAGATTGCATCAAAAGGCCTTGTATGACTTTCGAAGGGGCGAGATCGGAGGCAGAGGATGCATTCGAGGAATGGGCAAATCATTAGGATCACATCCGCCAATTGCGCGCTTCCAAATACGCATTCGTCAAGATTGGCAACATAGCGCAGAACCCTGATACCACCCCATTTACCACCAACAACTCTGTTGACCCCAACTTGGAGTCGGCCTTGTATCGAAGATAGAACGGAGAAGATTCGGATCGAGCATATGCTGCAGGAAAATGGTTGAGAGGCAGGAACGACGAGCAATAGGGGTTTTATCTGGCGACTCAGGGCTGGTGACTCTCCAGAAGTCCATTGCGCAAACACTCAGTGGCGTGGTCGATCACATTCGACAATACGAGGTGCTGACATCTAATCGATTTGAACTGCTGCCAGGTAATTATTCGCCAAGGAAAAAAAAATCTAAGAAAGCCTAGGTAGTTTGCCTTGCCTAAATGTTTGTGTTGCTTGCTCATCATGCTCTACAAGGACCGGCAGGGACCTCTGTAGGCTCGCGCATCAAGGGACATACGAAACGCGGTGGTCCCATCAACACCGTCAAAGCTGCATTGTCAGTCACACGAACGAAAACTGAACGTCCAGGATATATTCAGCATGTTATCGGACGATATCTCTGATGACGGCGAAGAGAATCAAGGATGGCAACATCAAAACACTACGTTTACACGGAGCGGTCCAATGTCGATACAAAGATTTGCTTGCCCACGGTACAAGGCTGGGCGCCCAACTCAGGGGCTCGATACAAACAGCGCCATCAACATTGCGACAGCAGGAGCAAGCAGTCTTTTTTCAGCCAACAATACCATCCTTCCACCGTTCCGGCCATTCTCACTTCCTTCACCCCCAACAACGCCAGAGCCACCTTTGGAACAAATCAAACCCTTGCCACCACACCCAGATGCACCAGTAGGACTAGTTAGTTCATTTAGGCTAGGTCGTTTTTATTAATGTGCAACTGTAATAGCAATACGCTGATCGCCTACAGAAGTAGCCGACACCGCCGCTACATCGTCCTCAGAACTCCTACCCTCAACAGTTCTCGAATTCGTCGACCCTGAACTCGCATTAGCAGAAGCAGCAGCGGCTGCATTCTTGAGTTCCTGCTCCAACCACTCTCTCAGAACCCGTTCCACCAACCGCTGAGTCGTCGGACTGGTAGGTCTCGAATCCTTTCGTGTCGGCTGAGGACGCGAGGAGGGAGCTCCGCTGACATGGATGTGGAGGTTGGTGCTGCTGTTGTTGTTCGAATGCGGCAACACATTCTCCAACACCAACGATCCCGAACTGCTCCCTGTCGAGTTCAACGATCCTGCCCCTCGCACCGGATGGGGCTGCTGCACATTCGACATAATCGGGCTAGGACATGCGCTAGTGGCATTCCCCTGCTGAATGGAAGCAAACTTCAGTGCCGGCGAATTACTGCTCTGTCGATCCCGATACGTCAACCTCATAGTTTTTTCATTCCACAACCGCGAGTGGATCTCCTGCTGCTGCATCAACTCCAACTGCTCCTGCTCCCACAACTGCGCCCTCAGATCATCATCCAGACTATCGCCTCCGAGCTCACTCAGGACTCGAATAATCTCTGCGCGCTTATACATGGCGGGCTGTTCCTGCTTCAGTCCCGTGTTGGCGAGGAGGGGTCCCATGACACGGAGGTATGCGTGGCGGAGAGGTTCCTCTTCTTCAGGGAGATTCCACAGTTCGCGGATGACAACGTCCACCAGGACGTGGAGATCGTTCGTGTAGAAGAAATCGTTCAGTGTTTGGTGAGGCGATGTGAACAACAAGTACAGCAGCTTCAAAATCAACATCTGCAACGCACTTTCCTCTACATCGACAGAAAAAATGAACAATAATAAATATGATAAGTCCACACATATCTTTCATAACAGCCATTTAGGCATAAATACACAAGGTTGTACATATAAAAAAAAAAAGAAGGATAGTTCTTTACCAGCGCGGTTGAGCATGAAGATGAGGTTTTCGCCAAAGGTGCAACTGGCGCCAGGACGATCCGAGAGTGCGGAGAGCAAAGGGTTCGAGGGGGTATATTGGCGGGCAGCACGGCAGGCGGCCATGTGGAGCATATATTGTTCGTTGAATGTGAGGAGCAACTTGATGACTCCATAGTTAAGTCTTTCATCCGCGTCCGTCCTTGTCCGTTCCACAAGATCCAGTAGATAATGCAAAAGATCCTCATCCACCAGGGCTGTTGATTGTTTCACATGCGAAAATAGCCGAAAAAAAGTAGGGGTTAGGACAAAATTAATTCGATAGGACGTTATCCATCGACCAAGCGCGTTGAAAAGAATACTTACCAAGGTCGCGTGGCTTCAAGGACTGGACGCGGCAGATCTCAAAGAGGAGATCGACAGCAAGGGGCTGTAGCCGCTCTCCGTCCATTTCGAGGATCTGGTACTTGAGTTTAGCCAAGAATTCGCTCTTGAGGATCCAATGGTTTACTTGTTGGTTCTCCTTGCCTGCGTATAACAAGATCTGATATGTAATCCACATGTCTCGCACTTCCTGGCCCTATATTTCATGCAAGGGAATTAAGTAGTAAAGAGATGTTAGTGTCTTGAACTAAATGTCCCGAGGAAAAAGTGCAAGCTTGGATGAATTCGAAGACGAAGTAACAAAAAATAGATAGATGCCTAGATCCCTTTTTATTTCCTCCGCCTCGCCCCTCCTCTCCACTTTGAAATTCTTATTTTTAAAACAAATGACGCTGCATGTCTCTAATTGTACGGTATGTGTACTGGGTGCACACTTGACCCTATTTTTGCCCACAGACCGCCCACTGCTGGTCCCTCTTCCCAACTCTTTTTTTACTCACACCCACGCTCACTCGTCGTTGTCGTCACCCCTGGGGTTTAATCTCGATAAACATTTATCAACAAACAATAACCGTTACATCATCCATTTTTCCCATCCGCCAAAGTCGGATTTTTTTCTTGTGCGGCGGGCGCAATGCAGTGTTTGGACTCCATGATGGAAAAAAAAAGAGCACATTGATTATTCATCCCCCCATCTATCCATGCTTCGCACACCACTTAGTTTCGTCGCTTGTTTCCTAAACAGCTCCACAGGCGAAGGACTCACCTCGATGGCACGGTCAAGAATTGCAGACGCGATCGCAAGGGTGTTGTTCTGGAACATCTCCGAGTCAAAGAGACGGTAGCAGCAGTTGGCCAGATCCTGTCCTGAATTGTCCAGAAAGTCGTCTAGAAAGGGTAAGGATAGTAGTGTCGATAATCAATTAGCCAACTGTGAAGGTATTGTTACTGTTTCAAAGACCGGGAAACTAGAGCGATGAACGAGAAAAAGGTGAAGAAAAGGGCCGAAGTGACTTGAACCAATCGAGGTTGCCTTGATCGATGGATAAGGTACCACTCTTCCTCGGAAAAGAAGTCGGGCGAGTGTTGTATGCGAGAGAGAGAGAGAGAGAGATCACACTGCAGAGGAGAAACATGACCCCAACTCAAAATAGTAAACATTGGGCAAAAGGGCCAGGCACACCTTAATTACGCAGAGGGAACGGCAATGATAAGAGGGAGAGCCAATGGGTAAAAAAAAAGGGGATGTCACTCCTTCAGCGAGTCGGGTGGGGCCATATGATCCTATGGGAATCAGGCATGCCAACCCTCCCTCTCCTTCTCCCTTGCACCAGCCCAGCTGTTATATTTGTAGTTATCTTTCTCCTGAATTTTAAAAATGCTTATGTCCTCCTTATCCATTTGCTTTGTCGGAAAAGAGGGGGGTGAATGGAATAAAAAGTGGAGGAATAAGAATGAAAAGGCCAGTGTGTTAAATTGGACTTGGACTTGTTGTTGCCTTTACCTTGGTATTGGACCAGTAGAGAAATAAACGCGTTGACTTGCGATTCAGGGCTGTCGTGGAATCCGCCTCCATCCAACTGGTCCTGTAGTTCTGTTTGTTGAAGGGAACATAAACGCAACGTTTCAAAAATGCCATGGTTAGCTTGGATTGGAAAAAATAACGACGTCAGGGAGAGTAAAAGGAATGCGGGGGGAGGGTAACAGAACAGAGTATCGAACGGATAATAAAACCAAGGATTGTTGCTGTATGTTACCTGCGTAGAACTGGACGGGCGATTCGAAGGTGTAAGTGAAAAAGGCCATTGTTGGTAGGGGAGGAGGTAAGTGTGGTAGGCTGTGGGTAGATGCAAGAGTGAGGGTGATCAGGTGTGAATCGGCACTAAAGGAGAGTGGTATATGGTGAATGTGAGAACGGTATAATGAGCGTATGAGGCTCTATGGATGAATGGTGTGAGGATGGATGAATGTACAGAGGAAAGACGATGCAGCAATGAAGGCCAAAGTAAGAGGTAAGGTGAGGAGGATGCAAAAGGGTATTGGGGTGAATGAAGGTGTTAATCAGAGGTGAGGATGAGAGTGAGAAGGTAAAAGAGAAGAGAGGAGTGAATGATGTCGACTGTTTGTCGGGTAGGGGTAGGATAGAACTATGAATTGGTAGGGCGTGTGGAGGGAGGGAGGAACCTAGTGTCGAATGGGGTAAGGGGACAAGAAAGGAGGAACAACAGTCGGAAGGGAAGAAAAGAAAGGAAGAAAAGGTTAACGAAGAAAAGAAAGAGAAGAAAGAGAAGAAAGGAATGGCAGAAGACTTTGAAAGAAATACACAAAAGAATCGCCTTCTTCGACCATCAACTGCCTCTCTTTTCTTTAATTCTTTCTACTCCCTTTCATTCTCTCTCCTTTCTTTGTTATCGAAACTGTTTTTCGCAAGAGTTTCCATTCGAGCTGCAAAATGGGGTGAACGAGAGAGTCGTTGTGGACTTTCAATTCAATCTTTTACGCCGGCCGTTATTTTTTTGTTTTTAATCAAACATTATTCCTGATATGCCTCAATAAGACAGACAAAGTCATCAGTGATGGTGCCTGGGTGGTTGGGATCGTCCTTTTCCTTACACTTTTCTTAAGGGGGAAAAAGGTGAGCCATGGGACTCTCCTTGAACATCAGATGCACCTGTTGACATGATAGTGTAGCCTTCCTCCATATGGCTATGAGTTGCAGTTTTCATTCAGATATCCCCTCCAAGGAAGGAAGGAACAACAGATTCATTCACAGCTGCAGTTGGTTCATAGGATAGTCCATTCATGAACCCGACGAATCACAGCCAGCCTGGCACCTTTAGGAAAAACTAGGCAAAGGATTCATCCAAAAGCAAATAAAGTGGGGGGGGGGAAGAGATCCGTGTCGGTACCTCAAACACCCAGTCACACTCAAAAACATTCTCAATATTGCAAACACATGGAGATATCGTGTTTTAATAGATGCTTGCTGGAGTACTCCTTGCGAACAGCGCTTAATTGCTGTACTCGGGGTTGAGGCTGCTACGCATCAATTGGTCGGTCACCTCGACATAGCCCTTCCTGCCCGCCTGTGTCACATATCCAGACACCAACGGTTCGTGCTGTGGAGCCTTGAACACCTCCACAAACGAATCGCCCATTTGCCGTTGTTGACCGTTGACAATCGAAGAGGATCCCAAATCAGCAAACGACGACACTCCTTCCTCTGATCCTCTTGAGGGAGATGAAGATGGCGATGAGCTCGATCGAATATGAGATCGAGTCATCACATCCCCATCCTGCTCCTGTTGTTGTTGAGAAATAGACGACGCTCTGCTGTGTCCTGGCTTCTTTTGCACAAATACCACCTTGGGCACAACTCCCTGAACCAACTCAACAACACTCTGCCGTGCCTCCACATGGACCTGACTCTCAATATGGCGAACCACATGGCTGACTCCCTCCTCTGTCTCACAGATCAACAACTGACGCGGGTCAATCAGCTTGGGCCCTTTGGTACCAACAGGTGAGATCAGACCTGCGTTCTCAAGCATCGTCAGGATCTGATCCCGTTCCCGTTCCTGCCCCAATTGTTGCTGTCTCTTGGCCTCTTCTTGCTCCTGAACCGTCATAACCCTTCCCTTGCCATTCGCTCGTTGACTATGCTGGTTTTGGTGTTGTGATGTTGGTTGCAAAGGTGGGCAGAGCAAGATCAGGTGCAGATTATAAGTCTCTGCGAGGTGGAAAAGTAAAGGAATTGCGCCCTCGACAAAGCCATAGTTAGGCGTGGTTGGATCTGGTGAAGGGTTCCATACGATTGTCTAGATGATGGTCGTTGTAAACCAACAAGGGATGAGAGCGAAGGTTAAGAAGGGGTTCTTGTTGAGCCAATTGAGTTGTATGCCGAATACAAAGTTTTCCTGCTTGTTCGTGAGCCGCGCTTTTCAACAACAAATATTAGAAAGATATGACAAAGATCGTTCCTTCCCAACCGAGCACAAGAACAAACAACGTGAACAGACAGTAGACACACGACTAACACAGTAGACGAAGGAGAACATACGTTTTTGAGGGAGATGGTCATGACTTTACGATTCCGCTTGACAGTCCTGGCAATCTTGGAACCAAGTCGCGATAATGAAGACGCCTGAGGCTATTAGATACATACCATTGCGAAAGAAGGCAAATAGTGGGTAGTTAATGACCAATCTAGCTTTTTTTACAAGTGTCGATGGTGAGCACATGTCCACGGGCAAGCAAGCACCGACACCATGAAAAAAGGAGTGCTGCAATAACACGAAAAACAAGGTTCCTCCGTTTTCCGTGTGATCGATCCATCATCCAGTTGCACTTTGTCTGTCGAATGATTATTATCCTCTTTTCCTCTGTGTGTCTCCAGCCGATTCGAACGGCCCTCTCTTCCTGCTGTCTCGTTCGTTTCTCGTCAGAGGTGCTTCCGTGGTGGTTATCGTCGTCGCAAGAAAGAGAAAAGAGCAATTACCTCTGAGGATCGGGCGTCGCTTCCATCAGCTCCTGAGTTGTTATCCAAACTGGGGCGACCATTATGATCCAGACTAGGGCGTGAGTCGACTGTTCCGTTGCGACGACTGCTGCTGCTGCTATTTCCTCCTGCTCCCTTTTGTTGTTGTTGACGGTAGACATAGACACCCAAGGAGACCAGACTGCAGGCCAGGGTTGTGTAGGCGATCAGGGCGCCGATCTTTCTGTTCTTGTTCACTTGGCTCTTGCTCATTGTGTTTTTTGCTCGATTAAGTGATGAGTGAGGGTGAGAAGAGAGAGAGAAGAAGCGTGTGTGTATGCAGGTAGAAAGGGTGCCGACAGGTGGGAGGAATATGCGTGTGTTGTTTTTTTGGGGTGCGGGTGTGAGTGGGGGTGATCTTGCAAAGTGAACAGTAGGAAGCGAAGAGCTGAAAGTGTATGTGTGATTGCGATGCTTTACAGAAGAGAGGAAGAGGGGATAAACGAATGAATGAATGAGTGAAGAAGGGACCAAGCGAGCGGTAGACAAACAATAGGGTGTAGTCGGTGAGAATGGAGAATGGATTGGAGAGTATTTTGGTCGGTCGCTTGTTGGTCTGAAGGCAAGGACTCCTGTTGTGGTTGAGGTTGGAGGGAAGTAGGCGGGTGATGAACAACGGTGACAAAGGAAGGAAGGAACGTAGTACGAGAGGGGAAGAGAAAGAGAAAAAGGAAGGAAGGAGAGAAAGAAAAGAAAGAAGGGGAAGAGACATGGGCCATGGGTCTCTGTTGTTCGCTTCCTGCTGTTGCAGGCAGAAAGGGGGCACAGACAGACTGACATATGAAAAAAGTCAATAATAATGACTAACGGGAAATCCAGCCGGGGTCCCGTCGTCCTCGTCCCCGCTCCACAAGTTCGGACAGAGGAGAAGCTTATTAGAGGGGACCCTGCTTGGTGGGGTGGGAACAAGGGGAGCCAATTGATTGCTCTCTTCTCCTCCCTTCCTTTTTTCCTTGACACACTCACTCACTTACAAGCAAGACATCCTTGATCCCATGGATCTCATGAAACCATTGCACACACACACACACACACACACACACACACGTTGCATGTGCCCAGCAGCAGACACACACTTAGTATCCAACGATGATCTCATCAGTCCATTCTTCCTTTCAGAGCACTTTACATCTTCTTGCGTAATTGCTTCTGCTGTTGCTTCCTAAAGCCAATAACAACGGTGTGTCGCAAGCAATGGCAATACCTTGACTCAGGGATGAGCCATCCAGCAGAATAGCCAGCAAAGTTATGCGTGTTTATCCGCTATCCGCTTGCCCGTCCATTCACTAGCCGACATCCGGCAGGTAAACCGAGGGCGCCACATTACACGAACAAATTCGGATCGGTCTTCACCTTTTTGATTTTCCCTTGCTCGTTTTCTACATCGATCATACCTCACAACGGGCTTGTTTTTGCTTCAAACGAGTTCAGTGGATCGATGTAAGTGTGGATTTTCTTGCCTGTGTGTTCCTGTCAGAGCATCTGCAACCCGCAACATGCCAATGCTACCTCCGTTCATCATGTTCTCGGCTGGGGAGAGGGGTCAGTGTGTGTGTGGGTAATAATCAATGAACTCAATTATGATCGGCTTGCATGCACCCTTGTCCCTTCCTTCTGTCGGAGCAAGAATACTTACCAGCTAGAGGGCGTTCATTCATTGTGCGATGCTCCCTCTCTGCACATGTCCATGTCCATGTCCCATCCCTTGGCTTCGCAAACAATGAGGCAGAGTGAGCTGATCAACCGACAGTCACATTTTTTTTTCTTTGCTGCTCTCGGTCTTGAACAAAATGAAAAAGTGGTCTGACAAAAGGTCAAAGAAAAGACATAAAGCTGATCACCTTCAACTCATCTCCTTCCTCCTTCCCTCATCTCTTCTTCTTTCTCTTCACTCTTCATCCCAAGGAACAGCAACGACCAACAACTCAACCAACTAACCAACACTCACAATAAGAATACAATATGGCCTCCGCACAACTCAACCACCCAACACCCATCAAGCCCTCTCCACTCAATGGCACACATCTCTCATCAGACAACTACGCCAACGGAGTCAACGGTCAGCAACACTACGTCCCCTCTCTCTCCTCAGGAGCATCCACACCCGCATCAACCGCAAGTCCAGGACCCGTATCGGCCGAAGTCTACTTCGCATCCCATGTCGCTCCCAAATCCCTCCCCGAGAACGCTGAAAAGATCCGCACCTTTGTTGACCGCCACATGCATGAAGGTCGTCGTGTCGTCCTTGTCACCGTACGTTCATCGTTCTTGTTTTAGCCGTTGTTTTTTTTTCTTGGGGGAAAGGGTTTGTGGAGAATGGATTGGTCGAAGATGGCGGTCACTGTCAGGATTTTTGATTTTCAGCATGGAGAACTACTTCGGCATTTTGTATTTCGCCTTGTACGGATCGACACACCCGGATCATTATTGTCATGCAGGACAGTAGGGAAGATGAAAGCAGAACTATCTTCATTTGCTTTTAAACCAGTCGCACCTGGCAAATATAGAGGGAAAGGGCTAGGAAGAGGGGGTATGCTCGTCATTTCCCGTCATGTCAGACAACATGAAGGTTTAGTGTATGAATGTGCGAAAGTGCCAATCGAGCAAACGGACAAACAGACCGATTAATGTTTGTTTGTTTGGCTGCTAGTCGTAGCGCCAAGTGCATTATTCATTTGTTATCAATCAGCCTTCCCTCGCTTCCTTCCCTGCTTCCCTCCTTCGGCGAATTCCCTCCCTCCGTCCGTCCCTTTGCTCATTGTCACTTCGGACTACTATCCTTTTTGGGCCATCCATTGTTCAACAAAAAAAAAACTCAGAGAGAGTGGGAGAGAGAGAAGGTCCAACCTTACCCCACCAACAGGAACAGGACAAAGCAAATCCAAAAAGAAAAGAAAAGCGCGAGCGAGGTAGCGTACGGTTCACTTGACTAACCACACCTCTCTCCCTCATCCTTCATACGATTCACATCCAATCGGAATGGAAATCGAAAACGCAAACAGAGCGGAGGAACAACAGTGCCATTGGAGACACAGACGGTCCGGTTCATCGACAACTTCAGTGCAGGAACTCGTGGAGCCACATCGGCAGAATTCTTCCTGGAGGAGGGGTACGCCGTCATTTTTATGCATCGTCAGTTCTCGCTCCAGCCTTACTCCCGCCATTACAGTCATACTCGCAACTGCTTCTTGGAGTTTATGGAGGCCGATGACGAGGGTATCCATGGTACGTCTTTGCCTCTTGTTTTTTTTTGTTGGGTCAACAGGAAATTATGATTTCCGAACTTTTGAATTCGGAGTGTTGGGTGGGACAAGCAGGCAGCAGAATGCTTATCAGATTTTCTTTCTCTATGTTTTATCCTGACTGATTATTAGTGATGCCCTCGTATGTGGACAAGATGAGGACTGTCCTCGCCAAGTACCGAGCTGTAAGTCGAAAGAGACAGAGTCGCTTTGTACAAGGAAGCATGAATGGGCAAGGAGTAGCAGTCAAGGATGGAATAGAAGCCCATAGTCGAGGATGTTTCTCAATTAGACCTGCCTTTGACGATGGTCTTTAACCATATGTCAGTTGGAGGCATCACTCGCAAGGACGATCATTGGACCCACGTCAACTGGAAAACAACCTTGCTGATATACAAACCCTCGTACCTTTCTTTGCAAATGTAGACACAGAAGGCAGGAACGTTGTTGACGCTGGACTTTGTGACGGTAAACGACTACCTCTTCCTCCTTCGCGAAGCAGCCCAGATCATCTCCAAGATGGACGTCAACGCCATGTATTACCTCGCTGCCGCCGTCTCAGACTTCTTCATCCCTGCCGACAAGATGTCTGAGCACAAGATCCAGTCGGGCGACGGACTCTTGAACCTCTCCATGGACCAGGTGCCTAAGATCTTGAAGCCTCTCGTCAACGACTGGACTCCCAAGGCGTTTATTGTTTCGTTCAAACTTGAGACCGATGAGGCGTTGTTGCCGATCAAGTCGCGTCAGGCTCTGAGGCGGTACGGACACCAGATTGTAATTGGAAATATCTTGACGACTCGAAAGAGGGTTGTCAAGATGATTACTATGGATTCTGAGAGTGAGATCCGGTTGACGGCGGAAGAGGATGAGGTGCAGCATATTGAGATTGAGTCGAGGATTGTGCCAGAGTTGATTCAAAGGCATACAGAGTGGATTGAGGATTGTGGTAAGCATGGGCGTTGTGGTATCCGTGTCCGTACTACCTCACAGTAAGGACGGTGACATGACCGGATGATCATGGTTTTTCCTCTTCACTCTCTACTCTACCTTTTTCTATACGCGACCTAGACCTAATAAATAAACACCTTATACACATAAACAAACGTTGAGTTTCTGAGAGCAATTGGGCGCGCTATAATTTGCGCTGATGGAAAATCCTGGACGCGTCTATTTTTACTCGGTGGCAGCCACAGTGCAACATCTCGCTCGCGTTGATTTTTTTGCCTTTTCCAACCTCACCTTTTCATTACCTTTCCCCTCTGTTAACCTCGACTCAATATCCCGCCAAGACTTGTCCGTGATCGCTTTCGAAGGATGCAGGACAAACCCAAAGGGAAGCTCCAAGAATGTTTACCTCAATCTCCAGCATAGTTGTTTTATTCCCTGTGCAATGGTGTCACATTCTGGAACTGCGTTCGGTGGTTACACTGCCTTACATATGCTCTGTTCACATGAACAAAGCATCTGGGGAGGGAGCGTTTTTCTTCGTTTTTAGCAGTAGCAAGACTGGAAGGGGTTCTTCGTCTGGCACAAGAGAACTTTTGGGTCGTCAATATTGCGTTTCGGGACCTTGAATGGCGGAGGTGACTCGGTCGCCAGTAAGGCTAGGCGGGGGGGGGGGGGGGGGGGGGGGGGGGGAAGCATTGTGCGGGTGTACAGTACGTCTCTCTGAGGAGAGTACCAGGGTGGCAACAGTGACCAACTGTCTTGTTTGCATCTAGTCTACCATACCCCCTTTTTTTGGCCTTCACTGTAGCCTTACCGGCATCTCATTAACACACGTATCCTTTCATAAAGGGAAAAAAGCTCGGCGTGTGTGGAAGACTTTTCTCCGTTCGCATATGTGTTGAGGCTGTCGGGGTGCAGAGACTATGTGGATTAAAGGACGTTGTCAGGCTTGAAAAGGAGCGGAACAAGTCTGCGCGACCAGCGGCGGAAGGTAGGTCGCCCTTTTTTGTTCATCTACATGTTCCGTAGAAGTAATAGTGGTAATAAGCGTACAAAGACGTGGTAGAGAAGTAACAGAACTGCGCGGAATTGGTTCTATTGATGTTTTATTTTACTGTTTGTGTAGCATCCTTTGACTGTCGGAAAGAATAAAGGAGAGAACGAAAAATGTACAAAGGGGGGGATGTTCACTTCCTTATTTTACGACTACAAAGAATACTACTGAAGATACTGTACAAGGTGTTGAAGAACAGAGAAACAAGAAAGCGATTGTTTTTGTTGTGTTGATGGAATGAGTTTAGAGGTCAGCGACGGTCATCTCAACATGCTGGTGCTGATGCGCCTCCGAGAACTCATGGCACTGGTCCTCGTGGTCATCCAATAAGCTCGACAAGGGTGATGCGCTCGTGGGGGTAGGGATCGACGACACTGCAGCGGCGGCCGCTGCTGCCACGGCGGCCGAGAAGGAGGTCGTGATGTGCATCGGGGGGACAGCCGACTGTGCGGTGGAGGTGGTTGTCAAATCTGCGCCCATTAGTCCTTCTGGTAGGAAACGGTGCTGTTGTTGTTGTTGTTGTTGTTGCTGTTGGAAGCGGTGATGCTCGTGCTGGATCTGCTTCTGGAAGAACTGAGCTTGAGACAGAATTGGGGAGGGCGACATGGAGGAGGTGGTGGATTGGTCTTGTTGTTGCTGTTGTTGTTGGAGGTGGTGCTGGTTTTGCTGGTATGCGCTGAGGGACAAGGCGGCAGAGTAGCTGGAGAAGGAGTTGGCGTAGTCGTGCTGCTGCTGTTGTTGCTGCTGCTGTTGGCTATGACTCAAGTACTGCTCTGATAGCGTAGGCGAGTAATCACCAACGGACGAGGCCTCGGGGGACGCTTCCTCCTGTGACAAGAAGTGATGTTCAGGCAAGTCGGTAGGGCTATGGAGTCCCGAGGACATCATGGAGTGATGATGGTGCGACTGGTGGTGGTGTCCTGGGTGCATGAGCTGGTGCAGCTCGAGCTTTGACAGGATCGAAGGGCTATCATCCGTCGTTGTTGATGAGGTGTTGAGGTGACCGCCAATGGACATGTCTGAGAGCGACATGCTCATGTTGAGGTGAGAGGCCAAGGCAGCATGGTGCTGCTGCTGCAACTGTTGTTGCTGTTGCTGATGATGCTGTTGCGACTGTGCGACGGCAGCGGCAGCAGCAGCTTGGCTGTAGGCAGAGTGGAGATGTCCATTGCTTCCAAAGAAGCCCGAACCCGAATGATTCATCATCGGCGAGATGGGTGAGATGGTACCATGTTCAGTCTTGGTGGTCATCATACCGTGCATCGACTGGCTGCTGTGCTGACCATAATGACCCAACCCGGTAGTGTTGCAAGTAAGTTGCAAGTGTGGGTGGTGCGAAGCTTGCTGCTGTTGCTGTTGTTGTTGCTGAACGTGGTGATGGTACTGTTGTTGTTGTTGCTGGGAGATGCAATGTTGAGGTTGAGGTTGGGGTTGAGGGGTGGGGGTCTGTTGATGACCTGGGTACTCGAACTCGTTGAGGATGGGACGTTTGTTCTTGCTGTACTTGCGGACTCCGAGGCAAGTCTGGCAGTTCTTGGTGAAGAGCGAGACGAGCTCTGCAGGGACCTTTGAGTACGATTTCGTGATCTGTCGTTGTGTGTGTCGAGGTTAAGGGGGAGGAGGATAGAGAATGGTAGGGTAGGATAGGAGGAATGATGAGAAGAATAGGAAATGAAGATATGGGAATATGTTGAAGAATGTAGGGCAAGGTGGAGTCAGGGCAGGGTAGGGGAATGTAGACGATGGCAAAGAGAGTGGTAGATATTCGATTAGTACAATGTTCATTCAGAAATGAAGCGTAGCATAGGCAGCATGTAAGGGACGCGAGAAGTGCGTAAAAGAAGAAAAAAGAGCGAGAAATGGAGGGAAGGAAGGGGATGAATGAAAGGAGTCGCATCAATAGAAAAAAGAAGAGGAAAGGGAAGGAGGCAGAATAGGAGGCAAACAAGAGAGAAGGGAGGACTCATCGTTATTTTTCATGCACAGACTTCACTGATGCCATCATTGGCTCCGATTCAATTCGTCCACACGCGTCTCTTCTCTTCGCCTGAGGAATGGTCATTGGCTAGAATGATAAGCATAGATCAATAGTCGCATGCCCTTGCTCCTGCCACATTCAAACATTCAGACCATGTCACTATGTTGCTGAAAAAAGGGCTTTCATCGGACTGTCCCTCCTGAGAATGCTGTTTGTTGACACATACACCCATACACATGAATGCCTCCCTTTTTTCTCCCTCCACCCCCATCCCAACCCAAACTACCCGCATATACTTCATCGTACATGTAAACAGACACATAAATTGCATTCAAATTTCGCATGTCAACCCCCTTTTTGCAGCTCCTAGGGCTCACACACACAGAGAAACAACAAAGGGCCTACTACACCAGATAATTGGCACATCTAGATACAAGCAAGCCCACCCATCCCCTCTCCCAGTCCAATTGCCACTCCAAGAAATGAAAAACAAGGTTATGGGACAAAAAAAAAAGAGTTGTACTTACAGCAGCAAAGGTCTTGTCGCGTCCACCGTGTCCAATGATATGATGGAAATAGCACACCTTATCATACAACTGCTCACGAACACAAACAGGCTTGCCGTTCTTCTTGTCCATCAAGATCCTCAACTCGCCCACGACCGTAAACACAAAGTGCTTGCGGACCCACCACCGGAACTTGGGGTTGAAGATGGCCGTGTTCTCGGGGTTGGTCAACACCATCAAACAGTCGTTGGCGAGCTGCTGGTTGATCAGGGCCTTGTTGCGTTTACGGATGTGAAGCTGGTTAATGTATCCCTCGACCAGAGTCTCGAAGGTCTCTGGGCTGAGGAACGAGTATGTCTGGGGCATGTAGAGGCTAGAAGAGACCATGGCTGCTGTGGTGGCTGCTGCTGCTGCAGCGGCGGCGTTTGAGGCGGCTGCTACTGATGTTGGCGATGACGTGACGGAGAGGGATGTGGATGAAGAGTTGTTGGATGACATAGCTGCTGCAAAGGCTGCTGAAGCTCCTCCGACTGGGTATGTTACGTGTGAGGCGAGAATTTTCGTGGACTTGGAGGGGTGGAGGGAAGGGGAGAAAGGGGTGGTGTCGAGGTAACCTTGTTGGAGTTGAAGTGGGTGAGATGGAGATCTGGCTGACTAAAGGGCGGTTACTTGGGGTGAACTGTGAGAGCAGGGGAGGAAGGAGTTCAGGGATCCCGAAGAAAAGTGACCGGGTTCGAATTCTGGAATAGAAAGTAGAAAGATTCTTGGAAATACAGACAAGGATAGGGGATGCAAATGAAGATACCAACGAAGAAGTTGGAATCGAGAATGATGGTAGCAAGAGTAGGGGTATATGGCACCGGAATGGTAGATGGGAATAAGCCTATAGAAATTGCTAGTGGTGCTATGAGTGATATGAGTTGCGAGAAGCGATGTGAAGATGAGAAGAAAGAAGAAAAAAAAAGTGGGAGGGTTGGTGGAATTCCAATCCTTATATTCCTTTTTGTTGCTTTGACTTGAGATCACAAAGGAGGAGTGAGAAGGGATCTTAGGCGCGCAGCTATAGAAGAGGAAGAGAGTGTCTACAGTCGATATGAACAATAGGATGAATAATGAATGAATGAATGGAGGTGGATGTATGCAATGAGTAATGAGAAATGTGCTGAGAGTGAAGAGAGGAAAAAGAACGAGAGCGAAGAGAGGAAGAGTGAAGAGAGAGAAGAAAGAGTGGAATGTGGAATCATTTTTCTTTTTGAGTTCCCTTTTTTTTCCAAGAAATTTCTCTCCCTCTCAGGCCTTGCAGAAGGAGGAAGGGACAAGCACTGCTGCGAATTAAGTAGTTCTGGTTGTGGGAGATAGTTCTTTGCCTACTTAATGGTAGCTGTAGCACTGTACTACTAAGGTTCTCTATTCAATTGCTTTGACTCTAGGTCCGTGTCCAAGGAATGTGCCTTTCATCCGATGCAACATAACACTTTTTCTGTTTGTTATTGATAGGACACGTCCA